AAAGCAGTAGATGTAGGGGTGGGAAGTGTGCATGCATTGTTGACACACCACTAGTAATACCATTATTTTATATTTACTCGGAATTTCAGTTTAATAATAATGTCACGTACATACATGTGACTCATAAAATGCTATTAGGTTTTGTTATTAAAGTTTCATGATAATGACGAATTAGGCTCTGACATTTATTACGTAATGACATAATTAAATGCCACTTATCAATTAACGGTAGAATAAAGGCATGAGTCAGTTCAGTACAAAATTGTCTATTCGTGTTTTTTCAGTAGCATAGAAACTATTAAAGACGTGTCCCAAGCTATTAAGCGAGTGTAGTATCCCTAGTGAAGCAATTGGTGGGTCGACTCCCCGGACGCGGACGAGCCAACGTTGCGGCCTGCGGGCTGCGGGGTGGGTTCAGCCGACAGCTTGCTCTACGCTTTGTTTAATATTCATGGACTCCAACAATATACTCCTTGAGAACTTTGTTTACAAAGATATTGAAGCTAAGTGACGCTTAAGACATGGGGGTTTAGGACCAAAAAACAATGATTTGAGACGAGCATAGTTAAAATGTTTACTTATAAAGTTCATAACTGTTTCCGATGTTGTCGTCTTGCACTATAAAAGCCGTTATTCGGTTGAAATATATATTCATAGAGCGATTAAACCCGGGACTTTAAGAGACTAAAATTCGATATGCTGTCCCATTCGAGTTATTATTAGACTTTTATTTATATTCTTTAGAAGCAGTTTGTTAGATTGATGCTATAAAATTAAATGTTTTGTGCAAGAAACGTAACAGGTTTGTTGTATAATTATTGAACTTTCATATATTCAAATCAATTCAGACCAGGTTTTGTTATATCTCGTTTTTTTAAGGGCACTTATATAGGTTTTTTGTTAATATATTCTATAACACTTTACTGTTTTGGTGTGATACAAAAAACGGCGTTAAGTTTTCTGCTTCAGTAAGATATTTCGTTATTGTTCTCATTTACTTGTAACATTAAATAAATAAAAAAAATAAACTCATTACCATCATATATAATTGATAATCTTAATAATAACAATTAGTAAAGTACTCAACTAAACTAATTTGGACACTTATAAAAAAAAAAGACTCGAGTCTATATTGCTCTGTTTACGAAATATTCAAAAAATCGGATAATCCGCAAAAAGATATAAAACTATTTTTATATATACCAAGAAGCATAATTGATTTTCTCTATTATAATATACCTTTAGGTTACAACTAAATTCGCTTTTGAAATCACGATATTTTTATATTTGTTTATCATTTACGTATAAAGAAATTTAACTTAAATAGCATCATAATTACCATAATCACCGCAGCTAAAGTCGTTACCATAAATAGAAGAAATGTACCGTTTATTCCGTTTTGTGTAGACGTATTTGTTAATTCGTAAAGCTGTATTAAAGAGCCAAGCACCAGCAAAGCTAAACTAAATGGTCATCTGTTAAACTATCTCGGATTTCTCTCAGCCCATGGGATGAACTAAACACAGCCAGAGGCATCACCGATAGTACAGTGAAAGCTCTTGAGACTCAAGTTAGTATATAATATGATCACGGACTAGACAGCCGGTCAGTGGGTCATGTAATACATATTCAAATAAATGTGGTAACTTAATTAGGTTTTTTTTTAAATTAGTGTTTTTCGTAACGATGTGTTTTGTGGCCAGTAGCATTTGACAGCAAAATCCTACGAAAGAGGTTTTATAATTAACGTAATCGACAGTTAAGAAAAAATATACAAAAATGCTTGGGGCTGCATTATATATATTCTTCTTAGAAGTAACTTTAATAAGAAGACTTAATTAGTTATCCTAGTTATATTATTGTTTTGACTTTAATCTCAAGCTAACTAGTTAGAAATTTTCCGAAGACCTAATTACAATTAGTAATAAGATTTTCACGGTAGGTAGGTAAGCTTATTTCGATATCGAGTTGGCATACCGCTGATTCATTCTAGATTACTTCCGAAGTTTATTTATAGATCTCACAATTACCACATTAACTAAACGATGTACTAAATGAATGAAACACATTATCAACATCCTGGGTTGAACGTACATCATCATGTCAAGATAGTGGAAATTGTTGTCATGAGAATTTAATACGTGGAATTTATTTCGTCCATATTATCATTACGCCCGCGGATAATGCTGATGCTTGTTAATTTATAAGCCACACTGGATTGCGTTTTAAAAACTTTTCTCATCTATCAATTAAATTTTCAAAGCCAGCTCGCCGGTATATTCTGACCGAAAAGTGCATCGGACCGTCAACGGCTATCGTGTTACTGGGGCTGTGTTTAATTTTTCCAATAAACTGACAGTTTTATCAATGATATAAGCTAAAACTATGTTGTATAACTGAATAAAATTTAATAACATAATTTAATTTACATACTGAATAGCGAAAGTAATTTTTCTTATAATGTAATGTTGTGGTAAGTAAAGCTATTTTAATATGGAATTATGAATAATTTATAACTCGGCTTATACATTAATTATAGTTTCTTTTATTAAATATTAAAATTTATAACCATTTGACCTTAACGTGCAAAATGTTTTAGTGTGATTAAACGTTGGGCGTATTTACTTATTTTTTACCAAAGTATGATTATATTAAAAAAAGTTTTTTTTTTCTAAAACTCATGGATATTTTAATATCATTTATTAAAATCTTTTTAGAATTTTTTGCAAAAAAAAGAAATGAATTATCAATGTAGAAAGAAAAACATTCAAATGTAAATTAATTTTAATGTAACGAATTAATAAAAAATATATTCTTAGAAACTGGGATCAATTTTGTAATCAACGATATCCCACATCAAAAATCATAATCTAAATCTGATGAGATGTGAAAATAACTTCGTATAAGGAATAACGCCGCTAATAACGTTTTTGTAAGGTTTCCTCGCCCATTTTCTTAATACTATATAACATCTTATTACACAATTTATATGTGATGAATTCGACAACAAATTCTAACCAAAAAGAAATTTTGAGCTAACAATAATTTATACAAATGAATACAGCTCATGTTTTTCGATGTAACTTTACTATCTTTCTACCTATGGTATTTTATTCCTCAATGGAGAACAATTCAAAAGGTAATAATTTGAGCAAAAAAAAACTAAACGATACTAACATAAACCATTGTCTCCGAAGACAAATTTAAAAATCACTATCAGAGCGTAGGTTTCATACATAAATGTATCACAAACGATTGATGGTATCCATTAAAGCCCCTTTCAAGTTTCAACACGTATATAGTCGTAGTTATCCCCTAACCAGCGCACGTTCGTTTATATACCATACATTTCACGCGTGACATAGCCAGAAGCTTTAATATACAATGTGATAAGAAAACATCTAAAAGAAGGATTTAATCCGATTAAATTAAAAAAAAAAACAAGTCTGAGTTTTAAAATTAATATCGTAAAGAGGTTTGATATAAGTGTTTGTGAGAACCTCAGCTTCCCGTGTAGCGTGGGATCTTTTATAGCACCACAGCCTCGAGCTCAAATGTCAACCGCATCTCATATGTAATTATAGGCCTATCCTGGTCACGCTATATACGAGCGTAATCCGGTTGGGAAGCCTTTGCTGGAGAATAAAAAATGTATACTGTACCTACATTCACATCTAAAATGTATGTAATAATATTTTTTGAAATTAAACCTGCTTGTATTTAATATACCGACTTATTTAATATCTAAATAAGAATAATTCGAATAATCTTTCGATTAAAACGTACATTTTTGATTGAACAAACAATTAATTTTTCTAATCGTTATCAATACTTCCTTACGATAGGTTTACTTACAATAATTTTATCGCTAGATCTAGTGACGATAAGTCACAGAGCCGTGATTAACGTAATACATACGAGGAATGAAGGTTCTGTGTCGAATTACTATTGATTCAGTAAATCTAAAATTCTGATAAAGGGTATAGAATATTACATTATACACGCCCCACGTTCATCCTTTGTGACATCTGCCCTAGAAATGCCTTCTGTTACATTAAAACTCCAACCCCTTTTTAATGTTCATTAAATTCATGACGTCTAATGCACATGTACCTACGCTTTTGATCAGCATCGCAAAGTAAATTATAATGCGCCTAAGCAATTTTAATAGGTATTTTGATTTATATATGTATTTTTTTATATTATTATTGATATTACACCAGAGGGTGACAAAAATTTTAAGCCTTAACTATTCTGAAAACAATTATCTCATTGAGAAATGAGAACAAAAAAGAAGGAAAATACTTATTTAGCATATACATATTTCATTTTCGTTCGTGTTTATGAACATTTGAAATTAATTCTATTTTTTATTTTACGATAGTAAATTAACAGCTTCATTTCAAATGGTCTAATAAATTCCGGATAAACATTCAAAGTATCAGTAACTGTATTCTCGTTCCGATACATTCTCACGATCCAAAAATAGCGAATATAAAAACTAGACTAGGTGTCCTGTTAAGTGAACGAATACATGCAGCTCTTCTCCAAATGCAGAATATTTATATAGAATTATCGAGTGTAACCAGATTCTTTCATGCTGTGAATGAGTAAAAATCTCTTTTCATTAATACTTATATCTGAAGCTTTTCCATTTAAAACATATTTAGGAGACATTTTGGAAACTATTATGTTTTATAATAACTATAATGAATGTATATAATACATATCAAATGTTTTAAAAAATGTTTACATTTACGCGGGCATTCATACGTGCTATCGAAACAGATATTTATATCTTATCTATAATTAAATATTTGAGTCTTGTAACAAAAACAATCGTTAATATATGGAAGTAGAACGCAGTACGACGCGTATTTAAAAAATATATATTTGTTTTTCAACCTAAAAGCACAACTGTTGTAACAATTGTACCATTAATTTGTTACAGGGAACAGTGAAAGATGGCGGGTTTAGAAGTGTATAGGTACTAAAACAATATGGCCGTCGCCCGGGCGGTCCTCATACTGCTAGCATCCACCGCCCAAGCGTGGATGCCTGACGCAAACGCTCGAATCCATATCAAATATGGTAAGTAATGTTTAATAATGTATTATTTATTTTTAACTTATAATAAAGAGATTTAAAATAATTGAGTGTTCTTGCAACGTTAAATAACCGTTTTTACAAAATGCTTATGGAATATGGATGTATGCAAGATACACATGCCAATATACATATATTATTTTTGTCTATCTGGCTATGTTTGTTCCGGCGAATCTCTAAAAAAACTGGTCATATTTTGGCGGTCTTTTACTGTCGAATGGAGAATGAAATATATAGTGACTTAGCTTATTATTATTGAAAAAAATTGTAAATATAAGAAAATAGAATCTCGGTTAGTGCTCCTAGCAAACATAAGTCATTGCAGAATAATAAAATAAATTTACGTATGCTACCCTCAGCCAGTGAGATTGACACGTGAGAATTTTAAAAGTTATTGTTATGAAACAGTCTTATTGTTGTTAAATCGCCATACAATGCAAACATTGTTCGATGACACAATAAGAAATAAGAGAGTTTCAATCGAACCACACACATAATAGGATTATAATAACGCTGCATAGTAAAATTACTTTGAAAGTTAAATTCTTTGTGACCAGCAAATATAACTAATACCAAGAAATTAACAAAATACAGTACAGTCGGAAATTATGATTTTGAATCGCGTAAAAATTAATTGACAATTAAAAAAATAATTAAATATATTTCATGATTGGAAATATATCAGTCTCGGAATAACAAATGTTAATCATTGGTTGTAATTATTTACGATGTCTATAAAAAATGTTATAACTGTTATGTAATGAATAAAAAATATAAAGTAATAGCCAAATGAATCATAAACACTTATGTAAAAATCACATTAGGTACTCGTTAAATTTATTTTTTTCGATGTAATGGCGGTAGCTAAACTTCAAATTTTACCTGAAAAACACCTAAAGCCAAAATTCTTTGCCAAAATTCTGACGTTTACCTGTGCTCAGTTCGTGCCATAGTAGAGATTAAAAATTGAATACATCTTTTGGTAACGTGATATTTTAGGATTCTGCATTATAAATAATTTTACGTTCGTGTCTATTAACTATAGTCACACCTGGGGAGACCATAATCATAAAAAAAATATACATTTCAAATTTACGTACAACTAGTACTAAAGCAAATAACGTGTATTTGCTTTAGTACAGCAACATAGTGTATTATTAAAATTTCAAAGCATAAACTAGTTTGTCAATTAAACAAAGGAATGCCAAAGCAGAAACGCGGTTGGAGAGCCGCAATCAGGTCCACAGGTTTACTGGCTGTTGTGGTTTGTTAGTTGGCTTACTCCGTTAACATCTTGTTAATACGTTAAAAGACATTACAAATACATCGAATAATATCAACGAAACGCTTCAAACGTAGTATTTTTTTGTATAATTAAATCTATTCCATAATAATTTATTATAATAAACAATATTGTTTCAGGTGATGAAACTACGGAGCAGTTTGTGGGCAATACGACAGGACCAAACCACTTCCGTATTTTAGACAAAGACGACTTCTCTATTTTAGTAGGGGGCAGGTTAGTTGAGGCAACATTATAATTTTGCAGTTGAACCACTTTCACGTCAATAGTTGTTTCAAATTATAACCATAATATTCACACTCTATTACACCTAACTGATATAGATTTTGTTTATATTACAAATAAATAAAACTAAATGGGAACGCTGCAACATTCTGTTTGAATACAAAAAAACATTTGTATTTATTCAACTGAGATGTTCTGGTCCATGCGTGCGACACATTGAAATGTTAATTGACTTTTCATCTCATAGATTCAGTCTTTATCACAATGTGGTGATTGTTACCGTCTGATGTCTAAAATGTAATTTTTTCTTTCAGGAGTATGGTCTATAATCTCAGCCTCTACGATTTATCAGAAAATGTAGAACAGGTGAGAAATTATTATAATAAATTACGATTCAGATAACAACGACGATTATCTATCTATGTGAGATTAATTTGCAATTCAATTATTTTCTCGAACGTTGAAAAGGAAATAAATTACAGTAAAAACTACATACAAATATTTTTATAGTAACTGGTAAAAGAAATTATCACAGAAATTTGTTTTTTTGTTATTGCAATGAAACAAAGCGATACGGATGAAATAAAATGGAAAGCCGAATAAAATTGCACTCACACGTAAATTTCACGCTACCTCATATAGATAGTAAAATATGTGTTACATGGTTATTTTTTTTCGTATCTAATCTTACGCAAACAGTTGCTTTGCTACCAGTCGGACTCTGCTTATTCTTAGTCGGCCTACTTTGCACCTCGCTTGTAGAATTACCACATTATATGTATTACAAACATGTTGATAGCTTAAATGCTTGTGCTGTAAGCTTTACTGCATCAGTGAATCAACGTCACTGAGTTATGATAGTTCCGATGCAAACAATGCATGAATTACTATCCCATTAACATCCGCGTAAGTAAATATGTATATAACGACGGATACGAAACGTCCATACATTCTTTCACGTGCCCCAACTCACGCTAGATAATCATTGAATATATAAATGTTAAACTTTAAACAATAAAAGAAATAATAATAAGAATTACCTATATAAAGAAAGTTATTTATAATTTTTAAATATTTTTGGTGTTGCCAACTTTTACAACTTATTTGTATATTTAATATTTTCTAGCAGCGATATCACCGTCATGCAATGCGAATAATTTGACAGAATTGCTCTAGTCACGTTATACTCTTGTGATGGATGTACACGCAAACAAAAGTTTACTTATTTTTTGACGTCATAGTTACTATACACTTTGATATACATGAGATATAATTAAACTATAATCTTAGTATTAATTTTCAATGTTCACTTAAACAGCCAACGATATTTATTAATGATAAACCTTTTAAACTCGTAATGAGGGTAAAGGAATGAATCGCGTTAACACATATTGCAACACATGGTTGTAATGCCGATGGATAAATTGAATTAGCATACAGGCAGGTGCAATGTCGCATTCAATAGACGTCGCACGGGATACATGTCATATAAGCTCTCTACGGATTACTACATAGTATGTGAGCGATTATGCTTTAGAATAAATATTTTTATATATTTTATTTTTGCAGCGGATAGAATGGCAATCTACTGTCGCACATCGAGAGCTGTGTTTGATAAAGGGAAAATCCGCGGACGACTGCCAGAACTATCTGCGAGTGGCGACTAGGGCTCATGGGCGGTTGCTAGTCTGTGGGACCAACGCCTTCAAACCCATGTGCCGGAGATACGCCAGGCATCCTCCCAACCACTCGCTAGAAGAGTTCGATGGAACCGGCAGATGTCCATACAACCCGCAACACAATTCAACAGCAATATTCACAGGTGAATATTCTTTGAACATAATTTTTTACGCTTAAAAAAGAATATCCTATACCATCCTTTATTTCTTAGATAACGTTTATCCGTTGTTTCCGCTAATATCATATTACAAGTTGTGTGTGATTTTATTTATTTCCTGCAATACAGAGATAATAAAAAAAAACTATTGTTTATATCTCATAAACATACAAATAAATAACAAATGTAACATGGTATTATCTAACTAACAGGACCTAATAACATATAAAGCGTCTATCTTAACTTTGAATTTAAATATATTTTATGGACTATATTGTATGTAACATAAAATTGGTAACGGTGATGGCACGAAAGCTTTCCCATCGTTGGTCTACAAACAGTCTGGCACGCCAAGGGGTTGAGCAAGGCACGACGCACGAAGTCGCGATATTGATCTATTTTATTACTATTACAGTTACAACAAATTTCTATACAACTTTAAGATTTCGAACACCGTTATACCAAAGACATTAGTGTTAATGATGTTAAGACAATGGACTCGAATTTAGTATTCACAACCGCAAACGTGATGGATAGCTTTTAATGGATTCGTTTTGATTTATCATGTGATCCTCATAGCTTATACATATTAAGGATCATTCATTTTAACTTGTTAGTTAACATGAAAACGTGCTACTTTATCCCCTGACATAATGTTGCATTAATCTGAATAAAGTTTTCAAATGTTATAAAAAAAAACGATTAAGATTAAAATCATAATAGTAGATGTTTAACCGCATCCAAAATAAAAAACCGCATAATGGAACCTTATTTCACGACTTTAAAAATAACTAAAGCCATAAATTACCTAACCCGTACTTTTCAAACAAATTACCCATAATGTGTAACAAAAATAATGCTACCGTAAAAAAAATTTTAGTTCTTTTTTAAGATACATAAACACGAAACGGTGTAAATATATTTTTTTACACACTAAAGGACAATGAAAATTAACATTATATTTGATAAATCTTATCCTCTAGATGGTCATCTATATACTGCGACGGCTGCAGATTTTTCGGGCTCCGAACCCTTAATATACCGAGAACCAGTAAGGACCGAACACTCAGATTTACGATTATTAAACGATCCCTCATTTGTCGGAGCAGTGGCTTCAACGAGCCACGTTTACTTCTTTTATCGTGAAACTGCTGTCGAGTACATGAACTGCGGAAAGGTTAGTCTATCTTCGCGATTTTAACAAATATTACACTCCATCAATGACATTTAGTATAAGATAATATTACATATACATATTGTACAATATATAATTTTCATAAATAATATTTTTAGTCGGTATATTCGAGGGTCGCAAGAGTATGTCTGAATGATAAAGGTGGTCCACACCCTTTTAACGATAGATGGACATCATTTCTCAAAGCCCGACTAAACTGCTCAATACCTGGGGAATATCCGTTCTACTTCGATGAAATACGTAAGTTTTGCTCGCTGGATTAATAAATGGTCTCTTTTTGAGTTAAACGAATAATATTTTATACTTTTTCAGAAGCTACTACTGAAATTATTAATGGTGTTTATGGCAACGGCGGTAACAGGAATGATATAGTTTATGCAGTGTTTACAACACCACAAAACGCAATCGGTGGTTCGGCGGTGTGTGCATTTGCGATGAGGGATATTTTAGACGCTTTCGAAGGACCATTTAAAGGACAAAAAAATATGAACTCCAACTGGCTACAATTGCCGAAAGAAAAAGTTCCACAGCCGCCGCAACCAGGATCGTGCGTGGAAGATAGTAGAACACTTTCGGATTCAGCCATCAACTTTATTAAAACACATCCACTGATGGATAAAGCTGTTCCGTCATTTTTAGCACGACCGATTCTTATAAGAGTCAGTTTACAGTATAGGTTTTCAGCGATCGCTATACACCCTCAAGTGCAGTCAATGAATGGCAACAAATACGACGTTATGTACGTAGGTACAGATGACGGCAGGGTCATTAAGGCTGTGAATGTGGCTTCAAACGAGGGTGTATTCGATGCTAGTATGGATGAATATGGTAAAAATCCAGTAAGAACAGCAGTAATATCAGAGGTCCAAGTACTGCCACCCGGCGTACCTATCAAACAAATGCATGTAGCTCTCACTACCGAGAAGTTAATCGTATCATCCGGTGATATGATAAAAGCCATAACGTTATCTCACTGTGCTAACGTGCAATCGTGCAGGTATGGTTTTATCTTTCCATTGTTCTCAATTACAGTGCAAACAATTTTAAAAATTATGTCAATGATAAATTAATATTTTATCTTTATTTATAGAGAATGCGTGGGACTACAAGATCCTCATTGTGCTTGGGATTCCAAACAGCAGCAATGCTCTTGGGTTGGAAACAGACAATTTCCAAACCCGGAACGATTTTTACAAAACATAGAAACCGGCAAGACTGATATTTGCAATAAATTACCTAGTTTATTACCGAGTGACCGTCATGCGAATCGAAATCCTGTAACGAAGAAGCCTCAGTCCGACCCGAATCCTCATCAACCAAATAACGATATACAAAATGAAATTCTTATTGAAGTAGTCGAAACTAACGTTTTGTCCGAAGACAAAGACACCAGCAATAACAAACACGAAACAGGTAATCATTAAATTGATAATTATTATTTCTAGCAACAGATATACTTATCTATAAATATAATCAGCAACTTTTATCAAACGGCCTCAGAGCAATAAAATTATGACCGATTTAATCGATAGCATAGACATAAAATAATTGAAAAGTATTTTTTTGTTACGAGTATTGTTATTGTTAGCGCTTTTAGCGCTTACTACTTAGCATCACCAGAAGAGTAAAAACTAAAAAGGAATTTTAAACTTGTTTACTTAGAAAATCCCCTTTTTAGTGTAGAAAAATAAAAAAGGATTTGATTCTGAATCGTCCTAAAAGTTTCTTACTATAACATTTGTAATGAATTACAGATTTACTAACAGTTGAAGCAGCGGGCAACATCTACAGTGCTCAGGCGTTGCTGACCGCGGTGGTCGCCTCCTGTCTCGTCACTCTAATGGTCGGCTTCGTCATCGGATACCTCTTCTCAAGGAGATTCAGACACCCTTTTTTCACTGACACCTCGCCCTTTAATGAGCAGCATAATCAATTGAATCGGTTAGTTTATTTTAATATTGATGGATATAATAGAAATTAACGGTTTTTTCAATTAGCATAGTTTTTTTTCATGATGTCTCTACACTTGTAATTACAAGTCATTTTTAACTAACCGTCTTTGCAATTTTTTATTATGGAACATATAAAATCTAGTAATAAATATATAAATTGTACGTTTGTGTATTATGAAATAATATTTACTTTTTTATTTTCATCAAAAGTACATCAATATGACTTCTATATATAACGACTTCTATTTTCAGACTGAGCCCATTAGAAACGCCATTAAATGTGAACTCGGGTTACATGCCGCCGAGGTCAAAAAACGTGAACATTGTTGCTAACGTCTGCCCTCTAGCAAAGCAGGACAATTTGCATCTCGAGCTGGGTAAAGAACGGACTCTCGATCTTCGCAACTCCACCGAGTCCCTCGACAAGGACCTCAAGTGTGGTACCCTACAAAAAGTCAAAAAGACTTACATATGAAAACTACCGCAAACTGTGTACGGAACCATTTCAAAGTGACAGTGACATTGTGTGTGCCAAGACTGAGTGTCGGTGAAATGTGAACTTTGTAAATATTGATTATAAAGTGACGGATAAAACTTTTTACTTACTCAAACAATCATTGCATTTCAGCGATCGTCGCCAGGGACTCTGACTTTTTGTTATGGAATTGCGAACTTATAACTTTTATATACCACCTACGTTTCAAAATGTCCTATAGAATTACATTACGCGATTGTGGAGATTACTGTGATTGTAATATATTTAATATTCAATGTCAGTTTTGATGAAAACTAATAACATATCGAGAAGCTAATGATAAAATGAACCAATACTACTTAACGAATATCACTTTCTAATATACATTAAATATTAAATATATTCACTTTATACATTCCGTGTATTAGTTATGTAGAGTAATTGGCAGAGCAGCTCTTTGTAAATATAAATTTGTATATAACGCTAATAATAGCTAAGGACCACGATGGTCGATAGACAAATGGCATAAAAAATTTAAACAATTAACTAATTTATAACTGTAAGATCATAACGGAGCATATTATTGTTATAAAGCGTTTTACTAAACGCTCATTTTCAAAAGAAAAAGCATATTATTATAATAAATTTGTTGAATATAATGTTACGGATATAGATTAAAATTGCTGTGCTAACTGCATAGTGCCTTGTAGGTTGCCAATATAGTGCCTAATGTAATCTAGGATACACCAGGAAGAAATTGTATATTAAATGTTTGTTCTCCTGTTACTGTCTGTTTATAGCTTATAAGCTTTAATCATGAACTGTATTTATAGATTATATTTTCAAAAAAAAAATGTTTTGAATGGCTTAAGCTGCTCATGTACTACACTTATTACGTGAGAACCCCAAATTTATGTTCCTTCCTCATATATGCTACGAGTGCTGTCTTTTATGTTTTATATTTAAATTAATATTTAAAATTTAATGTTGTGCTGAAATTACCACCTGAAATCAAAAAAAATTAACAAGTATACCCACCGTAAAACTATCAAAGTTGTTATGTAAGGCGGAAATGATTTCCCCGTCTTGATGCTATGTAAACATTAGAAGAGGTTTTATATTAGTTATAGTGGAGGCGAAACAAACTCTTTAAAGTTTAGAAAATTATTATTTTAAAGAAGTTTTTTATATTTTTTAGATAATTAAATCAATATAACATTTCATTACTGCAAATATGTGAGTAAATGGATACATATTGTACATACATTCAGATGAAGTTGATTGTAATGTGTTGTATACATCAAAATACGTATTATTTATACTTATTCTTTGTAATAAATAAATAAATTGAAATGTCTTCTAATTTCGTAATTTTTCCTTGGTTTTTGTAGGCAAATATAAGTTCTATGACAATAATAATGTTCTTTACTTTTATTTACACCTATATTTTATATTATGCTTATACTATACTATAACTAAACAGGCAATTTGTGCTTATAAATATTTAAAAATTAAATTAAATTACATATTACTTGCTACAACACAACTGTTCCATTCAAAATGACCGTTTCATACAACATGATTATTCTATATAACATGACTGTTTAATATGTCAAAACTGTTCTATAGAAAATGACTTCTAATTTTATACTGTAATTATCGAAATATAAGAATATTCACTTTTCCTTATTCATTTGTTGTCAATTGAAATACCTAGTATAGTTTTTTTTAACATAAAATCGTGAGGCATGCAAATAATATTGATGGCAGAATGCTTCAGGCATCTTATAAGTCAAACCTGATTTCATTTTTTTTTTTTTTTTTTTGTAATGAATATGCTGTTAGCCCTGCGGCTGTTACAGCGTCACCGGTAGAGTGGGCCAGTGCCGGGACTGACCCGTTTCGAGGGGAACCTGATTTCATTGCAATACTTTCAGCTTCTTTAAAATTAAACTCTATTTTCCCCATCAACTATGATAAATATAAATTATAAAATTGATCTAAGTTGATATTATTTAGATTTATAAGTAATTTATTGTTTTCATCTTCTTTCTGTGTATTCTGACCTGGTTTAATATGAATGTGATTTGACAAGAGTCCAATATAATGACTCTTTATAAGTCCACTATTTAAACTGAACTGAATATATATAAATTCATGTCAAATATGGTTAAAAAAAGGTTCTATGGTCAAAGTGGCCACATGACCTAATTTCACAGTTATTATATATTTTTTATTTTACTAAGCCATACAACTTTTCTTACATTTATAGTTTGATTTAAAAACAAAGAATGAGATTATTTAATATTTAGTTGACACAGACTACCTTAAATTGTGGATGTAATTAATATAATTACATATAAACTGTCTCTTTTCAACTGCACTCTTAACTACATTAGTATCAATTGAGACACCTTCATCATTAATTACTGCTTCTTCTTTTACCGGTGTGCCTTCATGTAACAGCACAAAGTTATGTAAGACACAAGCTGCACATATTAAAGCTTGAACCGCATCAGGCCTATTGATATCAATATGATTTAACTTTTGGAATCTTTCCTTCAACAATTCAAATGCACTTCCAATATATGAATGAGCCTTCCAATGTATTTCATTGAATTTAATTTCTTCACTAGAGACCAGTTCTTCGCTAGAGAAAGGTATTAACAAGTTTTTTCTCAATTTATATTCACAATCACCTAATAAATGATTATCAAAGTCTATGAAATTCTTGAGTTCTTGGCATAATTGAGTTTCCCTAAAAACTTTACCTTTTACAGTATTGCCTATTTCTCCAATGTGAATATCAATAAACATCAAGGTTTCGTCACAAACTGCTTGGAGAAGTATAAAATTACTAACTTGCCTTTTTTTTCTTTTTGAACCAACCTTAAGTCTACAGGCGTCAAGGAAACCCACACAGTTTGGAAATCCATACTTACTATTTACTTTTACTCTTGTTATATGTTGCTCCTCCAATGAAGGCCAATTTATGAACTGATATCGCTGTTCCGCTAGTAGCATGACAATTTCATGAAAAATGTAACTTACTGATGATTTATGTAATCCAAAAATTTGTCCCACTTCTTTAAATGAACAATCATTTACCAATGCCCAAAGGAACACATGTACCTTCTTATCGAGAGGGACTATGGAACTACCAGGTTTAAAATGATCTTTTAAAAATGTTATTAAGGCCTGCAAAAACAAATTTTTGATAAAATAAAATAATAACACTAAAAACAATAATAGAAACTTATTTGTATTAACAGAAATACCTGTACTGTAGCCTTATGCATTTTAAATTTAATCATGTATTCTTCATTTGTAAAGTTTTTGACAATCAGTTCAAAAAAATTCTTGTTTTCGTATGGGATTGTAACGTCTTTGAGAGATCGGAATTGATCAGAAGGCTGAACTATAATCCCTTGTTGTTTTAATAAAGTTCTTTTTATATAAGATATGTTTTCTAAATTTTCATTAACGGTATTTGCAGTTGCAACAATTAATCTGTTTAAAGTCGAAACGTTATCATCTAAGAAAAGTTCCATAATAAATTCTGTATTAAAATTCGACATGATGCACAATCAAACTAATCTTGTACTTATTTTTATTTAAGTCACATAATTGCACACTGGCGCTAATTTAGTTTCATTTAGCTTTAGTTTCATGAATATTACAGAATTTTTTTACAAAATTCACAATAACAAATGTTTTTTGTTTGGTACAAACATCAATATACTAAATGACAACTGACAACTTCACCATTAATTATAGAAATTATGGTAAAATTTTTTCATCTTTTTAGACATCAAATATTTAAAACTATTTTTACGTTTTATATTAGAAAGGGTCATTAGAGGACATAAAATCGAATACGTTATATATTTAACTTTTTATAATAATGTAATAAATGCAATCTTAAAATGTGTTGCCATTTGAAGATGGTTTTGTTAACTGATGACCCCATTCTTAAATCCCGTTTCATGAGATATTCTTCTTTTATATTCTAAATATGTAGTTCAAAGAACTACCTTTGACATAATAAAGAATATATTTTTTATTTAAATGCTTATGGTTCACAAAAATACAACTCCTACATATAGATAAATATACAACAGCTTAGGAACAAATACAACTAGACCATACTACCAACAATTTCTACGTAAAATATTTAAATAAGGCATATATGTACTTGAACTTTAAATAAACTTCTAATATGATAGAGTGAATTTGGTCTTACGCAGACAACATCAAAGTTAACTTATTATGTTTATTAATATTAACGGCAGCTTGGCATAGGTACATTTTTTTATATTGAGCAATGCGATCTCTATTCTCTCTCGTTTTTATTCTGCTGTCGGTGTAGAACTACAGGATTTACATTATTTATTTTTAGATAGGTCTTGTATATTTTGTGTATTGTCTAAAACTTGAGATAATGCATTATATTTTAAAGGAAAAATAAGTTCTGTGCATAAAAATCAATAATAAAGACAAAGAATATTTTGGCAAAGTAAAATATTCTTCATTAAAAACAATTTTATGTTACTGACAATTTTATTTTCTAGTAAATGAATACATCAGACAAAAGCTCATAATAAAAAAGGAAAATTTGTATATGGTCTCAATTATTGGTATCTTATGAATAACATTATCATATCTGTAAAAATTCAAAAACATACTTTTTAACAGATTCACAATAAATAACCTTAGCACTCAGTCAGATATTGAAACAGTTTAATAAAATCACATGAAATTGATATTGTGCTTACATATTGTGTTGTGCCTTTATTTTAAAACTTTGAACAGTTGATCAAAAATAGGTTAATTCATTATTGTTCATTTATTTTTATTACATGTAATTATTATTTTTTTATTTGGTTATTTTTTTGTGATCTGTCAAAATATAATCTTAAAGGCAATAATTATTATTTATGTAACATAGAAAACATTGAAACAATAAAAACTTTTACAGCATACACATTCAATTGATTCAGAAGCACAAGTACTGGGAAATGCAGAAGCAGAAATCTATTTTCAGGCCATAAATGGCCTTTAATATTCCGGTTTGCCTATCTTAAGCTACTTGATTACAAATGTAATAACCTAATCTTTTTTCCATATCAGAGTCATATTGTTTGCTGGCATTTCAACAGTGTCAATAAGAGATAAATTGTTTTCATTTCCTAATTTGATTAAATCATTAATATCTCTAATACCCCACAATGGATTTCTAGCTTTCAGAGAAGCATTGAATGCTACATTGCTTTCTGGTGATAAAACACCATCCTTACTGTAAGGTCCATAAGTTATCATTAAAGCTTCTGGTTTCAAGTAAGTTCCTGCATTCTCAAATAAACCAATAGTGCATTCAAAAGGACTTATGTGAATCATATTGGCATTGAACATATAGTCAATTGAATCCTCCTCAAATCCATAATTACTTAACTTGTTTTGAATGTCAATCAGCAACGGTTGAAAAATATTCTTTGTTGGACAGTTGTTTGCATAATATGATATGCTTTTCATCACCTTAACATCATATTCTGATGGTTGGAATTTTACACCAGGGAAATGAGGTGCAAAATATGCTAGGTGTTGACCTGTACCTGAAGAAATTTCCAAGAATAAAGGACTTTCATCTTCCACTTGGTCAATATCACATATTAGAAATCTTTTTAAAACCTGTAAAATGGGTTCTTGGTTTCTGGTAGCTGAAGGACTTATTAATTTGTCGCCCCCATAACTGTAATTTTATAAGGATTATTATCAATAAAAAAAGTAAATTCAGATAATATTATTATTGAAAACTACTTACTCCTCACTTTGTTTGTCCACATTGATAGTACAGGCAATATCATTTGATTTCGACATGTGTCTTAAGAACAAAACTCCTAAATTTTTAGAAAATGTTCTTTTTATAATTGAAATAAAATACATGTAATAATTATCGGTAAAGAATAGAACAAATTTATCTTTTTAAAAATAATTGTATAGCTTAATGAAGTGTTCTTTTTTGAACCAAATAATAAATAGTAAGATAATTTATCAACCTCTTACAAATAGATACCGATAAAAAAAATGTTCCTTAAATTATCAATAATTATCACAGCTTAGAGATCACTTTGACAACGTCATTAGTCAAAGCCATACGTAATACATCATAGTTCAAACTTCACTGTTTATGTTACACAGTATAAACTAGACACCGCTATGGTGCCGGTAATAATAAAATTTAATTTTTTAGGGAAAGCAACAGAACTTTTTGCCTCAATTTATTATAATTAAAAATACTATTTTTAAAAGTATTAACTATTATTTTGTTACTAAGTTTTTGAGAATATTACACTACAAACTGTTACAAAGCACAATATTACATATAAAACTCCCTTATTTATTTTCTCCTTTAATATCTGAAATCTAGAAACCATATTTTCCACACTTATAAACATATTAAATTTATCATGTAATGTTTGTAATACTTTAAAATTGAGACTCCGGTCTATTAATCTAATATTTAGGGAAGTGTGCTATAATCTGTTATTTCCTAGTCTAGCGCTAGTAATAGTTCCTATTAGCTGATATAGTAATCGTAAAACTAATTGAGAGATACACAATAACAAAATATGTATTTGATCAAAATTTGTTTCTTGTATTAAAACGAACTAAGATAAATAAACATATATCTTTTTTTATGCCAAATATGATATGAATTAATTTAATACTATACTCATTGCTTAAACTAAACAATACTGTAACTCATAAAACTATGAAATGTATCATGTAACCAATTACATAAAAAGTTTGAGTGTTAGTCATTGCCCTCTGACGGTGTAAGATTCGATTTAATTTAATTAATCTTATCTAGATCAATTTATCATTTTTACAAAGTTATATTTCGGCGTATACCTAATCCGGGTCTTTATTTACTTTTTAACTTGGACCTACTAACCGATTCCGATTACTTAAAAGCACCCGTGATAATAGTAAGACGAAATAAACTTTCATCTTATCTCCTCGATGGTTCGAAATTAAATTTAGCACTTATATTATGGATAAACCAATTTATCAATGCCCTGTATGAATAGAACCTTCTACGTTCTAGTTAGTATATGGTAAAAACATACAAAAAATTATACTTTTAATACTATACCACAGAGATTTTTCAAGTGTAGGTAGTTTCTGTGAGTTATTACGATTCGTTCTTGCTATAACAGTCCATTTCCTAATTACTTCGCAACTAAAGAAGAAAACTTAAATTTCAAAACTTTTTATATCCATAACTACAAAACACAAGTATAAATACTACATGCATACCAGTTAATGATGATGCTGAAGTAAAAACTTTTGGGGAATATGAATAAAAAAAAGTAAATTCAACTAATTCTGTAAAAATAATTACTTTTTAATTACTTAGTTGATTAAATAGCTGATTTATTATTTAAACTGTTTCTATTATTTTATCTATCTATCAATATATCTTGCCTGTACATGCACGTATATTAAATCTAATCTAATATTTTGGGCGACGATCTATACTCCCTATAACTCTCTAGAATCTAGATACGTGAGACTTCTGACAGCTCTTAAACCAAAGGTGACACCTTCAGGCTCACCACAAACTTATTAAATGCATTCTTCATATTGATGTAATAAATTTACCAAAAGATAAGCAATGCAATCATCAACAAATAAATAAGTTTAATAATAGTATGTCTAAACAGAAATTGTAGTATTGAACCTCATTATCAAGAAACTGCAAAGACCTCATTTTATTTAACCTCCTTCTCTGTACGAAGCCTAATTTAGATGGCTTTATTCCTTTAAAGCCCTTGCGGAAACATGTGTAGATTTGGTTACAATCAATCTTAATGTAAATTTATAGATAAAAACTACAACAGTTTAAGGCATACTCAAATGAGTCGTGTGCATGGAGTACTCTGCATACTGATAATATCTCTGACCTTAAAGCACCGTTTCTTATTTTTATATCAAAGGTCGCAAACAAACAGAGGACCTACTTGATGTACTTGATGCCAACAAGTAACACCGTCAGTCCGTTGCCCATAGCCATCTGCAACATAAGGCATGTTGCTAATGCATTAACGACCTTGATTATGGAAAATGTAGGATAACGGAAAAGGCACGAAAGGCTGGGAAAAGTGAAAGAGCAAGCGGCTCTCTCACTCATCAAACGAAACACAGTCATTAAAAACTACTTGACACGGATCTTCTGTGAAAGGGAGGTACTACTTCGCCGGTCAAGCCAATCTACGTTAGAAATTTAGTAACTTGACCACAGCTACACTCTACCGCCTAATAAACCAACCATAACTTGAAGGATTTATACTAAAATAGCAAAGGCACTTTTCAGTCCGTTATCCACACAGAAGATTCACAGGAATCTAGTTTGTGCACATTCAGCTCTTATTGACCGATCCTTAAAATATTTAAGGACTAAATTCATTCTATTGTCTATGTGCTTAATTACTATGATTAAATAAATTTAATCGTAACATAAAAATTTGAAATGAAAATATATACTTCTTCCTCATTAAAATAGTAGCCAGTAGATAACTACAACTTTTTAAATTTTGTGATCATTATTAACTATTGTTAAATCACAGACTTCTTTGTTTGTGGAACAATCACAAATGTAAACAAGGTTTTTATTTTCATCGCTTTTACCGATTGCAGAATCTCTTTCATCATGAACATAATAAATCATGCAACTAATGAAAAATTTATTTATGTCAGAATTCCGAATCTAATTCGGTCGTGTCACCTCAAAATAGACCTCTTTAAGTCTTTATACTTCGACCTGCGTTTTGACCTTTCATTGTTGTTGCTCTCCAAAATTGTTAGGCGTTGCGCATAATTTTTGTTACGCAACAGCAAATGTGCTTAGGGAAATTATATAAACATTGAACAAATTTAAAGCAATATCTCATTAGTAAATCGCTGATAAAACGAGGATTCAGAAAAATGAATGATACAAAAAAAGAGTCCGACAAAAGTAGATACTTGACTTCTCTTTCCCTAATAAAGTTTGAAAATCAAATAACTAGTGTCATAAAACTATGTATATGTTCAATCACAAATATCACAAAGTATACATATACAAACAAAATATACATATTAAAAAATTTTAAAGTATCAAGACTTTGGTACATGAATTTTTCGAAGTAAGAATGTTTTTCAGAACTAATCATTAGCCATTACCATAACAGATAATGAAGCTGTATCTCTAATATTTATATTTCTTAATAATCAAAAAGATGATAAAATTAATATATAAAAACACTTGTTTAAAGTTTAATTTATTATGAATAAACAGAGTATTCAACTTAAGCGTATTTTTTTTTAGTCATTAAAAACTTAAGTAAAGGACCATACAGATCCATTCCGGTGGATATCTTAGCTATTTGACTTATTAAAACGATAAATAATGTAATAGTTTGTACTATAACAAACTGAGATATTGACGTTCCTATCTCAAGCCAACTTCCAGTGTTTCTAACTTGAAATAACATCTGGATTCCCATTATATTTGAAAATATCAGCACAATTATGTTCAAACAGCCAACAGGAGCCTGCAAAATGATATATTGGTTAAACAATTGTACTACATTTTAAACTTTTTGATAAACTAAGTATCATGAAGTCATTAAGTGACATAAATTTTCAAAACAAAACAGTCTTTCATACCTTTGTAATTATTTGTATGGCTCTAAATGTGCAGGCAACACTTAGAAATGGAGCCAAAGTTTTAAGTAGAATCAATGTTGTTATTATGAATGGCTGAAAAGATGTTGTAAAACATAACACCCATCTGACTTCGAACGAATTCAATGAAGCTATGTTTCCTGTTCCAAAGTAAGCTAGTATTATAAATAATGTCTGTGTATAATATATAAGAAAATTATTATTTTTATATATAAAATGTGCTTGAAGAAATAAGAGAACAATTAAAACATCAAAGTATGTAATAAATTAGATCAAAAGTTCCTTATTATTCAGAAGGTAGTATAAAAAAGGATACAAAAAAGAAAGCCCTTCTGAAATCTTGTTTGTTGATACTTCTTTCAATATATGATATGTTTCTTTCATTATCTGTGTCATCACTTTCAAAACTTAAATCGTCAATCTAGAAAGCAACCTCATATTAATATGTAGAATTTATAAAATTATATAAAGTTTAAAGTCATTATTAACATTATTAACAAATACCTTTGCTTTCCCCACATCTATTAGTTTATATTCAATGATCATCCAACAATTCAAAATAAATATTAATGTCACCATAAAAAGGCCTTCATGAGACACTGATAATAATAAATAAAAATTAAGAATTGATGTGTTTATACCCAGAAGTCTATTTATAAATTTCTTTGTATAAAACAGTGGCAGTAGAGGAAACATTACTGAAAAAAAAAAATAATAATGATATAACAGTTATTATTTTTTATTAATATTATTAGGAAAAAAAATTACCAGAAAAGTTCCAACATAATATTTGGAAAACTCTTGATATTGGCATTTCTTCTATAAAACTTTTTGACTGTAAATAGATGATCACCAATGATATTGCCAGAATTGTTATTTGTATGACACTCATAATCGCCTCCCGTTTAATTTCGTTATTTTCGTTGTAGTATGGCATCAATGTGTTCCATATATAGAAACTCATGGCTATTATCCAAATTAAACCAGCAACAATTCTGCAAAGAAAAGTTCATTATGTAATATTTATTTTTCATATTATATAACCAAGCATAGATTAATGAGAAAATAACGTATTATAATGCGTATTAGTATGTTCTAGAATTAGTGACTACATTTTCATTGGAAAAACTTACACTAATTCAATACACACATCTTTACCCACTACTGGCATGAATGAAAAAACACTGAGCATTATACATCCAGCAACCCATGCAATGTAAGTGGATCTTGAGTTTTGTTTTAATGATAAAAATGGCCACAAGCTCATACCGAGTAGAGGGATGCTCAACACCCATCTCTGACTAAAAGCAAACCCCTAAAACCAATACATGCTATTATTATTAATTTATTTTCCAAACAAATTGATTTATGACGAAAAAAATCTACTTACCATAGCAAGAGATCCCAAAGTATAGCATATGATTTCAAACCATATTATCAATAGTGTTTTTTTACTTTTAATAGATTTTAAAGTTACCATCCATAATTTGACTGGTGTCACAGCATACATCCACAAAAATATTGGCATCAAGAAGTAAATATAATACTGCATTGGTAAGTTTTGAGCTGAGAAAAAATACATTGTTAAATAAAGTATAATACTCATCATATAATTTACAAAGCAAGTGGTATTACCATAAATTAAATAAAAAGCTAATATAGCCATAAAAAAAGAAATAGTTTTAATAACTATATCCATCACTCCATTGGCCCTAAGCAGTCTTTTACTTGCAATTGAATATTCAGCTTGAGTACTTATACTTTGTTTTAGTAGTACTTTCAATAAAAACATAATCCAGCCCATAAATGATAGTGATATAGTGATCAACAATGGTTTCTGATAATAATTATGATAATATGAGAGGCCATTTAAGCTTAAATGCATAATGTCTTCACATAAACTAATAAGAGTGTTGTATTTTTCTTCAGATAATAACATTTCCATTAGATGAAGTATTTCTTCTACTTTTTGACTACTAAGTGGTTCATAAGGATGGTAGAGGTATGATATTGCACTGGATTCAATATCCATTCTCTTTTTATTGTACTGTGATATCATCTGTATGCAGTTACTGTATATAGCTTTTGCCTTATTTGGAAGTGTCATGTTCAGTAGTTCACTTGGTAACTGACCCTGAAACACATAGATTTAATGTGGTAAATAAACAGACATTTTTTTTTTTATGTGAAAGGTGGCAAACAAGCAGACGTTCGTTTTTGAGGAATAGGGGTGGGTAGGAATAAGGAAATGGCTGAAAAGGGTGAGAACAGAGAAAGGGCAACCGGCACTCTTACTCATTGAACGCAACACAGTCATTAATGACTACTTAAGTCCGATATTCTAATAAGAGGGTGGTACTTCCCCCATTGGGCCAGCCTGTGTTTGAACTGTTGTTACTTGACCACAGCTAGGCTCTACCACCAATAAATATATAAAACAAAATTCATTATATAAAAATAAATATAATACAACTTACAATGGAGTTAACAGGAACTGGAATAGAAAGCAATGTAGCCATCAAAGGAGTTAGATCAGCCTGATTAATATCATGTCTCTTATCAAGAGACATTTCGTAGTTATTATCAAACTGTTTTGATTCACTTTCAATCTGTGTTACACCAGCACCCCATAACACATAAGGAGTTTCTGTTTCATGATCATCCCCCGTACCATGAGAACCTAAAATTATGAGCAGGTTAATATTGAGATAAATATAAAAAAAATATTTGATATCACTTTTTCATTGAAAATATTTGAAGTTTTAGTATAATAATTAAAATTGAAGTTAAATACCCCAATCAGTCATCCCATGATCAGATGTCATTAAAAATGCTGTTCTTCCGTCATCTTTGTAGAATTTCCTTATGATTTGTTCAATTTCTTGAATATTCTCATCAACATATTTAATAGTTGTTAAAAAGTTTCTGGAATTGAACAAAATAATTAAATACTGCTTTAAAATATATTAATACTAAAGTCAGTACAAAAGAAATATTTGTACTAACTGTGTTTTTGGTTTATGCATGTGTCCAGAGCTGTCTGTTCCTAACAGATGCAAAAAAAATATAATTTTATCACTTTGTAACTTTTTGTAAGTTTCAGTATCCAATTTTTGTCTATTAAAAAAAAATTTTGCTTTATCAAATACCCATTTATCCAAAGTTGTGGTATTTCTATTTGGGCTGTATGTTTCATCATAAGGATCCATTTTTTCAGTATATATGTGCCCACTCAAGTCATCCTTAGCGAATATTTCTAATATGTCATATGTGCCCCAGCACCAACTATAAGCACTTTGATTGAGCACTGAATCAAAGTCAACAGGATTTTGTTTCCATCCTTTTGCAACAGCTGAGGGGTCTTCATAGAATCCTGCTAATATAGCTACATGTCCTGGTCGGGACTCTGTTGGAACCCTGGTACGTGATATACCCCACAAACCATTGGTATTTGCGACCGATCTATAAAATCAGCACTAATATTAAAATTAATTGAAATTGATTTTGTTACCAAATATGATCGATTACGTACCGAAGATATGGCATCGTTGTATAATTTAGAAAAGATTCTGCTCTTAAGCCATCAACAACAAATAATACTAGACGGTCAGCCGGAGCTTCGTGAATAGGTTGATAAGGTTTTACATGACTTACAATAGGAGATTTAAAATAAATATCAAATATCGAAAACAAAAAAACTATATGTACGATCAATCCCAACAAAAACATCTCGTTTTAGGAATATTAATATTAAACTATTTTAGTAAATTACTAATATTATATTTTAAACTCCGGTGTACACATTCTTGACACTTTGACATATCACAACTTCTTTCTATTGGCCCTTTAAGTAGGCACAGAATTACTGATAGTAAATGTCAACTATAATAATGAACCTAATAATTTTTTGAATAGGTTATTATTCTTAAAATAATTATGTATTTTCCTCGATCAGTAACAATTTAATTAGAAAAATCTTTAACATCATTAATATTGTAATTTAACAATTAAATATTATAATTTTTTATAAGAAGATTACTATTCTTTTATTTATAATGAAATTTAGGAATTTACTGTATAGGTACACCGTACAGGTTAAGTATAGGTACTGTCTTCATATATTTTTTTCTATTTTTTTTAATTTAAAATTGTATGCAAAGTTCTTTTTGGGGAATTTATTTGTAATTTTCAATAAGAAATAATCTTTTAAAATAAATTATAACATAATTGTTCTATTCAGTCCTAGATGTTAATTTCGAAAGGATGTAGCTTTAGCTTTATTTACTGTGATTTATAATTAGTTTTATCAAAATATACTTCAGAAGACAATTTTGACATTCAAATATTTTACATGAAAGTGGAGCAATACGGAACTTTATTATAATATCCTCAAAGTAAACTTAGGCCTAGGCTCATTTTAACTTAATGTATTCGTTACTTATACGATATTAATTGTATAGGTGTTCATAAAAAAAGAAAAAGTATTTATCAACATTGTTTCGTTTTCTTTTTTGTATATATATTTCGTCCCATATATGAATTGAAAAATGAGGAGCTTGTTATTACGCGAAGACTTCCGAGATCTTCTTAATTCTAAAAATATCCCCAAATATGACTTATCAGACAGTTATGGAAGTGAAATTAATAAAAAACTGGTACTTATTCTCAGTGAATTATATTCTATGACATGATAATATGTATTGAGTTTTAAAACATTCGGTCCATATTTTATATTTACATATTTCATTCAGGTTTTGAAATTCCAGCTGCTAAAAGTTGAAATAAATCCTGTTCTTGTACACGTATGAGATTATTTAGTAATTCATCACAATATATCCTATCATCATGATTCTCTTCAGACGTGAAACCTAATGTAGTATAAAGACGGCGAACTTTTCCAGCACTTAACCAGCCCCTTTGTCCAGGATCAAAACTCCTAATAACAGCCTCAAGGTGCCTTTACCGATAAAGATATCATTATTAAGTCTCTTTTTAAGTTACGAAAGAATATTTGTTATTAAAACAGAGGTATTTTATAATCAATGGAACTATAGAAAAATTTACCTCGTTTCGTATAAAACCGGGGCCACGCCTAAACCAGCTCGAAAAAGCATACAATCATCTAGTAGTTTTTCTAAAAAAGCTAATGGCTTATGAGGAGCATGAGATATAACTTGTGTAAACAAGAAGCGAATTAGTTCTGGAATTCGACGTTCTCTTAAATAGTTCTCGGTTCGGCTAACAGTACTCAACACTTGCTCTTTCCGCTCAGGTATTTGTATTTCTTCACTCACAGATTGAGTCAAATCACTGTTGTCACTTAGAAAACATTTACAAATTGGAGGATTTTCAATCTTTGGAATTATGAAGAATTCATCTACATTTTCCTTTTCAGTCCTTGGAATTATGAATTCATCTCCATTTTCCTCTTCCATCTTTTCTATATTTAGATGGATTCTTTAAATAATTTGAATAAAACCATAAAAGATTCACATTCTAATGATAACGTCATCTTTATAGAGAAATTAAAATGAGTTCCAATTTCAAAATAAAATAAAAAAATCAATATGTCTATCTAAAGTACAGAAAAACTTATATATTACTATCTAAGTAATGATTAAGGTTTTAATAAAATCCAGATTTTTCTTTTATATCTATAAAAACAGGTATTTTGGAATCATTAAAAATAACTTTTTATAATTAATAAAATAATAATTATATAAGCAAAAAAAAAAAACGATGATATCAAAAAACAAAGAAAAGAACATGTCTGTACCTACTTTCCTACTTCTGAATTTTACACGTACCTATGATTAGTTAAATTTAAATAAATCATAATACATCATTAATCATGCCATTAATATTTCATATAGTATTTGTCTTCAGAAATTGTTCAAGGGCTGAACAAAGTAATTTAAAGAGCGAGTAAGACCAGCGGATGGATAATTTAAATAAACGAAAACTAAAAACAAACTCTGTTTTTTTTTTTTACGTTGCTTAATACAACAAGAAAGGACTGAATCAGTATTAAACCAATACATATTTAAATTTATAGAATTACTGTCTCTGACTCGTATATCGTTATCATTTATCTGTGAACAACAACAGTCAACACTTCAATTCAACGGACTAATATTTTGAACTGAAACTTGAAATAATTGTGTGATGTTTTTCAAATACATATTCTCTTTCGTGATTGTTTTAAATTAAGTAATGGTTTAAGACGTAAGACTTCTTAAGGACTACCAATTTAACACCATGGGAAAAGACATACTAATTGGAAAAATAGACGACGGTAACAAATAGTTTCTTTGTTCGAGATTTTCAATTTTTAAGTAATATAAACCATAGTTCAACCATTTATTATTTTAAAGACAATGCAGATGTCCGAAAAACTGCCCAGGAGATGGATGTTATCCGCCAGAGAACAATTGCTTATGAATATCTGTGCCGTTTGGAGGAAGCAAAATTATGGATGGAATCATGTCTTAGGGAAGAACTTCCGGCAGCGGTTGAGTTCGAAGAGAATTTACGTAATGGAGTTTATTTAGCGAAGCTTGGCAATTTTATAGCACCGGACCTGTTACCCTTAAACAAGATTTATGATATTGACCAACAACGTTACAAGGCAATTATTTTCTTCATATTTTTTTCAATAAAACGTTATTTGAATATTGGCTGAAACCTTAAGAATATATTATTTATTAATATTCTTATAAATTAATTATATACTTTGAATTAACTCACTTTTTGTTTGGACATCACTTATATTGAATCCAAGTCAAATCTATATAAATACATGTTTTCAGATGATGGGCCTGCAATTTAAACATACAGACAATATAAATAAATTTCTACAAGTCTTAAAAAAGACAGAATTGCCTGTGGTAAGTAAATATTGTAAATTACTGAAAAATAAACAACAATAAATGGATGGAATATAAATAAATTCAATAATATAAGAACACTAAATCATATTTTATTAAGATTAATTAATTTTAAATTATTAAAATGCAATGATTTATTTATTTTAAAACAACAAATCAATTCCTTATCAACTATATCTATGGATAATTCAAGAGGAACTGAAATAATATAACATTGCTTCAATTAAGAATAGTAGTGAAATTCAATAACTATGCTATTAAATCGAAAGAGATCAAATATTGTTACACAAGATACTGAACAATGGAATTGACTCCAGTTACCTTCTTTCTAGATTGAATCTTAACTGTCCTAGATTGAATTCTCGAAGTAAATCTATTTCTAATATTCCGTACACCCGCACCAAATTTGCAGGAAATGATTTATTATTAGAAGTGCGAAACATAACAAGATGTTCTTTAAATTGGATATGTTTCATCTCTCTCTCCGTCAATTTAAATCTGCTGTAAAATATTTATTGAATGAATCTGAATGATATTTAACACAACTATATATTGCAATAATTTTGAATTTAAAGTTTTAATTTTAATATTTATATGTATAATAATTTAATTATTTGTTAATGTATAATAATTTATAATAGTAATCATTATTATGCTTTCTACACTCTGAAAGTTATTTATGTATAATTTATCATAGGAAACTGTTTTGGTTTAAGGTTTTATTATGTACAACATTTATAATTATTAATAGTACTGTTTGTTTCCAAAATATAAATAAAATAAAAATAAATAATATAATGTATTCTGTTTTTAATAAACATATATTTACTTTTATATTTCAGACGTTTCAACCTGAAACCACAGACATATATGATAACAAAAACATGCCAAAAGTTATTTACTGTTTGCATGCATTGAGCTCACATTTGTTTAAACTCGGGAAGGCACCATTAATACATGATGTCTTTGGCAAAGCAGTCTTTACAGGTAAGAATAAGAATGTAAAAAATAAACAATTAAAATTGATCTGTATTTAGTAATTCCTTGGAATATAAATTAAATTTCATATATGACTAAAATTTTGAAGTCAGATTCTTACTAAAAACCGAATAAATTGCACAGTCTAATATATAAATATATTTTTTATTTCAGACGAACAATTGGACTCTGTTTCAAAAGACTTACAAAAGTGTAAGCATCCATTGCCAATGTTTCATAAAATAAGTGGTATTTTATCAAATAACAACAATACAAATGACAATGCCAGCACTCAGAATGCTTTGATTGAACTTAATAACTTACTTGACTCGGAGAAATCCATAACATGTGCTTTGCTAAATCCAAATTTAAAAATTAAATATATTCAGAATTATCTTATTGATGAATATAAAGAGGTTTTGAAAGCGGCGAAACGTGAAAAGATAGAAGTTGCTCACAACCACTCACTTAATGGTAGTTATGCTCCTGAAGACTATGATGAATTACTCACACTGGTTGAAATCCAAGGTCATATAACGGCCACAAATTATAAACACCTCTGGAAAACGCTTTGTGCTGCATGTAGAAGTAATGACATTAACAAACTCCACAAGATATTTACTGAGGAGTGGGTGAAAATTAAAAATTATAACAGCGGTAACATAGACTTCTACTGTGACGTTGTTCAAAACATCATAGAGAGTTGTAAGGATGTTGATGTGGAAAGTATAACGAATTGGCACAAAATTTTCCAAAACATTATAAATGATGGAAACATGAAATCAAAGGAACATTTGGAACACAAAGAAGCGATTGTCCAAGTGAATAAAGCATTAGATGAAGGTACTCCCGATGATCTATTTGAAGCTCTAACAAGTCCAAAGCTTGGACTTAGTTTTAAAATAGAGAAGTATGCCGCACCTCTGTTGTTTGAAGAAATGAGATTGGAAAAGTGTGAATTGGATAAGAATCTTAATGAGAGTGAAATTGCGGCAACCGCTTTATATCTGAATGACGTAGCGGCTGTGTCTGAAGCTGTTGAGAGAGGTAATGAAGTAGCTGTTTGGAATGCACTAAATTCTAAACAAATTAACTTAGAGGGACTCAGGCCACATTGTAGACGACGTTACTTGTCCGCTTTGATAAGTGCTCTGCAGGTTAAAGTTAAAGAACAGTGTGATTGTCCACTACTAACACTTGAAGATATTAAAGATACACTTGATATGGTCAACATGAAGGATGACAATAATGATGAACGTAAGTATTTATAATTTAAAGGTATAACAAGAAATCAATAAAATAATTAACAATTTTCTTATTTATACATGTATATCATTTAATTTTTTTATATCAATTTCAGTGATTGAAATTATCGATCAGATCAATAAAGCTGTGGCGGATGAAAATTCCGAAGCTTTAATAACTTTACTAAAAAGTTCCTGTCTCAAACTACCCTCATCTTTACATAGAGAAGAATATCCATTATACATGAGAACATTGAAAAAAAGATTGCTACAGAAAGAGTCAGAAAATCTATGGTTGGAAGACATTGTTGGAGCTATCGACGACGTTAACACCGAATCTAAGAAGGTTAAAGAACTGACAGAGGAGATCATTCAGTTAAACTTGGCTATAGTCAAGAATGATATAAATGATTTCTGGAAAGCATTAAACTCACAGCAACTATCCTGCTCTGACGTGGTAGAGAGTTCCTGCAAAGAAGTTTATTTTCAAATGTTTTCTAAAGCACTGAAAAAGAAAGGCCATCATATTTGTCCCTGGATAGTTTGTCATACCGAAGCCAGTAACACGGTATACATCGACGTTGAATCATATACATATAGCTGGAGTACGCCCAAAGACTTTGTGCCATACTCAAGATATCTTTCCAAAAAAGATGTTAAGGCCATCGTAGACAAGACAAATAAACATCACATTAATTCCTACAGACTCCGAGAATTAGAGAAAACAATAACTAGATTTCAAGCCCACTGCAAAGGATTCTTGATAAGACAATCAGTTAATCGACTGCTATATTTTAAAGACAATGTTGATTCAATAATAAAGATCCAATCCTGGTGGAGACAGATTGTTGTTAATAGAAAATATGGGACGTTGATAAAAATGAAAGCAATCGAAGCTAAACTTTTACGTGAGAGGAAAAGAAATCCTTGGGCTTGGTATAAAGTACAGGTAAGTTATTAATATTACTACTTTCGATGCAGTAATAATATCGGTATTTTATATGGACAATTTACTTTTTTACAGGAACAAAAAATAATAAAAATTCAAGCTTTATGGAGAGGGCGCAGGGCGCGTAATGCTTTCATATCTCTATTCCACTCTCCGAATCCTCCCCTCAGGGTTCTAAAAAAATTCATTCCGGTATTAGACTTCACAACAGAAGATTACGACAGAGAAATGGAGTTACAAACCCTTAAATCCGACGTTGTTCAGTCTATACGAAAAAATCAAGAACTTTCGAAGCAAATCGACGATATGGACTTAAAAATAGGGTTGTTGGTACAAAACCGTATAGCGCTACAAGAGGTCGCCGCTCACGGTCTTAAATTAAACAATATATTACATCATCAATCAAAAGTTATGCAAGCAGATGGGAGAGGCACTATGTTAGCTGTGAACACGGCTGTTAAAGGTTTGAAATCGCTAACAAAAGAAAGTAAAAGACTGCTAGATGGATATCAACATTTGTTCTACGAGCTACAAACAAATCCGACATATTTATCCAAATTGCTTTTCTGCATACCCCAAAATAAAACCAATTCGTTCCTTCAGAATGTAGTATTAAGTCTTTATAATTTCGGCGCGTACGCGAGAGATGAGTACTTGCTTTTGAAGCTGTTTAGGTTTACATTAGAAGAAGAAATAAGTTGCAAAGTCATGAAACCGTTCGATATAATAGCGTCTACCCCATTAGTGTTGAAAATGGCGGTGAGTCTCTCAAGGCAACTGTCGGGTTTGAACAGCCTTCAAACGGTGATAGGACCTCTGGTGGAGAAAATAATCAACGATAAAGATTTAAACATAGAAACTGGACCGGTTGAAATATATAAGGCTTGGAGGAATGAAACTGAAATGAAAACTGGACAAATATCGTTAGCATTTTTTTTATAAAATATTTAATATTATACCATATCGTTTAAATATGATTCCCATATTATTTAAATACATATTTACAGGAAATTACCGTATATAGTAAGTCAAGATGAAGCATTGAATTACCCAGAAGTCAAAACAAGACTCGACAAAGCATTAACTCAACTAAAAACTGTCGTGACAATGTTTTTGGAGAAAATCACTAATTCTATGGAACTGCTACCATTTTGCATAACATATATGGCACGGGTTTTACATCGGTCATTGACAACTAAATTCCCTCACACACCAGAAAAGGATATTTTGAAAGTAAATATCTCTATAATTTCATCTTTTCTACAATGAATTACCTTTTAATATATTTCTTTTACATTTCAGGTGATTGGAAATTTGGTTTATTATCAATTTCTGAATGCTGCTATTGTAGCACCGGATGCTTTCCATATTATAAACCTACCCATTGGCGGATCTTTGACAACTGATCAACGAAAAAATCTTGCATCTGTTGCTAAAATTCTTCATTTCTCCGCCGCTAAAAAAGGAGTAAGATCACCATAATAAATCCTACTAATATTATAATTGCGAAAGTTTGTGAGTGTGTGTGTATGTTTGTCTTCTTCACGCTCAAACGGCTGAACCGATTTTGATAAAATTTTGCATACAGGAAACTGACGTCCAGGAATAACACATAGGCTACTTTACATCCCGGAAATCTCGGAAATCCCAGAATTCCGCGGGTAACACCGCGTGGCGCAGATAGTATATTATATGAACTGAGATTAACCGAAAATTATACAGGGTGACTGGTGAATTACTATCGATATTTGAGGACGTGATATTTGACGATCATATATGACAAAATAAAAATTAATATAACATAAATATTAATAAACTTCTAAGTAAAGTTAACCAAAAGTTATGTAATCAATTACGCATCGTATGAACACCCTACAGATTAGGTATACACACACACTCACACAGACGCGGCGGCGGCGTAGTGTTGTATCAGCACGCCGCCGTACGCGACCACACTTGGAACACTTGGAACGTGTACACACTTTATTTATTTATACGGAAATTTTGTCAAAAATTAAGTACCTATTTTTTTTACATAATTCGAATGAGAATCATGTACCGAGTATGCTCCTTAAATATTGATAGTAATTCACCAGTCGCCCTGTATATTATAGAATATCTTAGCTTCAAATAAGTTTATTATAATTTTTATATGCAAATATTTCTTGATTGTATCGTCTACTTGAAACAAACTCACAAGAGTTTGATATAGAACCTTATATACCCTAGGAGATCTACTTTCATTCAAATATATAGAACCTTATTTTGAAGTCTATTAAAAATGTATACGATGCAAATTCCAGTTTGGTGAGGAATCCAGTCACCTAAGATGCCTGAACCCTTTCATAGTGGAGTGTCACGAGCGGATGAAGGAACTATTCCGTCGCTGTTGTCGAGGACCCACGCTTGAAGAGTACTTCGCAGTAGACGAATACACCGAGGCCACGCTACTACATCACCCGCATATATATATTACTGTTCAGGTTTGGCCTACACAAAAAAATAATGTTGCGTAATAAAATAAAATGTAACAATTATTTATTTATATATAGATTAGTGTTAATCGATAAAAATGTGTAAAAATGTCCTCTTAATTCTTATTTTAAATGTGAAGTGGGAAAGGGGGAAAAGGAAGGGCAAACGGCTCTCTCACTCATCGGACGAAATACAGCCATTAAAGGCTACTTCACGTCGATCTTCTGTGAGAGGATGGTACTTCCCCGATCGAGCCAGCCCATGTTCAAGCTGCAGTAACTTGATCACAACTAGGCTCTACCACCCACTATTCTGTCACGACACTAAGAACATTTTTTATATATTGAGAAACTTAAGTGCTAGTTGTTGTTCTAGGAAATAGTAGACACGCACGCGTTGTTGGTGGAGTACCAGGATGTGATAGCCGAGCCTCAAGACCGACTGAACGAACTGTTAGACGAGCTGGGGGATGTGCCCTCGGTCACACAGCTGGCGGCCAGGGACGTGCCCGCTGTTAGTATTATACAGGGTGACTGGTGAATTACTATCAATATTTAAGGAGCATACTCGGTACATGATTCTCATTCGAATTATGTAAAAAAAATAGGTACTTAATTTTTGACAAAATTTCCGTATAAATAAATAAAGTGTTGACACGTTCCAAGTGTTCCAAGTGTGGACGCGTACGGCGGCGTGCTGATACAACACAACGCCGCCACACTCGTATGTGTGTGTGTGTACGTATACCTAATCTGTAGGGTGTTCACACGATGCGTAATTAATTACATAACTTTTGGTTAACTTTACTAAGAAGTTTATTAATATTTATGTTATATTAATTTTTATTTTGTCATATATGATCGTCAAATATCACGTCCTCAAATATCGATATAAATTCACCAGTCACACTGTATATACATATATTAGATACTAAACTTATCCCAAAATCTCATTACCACATTAATCTCCGCACATGACTCTATGAATGTTTGTATATGAAAGTAAAACTGAAAACGCTTCGTCTTCAGTTTGAACATGAGAACTCATAGTCAGGGTACTGGTTAGCAAAAATCTTACTTTAGTAAGACGACTTCATCAGGCTATTATGGTGTATTAGGTGAAAACACTTCCTCGATGGCTTATTGAGATTTGTTACCATTGCAACAGTTATAACTTGTTATAGATAATTAAATAGTTGAAATTCAATTGAGAAAAGAATTTTAAATGAAGAAGTATTATCATATATTTTAAAATGTCATATTCATTAATCTATAGATAAAATAAATAAACATTTGGACGTCTTGTCCAATACTTTCGGTAAGAATTCAGATGAAAAGATATTATTGTCATGTGCTTGTACCAGGTGACATATATTTACATTATACAGGGTGACTGGTGAATTACTATCGATATTTGAGGACGTGATATTTGACGATCATATATGACAAAATAAAAATTAATATAACATAAATATTAATAAACTTCTAAGTAAAGTTAACCAAAAGTTATGTAATTAATTACGCATCGTGTGAACACCCTACAGATTAGGTATACATACACACACACACACGCGCGTCGGCGGCGTGGTGTTGTATCAGCACGCCGCCGCACGCGTCCACACTTGGAACACTTGGAACGTGTCAACACTTTATTTATTTATACGGAAATTTTGACAAAAATTAAGTGCCTATTTTTTTTACATAATTCGAATGAGAATCATGTACCGAGTATGCTCCTTAAATATTGATAGTAATTCACCAGTCACCCTGTATATACCTACACCTATGTCTTTTCTTTCCAACACGAAGTAGTTTAATTTTATAATAAAAATATATTAAAACTAATATTTTCGGATATACTATTCGTTTTTTATTATATTAAACTTCATAGTCCCGAAGATTCGGTTACTTTGCATCAACCATGATCATATGCGGACGAGACGAAATATTTATAGTTTAATTTTGTTTTATTGTTCCGTCTTTCAGCAAGTTGGAGATACGGAAGAAAACGCTAGATTGGAAGTCTGTCTGGCGCTCGTCAATAAATTCCAAGCTCCGGCCGATGATATGACGGATTTGAACAAACTTTTCATCAAGACAAAGGAACTATGCGTCGCTGTTATACCTTTCCTTAATGGTCAGTATAATATAACTATCGATAACTTTACTGTGGATGTTACATAATATACAATAATATACAATCGTAATTATTCCCAGGCGAACATTTACTAGAGGCGCTCTGCATCGGCACTACAAAAGAACAACAAGAACAGTACAGCGAGAAGGTTAAACGAAGGATTTATTCTGGCCAAGTAAGGCCTGATGATGCATTGACACTACGTGAACATATCGCTAAACTGAGACGGAATTTAGAAATGTTAGAAGACGAAGGCTACGTCGAACGCGAGGACGGTTATCAAGCACTAATAACATCTATAGCTCTAGACCTATGCAATAAAGGGAAGTACAGACAAGCTCAAAGACGAGCGCTCTCAACATTGACGCGTACTAAACAAAGTTTACTAGAGAAAACCAAATATTACGAGGAGAAATGCAAATCATATGACCAGTATATTAAATCCTGCTTGGATAATCTTCATACAGGAAAAAAGTAATACTTTTAATATATTACCTATTTGAAATTTAATGCATAATTTGAATAATATTGAAATATGTGTTTAATTTCTTTTACAGAAGCGTACACGCTTGTTTAAGAAGACCAGGAAAGGACGTTCAAAAGTTGAAATCAAAGCTGACGATCAAATATTCTGCAACGAAATTATTAGAGAAGGGTGTCCTATTGGAAATAGATGGACTATCAATGTCTCAATACAAAAATGTTCAATTTGAAATCACACCGACAGATCATAATGGAGTTTTTACAATAACTGGAAAGTTTATGGGTGTGGAAATGGAAACTATAGATGTTGACATTCAGGATTTATTACAGAAACAATATGAAGGGTGTACTATCATGGATATGTTTGGTAAAGCTAAAATTAATGTTAATTTACTCATGTTCTTGTTGAATAGTAAGTTTTATGGTAAGTCTTAGATATTACTGAGTTCATTTAATTTTGCTTACTCTACCCAAACTAACGAGTAACAGGACTTGTATTTGTATTATAGTAAAGTACTTAGTTTAATAAATTATGATATAGTTATTGTTTAATGGTAGTTAAATAAGTCCATACGGATTTTTATCCTGACTGGAATGTGATGAATGTACAAAAAAATGTGATTTTTGGCTTGTGTATGTAATTGAATAGCAAATGAAATCCAAAATACAAATAAAATACCATTCAATATTGTCGTATTGAACAATTTTGTTGATAATTTTAAAATTGAAAAACAAAAATGTATTAAATTGAGAATGTAGTTCTTTAATGAGATTATGAAACGTTATTGCTTCATTGTGATGACCCAACCAAAAGTAACCGACCTAATCCTTGTGAATATAATTATAGTAATTTTATTATTAGTTATTTACTCTTTTTACAAAAAGTTATGTATTATGACATAATTACTATTATTATAATTTTAATTTTTTTCGTAATACTGAATACATTATGTAATAATTTTTTTATTATGTTTTTAGTAATAACATTAATGCTAAGGACACACTACAGAGCCAATGATATCTTATAGGAAACATGATACATTGTTGAATAATAAGAATATATATTTAGGACATTATTGTACTTGGATTATAGTGGTGAATACCATTAATCAAATTTACAGTTAAAAACATAAGTTACTAATTAACTCATAAGTTACTTAGGATAGCTTGCATCGCCTAATTTAATACCATATGTTGTCTATTTATTAGTATACATCTGTAGTGTACAAGCGATGTATTTATGAATAGAGTTTTTAAAACTATCATCGGTTAGTTTGTAAGACGCGAAACTTCAACGACTCAAGATAGTGTGCCCATAGCATTAACAAAATAACTAAAGATTAATATGAATTATTCTTTCGTATAATAAATGAGGCTCTCTTTAGCTACTAGTTATTTTTTATATTATTTAATAAAATATCTCCAAGCAAATAATAGTTTTTTAATATTAATAATTCTGTCGATAAATATATTAGATATCATGAAACAAGAGAAATTCCTCAATAATTCTTAAGGAACTTGTTTAAAGAGATGCAGACATTCCTCTTCTTCCCTCAATATGAATGAAACTTCCAATGTTCCCCTATAATATCCAATACTCTTTAAAAATCTATTAGTTAAATTGTGAGCAAAATATTTTTGTTAATTTTGTTAAAGAATATTTATGTACTCATTAATATATACCTTATTAATTTAACACGGGCGTGAAAAAATATGCACAGTTTTTACGTAATGTCGTTCGTGTAAATATCATTAGCAGTATACCAAAGGTCATTCTAAAGAATTTGATGAAGATCCCTCACCTGCTGAACACGGCACTTCGTCACTTGTACGAGTCAATATCATACCTTAAAAGATTTCGACTATTCATCTTCAACTATTTTTCATTTTATTCTCAACGATCCTGATCCTACACACTTAGAAGTAAATATTTTTATTTAGTTTACTTTCAAGAAATAATATTACATAACATATGCAAAGTATATTTACAAATATGAATTATTTTATTTAACATTTAAGCTCAAAATAAAGTATCGCTTTTCCAAGACCTTCCATTAATTTTAATTAAAGGTATAACCGTCTTTTGAATTGCATAATTGAAATAATAAGTGAGCAAATATGTGCACATATGTATGTATAATTAAATTTCATGTGTTATTTATTATGATGCTAAGTTAAAAAGATTATTTTATTGATATTACTGTGTATTTATATTTTAAATTAATGTTTTTACGCCAGACACATAGTAAGTCAACTGAAAATCAAATTCTTTTCAAATACAAATCTATTGTTATTGCTTCATTTTCAATTCATTCGTTTCACTCTTTTCTTTTGAAATCGTGATAGTGTTTTATCTATACTAATATTATAAAGCTGAAGAGTTTGTTTGTTTGTTTGAAAGAGCTAATCTCCGAAACTACTGGTTCCAATTGAATAATTCTTTTTGTGTTGGATAGTCCAGTTATCGAGGAAGGCTGTGGGCTATATAATATCACGCTTTGACCAATAGGAGCAAAGATGTAGTGGTAAATGTGTAAAAAACGGGAGAAAATATTTCATCTTTGAAGCCTTCCGTTGCGTGCGCCGTGAAAACGGTTCAAGATACACAAAAAATATGTATAAAAGAATAATAGCTCTTTTAATGATCTAAAAAACAGTCCGCGACAGTATATGTCTATCTTTAAAGATTAACTCATAAAAACTGTTTTTATGGTACCCAATTTGGTCGAAATAATTTGTTTAAGTTGTATCAACATAAGAACATTAATATGTATTCAAATAAACAAATAAATATGTTGTTGGTTAAGAGTACTTCATTATGAATAAAAAAAACGTAGGTTTTATCCTGAAAATTCTACGGGAACTCGATCATTCCGAAAACCCCGCAAGAACGGGAACTGTGTGGGAAGAACCAAAAATCTGCCGCAAGTCACTATTTCACGCGGACGAAGTCGCAGCAAAAGCTAGTCTAAAATATTTATATTGTTGTGTTCTGATATGAAACGAATACAGATATGAACGGATGATGTAGAACTTCGAGTAGGTTTACCGGATCCTATTAACATGATCACGAAAGAAGCATGCATTTAGAAAGTTACTTTCTTTGTTATCTGACTTTTAGATTTATTACGTGTAGTGTTCATTATATGGCACTTAGTGAAGAAATTGCATCTTTATCGGAACGTAGAATTATGACAAATATAAAATAAAATTTAAAAAACTTGTTCCCCGTTTATATTATAGAAATATTAATACTTTTGAATTGTGATTACTACGTATTTTAATATGATTGATATTTCTCGTTTGTTTCAAAATAAAAATCACTAACATTTCTATAGTTTTCAGTATTACAAATCAGATTAAATAATAACAACAATTTTGTTTATTTTAAGTCAGGTTCAGATTTTAAATAGTTGCAGCACTATCTTTTGTTTTAAAATGTCATACATTATGGCAGCACTGTTTGACATTTGTCAGTGTTCCATTCTCATTATGACTACATACCTTATGTCAATAATACCTTGATAATAGGTAAAGTAGCCGCCGTTTTTGAATGTAATCTGTTAGATTTCAAGATTTTTATTTGATAACATGATGATAAGACTTATCGTGTTTAGTAAATATGAGACGAGTTACAAAAAATTTGCTAATACTCTTAATTGGTTTGGGTTTAATTGGATTTTATTGTGAGTTTCTTATTTACTATATAGTGACCCTCCAGGTAATGACTTCATTCTCCGCAATTGAGAATGAATGTCTCTATTTAAATATCAAATTAGCTTTGAAATATAAAGTTTCATATATTTCACTTTTTTAGTGCGGCTGGCCAAATTTAACAGATCAAAATGACGAAGATGTGTTGAAGGCGTTTATATTAGCAGATCCCCATTTATTAGGTCCTTTTAGAGGACATTGGTTAGATAAATGGCGAAGAGAATGGCAAATGCATCAATCATTTCAGGCTATTGTTAAGGTACACAATCCTGATGTTGTTTTTGTATTGGGTATGTTGAATTTTTTTTATTACATATATTGAATGAATATTGTAACCAAATTTTGTCTATTAACTTTTTGTTTTTAACAGGAGACTTATTTGATGAAGGAGAATGGACAAATAATAAACAATTTAAAAATTATGTAGATAGATTTCACAATTTATTTTCATTACCAGATCATATAAAGATGTATGCTATAGTTGGTAATCATGATATAGGTTTTCATAATCGGTAAGTTATTTATTTTATTAAGCATTTCTGCTACTAGGAGGGAAGTATGCATAATATTTGTTTTAGTATAAGAAGAGGCTCAGCTGAAAGATTTTCAAAACTTTTGAATGCACCGTCAGTTCAACATATTATATTGAAAGATAACCATTTTGTTCTTATAAATTCCATGGCTTTGGAAGGTGATTCATGTAATCTTTGCCGAAAAGCACAGATGGATATAGATAAAATTGCAGGTGAGTTTTAATTTTTATTCATGAAATATACAGTCCGTTTTATGTCAATTATAAATACAAAGAGAATTTCAAGCATTTCTATAACATTTAATTATCAATTATTTAGTATTAAGTCAAGTTGTTACCCTTTTATTTAATGTTTTAATTTGAATATTTTCTGAATTATAGATAGACTGAATTTATGTTTGAAAAAGTCTGAACAATGCATTATGAATAATACTATAGTTAAATATAGTAAACCTATAATAATGCAGGTGAGAATTTTATAAATAACTACTACTTTTTTCTATTCTTCACTTTAGTTATTTAAAGTTTAATATTTGTTTCAGTGTTTACAATTCTCAATATTAATTTTTTTAAATATATATTTAAAAAAGAAATATTTTTTTTAATACAAACATTGTGATGTTACAGCATTTCCCACTATTTAGAAAGTCTGATTCAATTTGCAAAGAGCCAGATGCTCCACCCTTGCCTGAGAAGAACAAATTATTTAGACCTAAAATTGATGCTCTCTCAAAAGAGGCGACCGAGTATTTAGTAAGACAAATTAAGCCTAGAGCAGTATTTGGTGGACACACTCACCATGGATGTCTTGTTCAGCATATATACAAACAGTATGATGATATCAAATTTCTAGAATATTCCGTACCTTCATTTTCATGGAGAAATAGACCTGACCCAAAATATTTACTGGTAGGAATATGTATTATAAAATCTTTAAAATAATTAAGGAATTTTCAATAATATGTTTATTATGTTCCTTTGCATTTTCCTTGTTTCAGGTTTCTATAACTCCAAATTCATATGAGACAGTTAAGTGTGCTTTGCCCACAGAAACTACATTAGCCCTGACTGCTGTTATATTAATAGTTTTATTAATAATTTACATCTCAAGAATGAGAATTATAGGTAGGAAGGTTTAATAATAATAAAATATATTTTTTTACTAACCACAAGGATTATATTTGATAATAAATATTTTTTGACAAGATCAAGCTTTTACTGTATGTACTGTACAATTTAAAATGGAACAACAGCAAAAAAAAAAATTAAAAGTAACAAAACAGTTGAAGTTTTAAAACAATACCATCTATTTGTACAAAGTTAACCACATACAGTTATACTTCACATTCACACTATCAATAACATACCGAGTGAAATATTGTCATGAACCAGAATCACTCTATCACAAGTAATACTAACATAATTTTAGGATTAAGCTGTTACAATAAATACTTAAGTTACAACTAGTAAAGTAAAAATTAAGAGGTAGATAAAACATTCAGAGATTCATACATTATTATATTGAATACTGACACCGGTAATGCAATACAGAAACTGAATAAGTTTTTATGAGAATTCAAATTTGGAACATACAGACAATTTATTTTGCATCAGTTTAAGCACCTAAAACTTAATCTAAAATCAGTCTGCAACTCTAAAATGAGTTTTTTTAATCTACATTACCCTAATGAGCATTGAAGTAATACACAATTCATTCCTTACACTTGATTAAAATCAATTTACGACATGTTTCATTCAAGTGCTAAGGCACTATAATTATTCAAATTAAGAGCTCATGAAATAAATATTCCATATTTAAATAATTACATAGTCAGATTCATTCTGCCCCAACAAAATTAAATACTATAATTACATACCAAACTTGTTTTATAGCCTAGGTTATAACAAAATGGATTATTAAATAAATATTGTGGAATGAGAAATAGGAGCTTTACTACTGCTTGTAATATAAATTCTTCCACCAACTTATGTTATTTAATTTTTTCAATACAGCCTTGGTAACGAATTTCAATATGTTATTTTAAGGACATAGTTGTTTGACTATGCCCATATTTAATTTCTATAAGAATATTATCTGCAATACTCTGGGTTGGGTGGAGTGTGGTTGATGGTGGTCATGGGACCTCGATCTTGAGTTAGGGTTATGGGATTTATGTTTGGAAGATTGCGTTTGTTTCTGATGGTAACCTGTGTGAGCGTGACGAGCTGAAGAACATATCACAGCGTGTAAGTATCTATCGTATCTACATAAGTTTGAGTCCCCTCCACAAGCTAAGTCCAGATATCCGTGGCTCGGAGACTCCTGTTTGGATCTCTTCATCACATTAACGGGTTTGTCAGTCATTGTGTACGATCTGTTCCGAAGCTTCTGGTATTTATTTGAGATATCTTCTTCGTTAACTGTGGTTTCGCTGGGCTTTCTGAAAACAATAAGAACAATTGTTAGAACAATTTATGTGTTTCGATATTTTTGTGGAATCTCAATGTAAACTATTTTTCATGACAATGTTTAATGTAGCTACATAACTAACCTAGACGTTTGAAAGCTCAGATGATTTTTTTCCATGTTAGCTTGTATGATTTCCAGTAATTCCCGGCGTTGCAGGCTGCCTGATCTTTTCTTAACATATTTCCTCTCCCGGAGTTCCCTTTTCGGATGTCTGTGTGATTTTTGTCGTAGTACGGGCGGCGGTCTTTGCGGTGGTCTCCTGTCATCGGAGCAGGAGGATTTCGATGACACGTCTTCTTCGTTCGACAGCCTGTCATGATGTTCCTCCTCACTGTTCTCTGGTATATTAGCCGCTGTCTCTTTTTTCCTTCTATCATTCCTCCCATCCCTCGCCTCCCTCCTCTCCCGCCGCTTCCTCCGCCCGTCCTCCGGAACGACCGTCAGTCTCACTTGTATAGTTTTTGATCCATAGTGCGGAACCGTCACCGATTTGCCTATCGAGTCGTATATCGTCGACACTATACCGGCTATATCCTGTTGAATTACGAATTGAATAAGTGATCCGGCTATGACCCTAATTATTAACATTGCAACATACATATTGTTATACTTACGTCTTTAGTCATTCGTCCGTGACCGTCGAGATCGTAAAGAGTGAATGAAAACTGCAACGGCTGCTGTTTAGAGGACTCCGAATGTTGTAATTCAACATCGCACGTTAATTCCTGTAATTATAGTTATGATAAAATTAATAAAATTTATAATAAAATATATACTAGCTCCTATATAGTTAACAACATGTATGTACATAACATTTCAATTACATCGGCTACGTCTAGAGGTCTTAATAAGTCTATCCGACTAACGGAGATATTCAGCGACGCCGCAGTACGTCTCCAATGATGAGAACGGGCGTTCTTATCTCGAGCTTTAAAAGGAAACTAGTCGCGCCTTTACGATCAGCGAGACATTAAAAGACAAAGCGTGCCGCCCGCCCGGACACAGATACGACACAAATAGGATGAATCACATTATTATTCAATAAATTTCTAAACTACGATAGTGAGATAGCGGCTCATGAATGATAAACATTATATACCATCATTAACAAACTAGAGATTTATAATACACAAAACTAAATAACTTCTTAACATAAAAAAATGCTTGAATTTTACGTGAATAAAAAATAAATAATATTAAAACTCACTTCAAACCTCAGTCTCGGTTTATCATCTATAGTTTCATTAGGTTTATCTGGAGACGGTATTCTCTTGGTGAAGGGTTCATATCTTCTAGCGGGGACGGGAGGCGGCGGGGTGCTCGACTGTAGCAATGTTCTGGCCTCGCTCGGAAGAAGATCCGGCGGCGCGGAACATTGAGAGGCAGCGCGGCCGACCAACTCCTCCGTATCAGTACGTTCACCTTCAGTACCGACTGTCAACAAATAAATGACAATTTAAATAAGTTACTATATTTCGGAATATACTACGTGACTTTATTTTTGATAAAAACTACATGCTCCCGACGTTTCGCTTACTTTTCAGCAACCGTGATCACGGGCAGACGAGATGTGAGTCAAATGACAATTTCAAGGGACACGTTTCAAACTACCATGTCTCTTCTTTTTATTCCTTTATCGTGCTTGTTTTGTTTATTATAAATGTAAATGCTTCATATCAGATATTGAATATTAAACGCAATTACGTGTTGGAGACGTTTGAAGTTATCGCGTAGTAAAATTTATAGAAACAAAAAAATCCAATTAAACGCTATCAATATCTTCTGAAGATCGCAAAGTTATTCTATTATTTTGCTTTAAAAAACATATTCATGGTATATTATGAATGCCATGACAAAAAACAACAGGTACACTAAATATAATAGCAAGGAATACTCTCGGCTAAATTCAAAAGATTTATTAAGCGGGTATAGCAAAGGGCCGGCTTACAGGGCGGGCGTCGAGTCATTTCTTGGAAGGCTCGAGATCGGCATGGGCCCTTTAAAAGCTGTGAGCTCGCCGTCCCACATCTGCCGCTAATTTTATTTTTCTTTCGAAAAAAGGTTCTAAGAATGTATCTGATAGATTTCTAACAGAAGCTTACGATTTCTGGGATTTTTTTAATCCATAAAACCAAAATTTACATTATTCGTGAATAGAGTGATAAACAAGATTCCAATGAAATATTATTTCGCATAATTTTTTTTTTTGGCTAATTGGATATCATTAGTTAAACTTTTAATTAAAACACAATTTTAAATTCTCAAAGAGGCTTTGATCATTAGGAATTCTTTTTAGATTTCCAATAATTTTTGCGGAATTCTTGTTACATTACAGGTTTTATTTATTAATGACTTTCATAATAAATATACATATTTTAACGTTTTAGAAAGTAGTAAACAGAATTGTTTGGTTTTTTATTAACCAAATTTTTATCCTTTACAAACGTGGTTTGTTGTTATAAGAGAATAACAATTAAAGTTAATAACGTCTTTTTTTAAGTATCTGACAGTGACAGTACATATACAGAGCCTAACTCAGTACAATAATATCAACAAATAATTATTTAAGCTCTATTAAGTATGACAATAATACAGAGAGTTGGAAACTTGAAATAAAATACATTTAAAACCGATTGTTACTTTTAGAAAGTGGGAAAACTATAAATCATCAATATAATAACCACAGATAAATAATTGGAAAGTAAGATATTTACTAAGATACAAGCTCTAATATGAACCTTTTGCTTACATATGAGGAAATAGTTTTCAGTATTTTAATTTAGAACACAAAGTATCATTTAAGTACCCGCGAGAAATCATTTCAATAAGTACACGTAATAAGAATAATAAAGCCTTATATTCGAACCTTAGCAACAATTATGTCATTTAAAACAGATCAACTGGGTTGAGCGACGACGAATGGGAGTACGGATATTGAAATTATACGCTTTGTATAGACATGCATTTTATGACGTTCAAATAATACAAATGCATATAAAACCTATTTCATACATAATTATAAACATCAAAGCTCTATATTTGTGAGCATTGTTATAATAAAATATGAGCCGCCGTACTAGAGGACGAGACAGTAAATTATGCAACATATACGAAAAGTTCTTTAGGACCCGCCGCTGCTTACTATAAATTGTAGCGCTATACGTACTATTCACTCCAAAGAAGAGCTTAAAGCCTGGGGCGGAGAATTCTTTGATGTCAAATAAAAGGTATTATTGTCTCCGCTTCGGCGAGTGCTTTCAACTTTTCCCTTTGATGTTAATCAAATGAGCGACGCGGCTCTGTTTGCGTTTTAAATTATTTTAACTAAATATACTTTCATCGATAGTACTAAAGATAAAGACATTAAACGAAAATGAACGTATCGTCTTCTAATTGAAGTGTTCATCGCGTTTCGTAACTAAATAGAAAGAGATCAAAGGATTGCTGTTTGCTTTGAAGTAGTATCAAATGGGTAGTTGTCTCAAGAACGGAAGTCTTTTTCTGATCTATATTTATACTATAATATGGGTTAACTAGTTTGTTACATGGTGATTAATAACATACTTCTTTAAAAATTATTTTAACACCCAAATTACATATTTTTTACCACACCTAATTTACACCAAATATTCTCGCTGCTATTCTACATTTAATGAATATTTATTCATTTTGTATAATTGATAGTGTATAAAGGTTATAGGGAATAGTTTCATTTTAGTAACTAAAATATGTTTAACTTTTAGCCAAAGTAGTTACTGTCACCACAAATAAAACATACAGTGGAAAAACCAAAATGTAAAGATAAAGAAATTACCATAATGAAATACAAATGTTTTCGTTGCCAATCAAAACTCGTTGGTCGAATCAACCCAATTTCATATATTATAAACAATAAACATATAAAACATTGACTGTAAATAGCATAGTCTCTTGGTTCTTAGTACTACAAGTAATTATATTCCATCACCGAGATCATTAGTGTGTATTCTTCGTCGGGCCACTTTAGAATATGATTTTATGCGCAGACATGATTTTATAGTAAATGAAGGTCAAACGTTTAATATACGTTAATATATAATAAATTACGAGAGAAATAAATATTTAAACATTGTCAAACGTGTAGGTAGATTAAATATCTTTAATAGAAACCAGAAACCTAATACATTACCACCTACCTTTTCTCCTATGACAATATAAACTTAAGAATAATCTACATTACTATATATTTCAGAGCATAGCAACATAAACAAGTGACTGTCGTTCAAAACGTGAACAGAGTATATTTATCCAGTCCACGAACCAGTATGAATGAATATTATTTCATTCAATGTTATAATATAGGCATCACATTTAGTTAGCTACTTGCGTTAACGTTTTGTAGTAATAGTAGACTGTAAATAATCCATGAATCAGCAGTGTTATGATTTACATTATAATCTTTAAAGACGATTTGTGTGTGAAACTTGTTTACGTTTTTGTTATGCAAATCCTCAGAGTTTTGGAACGCTGTGAATTGTTAAAATTCCGCTATTTTATGGTTTACTTACTGCTGAATTTCTTATATCCATTTCTAAACTTGTTGCGCCACCACTTGACGAAGTGGTGCGCCATGGGGGCGTCCGCGGCGGGTGCCGAAGCTCTCAGCGTTTCGTAGCACGTCATGCGCTGCGCTCACGCACGCATCACGTACACTTCAAAAGCGCCGCTTGTTTTTATTATAGACAAAGAATGTCAAAACACTACCACTATATACATTCACCACACTCAATAAATCAGATTTGTTAGGTAATTTGCGTTCGGACCCGGTGACCCAGTTGTCCGCGTGAATATCGGCCGTAACGGATGAGCGTACAACCGTCCCCCACGACTATCATCAAGTGACTGACTGATGGATGGAGGAAGGGAAGGGGCGAGCGCGGGTAACGAGGAGAACGCGACGCCGCGCCGTACCACTATAGGGCTGACACGATGCTTTAATTTTTATTGTTCTATTGTAATAATTTATGAAATATTTGAATTATATTAGGTTTTATCGAGATATGGAAATAGTTTTACTTAAAAAAAAATACAGTATACTTATATTAAGGAATTTATAATATATTCATTAAATGAAAAGAAAGTCACATATCAACTATTCTTTTAACATTGCAATTTTCATCAATATATGAGTTATATAAATATAAAAAAAGGAATACAAATATAAGGGAGTCATATAGAATTGTAATACGAAACAATTAAGTATTATTAAGGGAGCTATAAAAAAAATATTGATATCTAAGAAAAACTAAAAAATATATATATGTATTGTCGATTGTTTTGACACCCCTACTGGCTACTATGTGAAAAAAGACAATATTTCGTACCTATTTTATTTACGTAAACTATTTAAGATACAATTATAAAGAACGTGTATTCACTTGTTTTAATTTCATAGACCACCAAGATCAGCAATAAAAACAATGCAGATTACTCTCTAAGAAGACATTTAGTCATCTTTATAAAAATACCACCTTATACCTACTTCTTTTGTGCTTAACCATTTTTGACGGTCACATAAATATAATAAAAGAATACTTATCTATTTATTCCTAAAAGTTAATATATTATTATAAACATGGGATTTTTTTTTAGAAAGTATTATTGAGAATTAAATTAGTTTCTAGCTATTCTATAGCTATTAAGGTACAATGTTATTGTAATCTATTGTTATAAATAATATAATATATATATTTGTAAAAGCATTTACAGTACCACTCTTATTTCACTTCAAGAACAAGTTTTCATTTATGTAACTTAATTAATTACCAGGTAAGTAACTATCAAGCGATCCTTTCCATGTGCAAAGTTTTCTACAGAGCTGATCCGTTTTAGGGATTTATACGATAAAAAGCAGTAATAAACGTAATATCATTTATATTACATCGGTAGTTTTTGTTTGACTTGGTTATAAAACACACAGAGACAGATTCCCGCACACACACATAGAAACTTTCGCATTTATAACACTTGTATGTAATGTGATGGTGAATGACTATTCATATACGTACATTTTATAGTTGCCTACAGACTACGGATGCATTTTCTATCCCCTCGTGTATTGACTTCTTGATAAATCGAGCATAAATACAATCCCTCATTCTTGAAGGGTTGTGTTCAACCACATTCACGGTACAAACGTCAGCCATTCATTTTCTACAACATATTTTCTCTAACATAACAGTCGTAAGTCTATACTTTTATGTAAAAGGGGAACGGTAAAGGGAAAGTATGAGATATGTGTTGTGATTTTTATATGAATAATTCTAGGCCAAAGAAAGCAGTAAATGTTTACTGTTTAGGGCAAACATAGGAAGACAGAGGCGCACGCGCATACTATGGATCCGCTACGTTGGCAGTCTCCGAGCGGTCGACGACCCACGGCCGGCGATTATAAAAAAGATTATAGTAGGTACCTACTTACTTAGATGAACCTTAAACGCCCTTCATTATAACTCACTCGAAACGACGGAGAAGAAATGGATTTTAACTTCCTGTTTACAAATAATGCCATTGATACGGCTCTAATACACATGACAAGCGTATTTCCCAAGAAATAAACTATAATCAGATTATTCACATAATACCGAACTCACTGAAAGATTAGTAACTCTTCAGAAACGTTTTAGTAGATGGAAATTATTAATACGTAAAAAAATCATTGTATGTTAAAAACAAGCCACAGCGTGTTCAGGTAGCTAGGGAACTTATTTGCGCTCTTGTAGGAAAACACATTTACTGAATAAACTTAACAAAAACTAAGACTGACTAATCATACCAGTAAACATTCCCGTGCAATACAACAAGTGTATAAGAATGCAATTAGTGTATTGTTTTACATCCTATGTGTAAGATAAAAATACGGTAACTCTATGAACTACCTAAATACGGAATAAAAACAGAAAATATTTAGGAAATTTCATTATACTTTTATAGTTGAATTTTTAATATAGACTAAACAGCTATTGCATACATATTTCTTACTAAAATAAATCTCGTTTGTTGTTTAAAGCAAATTGTATTAACATATAAAGATGAAGAGATTTCTAAACATAGTTTTAATGTTATCAAAGAGTTAAACAAATTTACAGTAGTAGATACATATTGTAATTGTGATGGGTTGCCTTTAAAAGCTTAAATGCCGGCGCCGGCTTCGCTACGCTTGGCTTGGAATTAGAATTTTACGATCTCTTCGTGTTAGGTTTATTGTCGACGATTTATCTGCGACCGAGATGGTCGTATTCCAAAAATGACTTACGTACCAACAGCGTTTTATATCCCTAGTAAAATATATATATAAAACTATCAATTGTCTGTCTATATCATGAATTATAGAATATAATTGTCTTTTTTCTGTTACTAAACTAAATTATTGTTTAAACAGTAATACTAAAAATATAACATTATATTTGATGAAGGAAATAAAAAGGATAAATAATAAATTTAAAAAGAACTTATAAGCAATTTCTTTTTGGCTAACAATACGTTGTTACTTTTAATACATACGTACATATATGGAATTAAGAGAGTAATCAGGTATAACTTTTGTTATAGATTTTTTTATAATTATATTTCAATTAATATCCATATAAATAGCATTTATGTCAAATAGTTCGTGAGTTAAACGTTTATCTATTGACAGTTAACTCAATAATTTATTTCGGTTAAACAGTTTTATAAATCGAGCAAACATATTCGAATAATATATGAAGAAAATGAATTTGGAATATTGCAAATATAAAATACTAACAACATAATACATTATTCCCGACAATCCAGCTCACTATAACACATGAGCAACAACATCGCTTAAACCTTGACGTGTGATAAATAGACTTACCAATTTGTATCGTAAATATAACACAGCAATCAAAATACAAGTGATACTTGTGAAACACAACTTGGGTGGCATTTTTGTTCTTACGTACAACGTATTCCCGTCAAACGTATTATGTAGTCAATCGATAAACACCGTGTAGTCGGTTTTCTATAAAACGCAACACCGTCAGCTATTGTAATTGGAGCTGCCATTCGCGTTGCGCCGTTGTGTGGATTGCGGACCTTCCTCGAAGGACTCGGTTTGTTCATTTTATATGGTCCTTAACATCTAAAGGTATATGTAATAAATATTTACAATACATTTCATTACACATTACATAAACTCAACGGCGAATTAATATGTTGAAATGCGAATTAATTACCAGAATTAAGTATATATATTAGCATTGAAACAACAAATTGCTCCATAAAGGTCAGAAATGGCATATTATTTGAAGCCTTTTATAGAGTTACGGAGAAAATTTAATTATAAAAAAAACCGTATGGTTTGAAGATAACTGTTTTTAATTGTAAATTAAAGAATTCGATGTAAATATGTGGGCGAGTGGGCACTCGGTAATCCCACGCAATGCGATCACGAAGTGGAGCGGCTGGCGACGCGCCAATACACAGCAGAAATAAAACGCAACTATCAACATTCCACATCATTTTATATACGATTATCTTTCTGTTTTGAATTGTTACATTAAATTATGCCACGTCCGCTTGATCATTGTAACTCTATAAATTTTCAACTAAAACCATTTACTGTGAATGTTTATCTTCTATCAGAAATTATCTTAAATAATCTAATATTTCGACTTTAATAATATATTTCGTAATAATTGTGTTTACGATTTTTTTTTTTATTTACATACATTATTTAAATACATTGCTAATGTCAGATTATATAAACAGGATTTTTTTTTTCTCGTAGTACATATAGAGAATGATTTTGTTTTTTTTCACCAACACATGTTATAAGCATCATCATTATAATATACTTAGAGTCATAAAATAAATGTATATCAACTGTTATTACACAACGGCCGGAAACATATAATAAGAATATGGACATTGACAAAATATAGTTACATCTTTCAAATATTTAGAAATAAAGCAGTATTACCTTCATATGTCAGCATTATTAATATATACATATATTTAAAAAAAGAAGGCAATGAATAAAACAGTTTAAAAAAGCTTATGTTAAAGTAAAAGGAAGTTGCGTTTACGTTCCGACGTAAGCTGGGCTAGTAATTATCATTTAATCTATGGTATGGGCTACGGACTGCATCGTCGGCACTTCAAAGAGGTAATAACATACGATTACCGTACCTCTGCCCCTCTCACCTGGCGGCGCGAACGCTTCTTTTTACATCAAAACCAGTTCCCTCCCATGTCGGCCGCTCTCAAAAAGTGATTCCGTTGTAATAGCCTCGAGGTGTGATTATTACTATTATATAACGAAATACACATTTAATTATTGCTCTCTGATGAGTTATATGATTTTTTTCAAATTCAAACTCTCAAATTTTCGCTATCAAGTCAAAGGATATGATAGGGAATATATGTTGCAGATATCATGTAACAATAACAGAATCTATTTTACACACTTCAGTGACTACAAATGGGGTGTTCAACGATAAAAGTGCTACTATTTCCCATAGGGATGCATTGTCGGTACGTCAAAGGGATTTAAATGATATCAATAGCAGGGCTACCGCTGCGTTTGTCGGCAATATGGTTACAGTGACATCTATGTCCAGTAAAGAGCGATACACGTCAAACGAGCCGCCATTCGCCTCGCCAACCCTAACTAGACACTAGTGTGAGACTATAAGTGTGTAATATCGATGTCTAATCACATGTACCATTCTTGATACTGGCCGTATAACGACGAAAAAAAATTATAAAAAAAATATGTGACGTCACAATGTTTTTATACATTTAACTATCAGTAATATCTTCAGTAACAGATAAAGATTGAATTAAAAACATACGAAATCCATTTGTTATCTCATTTAACTGTAAATAAAGTATAAAAATAAACAATTACAAGTGACGTACATAACGAAATAACTGAAACTATAAATATTCATAACACTTTCATAATGGTGTTCGTGTCCAAAGTATAAAAATTTATGACGTATATATAAGAGATAGTTGCTTGCACAAAAGCTATGGGGTAAAGGGTTTTGTTTTTATGATCGTTGCCATAAAAGAAAAAAGTTACTATACGTATATAAATAAAGAGCAAAACTGTTAAATTGTATCCAAAAATAGGGACGTCGGCCCTCTGGCTGCGCCGGCGTTGATACTTATCTTAGTGGCTTTGATGTCGCCGCATACACGGGGACCGCCTACGACACATTGTCTCTTAATAAAAAAACTAACAAAATATATCACACAAGTACGATTGTTTACCCGACCATCATTTGATTTAAACTCATCTGAAAGACTGAAACCGATACATCGTTTTCAATATCGATTTTTTGTGTAAAAAGAATTAATTTCATATTTATTTCAATTAATTATTTAATTTGTTTTTATCTAGTCGTGATCAACCAAGTTAGGTAACGCTTGCCATACAAGCAAACATATTAGAGTACATCGCAGATCGATCATTAAATTATATTATCTTATTTATTTTTCTGTATCTTAAACTGCTACTGCTCAAATTGATCAGGTTACTCTTCCTTCATGCTGTATTAAATTTTATTGCCTTTTTTTATATCATTAAAAACTCGAGTCAAATAATAAATTATTAATTAAGAACCATGTTTGTGTATTGTGTGTACAGTGTAATTTGTTAATGACATTTACAATTAAAAATTTAAATGTTAACAGTCATGTTTACTATATCGGGGAGTCAGCTGTTTGTTTTATGTATATTCATTGTGGGACGGAGCGTGGAAGAAAAAAAACGATCAAAATATTACCTATGTAAATTACACTTAATTGTATCTTGTGTTTATTTAATATATGTATGACGGTTTTATTTGTCTTATTTATTCACTTTTATATTGATGAATGATCGTAAGTGGAGTAATGTTTAATATTTAATTGCACTAGTACCTTTAATTTGAACAATTTATATAGTTCTGTAATGAAAATCATTCAATAGGGGAATAATTTCCACATGAACGACGTACCTAATAAAAAATCCATATTTCTCGACTAAATATGTAGTAACGCAGAAGCACTTCAGAATTCAGTTCGACAAAAAGTCCCGTCGAAATCCGCTCGCCAGTTTTAAACAATGCTCATACTAAAGTTTTGTCAACTGTATTTGTTCCTGATGGAAAACAGACCGAAATTTCAGAAAGAATAAGTTTCTATGTTTACTTATTGTGTCGTTTCAGTATTGTCGAATGCATTCACTTAAAATATTCGTGGTCTTTAAAATTTTGATATTTAGTCATATAAACAATATATTATAATCTAATAAAATCTCTATAATATTTTTGAGACACATTGACATTTCACGTACTGAACCGGCAAAAAAAAAAACTAAATTCATTTATAATTTCATATGAACTATAATCATAAAAACATCTGGTAGCATTTTATAAAATGGAACCTCTATTACGTGCACGCTCTAAATATCACATTTTAACCTTCATATTATTCTAGTAAATATTATAAAGTCATAAGCCGTGTCAAGTATAAAAAAACAGCCGTCCGAAATTGACTATTTCGTGGCATGCCCCGAGGAGGCGGCACGCTCAAAGGCAAACCGTGATCAAAGACGCCGCCATCGAATAGCCGTTGCTTTGATCTCACCGCACAAAGTGCAAATTATGTTGTAAAGACAGTGAGTGCCGCGACCGCCTTGCACTGCACTGCTAATTAATTCAATCCGATTCGCCAAGTTTGAGTTCCCTTATAACTAGCAACAATCTCTCATATTCCACCATACATATAAACTTTAACTTCGACGTACTAATATACAACGATTTGAATTGGAAATTATTATAGTATTATACATAACAATATAAATTAGAAGTTTTTACAATTGATCCAAAAATTAAAGCGCTTGTTCAATACTTTATGATATGAACATGTATATGTATATATTTAATTGTTGATATTTCTTTTTTCATAAAACACCTTATAATCAACACACTTTAGCAATATTAGGTTTGTACACGAAACATATGAACATTGAACATGTAGAAAATTTTACGAAGTTGATTTGGACTAAACCGTTGTATGAATAAAATTTATTAATATCCCGAAGACTGCTGTTTCCGTATACCTGGTCGTGTGAAGCAGAAGACGCCCTACACCACACAAGGAATATGATGATAATGCTATCCCAACATTTTCGCAATTATTTAGTCTTGGGTATAGGTTACAAGTTTTAGTAATACTATTTCTATTACAAAATACTTCGACAAAGTTTCGTAGTTTTCGTGGAATCTCTAGTTAATCGTGAACCATCCTGTATAACTGGTAGCCAGTAGGTAAATGATAATAATATTTTGAAGCTTTTTAGTTACTATAGTTTAATTTCTAAATAATTTTATTCATTTTATTCATTTCATTCATTAATTCATTCGTTTGATCTCATTCGGTCATTCATTCGTTTACTCTACTCATCAATTTCCTAATGGACACAACTTATTACCATTCATATACATTTTTACGCCATATGAATAAGTGAAAGCGTATTCATATCTCTCTAGCTATTAGATTTATTGTTCCTGTTTTTATTATTATTTATTTTTACTATCGTGATTATATTAAAAGTTCCCAGACATATCTTTTTACTCGTTTAATCCTGAAGTTCATACATATTTTGAATTTGATAATTACTATTTATTACACTATCGTGGAGTCGAATAAGATTCAGCAAATTAAACTGTTGAATCGATATACTTTAAGCCTTGAAGTGAACCATTTATTTAAATACATTGAATTTGAACATAAATTGATATCGAGATTGTTACATCCGTTAAGGCACTATAAAGCCATAGAGAAATAAAGAAAAATTATTAAAACCTTTTTTATGACATATTAAAACCTAAATGAAACACTGTGGTTAGAATTTTAGAAATCTCAAAACTATTATATGTATACAAACCTTGATAGGTGACTTTAAATTTGTTTACAACAAAGTTGTTAAGCTGTCTTGTAATATGTAAGCCGCTTAAAAGTAAATTATGCGGAAGGACAGCATTTCGTAGATCGTAGCTATGGTATTCGGTCCAAACAATTCAATAATATAATTATGCGTACCCAGTTTGTAAACAATAACCGGTTCAAATGTGGAAGTCTTGCTTTGTGATTTTGCGAGCGTCGGCGATCGAGAAAAGCAAACGAATCGAACCGTAGTTACCACTTACCGTAGATATTGTGAGGAAAGGGCGCGGGAGGCGGAACGATCGAGAATCGACAGTCGCGTGCGTCGACCCGCGCGTCTGCTAGCTTTGATCACGCCGCGGCAACGATGGACGCCGCGCCGCAAACGGCAAAGGTCCCACCCGTACAGCCACACACCTGCCGCTTTTTACTCTGCCGAAAACTTATTTTATATAATACCGAAACACCGAAGAATATCGTTAGCTAAGGATAACATACCTTAAATTTATATTAAAAAATATATTTATATTACAAATTATGAAAACTTGGTGGAGTATTTTAAACGAGTGCCTTTTTACCTTTGTTCTCTTTTGATGTCTTAGAAACATGGTTACACATTAATTTAAATGTCTCTCTAAAATAAACGAAGCACAAGACAAGCGAGATATTTGATTCAAGAGTTTACTCGGAAGCGCTATTTCCGACATTCTAAGAACATGCAAATTACTTTCGAAGTGACAGACAAAACATCGATTACGAATGGCTTGAATGACAGCTACAGCACATGATACTTACGATAAGAAAAAAAATATAAAACCTTACTTTATATTGACGCTTCGCTACTTATAAATACATTATGTATTTCATAAATCATTTTAATAATTAGTTTAAATGACACATTAAATCTTGGACTCTGAATAAAATATAAATATGTTTTTTTTATAACATTCAAATATACGCTATTCATATAAATAACTATTATGCAGCTGTTATTAACCTACATATTCGTTATTTACATGGAATAAATGTGAAAGTTTCACGGTAGTAGCAAGAATATTTTTAATGGTCGGCATCCAAGTAGTTTCTGAATAGGTCTGGTATAGTTAACGAGCTAGTGGAAGCGAACTCGACCGCCTTCGCCTTCCATATTCAAATTACAGGTTTGAATTTGTAGTGCATCGCAACACCGCGTGAGACTAACTTACGATGAGGCCACTTTCTAGGAAATTTTCTAAATTCTATTACGCTGCACTTATTTCGAATCGCTGTTGTTGAGAATGATGACGTTGCTGTATTGTTTATTAATTGCTACGGGCTGTATGTATCGATTTAAATAGATCTTATACATATTAGGTTGAACAAATGTCTACCTTTTACGATTTACGAGTACATTTAAAAAATGTAAGCTCTTAATTTTGTTTTTCATTATACTTTCTGTAAAAAAATAGAGTTCCTACTCATTAAAAGTAATATTGAACATGAGATTAACATAATAAGTGAACAGTTATTCGCACGAAAATACGGAACACTCGCGAAATTAGTTTCTAAGGCAAACAGAAAATCAATCACTCCATCAGTCGACGCGTTTTATATATATGTATGTATAGATTTTCTGTTAATTTCCGAACAAATTGGGGGAGTCGGGCGAGGGAGCGGCGGCCGGACTGCGTTTACTTCGAAAATCGAAATTGAATTATTCGCTGGAACGGTTCCATTCTGCCTACATACAAATTACTATAAACTAACTTATATCGCGTTAATGCTTTTCACATTGTATGACGTCACAGGGACGAACATTAGTCTAGAGTTAATGCAGTCGAATGTTTCAGATAAAAGGGATTTCAATTTGAATGAATATGTCGAAAGCTAAAAGGCTAGATGACATAATTACATTTTACTCCACATTTTTTATGTAGTTTGATAATAAAGAGATCCTGGTCTAGTTTTTAACTTTTATATGCCTGTAGGAACTATGTATAATTATGTTAGAACAATTATTTATAAGTATACATGTTGTTTATTTTACTATCAACCCCCGGTATTACACAGTGCTAAGAGCCGGATCTCTATATTTATTTAATTTTCTTTCTCATGACAAGAGCGCCGCTCCGCTATCGTCTTTTATCTATCAACCCGTGTAAATAAGCTCAAAATCATTGCCTTAATGTAAATATAGGAAGAAATATTATCAGTCAAAAGTAAACTCATGAGAGAATTATCATCGTAAAACATAAATAGAAGAAAGAATTATTGTCCGAGTATCCGGAATATAAGTACCTTTTGTTTATATTGAAACAAATTATACATTCTGGATGTGAGGCGAGTTAAAAAATCAATTACATATTATTTGAAAACGTTATCTGTTTTTGTATTTTTAGATTTAGTAAACTTCAGTTAGATATATTTGTATTATTGATAATAAACTTTTTGCTATAAAGATAAACCTCATTAACGAATACTTCGAGTATCTACAGGAACAAATAAAGAAATTACATCCGGAACCGGTGCAGTTTACTTAGGAGGACGCTTAGCAACCTTTCAAGCCGACCGAGTGGCGCCCTGGGGTTGAAGACAAACCCTCAACCGGATAATTGTATTTACCGAACTTTTCCATTAGGACCTACGAGACCCGAGTGATCTTCAATTCAAAGTACGTTCGTACTAATGACGATCTATTAAACCTTAATAAACACTAAACATTATTTACAAAGAACATTAAAATCTGGGTTGAAATTTAATGCGGCGAAGATCCTTCGACGATTGCATTTATATAATGGATTTAAAAAGGGGGATAAAAACGGGTCCTTAACAAAGGAGTCAGATTGAACTACGGAAGTAAACGTGGGTCCGATTCAGTACGAAATTGGAGCGGCATTGAATCCGACTGGCTCAATTTCCGATTCAATCGATCGCACACGAATAATGGAAGAAAGATTGCGAGTATTTTTTTTGTAGTGTTTAGTACCAACTGTTGTGACAGGAGGAGCCTGAGAACAAACAACTTTACAATATTCCGTAGAAAATCTCATCCTGTTCTTTAGATTTTATTAGCGTCGCGGACCGCGGTGGGTACAATCACGTCGTGAGTAATCAATTCTGTCTAAATATTGAACGTTTTTTTAATTTCCTTTCCATTTAAGTAAACGGAAGAGGCGGGTTTTGTGATGATGTGTGTAATCAATACGAACACCCCTTAATCTCACTATAAAATGAGTAAGTAAAACGACACGGACAAGAATTAAATAGGGTTTTCCATTCTGTATACACTATAATATCATATAGACAAGGGCCTATTAGTACCACTAGTAGATAAATATCAATATATTCCGTACATGACTTCGCTAAAGAATTCCTTGCGAGTGATATTCGTATGAAACTTAAACTTCTAATTACTCAATACTCAATGTAAGACGATAAAAAGTAGCCTGACAAACGTAGAACTCAATACCAAGTACTATTCATATCGATAGAACCGTCGCGTCGGCGTTTTAACATTTAACTTTATAATAACAACAGGTATGACTCGTTTTTATTGTTAAGAACAATTACTTGTTCTACGATATAATCTCACGCACTTTGTTGTGGAATTCCAAAAACCCGGTCGGATGATAACAGGCGGCGTATTGTCAAATGGAACTAGACGGACAATAATGGAATTTCTGGGAACAACCCTTGTGCTTGTGGGGTTTTGTCGCGTCGTGCGAGTGTGGGGTGTGGAGGGAGGGTGTCGGGGGAGCGAGACCGGTCCATCCATCACTCCACGGGGGTGCAATTAGACGAAGTATACTGTATATGTGCTGACACGCCGCGCCGCCGACGCGCATACGCCACGTCCATCTCAGAATGAGTTTTACGCTTTTTATGTTAATATCGAGACCATGAATACTTAATGCACTCCAAATTTTTTCTATTTAATTTGAAAGCGACGGTACACTTAGTCGGAATATTTGATATTCGTACCTACCGACAGTCTTTTCACATAACGGAATAAATTATTCGCATTAGACTACATAAGTGGAATTATTATAAAAATTCCAATTAAAATATAAATTAATAAGCTGATACGTAATCATATAACAATAAAATTTAATAAGCTAAGAGATAATGGCAATCCTTCCGTGGGTGGGGAACGACGAGAGTCGGCAGTGCGGTAGCAGCCGTCGATTATCCGTCGTCGATAAGACACAAAAACAACTTTTTGATTTATGAAGAAAGCTTTAGCGGCGGCTACTGGGCGCCGAGTTGCTCCCCGGTGCATTTAGTGACGTCATCGGCCAATCATCGTAACGGCATCTTGTGTTATGCCAACTTATACAAAACATGTTTATCTTTGTTTATATGTTTTAAATGATATTTATTAATATTTTTCTTTTTTATTAATAAAATAAATGTTTTTAATTAAATTGATAATGCTAATGATATCATAAGAATGTTTAAAATTCGAACCCTCTTCTGACAGTATCAAAGTTTTTTAGTTGTATCACTGATTACATTTTTAATTTGATTTTATATGTGGATATCAGTAGTTTGATCTGGGAAGTTCAGTTCATGGAGCCGCGTTTTGAAACATACGATTATGCAAATGAAGCGAGCGGTCGACGCCGGCGCTGCTCAAAGGCGCCGACCCTTCCTTACAAAACGAGATATATTTGCTATTCAAGATAATACCAGCAAAACTTAATTATTCTATAATTATTAATTAATGATTTTTCTGCGTCTTCGTAAATTATGGTAAATACGGTTTTTTTAAATATAAAGTTGATTATTAAAAAGTTAAAAGAAAGTGTAACGATTGATTGTGATGACTATTCAGCTACTATATACGGTGCGATAATTTCTCTTCTATTTTTTTTTTTTTAATTGAGACTGTGAATAATTACTCCCTGAAATTTGTTTAAATACATTGCAATGTTTCTTGTCTTTAATATGTATACCTACTTACTTGTTGGTCGGATGTGGAAGGTGAAATTAATGAAGATTGATCGTTTTAGTGAATATACATAACTGAAATTTTAAAACAAAATGAATATTTTTAAAATAATTAGTAGTAATCGTAAAAACATCAAACAATAATAATTTTTGAAGATTGCGCCATCTGTTATAAAATGGTTTAAGTAAGAAGTAAGGTTATGATATGGTTTACGTAGCCGTAAACGGACTAGAACTTAAAAAAACATATCTTTCTTCTATCTACATAACAATTTAATGTTCTCTATAGGTATGAGATTTAAAATGTATAAATAATGACATAGAAGAACCCCTTAATTCACTATGAGTTATTTAAAATTATTTTGTATAGATGACTTCCATGTGATGTATCCAAAATTTTTTTATATAAAAATGATTAAAAAACTTTTGTAATTTAGATTTTAAATCCACGTTTTTTTCTTATATAGAATTATTTAATACTATTTTTAAAACATTAAAATTGATATTGCAGTACTATCACTTGCCATAGTTATGGGCTTTAGAGTTCAAGGCGGTAATAGTTATTTGACAACCGAGTTTATAACATTTTGAAGCATTGACAGATTGTCTGTTGTCACTAAAACGTGTCTATTTTTGAAGGTTATATACTTTAAGTTTTGTTTTCATTTAATTTGTATTCAAAATGGGAAAGGTGAGAAAACGTAAGGTACGACATAATGCACCTGTTAATAATTCTGATGAAGAAGAACTACCTGTGGAGTCTAAAGAGAGTGCAATTCAGACGATTATTGATCAGTTACAGGTTCGTTGTTATTTTTTGTTAACTTAAAAAAAAAATAAAGAAGATTTATACTTTATAAATTATTTATAGGTATCAAACGTTGAAGAAAAGTATTGTGGTCTACAAACATTCGCAATGCTCTTAGAATGTCCTGAAAATTTAGAACAAATGATAAATCGAGGATTAATAAAGATAGTGGCACCACTCCTTCTAGATGCCGCATCCTCTGTTAGAAATGCTGCAGCTGGTTCATTAAGAAATCTATCTGCTATAAGATTCGATCTATGTGATGTTTTAATGGAACATGATGTAATGACACCTCTTATATGCTTCTTCCATCAGGTATGTATGATCCTGGTGATCATAATATTAACGTTATTTTGTATGTTAAATTAACTATTATGTATGCTACTTCTAGTATGCTGAAAATTGGACTCCTGACCCAACATCAAAGTCAAAGGATGAAGATATTGACACATTCGTCCAATGCACATACTTACTTCTTAACTTATGTGAAAGTTCAGGTAATCAGATTTTAATATATAATTTTATTGTCTCATTTCAAACATGTAAATTTAAACCACATTTAAATTTTATTTTCTTTTAGAATTGGCAATGAAATATGTGGGAGATTCAAGAGTGTTGGATATATTCTGTAGGTACTTGGATTTATCAACTTTTGGTGTTGACATAGTTACTGCTATTTTGCAGTGTCTATTTGTCATAGTTGAAGACAATCCCAAAGCAATTGATAAATTAAGGAACTCATGTGAGCGGCAATTGAGAGAGCTCTTGTCGATTGAGGGCAATGACCCTTCAAATTTGCTGATTAAGAGTGTAGCAGGAGGCCTAACAATAAGTCTATGTGGTGGAAATATTGTTTCACTCCCGACACCTGTATTGAATCAAATAATTGGAATATTAGCTCAGACTCTATCAATAGATCACCGTTTGGCTTGTAATCAGTTGTCTAGTTATGTGCCATTAGGAGATAATGTTGGGAAAATTAAGTTGCCAGAAGATAAGGAAGCTATGGTATTAGAGAAACGAGTTAAATCAGTCATACAAGTTTTAGATGCACAACAGAGCGCCATTGAAATTATAACCAATATATGTTCTTCTGAAGGTATTGTATAATATTATAATATTGTGATTTATACTCATATAATATTCTTATTGATGTAAAAAAAATATTTTTTCAGATGTGGATGAGGCGGTTGATGGGCTAGAGTCTTCAGACAGTGATGAGCCCACAGAAGACAGTATTGGTGAAGGAACACTTCTCCCTGAGGATAAATTACCCCCCGAGCTTTTGGAGGCATTAATATCATTGGAAATATATGATAAAATCTGGGCTCGTACACAACTACCACCAGAAAATGTTATGTCTATCCTAAAAGAATTTGAAGGCACACAATTAGTTTCTAAAAAGTAAGGCTGTATATGTAATAAAATATCATTAATATTAATTGAAAACTATGAGTTTCATAGTGATAAATTTAATTCATTTTTCAGTTTTTTCTAATATCTTAATACAAATTATTCATGTTAATTTTCCAGATTGTACAGCCTTCAAACTAGATCATTGTTGTGTGTAAATAATATGATAATGACACTGCCTTTAGATAATCTCGGAGGAATAAATGGAGTTTATAAAATTTGGGTCGATACAGGGAAGTTAGTGTTTAAGAATAACTCAAATAACTTTGACATATTAGAATCAGCTACGGCTGTAATGAGAGCCGCTTTAGATAAATTACAAGGATATTATTCAGCTAAGGACAGAAAACTTGATGACAACAATCTATTCAAAGATTTAGCACTCTCTGATATTGAGGTATGAGAGATATTAATTTGAAATATAATTAGGATTTTAGCAATTATTTGTTACTAGATCTTATCTAGGTATCTTTTCTTTATATTCCACAAAATATTCTGATTAATTTAGTTATGATTTATTCCATATTGTATTTAAGAGGTTTTTCTCACAACCAAGTATTGTTTAACACCTTACATTAATAGTAAAGATTATTTTAATATTGAAAAAAAAAAATTGTCATGTATGGCATTTATATACTACTATAAAAATTATTCAATAATTGTCATTCTCTTACAGATAATGTTAACAGGGATAAGGGATTGTCAAGTTCCTGAAATAAGATCAAACCTCATAAGAATGATCGGAACAATGGCATTGTTGCTGGTAAATAATTTGAATGAGACCACAAGTAATGTTATCGTAACTATTACGGAATTCATAATAGAGCAGGCTCACAAGGAAAACGAAGTATGGGTCCTGGCAGAGGCGATTGATACTATAGTAGATTTATATTCAGAAGATGAAACTGATTCATTGGCTGCTAAAATCAAATTAGGTGACAAACTAAGCATGTTAGCACCAATATTGAAGAATAAGGTACAAATAATGATAAATTTTGAGTATTTAAATGTTTCACAAAATTATTATTATATGTTAATAAACAAATGCAATTCATTTTAGGCTCGGCAACAAAAGAAACTGCCAAAAGAATACAAGGTGCTTGTCGCTACAGCAAATTCAAATTTGCCAAGGTTTATTAAATATTTGAAAGGACGAACATAGAATAAATAATACAATAATTTTAAGAAATAATTAAAATGTACTGTTTATGTTTTTAATAAATTCTATACATACTCAACAATAGAAAATTTTTTTGACCAATAAAATAATAGTCAATGAATATAATTAGTTCTTCCAACTTTATTTAATAAATAGGAAACTTGTACATTGCACATAATTTGTATTATCTAAACAATTTTAACAGCCACTGTTACTTAATAAAACATGCAAAATATATATCTTATTACCTTTACCTTTAACGTAATACATTTAATAACAACATTGAAATAGTAAAAAAAATATAATGACTTCATTATATAAATGTATATATATGTATAATTATGTATTTATGACTACGCAAATAAAAATTATTTCATACTTATTATGATTGAAATGTATGTTAAAATATATATTTTTTTAATGTAATGGGTACTTAGGAATGCGTTGTATTTTTATTTACTTTGACAACAGACTATATTGTAGAGCTTAAGTTTCTTGACATTTAACTAATAACAGATTACAAAAGAGTGCTTATACATTCTTCTTTGTTCTTGTTATGGCTACACATTTTAATGGTAAACGTTAAATTAACGAAATGAAATATATTAACATATAATTAATTAACAAGGCACTCTAATTTGATAGAAACATTTATACGAAAAATCTCTTTTCAAAACCCAAGAAGTAATAAGAAAAACATCCAGTGAATATGATTTTGCTCAGTTACTATTTATATTATTTATACATAACTCGTAACTTTCAACTACTCCAACAAAAATATATAAAATCTTAGGCATATACCAAAAAATATTTTGGACGTCTTACGATATTTCTGTTTCTTTAATTATTATAGGAAATCTGAGATCTGAACACTAATAAATTACGTCTTTAATTTAAATTTTTTTTTTTGATAATTAAATAATATAATTTAAGATTTCGAATTTATATATATAAAATATAATATTAATTTCACCATTATGCCACGTTACAATTTACCGTTTACCGTTGAGCTGGATTCACCGCAGTTACTTCGTCTAGGTTTTGGTATGGGGTTTGGCGAACTGTTATCGGCTCTATCAAACTTTTGTCTTATTTCGGACACGGAAAGCCGAGTATTATCACAAATAAAATCATCTTCTATCAAAGCGGAATTTAGTTTGCTTATCTCCCTTTCCAATTCTCTAGTGGCTTTGTCGATTTCCAGAAACTCCTTTTCGGTGCTTGAATAGGAATTGTCTAAACTCTTCTTTCTTGATTCGTCGTATACTTTGCACACAACTTTTTGGGGTTCCTCGTTACTATTGATGTCAAAAGTTTTATTCCCATTGAAATTTATATCGTAGGCGACGTAGTTCGCATCTGAAAGGTTGTTTGTTAAACTTTTGCTCCTCTTGTTTGTCAATGGTTGAAAATCTTCCAAGTTCCCTCTTCGTAGTCTTACATCGTCCTCGTTGACACTTGAGTTACGTCTGTATTTCGATATATCAATTTTAGGGAATGAAACTTGACTGACAACTTCTTCCTCCGTATTATTTTTTAAGGGTTCACTTTCTCCATTACTTTCATGGTTTTCACTAATCTCATTGTCTTCTTTGGCATCGTTGCTTTCCGAAGCAATTGCTTGTGTTGTTTCCACTTCTGTTGTTGAAATTTCTTTGGTTTCTTGACTTGCTTCTTTAGTCTTGTCATCGTCATCTTCTACTATTTTTAATTCGATCTTCAAGTTCACATCATTTATTTCATCATCAATCGTCGTATTCATTTTGCTTTTATCCTCCGGTTCAGATATGCTCAATTCCAAATTTTCGCTTGTGACCTGTAATTTATGATATTTTCCGTTTATAAAAAACTGATTGTAAAATTTTATGCTAAATCAGATAAAACTCAAAACTTTTTGATCAATTACGATACATATTTTGTTGTCATTCAAAAGCAAGAAATGAATAAATGGCAGAAAATTAATTAATACAAATAAAGTTGTTTATTACATTTATAAACCTGACCATATGTAACTATTATATCTGAAACCATAGAAAGTATTATTGGAATTTAATTTTTACTATTAATGACATATATTGGACTGGTGGAATGAGAGTCGTCATCGTCATCAGCCTATCAGAGCCCACTGCTGAGCAAAGGCTACTTTCTCACATGGAGAAGGTTTGAGTATTAATCACCACGCTTGCTCAAGACGGGTTGGGGATAATAAGAGTATTCTTCTTCTACCTGGCAATTTCCCAGCTTTAGCCAGGGTGCCTTACATGTTGTGAATAGTTTTTTCTATTTGTTTTTACGACCGGCCGCCTGTCTGACATCAACCCTCTTGGGAATCAAAATATATACCATCTTTTGGGAAGCTAAATATAATGGGAGTATATGATGATAATACATACTGATTCATCAGTAGCAGCCGTGGAAGGCGGTGCAGGCGCTCGTTTCTTCTTCCGTCTTGAAGCACGCACCGGCGGGACGGGAGCTTCATCGAATGGGTTTGTACTAACGACACTCAACCTCGACCCAGTTATATCGCTGCGGGCCATGCGGGGGGTGGCACTGAAACGTTCATTATACATCATGTGACTACTGACTAGACCTCGATAATTGTTCTTTGTCACCTTTAGCTATTGTTCATTATATTCTCATAATACATGATTGATACGCTCTTTGTTCTGGCGTCGTTTAATATGTGAATGGATATTGAATTCATTTTCTTGGAACACACATGTTGGATGGTTATAATTTTGTGTTCATTACCTCATTGAGCTGACTTCTTGTTGGGAGCTTCGTAGACGTTCCTGGAATCGTGATCTTGGTAGTGGAGTTACGGAACCCCCGTACACGTACCGGTCTGTCTGTTCAGGGGAACCCACCGTACTACGCGACATTGATGAATCTGAATCAGAGATAAATTAATATGAAATAAATTATGTACTATAAAAGAATTCTCGAATAGTTATTATGGCACAGCAAAGACATTTCATTTAATATATAAGTTTGATTAAAAATATCAACTGAAGTGGTTTTATTATAAACTGAATTATTATGTAATGACCATTACATTTTTTGTGTTCTGATAATAGTGTTTTGTCTCTAATTATTATAACTTCTGTTTAATTACAGTAATTTATAGTTTTTTTTCTGTTGAAGCAAAAAAATATCGTGCAAGTATATTAATCGTTTTATATTGTCTTACATTGCATAGCTCGCCTGAACACCACAGGACTATTTTCTCCATTCCTTTGATTGGTGTTCTTGTAATTTTGCGAAGACTGCTCTGAATTTTTTTTTCCTTTTCTCATAAACGAACGTAACGACCTGAAAATAATAGTAATCTATTAGTACGAATTGTTTCAATAATTTTGTATTTTTAAACAAGAAAATATATTATGTATTAAAAGATTAATTTCTAATAATAACTTATTGATAAGAATTTCTCATATGTATATTATTAAAAAAGTAGTATAGTAGTATACATATATAAAGAAGTACTTAGTTCCGAAATTTTTTGTCGGCTCAACTTTATTGGTGAGATTGACTAAATTGTAGCTGCTGTTGTGTATGAGTGTAGGTGAAACAGACAAAAGTATTCTTAGTTAGAGATGATTCCACTTAAGCGTTCACAATTGCCCGACACGGATAAAATGTTGAATGGCCCCATCTTCCGCCTACCCTTAATTTGCTGCGCTACATTTTTTCAAGTCAAAGAATCAACTTTGATTTGTAATCAACAGACCATATCATAATACGAAATACTGTTTGTTAAATGAGGTTAAATCATTTATCTTAAGATAATAAATTAGCTTGTGATTCAGAATTATAACATGATTGAATTTGCTTGCAACTTGTACGGAATGAATGGTGCCTATTTATAAATTTTATCAACAGGAATTGAAATGTATTATATTTTGATTAATGTACACTTAGCTCAAATAGACTGATTGATTGTATAATTTATATTAAACAAAATACAACTAATAATACATAAACGGTTCAAATTAAACATGGAAATGTATTGATTTAGAATTTATATACATTTTTATACAATTTTTGTTTTTGAATACAATTTTTGGAAAGCTTTTATCACCTTACAAAAAAAAACAAGGAGATTTTTTGTTTGCTGTCAAGGTATGGCAGTATTTTTTACGGGACACCTTTTGTCTTTCCAAAGATCAGTTGGTTTAGTTTTGCCACTTTATGGCTATAGACTCCGTGGAAAGGCTTGCAAAAAAATTGTGACCATGATTTCGTTAAAACAGATCTAGTCAATCTTGGAAACAGGAGAAAAAAGGTCTCGCTATTTTATGGAATACACTTCATAGAAGAATAACTTCAGCTATGACATGTGTGATATTATTTTTCTATCTCCTTTTTACCACCTAACAATCAAATCCACCGATTCACTTTAAACTCTAATGGAAGATCTTCCTTACATGGATAAAGAGTAACGAACGCTTCTATCTTTTTCACCTATTGTAAAGTCTACTTTGTCAACTACTACGGCTAAGTTTATTTATAACGTATAAAATTTCGAATGTAATAAGTTAATTCTACCTTTTTTCCTTTCTGCTCACAATTCGGAGGTTTTGAAGAACAGTATGTATAGGTTTTTACTGAGGTAACGATTGTAACACTAAGACTTGTTTAGCCAATGATAGCCAAGCTTTATCTAGTTTAAATTTACAAAAGAAATATTATTCACCTGCGTACATAATTAAATGAGATAAAATGAATATACAAGGTTCTATCGTAAGTAAAATAAAATTCTGCATTCAATTTGACGTCTGTGGATGTAGATAAAGCGGTCCGCTATCGTTTTTGTATATTGAATGATTTGGTCTAAAAATGTATTATCGAAAAGTTGTTGAATTTACTGTCATGTATATTTTTTGTGTGCGTTTCACCTTCAATAAAATTTTGCATAATTTAATTTATATATATGTATATATATATATATGTTTAAAGATTTTTCTTTTCTTATTATTGCTGGATAAGATAAAAGGTTTTGCATATAAGAATTTTTATTTATCGACTGTTTGTCTTCTAATTTTGAATCTTTGAAGCTTAAGACGGTAAATATATATATACAGGGTGACTGGTGAATTACTATCAATATTTAAGGAGCATACTCAGTACATGATTCTCATTCGAATTATGTAAAAAAAATAGGTACTTAATTTTTGACCAAATTTCCGTATAAATAAATAAAGTATGAACACGTTCCAATATATATACAGGGTGACTGGTGAATTACTATCGATACTTGAGGACGTGATATTTGAAGATCATATATGACAAAATAAAAATTAATATAACATAAATATTAATAAACTTCTAAGTAAAGTTAACCAAAAGTTATGTAATTAATTACGCATCGTGTGAACACCCTACAGATTAGGTATACACACACACACACAGACACGCGTTTGGCGGTGTAGTGTTGTATCAGCACGCCGCCGCACGCGTCCACACTTGGAACGTGTCCGCACTTTATTTATTTATACGGAAATTTGGTCAAAAATTAAGTACCTATTTTTTTTACATAATTCGAATGAGAATCATGTACCGAGTATTCTCCTTAAATATTGATAGTAATTCACCACTCACCCTGTATATAATAAAACCGACTATTTTATTTTTATTGATTTGTTATTTAATATATAAAGATTGTACATAAGGTAGTGGTTACATAAGTGCAGTAGCAAAACAAACTCATATTTTTTATATGAAATATTTCTAAAATTATAAATTCTCTATATATGTATTTATTACAGGAAAATTACCGAACGTAAAATCATCTCATCCCGACACGTCAGAAGGTTAATGCTGTAATTTTGTAAACAGTATTCGCTCTTTGTATCGTGTACGACATTAAATCCTCTAGGTCGAGTAGATAAAACGAGATTTGTCCTGTTCTTGAACCATCTTTATTACAGAACGCTACTGAGTTGAGATTAGCTGTTTAATTTTAATGATTACTTACAGTCTAACTAAATACATTATCCATATATTAATGAACATTTGCAAAAAAGTAAATACGTTTTAAGTTTGTTTTATATATATTTTGGTATATATAGACTCGTGTTAGCATAAGTGTCGACCTTCGAGAAATAGGTAGTGATAATGAACGTCTAATATAATATCATGGGCACCTTAACGACCTAGTTTGTTTTCATTAGTCTTGTTTCATCACATTCCACACGAGATGACTCATATCATATCATCATCTTATCATTGATAACGATGTTATCCTTTTTAAAAATTGTTAAATTTACCTTTAACTTATGTAAGTTGAAGAATTAATAAAACAAGTAGTTAAGATATTGGTTCATAAATATATTTATACTTACATTTCTTTTATAATAAAATAAAAAATGCTTTAAAAATAATTATAAATCTGTATATTGTTTTCCTCATTGGAGATAGATTTTTATAGGGCAAATTAAATAATGTCTTTTTTCTAGACTTAATTTATCTGTGATAATAGAGAGCATTGTAATATTTTATTGCTAAGTAAATAAAATTTTACTTCTTACGTAATACTTTTTTGGTATTTCATTGAGATTTGCGATTATTTAAAAGATACATAGGTACATAAACTTTGTAATATATGTCTATAGACGGTAAATAAAATGTATTTTGTAATATTTATTTAGCAACCAATACGTAGTATACATCGCAACTATTTCTATAAAACTACCTTGTATATCGTTAAACACAGACTTTAAATAAATGTATGATGCAATGTTCTAGAGAGGAGCAACAGTCACACCTACTGAGGATTAATATTTTCATTACAATATTGAAGTAAAATACAAATAGGTATTGAATTAATTTTTGCACTAAGTAAAGCAATATAGGCTATCTTCGTAAGTCATTTTATAGCTATAGTTCCTTCAAAACGTTAGTAGAAATGCCTTTTACTTTAAATATTAATTTAAATTAAGGCAGACCCTGGCTGAAGCTGGGACATTGCCAGGTAGAAGAAGAATAATTCTATTCAATTAAAATTATATTTGTGTTCATCTGTTTCAGTTACACGAGTCGATGAGTTACGGGTGATATCCATGAAATTGTATAAAAACTTTCTAATTTGTTTAATGAATATCGTTTAAGAAATCGTTTGCTGTTCCAACTTACAGCATGACTTTAATATTTTATATACTATGAAATGTTTTTGGAAAGTAGTGAGATATCGCAACATCGCAATATCATGCGATAGTTATTAATGAGATTTTCAGCAATGACATATTATTTCTTTATAAGATCGTAAGTAGATTTATATGGAGTCAACTAGAAATCAGATTCTGGCAAAAAAAAAAACGTCAACACGGATAAAACGAAATATATAGGTACCTATACTGAGAAGATAATGAATATATTATATATATTAGAAGATTAGATTACAATATCTATACAAATAATTACACAATATAGAATGCGAAATACATCGACGTGATCTTTAATCTATTAAATTACCAATAATTGGTAAAACATTCAAATCCTGTAAATAAATTTATAAATACCAATAAATTTCTACTCTTTATTTTTAATTAAAATTTTTATTTAAATATTTGATCAACGTTACTTTGATTATAAAATTTAGAATTTACATAATATTTAATAAATGAGTAAAATTATGATTTTTTACTTTAATGAAAATTATCTAAACAAATACTAAATATTATACTCGTACTAAAAATATTTGGAACATCTCGTGAAAGTTCTATTAAATATCTTTTAGGAGATAACGACGAGCAAACAGATAGACATACCGTTAACAATAAAAATTAAATGCATATTTAACCTCTTTTGAAAACAGTTATTATTGAATCACACGCAAAAAAAAATATTCAAAAAGAGAATTTTATCTATATGTATACATATAGAGTAATATATACTTCGTAATATTTATGTATAGTAGTAGTTGTGTGAGAATGCGATCTTTTAACGATTTACGTGATTTTGTATCAACATAGTTCGTACTGGACACGTAATTATCTCTTCTATGAGATAGTTTTGTATGATTTAACATTTTAAACATTTTTCATTAACTTTATTTTAATTATTAAATTACATTATTATTGTAGGATATTTCATATTATGTAGATATGCGGAAGATGATAAGTAGAGTTCAATTCCACTACATGCGGTAGCATATTGGGTTTCTGTAGTTAATATCAATTAATTTAAAACAATAAATGGTAAACGTATACCACTACCGCGTTATTATTGAGGCACGTGGCGGCTTGGTTATAAAATATATAAATATTTGGAGCACTACGATAAATAATTCTATAATATGTTTAAAGTACATTAAACTAAATGTTAAGTGACCAATCAGAAGTCTCTAATTGAAATGAATTTAATATACGGGATTATTACGTGTTATTTTATTATTTTTAAAACTACATACTCACAACATTTCAGTTAAGTACTTTCCAACAGCCGAGACTCTAATTGCATAGATTTTATCGAAAGTCATAAGCGATATGATAAAAATTTTCTCGTCACAAAAGAATATTTTTACGTCAAAATCTTTTAATTGATTCCTAATTTCCCGGAAAAAACATATCGGAGTTAAGTAACAACACTTTAACTCGGTCTTAAATTTCTCTTATTATTTATGAATCTGTTAAAGGAAACATTTCACACACTAACATAGTGTATCTCCCATATTTTGTAACGATTAACGTGGCTGTCGTAAAGTAGCTTAAATAGAATTATTATAAAAAATGGTATATTATCGAAGCAATTAATAAAATCGTTTATTAGAGAAAAATAGAGAATATTTTATTCATTTTTATTATTTAGGTACAATGTCAATTGATGCAGTTTTGTTTCTAATCCTGTGCTGTTATCTTCGGTTATTCTAAAAGTTTGAATGTTTACACTTATATTGATTAAATTGGTTTTTTTACTCTTTTCAGATTTTTATTCTATAGTGGCAACAGTACAGAAAATATAAAAATGATTATTACCGACCGAAAACTGAGAAAAACTAGCCAACACTTTTTATTAGGTTGGTGCGTATGAAATGTCGGATTCTCTTCACATGCAGACGTTTGTCAACCTGTTTTCTTTATACTTTTGTCTTTGGCATAACCTCATTCACAGTCGTATTGTCCATTGCCAGAGACTCATTTCAGCAAAATAGGTTTTCACGAAGGTCTTCCCTTTTATTATTTCTTTTCAGTTTATTGCCGATATGAATTGTGCCGGCATTCGCGTCATTTTCTTATATAAGTACAAACTTGGTAATAGTGCTTCAAAAGCTGCATGCAACATAAACTAAGCGTTTGGGGAGAATACGACTAACGATCGGAAAGTGCAGCGTTGGTTCAAAAAATTTCGGACTGGCCATTTTTCACTGCAAAATGAGCCGCGCGGAAAACCCAAAACGTCCGTGAAGAATGATGACCTAAAGGCTCTAGTGGAAGCGGATCCAGCCGTATGCACGAGGGAACTTGCTATCAGGATGAAAGTTGACCATACAACGATATTGAGACACTTTTCTGAGATTGGCAAGGCTAAGAAGATGGACAAGTGGGTGTAACGCTCGGCCGCATACATCGCACAAAACAATTGCGAAACTGAACGAACTGGAATATGAAGTTTTGCAGCATCCACCATGTTCACCGGATCTCTCGCCGACCGATTTTTATTTTTTCAAGCATTTAGAGCTGTTTTTAAGGGGCAAACACTATGAAAATGAAGACAGTCTAAAAAACTCGATATCAGAGTTTATTAATTCTAAAGACCAAAATTTGTTTAAGACAGGCATCTACGCTTTAAAATCTCGTTGGGAGAAGTGTATTGAAGCGAATGGAGCATACTTTGATTGAATAAACAGCTTTTGAAGAAAGATATGAAGTTTTATACAATCACTTAAGAATCCGACATTTCATACACACCAACCTAATACTTTTTGACAGTTTCCCTCTCTTTTTACCACAGACCAAAAATAACCTATAGCAATTATTTTGTTAATGTTTAGATGAATGATTCGTACCCGTCTGTTTGAAAAGTTATTAAAACCGGTTTGTATAACATTATATATTAATACAGAAAAGTAATTAAAGCTTTATTTCCTATATTGAATTTCTGGAGAGCTGCCAAGTCACGAATAGTATTAATATTTTCGACAATAGTAGTTTAATGTTTGCTTAAAAAATTTAAACATCAAACTATTGGTACATTATATAAAATTCTAATGACTTTTATAACACTTATATGAAAGACTTGTACGTTGCACGTTTTATCGTTATGTCACTGCTTTCTTAATTCTTATTTCACATACTGGCAACACTCAACATATTCTTTTGAGACTTCTTTACAATTATTGGTTGCGGTCTAACTTTCATATGTATATTAATTTTAAAATATTTCTAAGAAATTTGTTATGTATAATCAAATGTCTAGACTCTAGAAGTGCACATGACATTAATATAGCAACTAGACTGAAAATTAGAAATGAGACGCTTTTTTATATGAATGAAATAAACAATTTTCTATTGTATTTGTATGTACTTATACATCTATTATAAAACAAGTATAAGGTAGTAAAAATACAAAATTCTGAGCCAGATAAATAATGAAATGACGTAGAGTGTTTCTTTGTTACTAAATACATAATTGAAAATCGAAAAGTAGGTCGATGTTCGACATGAAACACGAAAGTGTTTTAATTCAAACCAGGTTAATATAACAAAAAAATATATGAGTATTATAAGATAGAGAGTGTAGATTATTAAAGCGGTATATTTTGTAAAGGTTTTTCGTCTTAAACCTTTGATTTCGTTTTTTTTAGCCATACCTACAGAACTGAACGTAAAAAGTAATTAGTAGTGAAAATTCACTTTAACTAGAAGGACATTTATTAAAATTTATATGGAAATAGAAATATGATAAATATCCTTTGAATGTTTTTAAACTCAAATATTTATTTTCATTATCTGTTAGTTTTTTTTTTTTTTTTTTCAGATAAAAAAATATTCCTAGAATAAGTATTTAAATTTAGTATGCCTCAGCAAATGTTATATTGAACTTTGTTTGAATACGAAGTGACACAAAATGACATCAATCCTATTAATAAACGCTCGACAATATCTGCATCGTCTAGTGATGGAATAAAAATACTTACAATATTCTTTTATATATTTTACACTGAATTAAGAATTCTACGTTTACATGAAGAGATTTTTAGTAAATTTAATGAATTCCAACAAAAATGGCACAGTAAAATTTGAATCTTTATATTCTGTTTGTGATGTTTATTTTTGATATTTTTAAATAAAAAAAATACATGACGTATGAATGTAATTTGACAGTTCAAAAGTGCTTGAGAATAATTTATATTTTATTCGATTTGACATAACGGTTCAAAGAAATATGATTAATAATTACTTTAACCTAATGGTTTATATTTTTAGCTTTGATTTGTTAATAAACCCAGAATAAGTGCTTTGTTTGATTGAAAGCATCTTTTTTTTTCGAATAAAATCTGCTAAATTTGTGATGGTTTATTTGTATAATGTGTTAATTTTTTCACATCATTATAACACTACTTATAGTTTTAAATAGTTCATTGAGATGGTAATCACTATGGCCGTATAATGATTTATCAGCTCTACCAGATAAAAAACCTCATTTCGTCCATCAATGGATTCTAATTAATAACGGCACAATCGTTTTTAATGCAAAAAAATAGTACAGTTTATATACAATGTACCTGTTTTTCAAAGAGTCGATAAGTTTATTCATCTTTAAACCTATGTTAGCAGCTTGTATATAAAATTTGTTTTTAATTTCTGAATTAGGTACTTTATTCCTTCGCTTCTGGTTTTAATAACAAAAAAAACAAAACACTTACTAATGAAAAATGATTGTGCTCTAGTTGTGATTTGAATTTGAATTTATTTTAAAATATTAAATAATGATTAAGAACATTCTTTTTTCGTGCCATAAGTTTATATGAATGTTTCCGTCTGGGTAACTATATATGTTCTGTAGTAATTTTGAGTAATAGCAGTGATCGTCACCTTCTATCCTAAATATGCCTCGTGACGTCAATGCTTTCATAGGTCTGGAGTGACTCATATAATGCACCACACAGTTCTGCTTTCAGTAAACCAATTAGAGCCTGGTTTGTTATACGTTCGTATGTATAGTGTGAATACTTAAGATAATGCTTTGTATGTTTAACAAATAACGCCCATCATAGGTTATAGATTAAACGCTAAGGAATATTTTATTGTGGTGACGTCACAATAAACAATAGTAGCTTCTGTAAGAGTCGCTGATAATATTAAGTGGGAATAAGGAGGCGAATATTCTTTGGCTTGAAGAATAAAAATAAAATAAGTGTTTCGTATTTGAATATAATAACATAAATTACATTCATGATTCAACTTTTCTTGTATTATATTTGCTTGAAAAAATAAGTAAAAGAGAATTTTCGCGATGTAAAAGAGTTTTTTTCATTCCGTTCCTTTAAAACGCATAAAAATTAAGTCAAACCTTATAATCTCATAATAAACTAAGAGACAGTTAAAAAAACTTCTGCTTATAAATTTCTCATGTGATTTCTTCACGTGGTTGGGACAATAAAACACGTTGTTTCGCGATTAGATACACATTAAAAATACATTAAAAAACGTTTGTGGGTTGAAGACAATTCTGTTAAATAATACCTAATATAAATGAGTGAAGCATTTAAATTTTGGTTTCGCCTTAATTTTGTAATTAATTTAAACTAAACGACTGTGTTTGAAGTAGTTTATTATAAGGCATATTGCAAAAAGCAAGATGCAATTATTTTGCATTTATAATCAAAGGTCTGTGACAGAGGTTACGGCTGTAAATTAAATATCGCGTCATACATTTTTATAAATAATACTGTAGTTATATATCTTATAAGTTATGTTAGCGATGTAAAATATCTAACAATGGTAAGTCGATCAACGACACAATTCATTCCTGTGGTTGGAAAAACCGCATTTAACATCCGGGACTAAACCTTAATTTATAAAATATAACTGTTTTAATATATTTACATATATTTAATGTATGTAAATGTCAGTTAATAGTACAGTTAAGTGTTATCAGTTCTACTAAATGTCATATGTATGACAGTGACGTGGTACTTGGTAGTTTCGTACATTTCAACTTAGCAATTAGCATTGATACTAACCATGAGTTCCTAAACTCTTTAAGACCAGAGAACGTGATGCTGTTCGATCTGCTCAGTTTCCGTCCAATCGTCCAGAATCTGATCTTGCCGTGATTGTCGTCTTCCCGGAACGGATTCAGGTGTTCAGGGTAGTCGTGAATGGATATCGTCTTACGAGGCCCCGCCATCGCCGTCATAATAACACGATATACACTACAATTATAACAATTTTACATAATACTCCGGAACACTGTACTAGGCGTCGACCACTCCGTTTTTTATCTGTTATCACAATGGTAAGTTATCACAAACAGATATCGTCTTATCAACGGGAGATAATTGTTGAGTTTGTTTTCGCTGTACGAGGCCAAGGCGCCAGATTTTAGCCGTCGTGGCGCGCGGCGTCGAGGCTGAACACCGACTACTAACTGTGTGATGTCGGCGTGCGTGTCGCGGTATACACCAGTCACCAGTCACGGTGCTATCTCACACAACAAACATGCAACCGATGCACCTCGCGGAAAAAGAACATTAGAATTACAATGCGCTCGCATCTTGTATAGCATTAAGACACTTTTTAAGAATTCAAAGCAACATACGAGATGGCAATACAGTTTCACATCAGTAACTTTAATTACCGACTCTCATTAGTGATGACGAATCAAACTGCGCACAAGCAATTCGTTCAGCAACAAGAAAGGCAATATAATATTATGTATATTTAATACCTACAGCGTTTTTAACTGTGTAGGTATACACAAAATTCATGAAACGTTTCCTAACTCAGCAATTGAAGGTCAAGCAAACATGACGCCAAATAATTTATTATCAGTCTGATGTCAACTTTACAGATTACGTAATTGTTGACTACTTAATATTTGCATTCGCCACCAGTAAACACTCATGAATATCAAATCAGTATTAAGTAGTTCTGACTCTACCTGACACTGACATAAATGTATCTTGATGTCAATCCCGTTAAAATAATTCATTTAAAGTGAAATGACGCAATTTTACTTAATATTCTTGGAATTAAGGTATATCAAATAAGTTAATGACGTAGACAAAATAATAATGGACTTTGATATTATAGTTTGCTGAGTATAATTCTATTGTTACAATAATCGTTTTAAACATTCTTTATTTTTAACACAAAGCTATTTATTTATTAGCATGTTCAAGAATCAAGATTAATAACATAGGTCACTAGAGTCGGCTAAAATCAATACTTTTGTTGTTTTTTTCGGTCAGCTAGCTATTATTTGTAGACACCATTAAATGTAAGCTATTTTATTGATCCAAAATCCATTATAAGACAGTCACGCAATATTTATAACTGAGACATTCGTTTGTATGTCTTGTTGTGTGTTAATGCCTTAATATGTTGTCATGTATCAAAGTATATACATACATTGTGTACATATTGCAAAAATGAGCTGAGCGGATCAAAATAAAAATATCTTAGTCATCGTTTTCTTTTGTTCATTCATTTCGTGTGAATTTTAATATAACTCAGTGTAAATATACATGAATTTAAAATGAGTTAAAATCTTTTGGCTACCTTTGTAATGAAACATTTTCACTCATTCTTTTTTATAAAATTAATACTGTATGCATTTAGTTTTTTGTCTAAGGTCAATAGAAAGGTAAGTAATTTTAATATGACGTGACGGAACCCATATTACTAAGTAATAAAACAAATAGATGTAGGTATGTAATTCAGATAAAAAAATATTTTCAGTATATAATTTTATTAGTTCTTAAATTCCAGTATCGTCACACTATATACGAATTGTTTCCCGTTTCTCAATCTAAACCCATCTTTAATATTACTATTAATAATTTAATACAATAAGATAGACATTTAAAACTTCGTATGAAGTCTAGTGATGACACTAAGAATAAGCATACAGCAATAAGATAACATTGAAATTATATTGACACGTGAATATATAAATATATAGATAGATTTAAATTACTTTGTAGCAACCATCAAATCAATTTAAACCCGGACAGGAGATGACTAGTTCAATAATGTTATAATACATATTAACTTCGTTCGTCTACCATTTGATTTAGAACTTAATTTTTTTGGATTAAACATATAATTTCCAGTAAAAATATGGGTTTAATGTAAATTAATTGAGTTATGAGCTCTAATTTTGTGTTAGTTTAACTTTATTGTTGGAAAGAATTAGTACGAAATCAGTGGAACCTACATATATCTGTGGTGTCTTCCTTTCTAGTTAAACTATAGTAAAACTGGTAATTATTATTTATTAAAGTATTGACTATTTAAAAAGAATATTATTATATTGGATATTTTTACTTGATTTATTGTATATACAGTGTAAACTCTATATAACGACACTGAAGGGACCGTGCATTTTAGTGCGTTATAGAGAGTTGCCGTTAAATAGAAAGAAGAAAAATCAGAATTAGAAAAAGACAAAGTTTATTTCAGACTAGTGTTAATACTTATGTACATAAAAAAGAATGTTATAGTTTGAGATTTTGTGAGCAACTTTTTATGTTAACGTATAGGTAATACAAGACTCCTACTTATGGTCAAAAACCGTCGATACGTTTAAGCAATTTGTAATTGTAAACAAAAGAACGAATTTCTTAGAAAGTTCGGTATGCATGATAGGGACAGTCAAGTTTATTGCGGGCTAGGATAACAAAGCGAAAGGAACGTACACAGCTGCACAGTTTTTACTAATTTTAGCAACTTAAAAGGTACTTTTTATTACTTAATTGTTGTCGTTATTGAGAGTGGACGTGCCGCTATGTAGACAAGCTAAACCAACCAAAGTCAAATGATTTCGACGCTTTATAGAGTTTGTCGTTAAATCGAGTGTCGTTATATAGAGTTTACACTGTATTTATGTTTTTATCAAAAATGTCTGTGATCAGTATATACCGAATTATGAAAGATTCAAACATGAACCCAATAGTTTTCTTATTTATTAATATAGATAATAAATATTAGGTACAAACCAATTTTAAATGCATGCTCATAATCATAAACAAACAAAAGAGGTCATTAACCTCATTGCCGATCATAACAAAGCGACAATTTATCGTGTACGTCCCAGGACAGCTAGCATCTATTGCATCGCGACTTAGATCAATTGAGACGTATCCCGTTTTCATCGACACGATAATTAATGCTAATAAGCATATTCGTTGTCCACGTTGATATTTAAACTGTTCGCAAAATCATTCCTAATAAGTTTTACATCAACGTAAAGCACCATTAATTTTCTTATAGAATTGCTTTATAATAAACAATAGTCTCTCATGCATGAGGGCGCGAGTTCGATCCTGGCAAGTACCAATGTGATTTTTCCGAGTCATATATACTTTCTAAGAGTATTTAGACACCACTGATTAATTCTTTCTCAAAGAAGGGTTATGTCAGGCGGCCCGTCGTAAAAAATTAGCCAAAACTATTCACAACATGTAAGGCAGACCCTGGTTAAAAGCTGGGAAATTGCCAGATAGAAGAAACAATATTATAATGTATAGAAATTGTGTAAACTATTGAATACCTACTTGTAAATAAAATTTATTTGTAACAGATTAATAGAGTAACGGATCACTCTAAATACACTGACATACATACGTAAACACGATAATTGTATTCGTAAATACTATGTAATTGCATGTTGAATCCTCGAAACCGTAATATCTGCAATTATTAATGCCTTCTTAATTACACAACATCCTATTTTATTCCTGTTTATTTCCATTAGATAGCTTAATCATAAATTTTATATATATAACGTACGGAGAGATATGTATTTATTACGAAAAACCCTTTAAGATGCATTAAAGAGGAGGAAACGGCAGGTTACATCAAAATTGCAAAGAGGATGTTCCACTATACATGACATTGAGGACCAATCAGGTGTATAAAAGCCGTACTCGAGCCAGTGTGATGCGCATTTTATTTCTTTTATTATTTTTATGTTAGCACTGAGTACTGACACACCAAATACCAGGAAGGTCGATTGTGGAAAATTATTATCTCTTCGCTAAAAATAAATCTCAGTCGGTTACATATTGTTTTAAGAACAACTTATAAGTAATTTTTTTGTTGATCTTTTTTAAACTTTTATTATGAAAAAATATATTAATAAATTAAGAAATTAATTTTGTTATGCAGACCCTTTTTTTTCACCGAATTGACCTTACTTTTGAGGTTACTAGGACGATTTTATCTACATTATAATTATTTTTCCGAGCGAAATGATTTGATTTCAGTTTGCATTGAAGTCTCATGTATAAACCAAATAACCATGAAAGTTTAACGGAAGTCAACCGCAACTTTTAGACCGAAAAGCAAAGGCTATATACATTATCATCCCTGGCCTGGTAGAAATGAATATAGCTCGGTAATGTTTTAAATTAAACATAATTGGAACACTTACCTGTTTGCCCGTTACCACGACAACGATTAAACATCACTCGATACGTCTTTCAGTTTAAAAAAGATCTTGTATTAAAATATATATAAGATTTATGTAGATATTGAATCACTGTATTGTGAAAGCTAAAAAATGGCAACTAACACACCACCACACATATCAGCACACATATTCTATGGATTGAGAACAGACATTCAGTAAGTTTTATATTTGTTGTAAATAAATATTTAAAACTATTCTTCATCATTCGTTCATTTAGTAAGTAGTAAGTACCTACTTGTTAAACTATGACAATAGTGATTTAAAACAAAAAGATTATTATTATTGTTATTTACTATAAATTGGTCATCCAGACTTAAGATTTGGTCCTCAAAAAAGTCTTTTGATATTTTTAACTGTTTTTATTTATTTTCAGATATAATGCCCACTACATGACGGATTCCGAAATTATTTATCCCGCCGGTGGAGTTATTGTGATCCATAACCATATTCAAAAGAAACAGAAGTTTATAAGACTTCAGGACAAACACAAACCTATTAAATCATTGGTGTTGGCACCTAATAGGTAGAAACTATTTTTACTTTTCCCTAATTTAACAAACATGTACATACTGCATCCATGTTTCTTTTCCCGCGTCGTAATCATTTACATATTTCCAAATAATCCTTTTATTTGCAGACGTTGGTTAGCGTTAAACGAAATTGCCGAGGAGGGTCAAAAACCAATCATAACCATTTACGATCTAACTACATATAAAAGGCGTAAAATTCTGACGGTGCCTTTCGAGAATTCAACCGCTCGTGAATTTGCTTGTGTACAATTTACGTATGATTCAAAATATTTGGTAGCGATAACTGGCGAGCCGGATTGGTATTTATATTATTATAATTGGGATAAAGGCAAGGTCGAAAGTCATGCTAAGGCACAAAATCCGAGTGGACAAGGCACTGTTGAAAGCGTAAGCATTTTCATAGGTTTTTTTAGTTTTAAAATTCATTATAGCATGTAGCATATTAGTATAATTATATATGAGATGTCCTTTACTGAAATTATTTAAATTTTATGATTTTATTACATAAACTAAAGGTCCAATGTAACCCAACGGATGCAACCCTTGTAGTCATAACAGGGCCTTACACATTTAGAATCATGAATGTCTCTGAGACTGTCTGGAGACAGTGGGGTTGGTGCAAGGCTGAAAATGTAAGTTATCAGCAAAGTTTCAAATAACATACTATAACTCACAAATCACAAGAGAATTCACTTCTCTGAGGTATAAATATGAGTAGCAACACGTGGCTATTTTCCATAAAAATGAGTATATACATTACATTTCAACAAATACGTATAACAACTAAGAACATTAATATAATTTAGATCAACGTAACCAGCTGTATGTGGTTGACACCCGATCGCATTATGTTCGGGACTGATGCCGGGGTCATCATGGTGGTGTCGAGAATGGTGAACTAAGACAAAACTGCATATTCCGTGCCACTGAAGTAACTGAGATGTCATTGAAAAAAGTTGACATCGAGTAATATACCTTATAGATTACAAACTTGCAACACTTTTTTATTTAGACTACATCTATATTATGATAAATCTTCTTCTACCTGGCAATTTCACAGCTTTAGCCAGGGTCTGCCTTACATGTAGTGAATAGTTTTGGCTATTTGTTTTTACGACCGGCCGGATGCCTGACATAAACCCTTTTTTTTGGGAATAATAATTTGGGATAAATGTACTCTAATAATTTCCCTTTTTGTGAAAACTAAAAAATGTTTTGATTTTATGATATTTTTGGTTCCATATTTTTATTTCATACCACTTGTAATTACATAATATCGTAATATGAATATGAAAATGTGTACCATAATATATTTTATTTATTATGGATTATGTGTAGGGCGACAGAAAGCGAAAAAACCAGTACAGCCAGTGCTGAAGCCACTCCTACTGAATCAGGACTCATCGATTCCGATAGCTGTCCAGTAATGTGTCTCATTAATTTCAGCAAAGGTACCTATATGTAGTTAGCTTTTATACTAGCTGTGTGCAATCAATTCATTCAAAAAAGTTAAGATCTACAATTAAAGATACGGTATTCTTTTTCTGATAGATAAGTTTAATAACTATCTCTTCGTAATTTATAAAATATACATTAAAAAAAATTGAAGAAATGATAATTTTCTTTCGAATTCAATTTTAATACATAATCCAAATTAAGAATGGGACAGACCACAATGTTGAAAATATTCATTTTGAGTTTTAATTTATTATGACTCTCAATGATCATGTTAGTTTAGACAGAAGCATATATAGCTTATTATAATAAAATATGTAAAAAATGTATATTGGATGATGATTCATGTGTTTATTATTGTCATTATAATCTTTAAAGTTGTTTTGTTTCTTACATTTTAGGATTTGCTTACGCTTGTGGCCAAGGATATGTTCATATGTTCGAGAAAGAATCACCGCACCATTGGAGGAAGAGAAACTTGTATAGAATATCCAAGAAATCTTATAAGTAAGAATCACAATACATATTGTAGCATAAAAAGTGTGTAGACTAGTATACTGTGAGATGTATAAACGGATGCTTTCATTATTTAATATTTGTTATATTAATACCAATTCCGATGTGTTTATTGTCAGGCATACCCGAGAGCATCCATTGTGGTCGCCACTTGACGCTATTCAACATATAACAATTGATCCGAATCAAGAAACTCTTCTCATCACAACTCTGAGAAAGCAGCTCTATTACGTCAAATTGTTCGGGCAACATATGCTACAAGTAATTTATAAAACATGTTCGTGTATTAAATATTGACGCTATTTTTTAATCGTTTTTTTTTTAAATATAGAATCCAGAGATATCATTCACGGAACTCGGTCCAGCTATGCATTACGGAAGAATAAATGCTCTCTCTATGTGCGCGTGGAAACCAATTTTCATGACTTCTGGAGAACTGGACAAGAGTATACGGATTTGGAACTACATGACCGATGACGTTGAATTGATTAAACTATATCAAGAGGAGATACATTGTCTGTCTTTACATCCTTCTGGTATATTTAAATTTTTTTATTTGTATTGGATTTTTTTTTGACGACAAATCTTTTATAAATCCTAATTATTTTTTCAGGGCTATTTGCCATAGTTGGCTTTTCAGACAAGTTACGATTTATGGTAGTACTAATTGACGACTTTGAAGTGATGCGAGAATTTCCTATACGTAACTGCCCTCGTGCGAAATTTAGCACCAACGGCCACCTTTTCGCAGCAGTCAATGGTCAAGTTGTGCAAGTTTTTTCCTCGTTTCATTTCAAAATGTTTATAATTTGAAGGGTCATAACGGAAAAGTTAAGTAGAAGAATTTTATGAATTAATGACGTTTTTTCAAAGTGTTCTTAATAGTATTGTAATACCAGATAACGTGCCTGGCGTGGTCAGCAAATGATTTAACACTAGTCTCCTGTGGAACTGAAGGCGCCGTGTACGAGTGGAACATGGCTTCCGGCCAACGAGTCGGCGAAGTTATATTGAAAACGAACCAATTTAAAGCCTGTGCCGTGAATAAGTATAAAAATTATCTAAATGATCTCATTTTTATGTCCTTTTTATTATATTACTGTTCGATTTAATCATGTGTAATTTCAGTAACGGTAAAACAACTTACGGCGTTGGAAGTGACGGCGAAATCAAAGAAATCGGCTCAAATACGATTCGGAGAAATCTTGGTTTGATTGGATGCGGTCTCGACACTATAGTCCTCTCCCGTTCCGATTTGATGCTTTTCATTACCGGCGGCGAGGGTGGTGTTACTGCGGTGCAATTACCATTACTAGATAAGGCTATTTACAACGAATTTCATATGCACAATAAAAATGTAACCGCCATTGCCCTATCATACGACGATCAAACATTAGTTTCTGTGGCTGAAGATTCGTCTATCTGCCTATGGAGATTAACTAATGCTGACGGTAGAGCGATAGCTTTAGATAAAGACTTCGCATATTCCAAAGAGATTCTGATCAGTAAGAAAGATCTTCAAGAGAAAATTAATAGTATTAATGTTAGTATTGCATTTATATAAACAATTACATATAAGATGAAAATTGTAAATGTATTTTAGAACATTATTTTTTTTATATGTATTTTATCTGTTTCTAGTTACTCAGTACTAGGATGAGTGAATTGGAAACTGAACATACGTACCAGCTACGTCAGGCTGAAGCAGCTCAGGCTGAGAAATTAAAAGAGGTTCATGAGGGATACTGCGCCGCTATAGAGGAACTAAAAGAGAAAAACGAGGTAAATTATGTATCAAATTCATCATGGAACCTTTGATTCCCAAAGCGATTACAACTTTCAATTACAGCAAATGGAAAATGAACATACCCACGAAATTGGCATGATACAACAAGACATCGCAAAGCTGCGATCGGGTCACGAAAGAACTTTACAAGCTTATGAAGCAGATTTTAATATTCGACTAATTAGCGAATATGACAGATATCAGGTAAAAATAACAAAAAAATCAATATAAATACTTACCAATAAAAACATTAATAATAAATGACACAAAAATATTTAGAGTCTAGAAGACAAAACAGCTCGCATGAGGAAAGATTACGAACAACGTTTAGAAGATTTGGCGGAAAGCAAGCGACAGGCTTTAAGAGAACTGAATAAGACTTTTGAAGCGAAATTAGAAGAAAAAGATCTCATGCTTCAAGAGGTTGGAATCAAAGCTATTGAGGTTTTATTTAAAAATTGAGCATGCTTTAAAAATAGTTTTATTTCAGTTACAAGAACAAGCTGATATGGAAAAGAAGGAACATGAAACTATTAAGGCGTCTATAGAAGAAGATGCTGATCGTGAGATAATAGAGATAAGAACGGCTTACGAAGTTCAACTAAAAGAAGAAAAAGACGCAAATGTTAGGCTGAAAGGCGAAACCGGTCTGATGAAGAAAAAACTTATATCAGCTAACAAAGAGATTGACGAATTCAAACATCAAGTGTCTCAACTTAAAGGTTTGTTTTTTATTATGTATTATATATTTTGTATAGGTACCTGTGTGTGTTCTTAAAGTGATTTTCTTCTAGCCGAGCACAAACAGTTTCAAAAAGTAATATCGACTCTGGAACGAGACGTCGCTGATCTCAAGAAAGAAATATCGGAGAGAGACGGCACAATACAAGATAAGGAAAAACGGATATATGAATTGAAACGCAAGAAGCAGGAACTAGAAAAATACAAATTCGTTTTGAATTTTAAGATAACCGAATTGAAAAATCAGGTACGCGAATTGTTTGTATAATGAGTTTAAAACACGAGCACTGTAACAAACTGGAATAAATAAGCCAGTCTTAATCTTGAATTACTTGTAAACATTAGATTGAACCGAAAGAAAAAGAAATACGGGAGTTAAAAGTTCAGATTGATGACATGGAGAATGAAGAGCTAAAATTATTGAACACTAAACATGATCTTGGTAAAGTCCATAATAAGACAATTCCGCAACCTTAGAAATAGTTACGTAATGTATAATTAAAAAAAGTTACAGCTGTATTGATTTCCGTTTAAATTAATCACAGATAGAGCCATTAGAGCGCGAGATCAAAGAGAGAAAAGTGCGTATTCTTGAACTGGAAGTGTCGTTGGAAACTCTTCTAAAGCAAAAAGATTTCCGCGGTAATTTATATGAAATCAGTTGTAATTTTTTTTCGGTCACAGTAGATAGCTCAATTTTTCAAAGCACTACGGTTGTGACAAAAGGCACATTGAAATATAGTTTAGAACTTTAGTTCTTTGACGTAGTTAATTTTGGTAGAAATATCTATGCAATTTAAAAAAATTTGCACCTTCTTATGTTGCGAAAAAATTAATTTATAGTTTTTTTGGTATGAAAACAAATATTTTATTTCTAGTATGTATATGTACTTAGCAATAAAAAACTTTATGTAACTGCAGTAGAGACGTCGTTACAAAAAAAAAGATTACATTATCCTGACTATAAGTTTTCTTTTAGAACTTAAGATCAATCAGTTGAATGAAAAGTTAGCATCGGCGAAGAAAGATTTCTTCAGTGAGGCGAATCGTAATTTGACTCTTAAAATACTTTAAAGAAAATAAAAATTGATCTTCACAATATGACGGCCAATTTCCAAGATCCGACTCAGCTTAAACTGAGCGTGAAGGTATTTCATCACAAACATTGTATAAGCCACTATTTCTTTCAAAACGCATAATTAAGTAAAATATTTTCTGTTTCTTAAAGGCGCTGTTTCAAAAATATGTGGAGGACATTGACTTTGTACGAAGTCGTATGGCTGAGGACGAGGCGATTAGAGAATTCAATAGACAAAGAGATCACCTTGAAAAACAGGTTGCAGGTCTTAAAATGCAGCTATCGAAATCACTGGATGGATCCAAGAGTGACATTGGAAAGATTATGGATGTAAGACATTATCATAACGTTTAACTAGACGCGGTATCACATTAGGAACTCACCTAAATAATTCAATTCTATTCTAGGAGAACTGCACTCTGTTAGGAGAAATTAATAATCTTCGAAGTGAGTTGAAAGCTACACGTACAAGATGTTTTCAAATGGAGTCTATATTGGGTTTGTCAGCGCGTTATATCCCGCCCGCCACTGCGCGCGCTAAACTCAAACACGTCACAGAGGAGCGGGAAAAACTTGATGAGAAATTTAAACAGAAAATCGATGTAATTTAACTTATCTATAAAATTTATTAGGTTTTTTCAGTTAAAAGTTTGTAAAACAATGAATATTATCGATTCATAAAATTTATTTCAACTTAGGCCTGTTATTTCAAAAATACTAGATTTTAATATTCAGTTTCTGAATTTAAATCATCTATGGAATTTTAGATAAACCATGTTTTACCAACTATAATTTAGTTACTTTAATTCAGTTTTCTTATTAATTTTTATTTAATGTTTGCAGGAGAGAGAGGAAATCATTGTAGCTTTAAAGGAAGAAAATGATCGTCTCCTTGGAAAAGTAAGATGTGCTGATGAAATAGAACCTTCTGAGAATGACACTGAAGAACAATGAATCTACTACTAATTGCTTCTGCTTTTAGATATATGATTATGTAATAAAAAAAAAGAATATGGACTAGTCTGTTATTTTTTTTAATTAACTTTGTCAGTTATTGAGATGTTTTCCTTGAAAAGTAAGTTAGATCCTAAATTTTCTATACCATTAATTTGCCAAGTTTAGTACCTATGTTACTGAGTTTATTGCGTAATTAATCTATAACTACTTTGACACATTGCTTCATTCAGTTATTAATTTGCTTCAAATAAGCAAGAATACAAAATATATCATATTTACGCTAGACACAAATTCACTTTAAAGTAGGAGCTACGAAATTGGCTCTTGGACTTAACAATTAAGCCCTATTAGAGATATAGTTTAAGAAAAAAGCTATAAGGGTTCATGTCCCAGAACCCCATCATGTATTGAAAAATCATAATGCTGACCATACACTTTAAAGTACACTTGCGCAAGTCATGACTGGCTGAACCAACATGAATATGTATAAAACAATATGAAACAAAAATATGCAAATGGATCGGAACTATACATTTATTCAATACAATATTTAATTCTGAATAACATCTGACGCTTTACTCTGCTTCCAATCACTAAAGAAATAGATTATTAAGTCAATTTTTTTATTCACAATTCTCTTAAAATTTCTCTTGATGCCACTATTTTAAGTAATAGCTGACATACATCATACCTATGAACAGACGTCATATTAGTCACCGGTTCACTTTAATTCTTGAATAAGTGATAAATTAATAAGAATTGCTTTACTATAGTTCAAACTCAATTATATCCAAATCTAAGTAGATTGGGAAGTCTTGACATGTTGAGGATTCATTGAATTTTGAAAGTGGCTTTTATATACACTTTTTTGATACCAATATATTTTGTTAAGTTTTCTTGTTTTTATTAAACAAGTAATTTAGAGAAATCAGATACTTTATAAATATTTTTTATGTCTTCATAACATGTTTATACCTCAGGAAACTAATAAAATAAAAAAAACTGATATTAAAAAAAATAATTTACTAAATGCATTTTTATTATAACATGAATATGCCCCTTCATTTATCCATTTGAACCTAAATATAAATACATATTTGTGAATATATAAATTTAAACACCATATCATATTAAAGCTCTATTGAAATAATAAAAAAAAACTAAATGCCCTCACCTCTATAGTCCATATATTGAAATCATACATTGAAGTACTCAATTTAGAGTACTCGTTTACCTTGAAACAACTCATTAAAATGTTATAAAACTAATAATAAATAAACTTAAATATTTGTTTAGAGAATAAAAGGTAGGATGGCTTTGCGGCCTTTTGGGTAGTCGGGGAATTCTTTCTTATAATTACGGTGCTTTCCAATAGCCCATACTGACATCTGATATAGACCAACCAATGCAAACAAACCGGCTGTAAAATAAAACAAAAAAGATTAATTCAATGCCATAAGAACCAATTGAATTATAATTAATGTTAATTTTATACTTGTATGCTTTTTTTTAATAACATTTATCATAATAACAAGCCTTTTTAATAATAACATAATAAGTTGCTACAATTTACATATAAGGAATATAAGTAGTTTTTAAGGAAATCTTGCTGTATCTACTGTTACTATTTAATAAGTTTTTTTTATTATACTGAAGGTCATGCTAAGGCCAAGAAACTATATTCAATAAGCATTGAATAATTATTGACTAATGCATTATTTAAACTTAATCAAGGTGTAAAGGTTTCTGATTTTCATTGTTTTATGTAAATGTGTAAATATATATTGAATTTAACGAACCTGGAAGACATTTGGTCAATACTGTGAAGAAGAACCAAGATCCGAACTCGTAAGTATAATTGGGGCAAGAAACAAAGTTGAAAAGTATGGAGAAGGGGTTGCCGTCCGGTTTGGGAATGCGCCTCACTTTAGTGCCTGGTGGTCTCAAGTTCTTCAACAGGATGTGAATGCTTAAGTTACCCAATTCACAGATCTGTAAATTATTTATTTCACATAAATATGATGTATTACAATGCATTATATAGTAAACTAAACTATATTTTATATAAGATACTATATAATAAACTAGATGAGAATAGAATACTTACAGTAAAACCTGCTACTCCAACATACAAACATGTGTTGCAAGGGGCAGTGAAGAGTGGGTGATTAATGTGGTATGCAATGTATAGGGTGAATAACCAGTAATATGAACAGTTTTTGAAAAGATTCCGAAGTGGCATTGTCCCCTTTGAGAATCGGTGGACGAAAACGGTCTCTAGAAGTCGCTTGGCATAATGTACAGACCAACAAATTGCTGCAACACTAAAAATATAAACGTAAATTAGATGGTTAATCATAAATTTGTCTTTAATTAGTGGATATAATGTCATAATCATTTACGTATTATTCCAGCAATTAAATGTGGTTGGACTTTGATTGTGATTATAAAATGTGGTTGGACTTACGTAGCGACTGTTCCTGGGGCTGATGTAACATCACCATAAAGAATCCAGGGTCTTTGATATACCCATAAGTAAACAAACAGAGGGCCGGCGTATTCAGCTAGGAAGACATTACGCCAAGAGATTTGTGGTCCAAGATCTTGTAAATACAATTTCGCTCCGTCACCTACGTTCAGAGATTTCAGAGTCGTTTCGTCTTTAAGTGACCTTCCTTTAGATTCCAGTTTGATAGATTGTCTTTCAGGATACATAGATTTTTTTAAACCCTGATGAATCTTTTCTTTCACATCTTGGACAGTGGCATCCTCATTCACACGTATTTTTCCCAGTGGCTTGGAACCGGATACGCTTAATATTTCAATCTGTAGGAAAACCCGAATTTAATATGAAATAAAATGTAAAAATATATATATCACAACTCTAAGAAAACAAACCTCCATTATTACGTCCACTTCCAATTATCAAAGCCTACAGAATAAAATCCAAACTCGATTAAATATTTGAGTTTTTCAATTAAAGGCAAAGGTCACATTAAAAACTAAGTTTCACTCTACAGTCCACTTGCGGAGTTTCGAACTAAAGACTTCAGACTACCGAGTACCGGCCTGTACTTGAAATAGCTCTAGCAAGTAGTAACTATCGAGTTTTAAGTAAAAATAAGTACGATATATAGTTTTGCAACTAGATAGGTTTGCTGTTATAGTAATGTAACATAAATATAATAAAGATATTAATTTAGCAGTTACTAAATCGACAAATTTTATTGAAATATTTTAATGACGTAGCAAGTTTGATCATAGTCTGTACTCTTTTATGATATGTACTACCTATGTAGGTAGGCAGCTGTAAAGTATAATCTGTAACTTCTCAACCACAGGTAAATATATAAATTTACATATAGATTTATAAATTTTAAATATATCAAAACAGAAAAAATATTAACGTATAAAACTATTTATACTCTATTTTTGATAGAATAAAGAAAAGTGTATTATTATTATTTTTTAAGCTCGAGTTATAAAAATCAAAACTTTATTTCCTATAATTTAATAAATAATTGGTTTAATATATTACACTTATAAAAAATTAAATAGAGATAAATTTGATTGTTTTTTATAATAATAATTATCTTATAATGAATGACTCCCTACAATTATGGCAGTGTTGGTATTATTCATTATTCCTACATATGTGTGCACTACCCCTGAATGTGTGCACTATTATTGATAACATTTTTCATTTGTGTATTTGTGCTCACTGTAAATGTGTTAGTAAATTAAATGGCGATTCTTGAGTAGATACGTATTTCACAAATAACAAAAATATTACACGCTTTCTTATACCTAGTGTAGTTTAGTCGTACTAAAAATATATCAGAATGCGTTCAGTTGTGGAAATCGGGGCAAGTGTCCCCGCTTTTTTGGGAAAATTGTGGAAATTAGTAAATGATTCAGAAACGAATCATTTAATATCTTGGAGTCCAGTGAGTTTTCTTATTTAAATAACAAATAAGCTCTGTGTTATTAAAAAGGAATATGAATTCCGTTTTCCATATCAGAATATGACGATATATTCATCTTTTAATTGCCTAAAAAACTATATGAAACGTAGGTGACAGTTCGTCATTGAACACCGAATAAATAAATAGTTACAGGTCACGTTTTGTACCATGCTCTTAGATTCGTGCCGTAGTTAGTTGCTGGGGAGCCGCATACTTTCACCACTTGCATACTTTTACTGAAAATATACTATGAAATGTTCTAAGTCCATTTATTTTATTTCTTTGTTTTGTGGAGGTGGGCCGGTACTTTTCCATTAGCTCTTATATTAGTGCTATACTATTTCACCATAACATTAGTTATAAAATGTAAAACACAAATTACCACCACATATGTGATAAACTTCTAAGATTCTTGCTAAAAAAACATTCAATAGAAATTCATTATAGATCAATAGGGTTTTCCATTAATAATTAGGCTGGGGCAAATGAGTCCTTTCTTTTGATTTCTGTTCATGGCTGGTGATTGAACTCATGATCATTCAATTTAATATGAAAAAACTGTTTTATTTTGTGATTAAATCGGAAAATTATAAGCATCAGTTATAAAATGTTAATAACTGTTTAATTATATTTATACACAATTTAAAATAACAGATGTATAGGAATGCTGTTGAAATACTTTTGAGCAATATGTCTGCATCTTTTCCCGTATATAAAATATATTGTTACAGTAAACATATAGCATGCCATATGTTACTATTTTTTTTTTAAAGTTATTTAAGGAAAAAACATTAGATAAAAATACTGATTGGTTATATGATTAGATGGAGGTATATCAAAATTGTGTGATTTAAATAAAACATATGATTTATTTTAAAATATTTTTAGGGTGGAAAAACATTTGTTATAAAGAATCAAGCTGATTTCGCAAGAGAACTGTTACCACTTTATTATAAACACAACAATATGGCTAGTTTCATCAGGCAATTGAATATGTATGGGTTTCATAAAATAACTTCAGTGGAAAATGGAGGTTTGAGGTATGAAAAGGATGAAATTGAATTTTCACATCCCTGTTTTATGAGAGGACATGCATATCTATTGGAACATATAAAAAGAAAAATTGCCAATCCAAAGTCCATAGTGGCGAGCAGTGAAAGTGGTGAGAAAATTCTCTTGAAACCAGAAATAATGAACAAAGTGTTAGCTGATGTAAAACAAATGAAGGGGAAACAGGAGAGTCTGGACGCTAAGTTCAGCGCGATGAAGCAAGAAAATGAAGCATTGTGGAGGGAAGTAGCAATACTGCGTCAAAAACATATTAAACAACAACAAATTGTTAACAATGTGAGTGTCTGATTATACAATATGTGTTTTGGTTACATAAGTTTCTAATGTATATGTGGTTATAGCTCATACAATTCCTGATGTCATTGGTCCAACCATCAAGAGCTCCCAGTTCCACTGGTAACAATGTTGGAGTAAAGAGGCCATATCAATTGATGATTAATAATGCGGCACACAACTGCGGTGATAGCTCATACCCTGGTAGGCTTAAGAATATTAAAATTGACAAGGACATTGCATTGGAAGATTTAAGTGAAGAAAACTTGGTGCGTTATTTACTATTTATTATTCATATTAATTCTTAAATCTCAATCCATGTTGATGATATGGAAAATTATTTGTGTACAATATATTGGGGTCAATTTAGACATACATTTGTATATTTCAGGAGGATGGGCCCACTATACATGAATTGGCACATGATGACATATTGCACAATGAAGCATCTCAGGATTCATTGGACGATAACTTTGTGTCGGTTGATTTAGCAAACAACCCACTTATTGCCAACTCACACAATAACTCTGACCCAACAACATCCTCTCGGTACCATGTAACAATGGAAGACGGTGAAGATCTGGAAACTGGTATGTACTTATATTTATAAAATGTTTACTAATAACACATTCAACACTCATAAGGAATTATTAACAATTGTTTGAACATAAATCATCAAATCAAAAATCAGATATCATCAAAAAAAAAGTAATTCTTAAAATAGTTGTGAATTTAATGTCTATAGATCGTTCAAGATTATCGTTGCCTATAGTCAATTCCAATGGTTTATGGAAACGCGACACCAGCCCATAGTTTCGTCCCCATCCCCTACAATGGCATCTGTGTCTCCAGTAGGTCAACAGTCAGCTGAGAATGTTAATGCCCACATAACAATATCACCGGGCACATCAAAGACAAAGAATCGAAGCAACTGTAGAAGTATTTTAGCAAACAAAAATGTAATGTCGACAAGCAACTTTAACTCTATAAACCCATCAGCGGATTTCAAGCTACCAGCTGAGATTTTCGCTAGCGACGACTCTGTGAGTGATGTGGCGGCTACAGAGGAAGTTCTACAGGATCTGGTGTGTGATCAGGTCGCCTCAGCCAAAGACAAGATGTTAGGCGGTGTAAATATTAAAATAGAGAAACCATTGGACTGTAAGAATGGAAAAAAGGCGAAAAAATCAAAGGATACCAACAATACCTGCAGTTTGAACTTAGCGGACATCAAGACTGAATTGCAGGACGACTTTGATTGGAACAATATGACACTCGCCACGGTTAATAACTCTAATATTAACAGGCAGCAGGCTGTGTAAGTATATTGTTTGTGTTTAGTCAACTAGATCATAAACACTTCATCCTATTTATTATGACCAGTAATTATTTATAAAATCTATTATACAATATGTTTTAATACTCAGGTATAGGAGAGATAACTGCCAAAATCGGGAAGATATAACTTCCCTCTTTGGATCAAATTCCAACAAGTATGTTCAATTGATGCTTTTTTTTTTAATCTAACAGGAAAGAAGTTCACTATAAATATTTATTGAGAAGTCAAATCAAAACATAAATATAAAGTAGTTTTGTATAACACAGTATACATTAGTTTCAAGTTACATAATTTTGATAAGTATCTATAGATTACTGCTTCTATAATCTCCCCAAAAATGTGAAAGAATTCTATTATTATATGTATATTGTGTATAAAAAATATGTATGTAATTTTATATATGCCAATATGATAATATTTATTATAACTAGTATTTTTACCTATATAAATATCAGTATTCTCTTTTTAAATTCGACACTTATGTCATTTAATATTGTCTTGTTTAAGAAAAAAGTTCATAAAATGTATATAAAGTTCGTCCTCGATTGATATGGTCATTCGATGGTAATCACATAAATATATAAATCTAGTTTGCATACCTAATATTGTTGTTTAGGATTTCAATGTATTGAAAATTCAGAAGCTAAGAGTATATGATTCAATCATAATATTATGTTCGGCAGAGAACGGTTACATAAGTAGGATAATTTACGGTGACAAAAAAAAAGAAACATTAAAATGTCATTTTCAGGAACGATATCGACGATCATTTGGATTCAATGCAAACGGATCTGGATTCATTGAAGGAGCTGTTGAGAGGTGATACTTACGCGTTGGACACAAATACGTTATTAGGGGTGAGTTTGCCATTTATATATTCGAGTATCAACTATCAACAAACGGTATGGCGCGATCATTCAAACTTGTGTTTGTGTAGATCAGTGACGTTGTGCCGTGTACATTGACGTTTACAGCCGTTAGGTTGGCAGCGCTGTCAAGTCACGTTGCAACCAACGTGTAGGGAACGCGTGCGGAGCCTTGTGCCGACTGCCGCCCGCCGTCTCAAAGACACTCGCCATTCGCTACGTAACAACGGGTTTTGCTGTATTACAATAATTATCATGCCGAACGATGTTTCGTATCGCTTTCGTCATTTTATAGATATGACTGTACTGGACCCAAATAAATATATATTTATTTATATTATGTGATATGTTTACAATGATTAAAATGTCTTAGATAAATATTGAAAGAAATAGTTTAAATGATGTATAAAATTAACTTCTGTATTGTCCTCAGATTGATGAAAGCATAAGACCTACAGTTTCACACCATACCAAACAGAATGTAATAATAAAATTGAACTGAAAAATATTTAATCTAAATGTATCTTTCTTTGAAAGGGACTCTTGTTTCGAAATATTTATGAAAAAAATATACCAAAATAAAAATAAATTCTTAGTTTGAAAAAAATCTGTTTTCAGCTTTTCGGATCAGATGATCCTTTCTATGGACTCTCTTACAATCCGTCGAATGACCGCGCTAAGACCTGCAGTGGTGGTAAGTTAGAAACAAATTAATTATATAATAGGAATATGGAGGCGGACGGGGCTTGTAGAACATCGGAGACATACCCGCGTGGTAATTGATTGATATATAAAAATAACAGTAAATCATATATAGAATTATTTAAACTATAAAATTAGTTAGATAAAACCATTTCAGTACAGCTGGTTCCCGTGAGGCTTCGGTTGATAAATGTATATGTATATAACTATGGTCTGATGAGTTTTCATTACTTGTATATTAATTGTAGATACAACCAAACAGTATCCGATGATTGATTTTGATTGGCTGATCGGTAGCAGCGATGCGTCCCAAGCAAAGTAACGACAACAATGTATGGAATAATGAAAGTGGACATTGGTAATGGGTGTAAAATAATAATAGCTAGGTTATATTAGGGTGTATGAGCGGATGTGATTCCGCGTTTAGTTTATAGTATTAGTATGTAAATTCGTATTTTATATATGAATGTTTTAATTAAAGCTATGAAGCTGAAAGGTGAGGTAACGAATGTAAGCGGTGACGACACACGCGCACAGAGCCCATTCGAAGATGACGGTATTCATGTTATATAGTATTTAATGTAGGAAATAAATATGCTTTATGTTATGCGCATGTAAATTAGATATCAAGTGACTCGTAGTTTGAGTTTGTTGTTCGATTTTATACGGACAGTTTGTAAGTTTATCATTCGAATTTATTGGTTTTTACGAATTTTTGGAATGATAGACGCTCGAACTGTCGGTTTTTAGTTGATCAAGCGAACTCGTTCTAGGGTCACATATTATTTCGTAGGACGGAAGGGGCTTCTTATTTTTTTTATTTTATTTTTAATGGAAGTTTAGTTTTATCGTGTCGCCACTACATATAGACCTCTTATATAAATATAGTAATATTTTAGTTTGTTTTTAATTATAATTTTTATACGTAGTTTAGGCTATATTATTGTTTTTAAATATTTCAATGTAGCTTTTATGTTATATAATATTAATTAAGTACACGTTCTACCATTTAAGTATATTTTTACATTATTTTTATGAGATTCGTATGCATTCAGTTGATTAGTTCTATGAAATAGCTTTTAGCTTTTTTAATTTACTCTATAATGTTAATTTTCTTTGTAAATCATCTGCTGAACAAAGTGTTTATTTAGTTTTTGAAAATATCTTTTTAAATATAATATGACTTATCAAGAATTAGATGCTGCATTGCATGATAGCACTATTTGATTTGATCGCTTTTTATAAAATAAATCGGGATACATCGGTATATAATAGTAGGCTTAAAGTTAAATATTATGATAACGTAAATAATTTTAATTTAGTTTAAAACATTCCAATACCGGGAATGCCTTAGAACATCGCTAAATACGAGCGTCAGGTGATAACTAACAGAATATTTTCTTGGGTAACTTTCAGCTGAAGGGAATCAGTTAATATCGTATACAGAGAATATTCCAGACTTTGAGGATATAAATATGCCGGAGTTGGAGGGCGAGAACTCTCAAGACTGCATCCCGAGTCCCAGCAGCTCGACCTTGAATACACCACAAGTACAGCTACAGTCACCATCATACACGAGACCATGAAATATATACAAAACCAAACGCAGTTATAACTATAACTTAGTTGTTATTAACTGTCAGTGCAAGACAATGTCAATGTCAAAGTTTGGCGGGACGAAGAATCGAGTTATTTTTAAAGACAATCGGATTCTCGTTCTACATCCTATACTGAACATTACGTGGAATTGTTATTATAATGAAAATATTATGCCGTTTTTTTATATTGAAACAATGTGATTTATCTTTTGTTTTTGTTTACATAATTTAACATTACTCTTTTAAGCATTTACTAGCCGCTTTACATTTATTGTTAAAAATATTCGCATATGTTTTTAAATTAGTGTCAAACATGTTAAAGTTGAGCATGTACTTAGAACTATCGATGACATGTATGTAACGGGCACCAAATTTATATCTGAAACGAGAGCAAATAGATTTTAATGACTGACATTGAGGTACTAAAACAATTTTCTTTGGTTTTAGGTGCCAAGTTGGCTCAAAACAATCAAAAAACACCGATAATGTACCTAAAAATATAATGAAATGTAATATTTTGGACAAAAATATATATAGATATAGTCTGTGCTGCTTGGTGCCTTAACAGGATTCATATTTTTATACAAGTGACTTGTGGTTAGCACTGTACCTAGGAGATAGGTTAAGATGAACAAAATATAGAGAATGTATATAAATATTATAAAATGCGCTTTTGTAAATGTGCGTGTATTTAATGTTAATAATAGTTTTTATTGTTTATAATATAACATGCGACATATTAGCAGACTTTTTTTTGTAATAATAAGTTGCTTCGTTTGTACATCACAATGTGAAATGTCGTTCCGTGACATAAAGCATTTCTTTTGTAAAATGTTTATATATTAAGTTAAATATTAAGCGCAGTACGACTGCTGATTGTTTTATTCGTGCGTGTTGAAATTTTTTTTTATATAAATATTGTACAAAAATATAAAGTTAAAAATATATTGGTGACAAAATTTTTTGTTTTGTATTACGTATGAATTAGTTGTTAACGTGTAAGTTTTATTTACATTAAGATGTATAATATATGTTAGTAAATAAATTTTTGGTGGTTAATTTAAAAACTAAATGTCTACGTTTTTTAACTTTAACCCATTATCGTGTTATGTGATGTGGGTTTTTTATCTACTAAAAAATATTCCTGCTTTTACCGCCGTCCGACCGAGATAAGTACAACCAAAAATTAATTTGGAATAAAATAGTGTTAATTTTTTTTCATACAATATGAAATAATCATCAAAATGGAACCAATAAGACCGGGAATAGCAAGAGACCTTTCCCGTTATAGGAAAAAATTTATTATTTAAATGTCCTGTTAATAATGTTGAAATTTATGTTCAAAAACGAGACTGATATTATAAAAATGACTACATATCCTTTCCTGATTACTCCTCGGCTTACATTGAACGTAAAGTAAATTTTATAAAGAAACTATATATTATCAGTATTTTTATATTAATAGAATGTCGCATACACTATAGTTCTTTTTCGTATTTACTATGGAATTAAACAATAATTCCTAGCTCATATTTTTCTACTATTATAGGTTTTATAAATGTCATGTTATAATAACATGATTTTAATATAAAGAAATGTTAAAATATAAATAGATATAATATTAATGTGTTTGGCCAGATTATCGTAATAAGTGATTTTAAAAGAAATTAAAAACTAAATACTTGTTTTATTTATACCTGTGAATATAAAGTTACAGTTTAGAAAATTCGTGTCTGTACGGCAATAATTTTGCTACTGGATAATTATCAGGCGCCTCAAAATAAATAATTTTTCTTTTCTTTTTCCACCTAAAGCACGCCGGTAAACAATTATTATGCAGGCAGTATACACACCATAAGCCATAGCAATTACGTAAGGTATAAGACAATTACTATTTCATGTAAAAGAACTAGGGCGCAATATATTTTTTCTCTGAAATATTTTGGTATGAAAATGATTGTCTATTCCAGTTCTCATTGAGATAATTTATATTAAATTGAACCATTAAGATATTAATGGACATAAAAATAAACATGAGCACTCAAGGTGAACTTGGAAAAAAGATAATTTTTTTCTTCTATTTCTTTACAATATAGCAAAACATGTTTCTCACATACCTACAGATTATATACATATTAATCATTATAAAATGTACAGCTGTAAAAGAACACTACAAAGTTAACTGGTAATTTCCAAGCATTTCATTGATTTCGTTAAAGTTTTTTAAGGATGGTCATTACATTTTTTTATCTTTATAATACAAAAATTGTCTAAACATTATAAATAATCATCTACAGTGGATAATAATAATAATAATAAATCCGTTTTATAAAGCATTTAGATTTATTTAAGTGGTGTTATCACAGCTACAATCTAGGATCCTGGTGTAATTAATACATATAAAGCTAACAAAATATATTTTAGAGTACGTCGTATTAAAATAAGACTTTCTCGTACACAACATAAGATCTTTTGACAAAATAATGTTAAATCACAAAAATAAATTAACAAATTTGTACAACGTGCTATAAATAATATACAATAAGAATACAATGTTAATAATAAAAATAAAATTTTTGTCAACGAAAATACAGGGCATTGAAGGCCGTAAAACAATAACTTAGTACGTGAACAGTAGGACGATCAGCAGGTAGAATTAGCCGCTATTTTTTAAAATTATAATAAAACTGAAAGGCCCTTTTAAAATATACGAACCGAATTTAAATTGCCGTTTCTTGTAGGTACAGTTTTTTTTTATCTATTTGTCAACTATATCCAGATTCGCCAGCGAAATTGTCTACTTTAGAAAAAGTCAATATAAGCGACTTCCGTGAAACATGAAAAAAATAATATAATCTTATCGTCTTAGTGTACACGCACACTTAAAATAAACCTAGAATAATACATTATTTTTTGACTAGAGACTATTTTTATTTATGTTGAATTATTTTCACAATTTTATTGTAGACGTTAATGGTTTAATACAGCCCCAACTATTTTTAGACTTATATTAATTTTGTTAAATCGTTAAATAACTTTTACTTTACGATAAATTGGAACGAAACATTTAAAATAAAAGCATAATAACTATAATCATAACCTTAATGTAATCTTAATTTTCTCAACAGAGAGGGTAATAAGGGTGGCGCGGGAGCCCTATTCTTCACACCATCAGTTATGTAAGGTCCCGGTTTCGACATTAGTACAGTATGCAGGGTTGGCAAAGAACCTATAGCACATCCCAACTCAGTTGATATATTGTGACAGCCCTGGATATCTAATACTTTTAGTATTTTGCAATGTTCCTGAATAGCTTCCAAAGTTTTATCGGTTAGTTGATTGCAACCCTGAAAAAATAAGATAAAATAGATTATTAAAAGTTACTTAAATCTCTCTTACAATTCTGTAAAAATCATAATGCAGAGTTATTGGATACTAAAGAATATATAATGAATTGTAAAGTAATTCACTCACTCTGAGTTCCAGATATTGTAATCTCGGCAGTCCTTTAACAATTTCAATGACAGCATCATCTTTTAAATTGTAACAATCATTTAGGTTCAAATATTCAATGCTTGGACAATTTCTAACAAGATATTTGATTCCATCGACAGTGATTTGTTGACATCTGCTTAAATTCAAACTCTGAAGTTCTTTGAAGGCGAAAGCGTATATCAAACTGACATCAGTTATTCTATTACAGCCACTGATATTTAATTCTCTCAGAGATTTAATGCGAGCCAATGAATATCCAGTATAAGAGTCCATGGTTAATTTTTCACACATTCTCTGTACTTCTCGCTTCCTCTGCGCGTCCCGAATTATTTCCTCCTCAGCCCTAGAGCCTAAATGTATTCTGCTATGTGAATTAGTTTCACCATAATTGGACATAACCGGTCCATCATCATCACCCTCTGATTCAACTTTCCCCATCCCAGTAAGACCAACATCCGACACTTTATCACAGTAATTAATTTTTAATGTATGCAATTTTATTTGGTTTCTAAATATCACTTGTATGGTTGTGTCTGTCACAGCATTAAAACAGAAGCTCAAATCCAGATATGTCAGATTCATTAATTTTTCCGATATCATTATAACACCAGTCTGTTCTATATTGTTCAAAGAGTTTATATCTAACTCCTCCATAATAAGATTTTCATCATCACTGCACAATCCCACTTTTATGCCGTCTTTTGTGATAAGCTCACATTGAGAAATATTAACCCTTTTCAGTTTTTTAAGCTTATTTAATTCAGCAATACCTAAATCTGTTACAGCTCTACACCTCTGTATATTAAGATATTCCAAATTAACAAGATTATTACAAATGTACATCAATGACTGGTCAGTAACTCTGGTGCAGAGACCAATATCTAGTTCTTTCAAAGAATGTTGGTGTGTAGCCAAAGAAATAATTCCAGCATTTGTCAGTTGGTCACAAGTATTTAACTGTAGACTTTCTAGCATTAGATCAGGAATCTCCGACAATTGCTTCAAACCAGCTCCGTCAATAAGGGTATTAGAAAAAACTAATTTTTTTATTTTATCTGCCCTTGATGATATAAACTGTTGTACAAAATGAAAGGTGAAAACACTTTCTGATGGATTATCAAATATATTGCTAGTCTGGGAGTAAAATTTCTTAACAAATCCAGCATGGAATTGTATTGGGCACAACGATAAACAAAAATGTTCCAGTTCTGGGGCAGATTTAACAAACCTATAGAATAATGCATCTGTTATATATTTGTTTTCAGACAGGTTTAGACTTCTCAAGTTCTTAAAACTATTTGCTATCACACCATTTGTCTTCTCCAATAGACATCCCGACATAAAGAGTTCCTTGCAGCATTGTATGTTCAATGTTTCTATGCTTGTGCATTTCTCTAAAATATAATCTATAGTTTTTTCATGAATATCACATTTTCTTATTGTTAAACTTCTTATGTTTTCTCCAATTTTATCCCAAAAATAATTTGTCTTATTGGACAGTTCTACCTCATTGAAAATAAAATTGTAATATGGTATTATTGTATTTTCAATTACTTGCAGTGGTGAAGCCTCTTTTAGCAAGTCTGTTCTATAAAATACAAGAGTTTTGTTTTTTAAAAAGTAGTAGTCGTTAGCGGCGAGATACCAAGATTGGCAAGTTTCGCTTGCCGCCTTTCTGTCAGAATTTGTTAAATATTTGAAAAGATAAACTAGGACCTGTAAGAAAAAATCTTCTACGTTTATATTATACTGGATATTTAAATTTAAGACTTATGAAAATAACGCCTATCATAAGAAACAAAAAAAAACTACGTCTTCGATGTATTGAATATATAATAACATCACGTGAAAAAAAGATAAGTACCTAACAAAAATTTCAAACAAAGAATATTTAGTAAAGAGGAAGGAGCTATTTTAAACACGTACCTCATATGGTAGATTATTAGCTGCCATGTTTTTAAATTGATATAATGTTATTAAATTCAAGTTTTATTCACATTCTATAAATTATTTTGGTTTTAATTGAATTTAAATTTTCAAATCACTTCCTACTATCAATTTGACATTGAAAAATTGACAAGCTGACAATAGACCAGTTAGCAATAACAGCTGACCTCGAACGTCATTACAAGACGTCATATTGCAGTGACGTAGTTGCGTTTCGTTTTTCGCATATAAATACATACAAAAAATGTATGTAATAATAATAATATACAAAAACGTTGTTGGATAATTACAAATAAAATAAAATTATTACTTTGTTTTCTAGATCACTTTGAGGCTTGTGCCGATTTTATTATTTTATTTTATATAAGATTTTATAGATCAAAATAAAAAATACAAAATTGATATCAGTGTATATAATTAATATATATGTGTATGTATATTATTGTAAAAGTTTGAAATAACGAAGATATTACATAATGAAATGTTAGTCAACTGTTTTATATGCTTTTTATAAAAGAACAAATGATAATAAACTAGGTTAAACATCTCTCTTTTATGTTGTTCATTATAAATAAAGTATTCTAAGATCTGGATCTATATTTTAATAGAAGCACGATTTTTTTTTGAAATAAAAGCTGAGAAAATTTAAATAATCCTAATAATAATATGTATTTTGATATTGTATTGTTTTTTAATAATAAGTAAGTATGTATTTTTTTTTAAAAGTCACATTAACAATTTAACTAAACAACTTTTATTAGTAATTTAAATATATAAAGTGTTGTGATATTAGCATGTATTATCTCGAATTGTCATTACGAATCGAATAAATTAGTTACACTAGACTAAAACCGAATATTCCATCATACACAACTATAAACTTAAATGAAGCAAGTATTTACGGATGTATTAAAAACAATAAGTTCCATTAAGAAAGTTCCGAACAGATGGGTGAAAGAAATAAATACAAAGCAAAGTCTTATGTGAGTTTGCGCGGCAGAGTACAATATTGTTATTGCCACTTGTTGGGCGCCAACGCCAGTAAGCTCTGTATGCGGGGTGAATCGCCCGTCTGCCTCCGCTCTCAGTACCGTGATACGTAAAGAATTTAGCCGATAAACTTTTCGCGATGTTTTGTAATTCAGCTGCGTTACAGTTTGTTGTGATTTTGTAAATAATATGTGTAAAACAGATCATGTCTAGAAGAAAACAAGCAAAACCGAGATCATTAAAGCGTAAGTTGATCAACGTTGCTTTATAATGTTTCTATCACGGCAATTTTCAGCTGCGTCAGTATATAATATGAATAATCTTTCGGCGCTTTACACGTCATAAAACCTGTTTTATATAAAAAACAAATTCAGCAGGATAAAATAAAAATGTAAGAAATTAGCATTGTTATTATAGTTTTATTGCATAAAACTCTTAGAGATTTTGTTTTATATAAATTTACAAGGTAGTTTAAAATTTTCTCGTTGTTAGAACCAACGCCGTGATTCAACTGTCCGTAGTTCAGTTAGCGCTGTCAGGTCCGTCTCTATCATAAAAGATTGTCGTGAAGTAACTGTCATAACAGCTTTTCATTCAATTAATAGAAGTACATTAATTCCATCACAAATAAAATCTCCTTTTATAAGTCTCAACTGAACAATTACTTGTCAAAAGAATATTGACTTAAGTTACGAAAATTACGTAAATAAATAGTTGTACAAAAAATATTATTAATAAAACTAGTATGTAATAATATAATCATATTATTAAGAAATGAAAAGAACCTTTTTTTTAGAAAAGAAAAGAACCTAAAAGGTAAATTATGAGCACTATAATCAGCTAAATTATAAAACGTATTTACGAATGCGGTTTCATTTTAACTTGATATATTTTGTACATTTGTTTAATAACATCGTTTGTGAAGGTGAAATGATGATGATGATTATAATATAAACATATAAATAAAAATTAATCGTCCATTCGCGACTTAAGAATAAGATTTTTATACTACGCAATAGTGGCATAATTCAAATAAATATATTTTTGTTACTTCGGTAAATGCCACTCATCTTCCAAATGTCGCAAAAATTTATAACGAACTTCTATGAAAATGTACTTTTAAATATTTATAAGAAAATTTAATTGACTTATGCTTTGAAATACGAGCTTAATTTAAGTTTACCTCACATTACATAGGAAGCGTTTCCCATTCAATGTCAGGTGTTAACATTATAATGGGTGAAGATTTATGATTGAAAAACTGGGAACGCTCTGTGTTGTCGCGATACAAACTGTTGGTACGCATTCAGGATACTGATACAAAAAAACTGAAAAGTTGGTCAGAAATCGCAGGAACGATGTAAATAAATAAAATAAAAAAGTTTTTCACCTTTTAATTATATATTAATTATGCAGTATTTTTTATATTAAAATCAAAAAATTATGTACCTATAGTTAAGAGAATGATTGTACATACAAAATTTTAACTCACGTGCGAGGTGTACAGAGTCCGAAGGCCTAGTGTTAAAAATGAACCTGTCCGCTAGCGTCGGGTGATGGACAGAGCTGCAATAGCCGGAGCCCTAATATCACCATTTTATCAGCTGCCGCGGCAGCACCGCATATGTGTTTCACTTAAAGCTCGATTAATTTACGCATAATGCTAGATATATGTTCGCTTGAATATACTGACTTGAAGAGTAGCTACAGAATATACATTTATTTAAATTGTCATTATTATGATATATAGTTATGGATTTTAACATCTTTTAGGTTTTCATAAAATTACTTTTGAAATTTTAATTCGCATTACCACCGAATCGTTGGCCCAAATATAATGACGTGTCATAATTTATTTATCCATTTGATAAATTATTCTCAATCTAGATAATTGTAATCTTTATCGACACATATTTGCCAAGAAAGGTATTATCTTAAGACACCAAATATTACCCTAATGGAACTTTTAGGTCATTGATTTACAAACTCTACGAAATACATATGTTACTACTACTGTTTATATTCCTATAGCGTCTTAGTGTTCTCATTCATTCTTAATATGTTATACATTAACTTGTAAATGTCATCTAGTGCTTAGTGTAGCGAAGTCTTAGCTGTTCTAGGCTGGGGAATCAGTTATACCTACTACTTCAAGGATAGGTATTGCATTAGGTGTCCCTGGAGTGGCAGTCGCAGGCTGTGCTCTCGGGACGCATTACTAGCTCTAGCCTCCACTAGATCGATACCTTAAGTTAACAACATTACATGCTTCTCAACAGCTCTAGTTTATTATATTATATATACCTACTTATTTTGCTATAGCAAAGTTTTTAGATAAATTTAGGCCGGTGTTTTTGATTTAAATTTGGCGGCCATTTTATAGTTTTGACGGAAAAAGAAACAAAGTGTAATCGACCTACTTATGATGAAACTTTTACGATTCATTGTTTTCTTATTGTTATAAATATATCAATTTTGCAAATGGGATTAACGAAGACAGTGAAAAATGGGTTTGCTATTATAGTATTAAATACTGTAAATATTTTCAGTGATTTGTTAAAACGTAACATCACTGGTACTTGGTACACATGGGTCCAATAATATGTCAATTTCAGCTCGCACGCGTCCCACTTGTCAACGAATTAAAATTTTATATCCACTGAAAATGTTAATCCTCTCCGCTCCCGGACCTGCTGTTAAAATGTGTCGTATCTTGAATTGTTTACATTAAATTCTACGAGGAAATGGCTATCTAATGGGGGGTGTATTTTATTTTTTTGTTATAAATTATCATTATATATCCAATTCGTTTGAATTTCATTATAATAAGAACGATCGCGATTAATGATTAGGTACAAGTTTAAAGTTACATAGATAATAAATATGAGACGTAATAATAATGAATTAAAATGTAGTAATGTAATATATCAAAAACAAAATTCTTAGTTTTTTATTTTGTTAGTACACAAACCGAAAAGGATAAATGTAATGGTTTTCGTAGAACTATATTATTTTCCTAGAAATTTATATTCTGAAGTGAGATAGTCTACTTTTCATAACACTTTTATTTATATTGAAAATTTTTGTAGACGTGTTTTTATAAATAGCACACATTAACAAACTTAATCTTTTTGATGGAGGTCCGGGTGTATGGATTTATTTGTCAAGTTTTTTAACTGTCCGTATATTTTGTGAAATAAAGACGTGAAATACTATTAGCAATATTGTACCGTAACTTTTAAAGAACAGATAACATAATATTTTCATTAATTACATTACTGAACATTTAAGATGAATACTAGAGCACCGCTCACATGAATGAATTCCGGGTGTTTAATTCTAATAAGAAAAGAATGTCTTAAGGTGTGGAAGTGTAATTATGTTCGCTATTTACCGTCACTTGTTATGTGAAACGATAAGAAGTTGATGGTGCCGTCGGGCGTGGGGTTGTCCATAAAACTTGTAGAGGCCCGCAGAGAGTCGCCGCGAAATTTCCCTTGGGCGGCGCACACAGCCCTGCGCAATGGGAAATTCGAAGCCATATCATAACAGTTTTATGTTGATTCCGAGCTTCGGACGCGATGAACCATCTAATCGTTTAAACTTTAATGAACGAATTAGTTATCACAACCCTGAACCCTATATTACGATCTACTAAAGAGGCATTACATTTGAGTTTTCCTCTTTCATACCGATGTGATACTCGTACACGGTCTTTTTTTTTTTGAGCTAAATGAAAATAATATAAACAATTTCTATTCGTATTTTCATATTCGTAATGTTGCGAAGAAAATATATAAAGGAGAAAATATTAACGCAATCTGTTAACAGTACCAAGCATTATTTTTTCCTATTCCCAGTCGACTTCAATAAATCACTCACGTGTTTTCAGGAAAAAAAAAATCCATAACAGGTAAAAACGCCGCCACACGAGTCTGGTGTTGGTATCTACGAAGATGTATTAATGTTATATTCATTAACCACGTATCGTTCAGTCAAATTGAAAGCTACCTTATTTGTATGCGTAATATGAATGAAAGGTCAAAATTTGTAACATAGTGCCCATTAAAAAAGGATTAATTTTTTATATAAACTTTGATTTTTTTTAATAATAATTTATGATTAAAACAGATTCTTTGATAATTAAACTTACATTTTTTTCATTACGATTGTTTTTAATTGTGTTTTCGCAGTATAAAATTGCTTTTAAAAACAAGAAAAATATTGCTTTTTACATTACAGTGCATTTGAAACAGGTAGTTCTTGCAATTACCCACATTCAAGTTGCATCAAAGAAAGGGGTCAACATTCTAAGAAGGTAGTTAATTATTTAAGTAAATTGATACCAAGTATTACTTGTTTCTAGTATACTAAATCAAAATTCTTAAGTGTTATTTTAACATTAAAAACAAAAATTCACTTGAATAATATACATTAATTCTATACTTCATTTTTTAGTAAAAGCAAAAGGGAAAGTGTGAGTTAATATGGGAATTTCAGTCAGGTTATGGCAACATTTAGCTGTCACGAGCATAACCAGTGGTTGTGCATAGACAAGTAACTTCTGTATTTTCTTTATTACATAATTATAAAATAATAGCTTTCCGCCCGCAGCTTCGCCGCGTGGAGTTCGGTTATATCGCGTTTCCAAGAGAACCTTTCAAAAGTCTGGGATAAAAACTATCCTATGTTCTTTCTCAAGGTCAACTCTATCTCTGTACCGAATTTCATTAAAATCAGTTCAGTGGTTTAGGCGTGAAAGCGTAGCAGACAGACAGACAGACAGACAGACAGAGTTACTTTCGCATTTATAATATTATAAAATAAAATAATATCATATTTATATTTATTCAGTAAAACTAAATGAAACAGTGAGTCGGAAATATATTGACTGTATCTATGTGTTATCAATGTCATTCGAGTTAATTATTCTATACAAGTAAAGTTTAAAAAAATTAGGTTTCCGTACAAGCTTTAGTATATATTAAACATTTCGGTGGAATTAAAGTCTCAGTGAGACTATGTGTATATTTTATTAGACTCCAGCATACATAGTATACGAAGTTTCGTCTGAGATATTGTTTAAAAATATCACGGTCCCCCCCAATGTGGGGGGGTTTTCCCTGCGGAGTGAAGTTCTCGCCCCACGCCTCGTCCCGCGGGAGCTGGCCCAGGCAATGCCGCCTGCTCTCCTGGGAACCTCACTCCCTACAACCCGCTCTCCCGACAGACTCCCTGATGGAAATAACAGACGACTTGTTCGACTTTTAATTGATAATAACCAGCATTTACCTATTCTTGTTAACACTTTGAATATATTATTTATAGACATTAAGAATCTCTTACAGCAATAAAATTATAAAATTGAGATAAAAAATTTTATATTTAGAGAAAAAATCATAAATTATTAACAGTTTTATGAAAACTCTTGAAAAAATCATTTTAAATATAAATAGGAAAAAACTTTTGGGTGTGATACAAAAATTTTGTTGCAATTAATATTCCGCACTGACTATTGTTGTACAGAGGCCTCAGAATCCATTAAAATTTAAGTTTCCAAGGTATTGTGGAAAACGATCTAGGCTGTGATGGGAGTGAAGATATTATACCCTCGGTTGCTCCCCAATTATAGTTAAGGTCGCCTTAGGTCGTTTGTCACACATAACCGCTTAACAAACCTCAATAACAACATCATCCCTACTAATATTATAAATGCGAAAGTAACTCTGTAATTGTCAATTCTAACTACACTACTTACGCCTAAACCACTGTGATTTTAATTTTCGGTAAAGATAGAGTACCTAGCTTAATGCTAGGATGTTTTTATCCCAGATTTTGAAGACGCGTTAGAACTCCACGCGGCGAAGCTTTATTATATAAACAGTAATTACAATTCTAACTACACTACTTAGATAGTTATTTTTAAATATCTATAGCTTAATTCTATTGTTGATAAGACGTTAGAGTTTTGTATAGACAGATATTCATAAAACTAAAAATAGGTAAAATGAAATAGAATAATAAGGAATACAGTGTAATATGGTCAGCAAGAAAATTGAATTGGCAAAGTAGTGGTGGCGCTTTGGTGCTAAATGTGTCCCGAGCGGGGCATTGGAAGTGGAGTTATGATGGCCTATCGCACTCGATGCCAAACAGTTCAACTTGCTTAACAATACCCACTTGCTCATTTTTAAAGATAAAACGAAACATTAAACTATTTTAAGTAAACACATTTTCGTCAAAAATACACATTATATGTATTAAAAAGGAAAAATACACATTTTATGTATAAAGATACGTATAATGTATATGTAGAAAATATTACGTAATATACAAGAATATTTCTAGAAATTACGCCAAATTTGGGTGGTAGGGATTTAGGTTTTTTTGTTATTATTCTTTTCGGCTAGTGACACACTGTTGTAGATTATATAAAACAATAAGAGATAAAATTTTAAGGAAATATTGTTTTAGACTCAACATCTTAGTTCACAACAAATCCTACTATTGATAAGTGCTCAGCAAAATTTAAATGTCTATTTTGTTCTTTCATAAATACATTTGTTTGATTTAGGAAAACTTTTGATTGTTGAATATATATAACATCATTAGTTTATCTTCAATAAAGTTTGCGATTAGCTACAACAAATAATAATCAGAATTAAAAATAAATTCTTAAGAAATCCCCAACGCGTTGTCATTTAACGTCTATACTGACACATGTAAGAAATAAAATCGAGTTATGGTAGGCCAAAAATGCCTTCAAAACGAAGTCATGCATTTTTGACCTACGATGGCAAAGAAACATAGTTAAGAAAAACCGAGTAAAATTGGCTTTGAAATGATGAAAAACCCATCGATATTTGTTGATACGTTGGAGAGCTATGACGCTACAGACAGATCCACAAACACACACAGACAGTGTCGACAAACTTAAAATAACTTAAAAAACTCTTCTTCTTGAGCCGACTGTTAAAAAGCAATTTTTTGACATACTTGATTTAAAGTAAATATAAAACAACAATAAAAACTTACCTATACTAAAAATCAAATTAATATAACCCAATTTTGTTAGAGAATTGTTAAAATGTAAACATAAATAAGAATAAAGGTTAAAAGTATTATTTGGCGTTGAGGTGCAGCGGACGGGTCGCAATCACGCCACCCGCGCCCAGACTGGTACTAATTATAACGCTAAGGCTGCGTTTACATTAGACATGACCTAGCGACAGCATATCAAGAAAAAGTAACTTTTTGTATCAATAAATAATGTCGATGTATTTTGTTTTGAAGTTTCCATTAAGTGAGAACGCACCCTAATGGCAGATAGTTCGTTTTATGTAAGTTACGTTTCAAATCAAAGATATAAATTGCGGACGTTGATTGTCTTGTACTGAATTAGGTTGTTATGTAGGTCGACTAAAAGATGTCAGTTTCATATACGTTTATTTCGGAAGAAATGATCAACATAAAATCTATATAACCTAAATTTGATCATATTAAAAAGACCTATCATAAAATTTGAAACAATAAAGATTTTAATGGAAAACATTTAAACCGTTTTCAGTATTACGTAATATGAAATATAAAAATTACAATATATGAAAAATATAAAAAGAAATTATAAAAGGAACATCCCCATACTGACATCGTAACAGAATACTTGCAAGCCCGTGATTTCTACTCCCAAAGGGCGCGCACCTTACTAGCGCATGTCTACACTGCTTGCATTATCCTAATTAGCTTTTATTTATTTATTTCCACCTGAGGTGAACCAAATCCGTTTGTATTAAGTAAATACTATTTTATTAATCGAATTCATTCTAGTGTTTAAATATTAGTTTTGAAATGATAAATGTTTTATAAATAAGATATTTCACATTAATTGTAGTCGTAAAGAAAAGAACATCTTAGTTAATGTACAGATTTAATGGTTAAGTTAACTAATAGAATAGTTGGTCTAGTATTAATTACCTTTGCCTACCGTCAATACTGCCCAGATTATGCATTTTTACTTTGCCCTCAACTTTCACTGGACTGTGGTAAAAGTTCAAAAAGAGAGTTTATTATTAAACCGTAGGAACATAAGAAAAAAAGTTGACATGATATTAATCGAGATACGTCATAAAATAATGTATGTATTTGTATAATTATACTATTTTTAAAGCTAAAATCATTGACATATTAAGTCAGAGTGAAATATTTCCAGAAATGTTTGACACACAAAGACGTATTTTACGACTTGTACCTACTTAATTTGTCGAAATCTGTGTAACTCGTTTAAAAGTAAGGACGTGACGTAATAATACCCTCAAATAGCATACACCGTAAAGGTTGTACTTTTCTATTCTGCCACAGCCAATTAAAAAGTGAGTGAGTGAGGGAATTTGTTTTTATTACTTTATACACATGTTGAATCTCAATATAAAACTTGTTCAATACGAATTTAGAAAAGGATAGCGTATATTTTTGATAATATTATCAAGGTGTATGACAATATTATCATAATTGTGTCCGCTGTAAGGGGACCTGATGTCCTATACTAAATTTTGGTTACCGAGCGCCATAACGACATTGAAGTAAAGAAAATCCTTTGTTATAACCCGAACAATGTCCATAAGAAATCATAGTTATTTTTGGATATTCCTCGAAATTGTTCTTTTATATATTTAATAGGATCCTTCAAATGAAATGAAAAACAAAATATTTTATATAAACATATATTTATTTTCATTTTTCTAGCGGATGAAGAGTTGTGGTCTGAAACGAATGAAACAAAAAATGTTACTGAGGAAGCTTTAAAAAGTGGCAACAGTGATGGCGATGAAGCGACAAAAGATTCAAATATGGAAGAAAAAAACAAAATGGCGGAGGAAGAAGAACAAAATATGGCGGATACGAATGTCAAAGGTATTTTTTAGAATGATTATCAGAAACATTTCACATATAATATCATTTAAATTCAGTTATTTTCTCATATATGGATATAATTTAAACATATCTCCGATGCCTATGCGGCTTCATACAGATATCTCATTTGCATATTATGTAGTTGCAGCGTAGTGTCCAATGACGTTGACACACGGTCTAGGATAAGGGATGACGTACGAGCGAAGGCTCGCAATGGGTGCACGCCGATTTGCTGATGACAGATCGTTGCATCCATTGCCTTGTGAACAGAATGCATTGAGTGGCAATAAAACTCACACTAAATTTATGATGACTGACTTTGATTGGCGATAAGTTATGATGGAATTACGGTCACATGAAATACGCAGTGCGAATGAATAGAATATTATCGTTGCTATGTTTCATGTCGGATTATGTGATTATAAATTCATCAATTCTTTGAGCCGCAGAACACAATAAAATAATTATACCTTTAAAAATACCTAATATTAAATCAAATTTATATTAGTTATTACATATTGCGCATGTTAGGAAAATTCTAGTTTTAAATGTTTAAGCTCTCTTTGATAATAATAATAATTAGTTCCTATCTAACGTGTAGTAACCATAACGTATAATTTTGTTGGACACGGTAGCAATGTTTTGTGAGTATCGAGGACTTGGTACGGAAGCGACGCTGGCTATGCAGTAATTCAATGGAGATTGATTGAGTCGCCGTTGCGGTGGCGTCTGCACCCAGCACTTAGTCACCTGTCAGATGCATTCGCGGCTGGACACAATTCAGTGAGCAAGCCGTCCGAGATCATTTATCGTCAGATTAGTCACTCGCGTTTACTCATACAACACTGACAGAAACTAACGCTATAATAATTTATGTAAATCCCCTATTAATACGTATAGAACCATAGTGACGAATACCACATACGGAAATGATAGCAGCATGAATTGAATAAGATTCCGTATAAACATAATGGCACTTGTAATTACTTCTGTATTACTGTATTGTATTACTGTAAGATACTAATACTTGCTTAATTATGATAAAATAATATTGAAAACAAGAATTACTCATATTTAATTTTTGATGCTCAGACACATTTGTTTAAATCTTCTCTGTTCTTTACGTAAAAAGACATTCGCTTTGTTTTGAGTAAAAGGAAAGATAAGCATCGACTTGGACGCATTTATAGTTTAATATATAGTCTTGACTGCACGTGAACTCCCAGGGGTTATGGCAGATACTTGGAATGTTGCTTAATATTAAATCAAGCGATGATACGCTGTTAAACATGTATTTTTTATGAATGATTGTAACTTAAATTCAGTTGTATAGTAAAAAGTTTTGTAGTGATTTTTTTTTTTATTGTTTTAGATGCTGAAGATACGGAGAGCTTAAGGAAGTCTACAGAAAGACAGGGCGTGGAAGATGTTGCTGGTAAGAATATGTCTGATAAGATTTTTATTTTAAATGAAACTAATATTATTCGGATTACTTATGTTATTATCTCAAAAAACTACATACTCCCTACTCCCGACGTTTTGGTTAGTTTTCAGTATCCGTGATCACGGGCATACGAGATGTGAATGAGAGTATGCACTTTTTTAAAATAATAAAAAACGCGTAGTAATCCGGATGATGTTAGTTTCATTTAAATGAATGTTTTTTTTATATACACCACAAAAAACAAGTTCGTAACTTTTTCTTTGTTGTAATTACATTTTATAGAATATCTTCAGCATGAGACACGGTCATTTCAAATATTTTTGAAAAAAAAAATATAATATATTTACAAAATAAATAATTTCATGGTTTTTGGAAATAGATAATATATTTTTATAGAAGTTTTTTTTTTACACGTATACTGTTATAAATAAAATATAATAATCAAAATAAATTAGAACTCTAAAGTAAGTCATTTGCTTAAAATGTTGATAGACAGCGAGATTTAATAGGGCTTTCATAAAGTGAGCGGAGGCCATTCCATCGACAGCTTCGTTGAAATTCATAAGGTAGCATAAGAAGTTTTGACAGCGACATCTTAACGGTAGTCCGTGATGCGTTTTTAGTGCGGTTTAATGCTGTTTTTACAACTTCGTCAAAGGGTGTGCTGTGTTCCTCTCGCCTGGTACCGCCACCCACCCCAACTTTACGACCTCATCCTCGCTTATCTCCGGCCGTTTACGATAAATCTCTACCAGACTCCCTGGACCTCAAATATTTACATGTTAATTCGTAGCCAATTCTGAATCCGAGATTATAAATAAATTGGCCGCTGAGGCCTACCGCCATCTTAATTTTATCTTTCATGACTTTCAAGTTTTTAAAGTGCTCCTTTCGTTTAGAGTTTCTATTATAATTTAACGCTCCCCAGATTATTTTAGTTTTTACTTTTTATGATACTAACTCATAAATGCGGGTTCTGTGTACAACAATTAAGCGAACTTGACTATTTCCCTCCGAGACCCAGTACGTATTAAAATTATGACTTGTGAACTAAGAATATTATAACTTGATTGTGTTACAGATATAAATTAACAAAATTATACATTATAACTAATACTTATTTAAAATTTGTATGAAAATATTTAATTTTCTTCCCACTAGGTACTACTACCAACAATTTTTAAATTAACAAAACTTTATACTGGGTGGTATATTCAAGACCTTATCTTTTTCCTATCCCTCTTTGTAGAAGACAGAATTAAAAAGTTGGTAAAGTTAAATATGTATAGAATACAAAAACTTGTTATTTATTGAATTTATCGAGTTATATCAGAATAGGTGTTGGGATTCTATTAGGTCGTTCTTATTTAGTAATCTATCATTATATATTAGTGTTTATTCTCTTCATTTTAAAAAACTTAAATAAAAGTAGTGTTTTTTAATCTAATTATGTGTTAAGTTGATTTTTTACAGATATTAGGATTAAGGATTTATGATTAGTTCCTATGTTATTAGATTTCTCATTTTTGTGAAGTCGGTTTTTTCTTAAAAATATTTTTAAGTATATGTTCCTTATGGGTTTATGGCTCAGAACTGGACTAAATTGAAATAGAACCAAAAGTCATACACCAACTTTCAAAAGAAAAAAAATGTTAAAATCACTTCGTCCAGTCGACAGCTATGAGGTAACAAATATAAAAAATACTAAAAAAATTATACGAATTGAAAACCTCCCCCTTTTTCGACATAGGTTAAAAAAGTGTGAATTTATTGTTTTATTGAAAAACTAATATGACTTATTTTGTATATGTGAGTGGTGCTGATACCAGAAATATTCATTCGATAAACTTTAAGAAGTCTTGTTTGGCAAAATTAAATTATATGTAATATTTAAAATATACATTCAAAATAATAAAAAATAGTGAACTATATAATTGAGATACTCCAATTATATAGTAAAAATATATGTATTTTATATATGTACATATAACTCGTAGATACGACTGCTTGACTATAAATATTTCATTGGACAATAATTTAATATTGTATTTTGAATCTTGCTTCAAGATCAAATATAGGAATATGAACCTAAAAGAATATTATTTCTTTTCATGAATTCATATATGTTTAGAAAAATATATACTTCAGTCCTACAAAATAAACCAATACTACGCTTGCTTAACATTGAGTTAGCATTGAAACAAAAATTACGTAACCATAAATAGATGTAATTTTTTGAAAACAATTGCTACTAGAAAAGTAATATAAAAGACAAAGCTTCCATTTCCTACGGCACCCTCAGTCTTATAAGTAAATCGCTTATTGTTCGCCTCTGCTGCGATTCAACAGTTTACATCGGGCAGGTTGACTTGTGAATATTCAATTGTTTCACAACAAAGGACTTCAGTTTGTGGTAATCGGAAAATGAGTAATTTTTGTATAGTAGTAGCTGTTCCGTTGTTAGGCCAACATGAGTGCGCAAATGTATTCTCTGCGGGAGGGGGCTCGGGCAGTCGGCGCCGCTGAGCCCGAAGTTGGGCGCGTGGGCTCGCTCCCGAGAGACTACGACCAGGGAGTGCATTCGACGATATACTTTTATACTATTACAATAATATATAAAATAATCAGATATAGAATTCCAAAAATTTATGTGGACATAGCCGTAGAACAATTTGAATAATTTTCGGTAAATGATGGCTTCTCAACAGGCACGTGGCTAATTAAATGCCGATGTTCGGTCGACGTCCGGGGGTGCATTCGGAATTCCGTTCGATCCATCAGACACCGAGCCGAATTCCTCAACAAGTAGCTTGTTACAAATTGTTTGCGATGTTGACACTGCCTACGTCCGTCGAGGTGATTGCTATAAACAAATGTATATAGGATTACGAATAGGAAATGTTTTAACCATTGCAGCAAACCTCCAAGATGTATTTATTATACATATAAAAAAACAAAACAAAACGTACGAATTGCAGATTCGAAAATCTATCAAAATTATACTTGTCGAATATGAAACATCCAAAGAATAATACCAACAAATGTTATTAAAACTATTTTTGTTTGTATGTATGGTTTTCTCAATATTAAATACATAATACATATAAGTATTCGAGTCCGTCCCTGTCGGATCCCAGGTGGCGCGGCCGCAGCGTTTGGAATTATCACATAGTGGAGAGGCGCGGGGTGAGACCCGGGGGGTGGCGGCGGGCGTGCGGGGGGTGAGGGGTGCGGGGTGCGGGGATGAGGAGGCACACATTCGTCACAGGCCCAGCAGCCATTAGGCATTTAGATATTATCAGCACCCGTTGGGGATGACCCGCGACCTGACGCCACCGCACTTCCAATGCTTAATTACTAAAAGTGTTTATTTACTTTTGGGATTAAACAATACGACATGAACTAGATATATATGAAATAGACGTTGCTTTGTATTATATATAATAATTGTTTCATATCTTATCTATATTTCTTCGTTTCTTTTCTCCCTCCTTCCCTCCCGGTCCCAGGTGGCGTCGCTTCGGCCACACTTCCTTCCGTCTCGCGGGAATTCCCGACCCGCGAGCACACATACACACCCACCCACACATCCATCATACGCATTAAAGAAGATACGCCAACAGAAGTGCTTGGAAATGTCGAAAAAGAAACCTATTCCCATGATATTTGCACTAAATGATATTGTCTAGAAATGCTTGACTTGTTAGGATTCTGTGGAACGTTTTTATATTCTTTTATATATCTCTTTTTGTTTTATTGTTATGTTGGATGACATGTACTAAATTACATACTTTTCTGGAAAATAAATTATATAGAGTGAAACAGTTGATGTACCTGTATCGAAAACTTAATTTAAAGAGTCGATATAACAAAAAGCAAATAATAAAAGCCGTACAAGTATCAAATTATACGATATACAATTACAGAGGCTCCGTTAACTTAAGCTTATTTTTATATCTCATTGTAACTTTATGGTCGTAACGAGCCGTTCTACAAATTCGGGTATAATTATTTATTTAGGTCATTAGTATACATCATTAGTATGTGTATGCGTTGCGGCGCGAATATTGCGCGCGGTCGCAAGGCTCCTGATTAATGCCGCCTCTCGGGCATACCAACTGATTGCCGCTGACTCCCTAGTACCTGGCCGCAGAATTTGCACTGCATACACTTGTTTTTGTTAAAAACCTATATTATAAAGCCTACGTGTAATGAATTCAACATTATCTATGTCCATATGAATTGGCAGATATAGGAAACTTATATGCCCTTTTCATATAAGAGGAATTTTTTGGTGAACTTAAATATTTCATCACTATTGTTTGTGGTACTGGTGACACCACTACTTACATATGTAAACGTATAACTTAAAATCCGTGTCGTTTGGCTGTAAGAATTAAAAAAGCAGGTAGGGTACTTAATTTTCAGTTGGAACGTGATTAATGTTTTACACCCTAAGTCAAGTAATTTAGAGTTATAGCGTTTTTTTTTCAACAATATTCTATTTAAACCTTATATACGTCCAAGGTTTATTATAACTGTGTAGAGTAACTTGTCATAGAAGTTTTTAATAAATATACTGTTATGATGATATTATTCATAATTTTAATAATATCGTAATATCGATTTGAAGTAAAATTACGAGACTGGATACTTTTACAAATTTAAGATAAAATTACACATATATTGTGCAAATAATTAGTATAAAAGAGAATATATCCCGTTTGATACGTTTTCGAGTCTAAACTGCTGTTTTGATTTTAATGAAAAGTAATGGATTTAGATAAAACCTCTGAGAAAGATGTGGTTACCTTTTGCAATATATTGTTAATTAGGCAAACCCACGTGGAAAAGTTAGTTACAGTTGAGTTACATGTATGATCAATTCTGTAATAGTTCTACGTTTTGCATTTTGCGTGATTGAACGTGTTCATAACATGTATCAAATGTAACGCAATATTGTTAGGCAAACTTTTAATGACATTTTGTGAAATAAAAGTTGCTTTTTTATACGTTCGATAACTATTTAACTGAAGTTGTTTTACAATCTGATATTAACTAATCCTGATTGTTTGTTACACAATAGAGATGATACGCACTTAGCTTTTGTTACTGTTTGAAATACTGAAAAGTTTACTGAAGCCCTATCTTAGATATGTATGTAAATTTTCTTTTCTCGGATAAAATCTTGATAGGAGAGAATAATTTCAATAAAGTATTTATATTCTATTTATGAAATACGCTTACTATAAATAAGAAAAATTAAAATTTTCATAGTTTTAACCATTGAAATTAAAACTTTAAAAGCCTTCCTTTGGCAATAAAACAAGCTTTTTTTATAACGTAGTATGTAAATTTATGTAGCTTGGTTTATTTTTGAAGGCATTTTATGATCATTTAGAAAAAAAAACAAAGTTTTATTTTACCCATATGTATCCATAAACAGATATAAATTAATTAAGAAATCGTACGAGATTAGAAAAACTATCGTTAATCGTAAATTACACTAGACGTTATGTATCAAATGCTTCTTGTAAAGGTTGTCTAGAGTTAGGTACATCACTCAGGATTCAGAATAACACCTTAGCCTGAACGGGTCCGTGAAAGGTAGCGCCCCCTGGGGGCAGTATGCTCAAGGCGGCAGAAAATTAACGTGCCCCCACGGGAAATCTACAACCAGCTTTAGAGCCTCGCCGCGCCCACTCCGCTGGGATGTATTTAATATCTGTTTCAACTACACCACCTGCTTCATACACGTGGGATCGGACACTTATTAATATTAAGATAATTATATAAGGACTTTTATATGTAGGTACAGTTAAATGTACGGATTTAGTATAGTTATTTCGGTAGACCAGTTTACTTGCATTTTTTTTTTGTGTAATACTAATTTTATATCGCGAGGGATAACAGTTTTAGAAATTAGAATATTCTTTATTTATATGGAAATAATTCGCTTGCAAGACTATGAACTATGATTATGTAAGTGTTTATTGATAGCCAATTAACTGGGACTTGCCCATTACCCATTATTCGAATGACAAGTCAGATCGACAAAGCTTTTGAAATGCCGTTTCAAATAATTTCATATAAGATGGCGACAATTCAGACACGCTAGAAGCCTTTTGTAGGACCGTAATATATGAACAAAAAATCAAAATGTTTTGTTTGCATATAAGTATGGGGTAAATAAAAATTACATTAAACAAATTTTTATATGAATACGGATCTATAAAAATCTATATTTCTTGTTATTTTTTTATAGGAATGGTTACATTGACTATTGTCGACTGTGATGTAAATATGTCACTAATGACTTTCAAATAATAACGCAAAAATAACAAACAATACAAAATATAAGATGGTGCGTGTAACTTAATTTTATTAATTTTCTGCAAGTATTGTATTCGGTTACTAATTCATTGGTACCAAACGCGGCTCTGCGGCGCCTTTACTCATCAATTTTGCAAGCCCTTCAATGTCTCTGTCGTATTAATGTCTTACTTCATACGCTGATGTTCCTACGTGATATATTGATTCTATTCTTCTATATTTTTCGTATCAAACGTGTTTTGAAAGTTAGATTATTCGTTTATTGCTTTAGTATTCCTTCCCTAAATAATTTATTATTTAAAAGAGCAACGTTTAAATTGGTTTATTTTAATCGTCACAGATTTGCGAATGATTTGGACTTAATTTTTCTCAGAATAATATTGGATTCATAGAATTTAAAATACTTTTTAAATTGTCTTTAACAATTAACAAAAATGTGTATTACAATCTATATATGATATTTCTTTCACTATAATAAATATACGTACTAAAAAAAAAAGTCCTCCTTGAGATGTTCTGATTTTTTTTTTAACAAAATATTATATATATGAGCATATTATATGTGTTTACTATAAATATATATGTACGCATTGTTCAAAAAGGTCTGTCAAACTATTAAATTGGACTTGGTGAAAGTTTAAACAGGATCACCTATTCGAATTTTGAATTTAAAACAAGGGGAAAATTGTCGGTGGCGCGAACGGGTCACAAGTGGATTAGACGGGCGGCCGCAGACCTCGCTAGGGGCCTTGGACTTCCTAACATTCAAACAACTCGATTTTCCGTACCCATATTATTACGATACTCTTGCGAATGGCTAATGTTGCTTAAATTTACTTTATATATGTACGTATATGGCTCAAATTTTTTCGCTTTTATGTTACAGATATCAAATCCGAGAGCATGGATAGCTTCGACTCAGGTAAGTGATTTGATATAGTATAATTAGCTTGTAAACTGTTCTAGGAAAACATTGTCAGGCATTAGGAAAATAAAGGTCTGATCACAATATAACCGCACGGAATCCGTATGAATATTTCAGCGTGAAGTGTGAGGAAGACAAGCAGGCCGCGGTGTTAACGCAGCCCTCGAGAGTCCTTCGCAGGTCCCCGCTTCACAATACTGCCGAAAAGATAAAATGAACGTAAAACTTGAGGAGAGGATATACCCGCTCAGAGGAATCGTAGTCTCTCTCCCGGCGACACTAAACAACGGCGCAACTAAAACATTGTTTGATTATGAGCTCACCAATTCTAATTGAATCGTTTATTGGGATGATATAATCATTAATATATACGAGTATATAATATTATAAAAATAGAATTTTAAGTAAGATTTTTTATAGAACTTGAATGTTTAAATATTCTTAAAGTTTCTATAGGGCTTAGATGTTATGCGTTTAGTTGAATCTCAAATCACCGTATCGCATTGCTCATAACTTTTATGAAAATATTTATTTTATCGAACTCAAAAGAACCGTGTAAAATATAGTGGAAAAGCTAAAATTGTATTTTGAGCGACCGCCCAAACTTACAATTAAAAGCGACGACTCAAATTGTTGTACACCATTCGTCACTTAGTCGGCGACGCTCCGCTGACATTTATGTGTATCTAATTAAACCACTAATGTGTGTAAGGTGATTTTAAAATCTATAAAATAATATTTTTATTATATCTTAAAATAGTTTCCCTTACGTAGCCAAAAATAATGAGTTTGTTACATACTATGGGGAGTCTTGAAACTTTATCGAGGTATAAAACAACGTTTTAGGTTTAACAGTCTAATAACAATGTAATATAAATGAAACTTTACAGAAACTGTAATGGATTATATGAAAAAAAAGATAATTAATCCATAGTCTAAAATAGCTGGACGGGAGGAGTTTTATTAGAGCGAATAGTAACACGATTCTGCAATCAGTTGCAGTTTAAAATGTGCATTTACGATGTGGCGCGAGTCACCGGGGCCAGGGCGCGGACAGGAATGCATTTTCAATAATTGAGGGTCAGACAGGGTGGTGGAGGCATTAAAATGTTCAGATGAACTTTTCGATAGCGATGGACGAACCCTGGACCTCTCCTGTCAAACGATCAGAACTCAATTAGCTTCACGAAATAATTATATGTTATACTTTTTCTTATTTTATGAAATGGATTTCGTTTATGAATGGCTTATGATTTGTTTGTGTTTATTTTAAGTTCTCACTTTGCCTTTTGATATTTCTTTATTCAATGCTTATAAATTAGTGATGTTTTATATACCGGGTTTAAATTAGAATATCTTGTTTCGTAAGTTATTGAACGCCTAATGTATAACATTAAAACAGTGCTTTAATTTCTGTCTTTGGAATTAACTTTATTAATTTTAACTGATTGAAACGAACGAAGCGAGCGGAACGCTATACTGGCTACTCAGGTCATTTTTCTGATGATCTCGGAAGCCGAATGTACAATCGAGTCGAAGTTTTTGTTTGTTCGATAGTCCAGTTATCTAGGGTGGTTTTTATCAAAAGAATTTAGATCGGACCACTTTTCAATTTTAGGGCCGGAAAACGGAACCCATGTCCAAAAAAACGGTTCAGTACTGGAACGCTCGGGTCGCTTCACCTAACTTGCACCGACTGTTTTATTTTTGGAAGTGAGAAAAATGCGAAGGTGCATCTCCTAGTCTAAAAAGCAAATGGAACTAATAGTATTTAAGAATAGTATAGTCTAACTAATGTGAGATATGACGTTTATTTTTTATGTTTATTGTGAAGTTATAGTATTTAAAATATCACATATACAATGTTTCTTTCTTAAAAGTTGTTCAAGATGCTAAGTGTCAGGCAATCACGCCTTATTCCTTCCTGGTTTAATTTAAATGTCACTTCGTAGTCTAACAACTGACTTGACGTTAGAAAATAGTTACGTTACGCGGGAACGAATTCTAATTAAGAATTTATACAATTTGGGGTCCATTTACCAGTTAAGATTATTTAAGCGAACAAAAGTTTTAAAACGTATTTATTCTGCATATGGTCGAATATTACATCATATGTTTAAATGCTCGTTGTTACAAAATGTTTAAAATTAGCGATTAACTTTAGCAAAGTTACGACATTTGGTTGTTACATAAAACATCGTAAACAGTGTGGTATATACATATATGTATAATATTTCTAAGGATATCTACAAACTATGAAGTTTACAAGAACAATTTCAAAAATTAGTCCTATGACTAATTAAACCAAGTTTACTGTAGAGTACTATAAATTCAAATAATAAATAATAGGCTTTGGAGTTAATATCACTTTTATTTTTTTTTATTAAAGTTAAGCTGTTGTTAAGACAGATATTATTGTTATAAATTATATGAATTCACATCATACTTTCAACACTCTATATTAAAAACCTATACTCCGTTGAATGTACATATTTAAAGATTGTGAAACTTAAAGGAACTTATTTTCACCTGTTATTTTCTTGCGGGGATCACGTAGAAACGCACCTCATCTACGGCGGTCCCAGCGCGGCGATAAAATTTAAAATTCAAGGCCGCGTTAACGAACAGACTTCGCGAAGAAATAGATATTCAAATGTGAGGTCCCATATTAACATTTATGGCAAGTTTGTTGGGTCGAGACAAAGGCTGGCCTGAAACCCCCGAGGAGAGTGCGTTAGTATGTATGTCGTTGGCCGACGGAGCCTCGCCACAATACATCCTCACTCTTATTGTATTAGAATTTATTATATAAAAGCCTCTAAGATATAATTAGTAGTAAATGACGTCTTTGGATCATTAAAATTTCCACTTGGATAAATCATAACTGAAACTGGTACCTACTTTGTCGGGAATAGACAAAAGCTATTATATTCTGTGGCTCCATTTTCTCCAAAGACAAATAAAAGTTTTGAAGAAAACAAATCAAAATCCCAATTTCTCTGGATGCATTATTTATGTCGTATTGCTTGGTGACTTCCCCTTTCTTTTCGACGATCTTCTTTAACGTTTGCGAAAATTATACTCCACAAACTTTAAGAAATTAAATGTTGAACTTTGAATATACTTTCTTACTATAGTTTAAGTGTAAACAATATGTATTAAAACCAATCTCTCGTTGACTTTACAAGACAATGACATACACATCTTGTTGTTATTCATATAAAGTTGTGGGTAGGACGAAGATGTCCCAGAAGCCCGTTCTCTCCCAAATAAAATTGCCGCTATCTAAACAAAGAGCCCTAATTATTCGGCCGTGGCGGGCGGGGTCGCTCTCTTATGGGTGTTCGGGGGCCCATTTCGCTTCTCGTATAGCACTCCCGGGATCAACGGGCGCCGCCTAGCCAATCGGCGGATGAAGTAGCGAGGATCCGCAACCTTTTTATACGCTATATTGGTGCTAACACTGGACTTCCACGTTCCCTCTTAGGGAATTAAAACTTCCGATGAAATAGCTGATTATCTGAAACATATTTATTTGACCGCGTATCTCTACGCGTCTCTAGGGTATATTGAAATTAAAAATAATATCGTTCTGTTTAACCCCAATCTCCACGAAGCCCTTTTATACGAACGTTTTGTGTGTTCTTAGAAACGATGAACTGATTTAAAAAAAAACGGCCGTACACGGCGGTTGTAGACTTTAGATTTTATTTTAATTTGCACCCGATTTTATTTTGAGACAATAAATAGAATATAAAGGGTTTCCGAGCGGTTTTTGCCTCCGGGCGCATTGTCTTCGCCCTACGCCTTTGCTGAGTTTTCATTGTGAAGAAATTATGGAATAAAAAGGCGATATCGTGTGTCGTTGATCGAAGGCCGGCGTGGGCGACGCGTCATACGACACCGCGCCCTACCCGCGCCGCCAGCTACCATTGTAAGACATTCTCGCCATCAACTCATATTCGATGGCAGTGTTTTAAGCATTCGATTGCCCTCCCTGATATTAAAGGGTTCCCAAGAAGAACGTATGATTTTTTTTGTGCCTTTTGCGCTCTTTTAATCGAGCGAAGGGTACGCCTATTGTTTGTTTGGCGAATTGTGGCAATTGAATGGTTTTGAAGCATTCATACATTGAACATTCGAAGATCATAAGATAATAATAAAGGGAATTGGGGGCGGTAAAGAATCTTTGTTGGTGTCGACAACAAACCACCCTCAATAGTATTATAATTATTAATTTGATTCGTAATAACCGTTATATTAAAATCGTTTAGTCAATACTTTTTCTATTTATTTAAGAGTAATTAATTAATTCTATTAATAATGACGTATGTTATAATAATTATAATGTATATGTTTAAATTTATTATTGTTAAGGCGATGTATTTTTTTTATTTAGGTATATAAACAAGTATAAGCTAGTTAAAGTATCTACGATCACCAATCCGTCCAGTGGACAAGAAGTTAATGCCCCCGGGACGCTTGGATATTGCGTCAACACTTGAAACAGATGCACTTAAGTTATGCATGGACAGAGATACTAGAACTCCCAAACCTGAAACTTAGTGACTTGGATACAACCGACATAACCTAATTTAAAATATTTAACTCGCTATAAAAATAATGTAGTTTTCCTAACTTAAGACAATGTTTGCATAACCTCGAGGGAACGCTAATAGCCTGACCATAAATTACGATTTGTAAAATATCAATGGCGTGAAATTGCTCGGACATCGATTTTCAACTTGAATGATCACTTGTTTGCTTACGATTTGGTAAAGAATTTCGACGGTTGAAATACAAATGGATTTCGAACCGATCGTGGAAGGTGGAACGCTGCACAATAGCGAAAATGATAAAGCATCGGGCGTCATTAATGAAGACGCTGCGGGTCGCGGTGAAAGCTGACAGCGTGGGAACAAATACCCACTGAGTACTTACTGACATTATAAACGTCAATTACAACAAAAATTACGTCAACATGAGGGAAACATCTGTTATAGATTCGTGTGCAGATGAAATTCGAGATGGTCAAGTTTTATCAGCGATTAGATGTAAGGCGCGTGGCCGCGGCGGCAAGGTGTCGCAAAGAGACTGATTGTATCACAGCTCCTTCATCTCACCGACACTAGAGTAACCGCTGCTGTTTCCAATCTCACTTAACTTAAACTATTATTTACTTCAACCTCTACTGCAATTCTAACATATTAAAATTCTAAAATTTTCAATCAATCTGAATTTGTAAACCCTTACATAAGTTCATTGACGTGGAGTATGCATTTTATGTTTTAAATTATCTACATTATTTATACTTAATTATAAACAAAAGTTCGTTATAGGATTTGGATGAAATATAAATATTGTTAAAGAAATATTATTCTGTTATACATTAGGATAAAATTTTTGGCTGCATCAAGTACAGATCCATTCGTATGAGGAGTGTTTTACCCTGGTTTGGTACAAACACATTTCATAAAAATTCAGACAGCGTGATGTTAAAACTCTCATACTTAGGTATAAACGAATTAATTCATAAGCCATACCCGTGGGCTGACTGTAAAAGAGGAAATGTTATGGGAAATGGCTGACTGTAACATGGGAAATGTTATGAGGAATTAATTTTTATGGTGGTACAATGGGGATCCCTTGAACCCAAGTACCAGGCACTGTTGAAGCTCCTCTCTTTGCAACGCGACTTACCCGACACCGCCGTTATAAATCCATTGAAAGTTTAGAAATTTTGTCCCATTTTCTTACCTTCAAAATCCACAACACGTGTAATTTTTCCAAAGCAAAATTACTGTTCAAATTTCAAGAGCGTTGGTCACTATTTCCTCTCTTTTATTCTTAGAGCAGTATTTGGTATTTTTAAATGAAATCGTGGAGCTAATTTATATACAACAATGTAGCTATTAGCAATTCTTATTATGAAGTTCATGTCTTCGAGAGAGGATCGTCTAAACATACTTGTTAGAGTTTAAAAAACAATTTAATATTAATATGAACCTGAATTTCAACACAGGTTTCTTAATATTCTTACATCAATGCCTTTAAAATATTTAAGTCCTGAAAATTTTGTGGGTGAAGAGGGTAACAAATAATTTGAGTTTGAAGGATATAATTAATTTTTTTATTAAACCTTATGTTTTAGTCTTATAAATTGTATTCGACCGCTCTACATTAAAATTGTGGGTCAAGGTTTTGATACTTACAGGTGCGAATTATTTTTTTACTGTAAGTTTTGCCATAGGCCTCAAATTTTTCGTCCATCTATCGCATGTTCTTATTATAAGAACTCAGTCCAGGCTAATATCTTCTCAACGGCTCCTCTCAGCTACGTATATCGAATTTGCGTTGTCGCTATAAAGAAATGTTGTTGTTCAGTTTTGTATAAAATTAATGTCTTATCTTTATCTTCGTAAATATATTTCTTATGTATTCTAATGCTCACTTTTTAATTTAACTTTATACTTTTTGTACATGAATCCTAATTTTGTCGTTATAGATTGAAAATTAAAAATGCAATTTTCTTAAGCTTAGATTAATAAGAATGATTTTCTTAGAAAAAAATCTTTTTATTTCGAAATATAAAAACATTAATCATATTGGTTTTTAATAACTTTTTATTGGTTAGATTGTTACAACCGAATGGAAATTAAATTAAAAAAAAGGAAGTAGCTGTATTTTTTTATTAACAAATAACTATGTATTTTGTAAATGATCTTAGACCAAATATAGACGTATTATCTTAGAACTCATTATTTTCCATATAAATTGAAGTATTCAGCGCTATCTATCGTCAACTACCAACAACAATCACGGAGGGTTCATTTCTGAAATAAAACTTAAGTCGTACACTGACATCTAGCGGACATTAGCGGAGTTAAGACAAGCTACAAATTTTATTTACATTCTGTTTGGGACATGCGAATAATATTGTTATATGTATACGTAAATAGAAAAAATAAATATATAACGAATTTTTCTCCATCATTTTTATGATTAAATACATATATTTGTAATATTTCATGTATACTTTGATTTAACGGGGACAATTGGTGAAAATATTTCTGGTTATAAAACAATATTGAAATAAGATGAAATATATAAAAAATTCTTTGGTACTACACTAAAACGAATTATTTCTAATTCTTTATTTTTTACGTCTTGTATAAGATGTGGAACAAGTGCTAACTATAGACAGTGGAATGAGTGTCAGTGCCAGAATCCGTGTTATAAGGCGCTGATGACACTGGAACTTGTTAAAATAAACTAACTCACTATAGTTATTATTAAAGTGTGACTTTCATCTGGTAGTGGTGGGCGTGCCGAGTGGGCGGAGGATAGGGCGGAGCGCCCGCCCAGTGCACCCATCTGAGCACCCACTTGTTAAACTCACTACAATCACATACTGACTTACTCAATCACAAACTGAACAAAATATTCTACATACAATAACAAACAAACCCATATAGTTTAAAATATATATAGTTAAAAGAATATTTAATTAAAATAGCCAATTAATTACATAAAAACCTCTATAAGGCTTTAAGTTCGTTCATACGTTAAATACGGTGTTATTATAAAAAGCATGAAATGTACTCCGACCACCCAAATATAGTTAAAATTTAAATAGAAAAACTCAAAGGGAAAGTCGTAAAAAACTCATGGGATACAAGCGTGACGATACACATCCTAACTACTTATAAACGATGAATCATGATTTAATGAATGAATCGATTTAGAATCAAGAAGTAACTTAACAAAGACAAACAGATATATCAATATAACTGTTTGTCTAAAATTAACTATTTATTTCATATATTCACACATTAATCTTCGTATTTATTATAAATTTTAGCCAATAAATTGTTATTAAACAATTTTATTTCTTTTATTCTGATACTTAATGTATCAATATGATTTAATCTTTTTTGTTTACTGCTAACTGAATAACAAAATAGAAAAAAAAGTGTCTTAGCTCTTTCAAAATAATGTGTACAGGCTAAAATTCATTTTTTTATAATTTGTTCAGGTAAAAAATTTTCTATGCATAGAAGTGATTATTATATTTGTAATTGTACTATAACATATATGTTCATGTGAATCTCATTATTGTAAAAGTTTATTACTATATTTTTTTTTTCTATTTATATTCATAGAATCTTTGAACCAAATATTCATAATGCTATTTCGATTTGAGCCTAATTTTATATCAAATTTGAAACGCGAATGCCATCCTAAGTAGTTTTCTAAGCAGTACAATTTACTTTACAATACAATATTACATAATAACAATATAAAGATCTGTGGAAAGCATTTAAATTATTTTATGGGAACACAATTATATTTCATCCAAATATAAATACTCTATTACGATTCATTGTGAATTGAAATTGAGTCTCAACGTCTGGGCTCGATTAACAAACAGATTGATTCAATTCTCGCCATACAAATAAAATACTGATATAATATTACACAATTATTATAAATATATTAAAGTTGGTACTTATATTAGGTCTGTTTTATATTGCAACCTTTTTTTTTAATTGTAAAGATAGTTTGAAGGCTATGGTATTATGTTTACATATTATAATATATATACTTTTTTAATCTGTACAATAATTTGAAAACTTATAATAAATTTTTAAGTTAAACTAAAAAGTTTATATAAAAATATTTATATAAAAACTAGTTTTTGCCCGCGACTTCGTCCGCGTTAATTTCATCATTAGTAATATATGTATACCTGACCGGGCGAACTCTATTCCGTCCTAGAGGCCATAAATAATCAGATTTTTCCTGTTTCAATCGAACAGAATGATTGACATATTCGTTAGTTGTCAAATCTAATGTCAAAAAAAACATTTGTATGGGAAATATAAAAGGGATGTTTTTAGGGTTTTCCCGGAAATGAATCTATTTTTCTCACCTTTTAAACCTTCCCTGAACCTCCACGAACATTTCAAGACTAAGATAAGATAAATCCGTTCAGCCGTTCTCGAGTTTTAGCGAGACTAAGGAACAGCAATCCATTTTTATATATATATATATAAGATATAAACGTTTGTTAGATACACATTATACACCTAAATAGTGGAGTTGGAAAAAAAGTTTAAGGAAATATTTTTTTTGTTTTAAATTATTACTTACAATTATATTCAATTATCTTTGTTGATGTAATTTGAACGTTGTTTTAAAGAAGTGTAGAGATTAATAAGAAAAAAAAATCCCCTCTTTTTTAATATATCGAAAAGATTGTTGGATAACAAAAATATAAAGTCTGGTATCAAAAAATCCATATTTTGGTTCCAAAAGTTTGTCTTTAATAAATACGGACTTTAATTTTTAGAATTTACATTTTTAACGTCCTATTAAATTTAGAGATTTACGTTTACAACATGTCAATACATATGTAAGAATATATATTTAATGAAAATCAATCATTATTAATTAACTAGCTGTCCCGGCAGACTTCGTACTGCCTCAATCAATATTTTTGGAGTTTACCTTTAAGACATAAATCTCCGTGTTCTGAAGTGCGACGGAATAATTGACATATTAGTTATTTGTAAAATCTAATTTCAAAAAACGTTTGTATGGAAAATAGAAAAGCCGTTATTTTAGGGTTTTCTTGGAAATGAATCAAGATTTTTCATATTTTAAACCTTCCCTTAACCTCCACGAACATTTCAAGACTAAGATAAGATAAAGCCGTTCAGCCATTCTCGAGTTTTAGTGAGTCTAACGTACAGCAATTCATTTTTATATATATAGATTATTTCAAGCTCAATACTACAATAGAAATAAAGTTATGTTTGTCATTTAATAACAACACATTGAGGAATTTTCATGGATGACAAATTATATCAAAGTCATACTGTAAGTCAAATTCATACTGTCATATATATTTATTTGGAAAAACCTTTTTACATTGAATACAAACTTATTAAGATACTTTTCAAATTCGGTTACGTAGAGAGAGGAGCTTGGACAGTGGAGGTGAGCGTTTAACGCGCGTTAGATAAGGGCCCCTTAATCCTGCGTCAAACACTTGGTTCGCAAGTCCCAGGCACTGTTGAAGCTCCTCTCCCTGCAACGCGATGGACCCGGTATCCGCACGGTGATTCTGTTGGATGCTAAGAGAGATCTCTATTTTTCATACAAACCTCTATCGTGTCAATTTCATTCGTTCCCACTATACTTTATACGTACTCGTAGTTTGACATAGTTCTTCCCGTTTTGGTGTGCATTATATAGAGCTGTTAAAGCCACTAATAATATAAAATGATAGAAGTCAAACCGTGTCGGTGATTCAAGGATATTAGATCAAACCGCGAACCAGCTGTTAGATTATTTGACAGGTGATAAGTAAATTAGGAATCCAGCGACGCGTGATACATTGACGAATAGATTCCAAATCAATTCTTTATGTTTTCCTAATCGATTTGTTAAACGAGTGATTTTTAATAGCTTATGATAAAATTGACTACAATTACGTATGTATACTTATAAGAAAAATCAAGTCTTTATTCGTAACCCTTTTAAAAATATATCAATGTTATCCACTATGGGTGTTTAATAATGATAGTTTTAGAGTAATTTCAATTATATGAGTTACTTAACCGAATGTGTTCAAGACGGGTTCGCGTTGTTTTGTTAAGGAATGTTATGCCTAGTTTCTAAGAGCACATCTCCTTTGTTTGTTAACACAATTGTGATAGTTATGCGTTGCGTCCTGGCTTCCCCGGCATTTCCTGCTCATGCTCTAGCCTTTGTTATTATTATTGTCTATAGTATTGAATTACGTCGGTTTTGACTTAGTTTACAATATGACGTCCGTAGTATACCAGTGTTAGATACATGTTTAGATCATGTTTGTTCAACATTGCTCTAAGCAATGATCTTACGCACAGAAGATTTTTCTATTTCAAGGACGAGAATAATAATTATATCGCAATTGTAAGTTACATTTATATCACAGTATAGAAGAATAATGCGTATTAAAAAGGAATATATCAAAATAAGTTATTCACAATTAATGATAATCTTGAAATAAGAAGATAAATCATTGTTCCCAAAGGGAACTCTAAGTCCAGCAGTTAAAAGGCGGAAGTACATCTAAGTCGCGGACAATTCAAGAGGCGGACGTGAGCGCCGCTGCCGCAACCTTCCTGTCCGAACAACCCCACGTCATTGTGTGAATTGCAAGCAAATATACAATGGCTCTTATTTATATTACTTAATTCGAAGACCAATAATGATTTGGCTTACAAATTACTTCTCTATTACATTCTTGATAAAGCAGTCAATAAATTAAAATAGGTATCTTCAGTTACTCTTTATTTGATTAGTCTGTTAGACAGACAAAAATCGGTAGAGAAATTATCATATAAGTATAATGTACACATTAATATGCCTTTAGTAAAAAGTTGTTAATTTAATAATTCAAACAGATACACCAATACTCATTCATATATATAAAATCGTAAGGACGCATTACATCAGAAAATATCTTCATTACAAATGAATGATTAAATGGTTATATTTAATGTGATATGAAAAAAGTTTTAAATGATATGGTCAAGTGTATCGTGATTGATCGCCAGTTGGCAGGTGCGTAAAGCAGTGGCGCACGACCGGCAGCATCTCACCTGCGCCTGCGCAACGGAACTACGTGCCGATTAGACTCCCCCTTTACCACATCTAGAGCTCGAGGAAACTAAATTACTTACTGACTCCATGACCGGAACGAACCAAGCTTATTATGGACAAATGTTTTATATAAAATCACTTTGAAATTTTGATGAGGAACACTTCATACATATGTATATGAATTTATCTCTCTCTTTCTATTAGTTAGTGGAGTTTCCTTAGCTTAGATTTCACCAATGTCATGTATATATATATCAATTCAATTTTCTGAGATGAGCCTTACACTTATACATTTTTTTTGTGACTTCGTAGTTATGCTAAAATAACTTCAAAATTAACTAAGAGGTATAAATGCAATCTAAAGTATATTATTCACAAAATAAAACTATTAAAATGGACCAATAATCTAATTTGTCCAGAGATAAAATATTATTGGGTATTCATTAATAATCATTGATTATTATATATCAGTCATTATAAATAGTATTTTATAGGTTCAAACTAGAAACAGCGTACGGTTAAATATAAAATATACATAACAGTCACAATGTAATGATTTTAAAAAATCTTTAAGAAGTGTTTTTTGTGATGTAGACACAGCTTGCGAAATAGATTAGTTTTGGTATCACAGTAAGTATCAAGGGCAGCGCCTAAAAGGCATAACTCACCAACGACGAATGCTTCGTGAAATCCGTTCAATCGTGAATCACGAGTGGACAGTCAAAGGCTATACAACTGTATCTGTCGCGGATTGGATTAGGATGGCTACAGTTTAATAAAGAAACTGCTTTGAAGTGTTTAAAATACCAACGAACTATTAAATGTCATCGTCTTCTATAAAAAAATCGTTTATTACCTATTGACTTACAACTTGAAACATAAAACACATTATCGTATTCTATTCATAATAACGTCGATAGCAATTTTTTTCGTAAAACTTTAATTACATTAAAGATGCTTTTTTGTATAGCTTATTAAAACACATCTTGTTGTATTTAAACTAGTATATGGATTTTAGATTAAATTGATTTAAGGAGGTTCCCTTAAAGATTCCTTTCAAATTAATATTCTTGGTCACCACAGTCTGATGTTCCTGGATGACCTCTACGTAGTAGGCGCTGCTGGCGGAACTGTCACCAAGAAGGCATGCTTCTCGGTTCGCTACACCACATCGGTCATGCCACACTCAATGTATACAGTTATTTATAATCTTTCCCACGAAAATAATCAAGATCATCTCAAACTTAAGATATGTTTCGTAAACACTTACTGTGATTTTCATTTCTTAATGGTGAATATGAAACTATTTACTAAGTAGTGGTCAGCCTCGTCCGTGACTATTAATCTGTCAGATGTTTCCGCAGGGAGAAGCGATTTAGCACTCACGCCCAGTCCACTAGAATACGCACACGTGACCAACGAAATAATTTATGTTAAAAGCCATTACATTACCGTCATTTAATATTATGTGAGAACGTATAAAAATAAATGTACTAAATGTACACATAAGAGAATTTAAGTAGCAGATTATCAGTACAAATACAACATGAACTAACATGAGAAGCAGTTTTAGATAAATAAAGGCGTCAAACGCTGCACCGCGTCATATCACCGAGGTAGATCAGGCGTTACGGTCACGTAATATTCACTCCCACGTCTTAATTGACCTATTTCGTGTGAGATGTACGAGTAAAGCGCACCGCCTCTGGGATACGATCGCCGCGGCGCGTGAGCTCGCCTATCGCTAACTCTATTCTCCTCACATATTTGACAGACAATGTGACTGCACTACTTCCAATATCTAGTTCTTCGGTTCGAACTAAAAATAGACTTTGACTTTATATTTAAAACGATAATGATTGTTACATAAGATATTTTTATATCACGTTTTCTTTTGTTCGCACCTCATTACGCCAGTAAACTATATGGATGTGATATATGTGTGTAATAAAATATTTTGGGTTGCGACGCGATGAATATCAGCGTCAAACACATTCTGTTAAGGAGAACGTTTATAGCTTATATCTAGGATCGTGTTGGAATCTCACACATTCGTGTGTAATACGTTATGTTTTGTAACAATGTTTTAGTTGTATTGTTTAAACTGTTTTATCTAAATAATATTGTATTGGTTGGGTGAACATCGGACCACCCCGCAGTTATCTCACGGTGAAATCTCTGCGTAAAAACGTTAGTGACGGATGTATTTGTCTTGTGTGGCCTTCATTTTACGCTTATTAAGTAGTGTGAAATACTTTGACTTTAACTTAACCAAGTTTATTATGTTGGTCGTGTCCATTTTACGGTTAGAAGCTGAATACAATTTTGCATATAACTCTCCTATGTCTTATACTATTTCAACTTTTAAAGAAACCTATATGTATATGAGTGTAGATAAGGAAAATTTAAAAAAAATACATTAAAGTTATTTGTTCATGAGAACTCTTCAAAAATAAAGATATCATAATAAGAACTAATCTATGGGAAGGAATGTCTATCTCAGTGATTTATTATGACGAAGGCATGCGCGTGTCCCGACGTTGGACCCATGACGGACAAAAAATATTCTGGGTGTTTGTTGACAACGTTGATTCGACACGCCACGGGTGTATTCGTTACTTATTTGAATTCTTTTTTTTTGTTACATAAATTTCAATCGCCAAGCAACTTAACTGTATCGAATAAAAATATGTAAATATTCTTTTAAGAACACTCCAAACGCTTACATTATTGATACATAAATCATTTGCGAGCATTAAAGTTTGGAAGTCAGATAAAGTAGTGAAACATTAATAGGTTGATTGCTTATCTTCCATTAAATAATCTGGGGTTGGAACCGTACTTCCTGGTCCCACAAGAGACAGCCTTATTTAATATGCACCTTAGGATCTTTCACGTCTCAGATATTCCAAAATACAATAAATTCATAGCAACCCAGAAGTCTTTTCTAAAGAATATATTTATTTAAATAGGATTCAATCATTATATAATCGTATTTAGGTAAGCGTAAGTACATTGGTTATAGATTACCAACTTCGTGAATTTAAACACTTTCACATTATTCAAAATACATACATATATTTATAGCTACTAATCTAATATTTCTTTGCACAAAGAAGCTAAGTCAAAATAACTATGTCTAAAATTAAACTCAACATCTTCAACTTTTGTTATCACGTTCTATTTCGTTCCAGACGTAATCAACTAATGTAATATCTAAAAAAACAATGATCTGAACCAAGTAATTATTTTATTAGGAGACCTGCATAAATAAAGACAGCTGTCCCGAAACAGTCCCTTCGCTTTATAAGGAACAAGTGCAAAATATAATGGCGACCCTCATCAAAGCGTGTGGCAGAGAACGGTCCTTTATAGATAAGACGCGAATACTTTTTATAATACTTTATTCAGAGCTCGGAGATTTGTTCAGTGACAGAGTAATCGGTGGTGTCAGAGCTAACTGGTACGTTTAAGTATTAATATTCAACCCTTTTGTATCCAGAGTTACTCCGCGTCAATCCCATTTAGGATCCTAACATCTAATGAATATTTGATATACATTAATTTGTCACTGACTGCAAGCCATGCTAGTAAGTCTTGTTTTACTATAATTGGTTACTATGTAATCAACTTAATATTAACATGACTCGTATTCTCATAAACAATCTTTATGTTCTAAGCTTCAATATTAGTAAGAACTATTTCTTTCTTATTGTTCCTTAAAATCGAGTATTTGGATAGCTTTGTGAAAATGCTTTAAATCGAATAATTTGCATAAAGATATGTATATCATTTGGTATTACATTGTAATTCGTGTAATGTATTCAAAACTAAAAGGTAACGCTGGGTTTAGTATTGCACCCAGAGGAACGATAGCCGGACAATAAGTGACCGTCGCTCACAATAAAACATATCTGGCTCAACGGATTAATGGAATAAAATATTACACATTCACATAACAAACGAATCTTAGGTCATTGACTAAACGAACGTTCGATTATAAATCTCGTATATAATATTGAATGCGTCTGTAATATTTGAATGAGTGTATTGAAATAGGACAAAACAATCGAAGTCTATACAGCTGTGTTGTTGGTACTGTGTGAGTCGCGGGGGTGCGGGGGAGGCTGGCGAGGGGGTCTGGTGGTGAGTGGTGAGTGGTCGGCGCCCATTGGTCGCGCCCATCGCGGGTGGAAATGGAAAATTCTTCTGCAGTTTTCCATTCCATATCCTAAAAGCTTTTAGCGTCATCCGACTGTCACCTGTTCATTATACCTCGTACATACGTCGAGCTCGTTTTGTGAAATGATGTCCTCAAATATGATTGATACGCTCCCGGGATTTGATGAACCGTTCATTATTATTATATGATATAATAATTATTGATGTAGATTTTGTTTTTTTAGAAATCCCATATTATATTATAATTTAATCGTAAATTCAGAGAATTATAATGACATGTAGAGTTAGTTTAACTAAGTCCTAAAAAGTTATTTGTGTTGCAACTTTAACTTGAACACAATTCTCCGATCCCTAGCATTTATTATTGAATATATCGTATATAAATATATTAAAAAGAGATTTCTATTTGTGGTTCTAAGTCCTAAAACAATAGTGGAGTGTGGTCAGAACTTTACGTAGTAAACGTGGCCTCAGTGGGGGGCGATGGGCGGAGCGACCGGGCGGGGCGCAGGGTGCTGAGGTGCCGTCCTCGCCCACTGGAGCCTTCAGTCGTGTCCACATCACCGTACAAGACGCGCGCACCAACTCTCCAAAGAACCTCCAGAGAGGCCCATAAATAAATTACCGTGAAACAATCACAGCAGCGGCCCTCCGATTAGTGACACCTGGCTATCATTAATTCGCGATCGTTCCAGTAAGAACGTCAGAAAAACTGACACAAATGCACCTGCGGTGACGTGAGCGGGTCACGACGATCAGATATGATCATGCTATTCAAAGGGAACAGCAGCAGGCTGGAGCATCTCATAGAGAAGATCCAGGCCAATAAAGAGAACCACGAGGGTATATCCGAAGATATTAAACGTGAGTGACTAACAAAACTATTGTTATAATATACAACGATACTATAAAGTACTATAAAAAAATATAATTTATCTGAGCTAAAGATTTGTAACCAATCCAAATGCCTTAATAGATAGATTATGTGGAATGATATTTTATACTTTTTAAATAAAAATAAATAATTTACAAAAGCGATTTAAGTAGATATAGCTTTCAAAACTTAAAATTATAGAAATTAAACTATGTACTGCACCACGTAAATATTTTTGTAAGAAATAATAATATATGTATAACATGTAATATGATAATCAGATGTTTTCGCCATTAGCCAATTGAACTATTAAATTATCAGAACAATACACATTTGTATTTAAGTATTGTTAATTTTATGCGATAAATTTTATTATTTACCAAATTATATAAGCGATCTTGCTCTTTATAGAGCTTAAATTTTCCACTGATGTTTTTAAACTCCCTCCCTCCCTCGTAATACCAGATTCACACATATTTGTTTACTAATTTAAATGAAAATTACATACACGTATGTAAAAAAAACATTACGTCGTGAAAGAAGTAATGTTATTATAGGATTCCAATTGAAAAATTCTTCTTTTTCTTATATGAATAAATGGTTCTAAAGTTTATTTGAATCAAATAGAAAATTTGTACATGGAAAGTAATAAAAAATTCAAATGTAGGATAAATGAAAATAAAACACGATGCATTTTTAATATAAATTATTATCATTCCTTATGAAGTAAGAATAAAAAAGAATTTTTATGTAAGAAAATCATTAAAAGCTAAAAGATATATTAAGTATTATAGTAAACTTAACATTTTATTGTTTATTTAAAATTTTCATAATAATAAATGTTAAAAATTTAATCTCTTAATAAAAATCCGGAAATATGAAAAGATATTCAAATCGAATTTATCGTAAGCTGATAATGCATGAAGATATAATAAAAGTAGCATACAAACGAAAAAAAAGTAAATTTCTTTGTATCTTACTTTTATATTCCACTAGACGGATTACTACGTCTTATTTTATATCGTATTTTAAATTAAGACCGAAAATATTAGTTTTATTTAAATGAATATTTGCGAAAGTCTCATCTCATCCGCTAGACTTTAGTATTCTCTTCTCTTTCTTTCTCTTCTCTTCTCTTCTCTTCTCTTTTTCTCATCAGCGGAATTTAACACATTGACTAAAACTCACAATAAACTAAATATAATGGTCTTATAATAAAGATGTGTCTAAAAAAACGGGCTTCTCCTGCAATGTTAAAGTTATGATAACAATTAAATAACTTTATTAACATTTTAAGGGTTTAATCGGGATAAATCTATGTAGCTAACTATTATAATAGATTACTGCTAACGATTTTTTTCTTTATCGTAGAATTAACCCAAATGAAAAGCAAAAAGAAAGCAAAATTCATCACCTATGATAGTATTTATATAATATTTATTGAATGTATAAAATATTTATTACATTCCATCATTTTCTTAGCTGTCGTGAAATCGTCCCTAGTAGTTTATAAAACTTTTCTGTTAAAAAATTCATTCCAAAGTCACTATACATTATACTTGAAAATCATACTTATACATACATACCTTATTTCATAGAAATATGGTAAAACACTCAAATTAAGTATGAACACGCGAGTCGAACTGCAAGTTGACCAATCTTGAGAAACTTTTTCAAAGCAATTGCTTGATATCGGTAAAGGAAAAATACCTGTTGACGCATCATCTGGATACATTACGTTCCCTACCAATTTCTGTGACTTTATGAAATTAAAAACAGAACTGATTGAAAAGGTTTTCTCAAATATTGCACAAAATTATAAAGAACATGTTTGGATGAACGAAAGAGTTATATTAGCTGCAAAAACATTGATATCAATGAAATGAAATTTCAAATTCAAAATAAGATAACTGGTGAATTGATTACATACCAATCGATTGATTCAGTCACTAACCAAGATGAAATTTTCAACAAATTAAATTACCACCTCATAATCTGCAATTAAAATTAGGATCGGTAATAATTATATTTCGGAATATTAACCAGCCGCGTCTTTGCAATGGCACCCGACTTGTGCTGAAGAGATTAATGAATAACGTAATAGAAGCCACAATTTTAATAGTACACAGGCGATGAGGTTATAATTCCACGGATTCCTCTAATTCCGAACGATATGCCGTTCGACTTTTAATAAATCACACAAGGGCAGTCGCTAAGTGTTTTTGGCATTAATCTTGAAAATGCATGTTTTTCACATGCCCAATTATATGTTGCCTGTTCCCGTGCTGAAATACCAACAACACTTTTTATATACGCACCAGAAAATAAAACTTGAAAATATTGTGCATCATAAAGCATTAAAATAATATACCTACATTTTGTTTTTGAATATGTAATTATGATTTATTAATAATTATGATTCAATAATCACAGTTAAGAAGACAGAACATTGTCTGTCGGGTCAGTTATACCTAACTTCATTCAGATATTTCTTGATTATAGGGCTGTACGAAGTTTGCTGGGTCAGTTAGCATGATAGAAAATAGGCGGAAATTTAATAGAAACACCTATAATAAAAAAATATTAAATTTCAGAATGGGACTGTGACCATAATAATTTTGGCTTAATTAATAGATTTAAATATATTATTTACAATATTATAATTTTAGAGCTGAAATTTATGATTAATATACAGGGTGACTGGTGAATTACTATCGATACTTGAGGACGTGATATTTGACGATCATATATGACAAAATAAAAATTAATATAATATAAATATTAATAAACTTCTAAGTAAAGTTAACCAAAAGTTATGTAATTAATTACGCATCGTGTGAACTCCCTACAGATTAGGTATACACACACACACACACACACTCGCGCGCGGCTGCGTGGTGTTGTATCAGCACGCCGCCGCACGCGTCCACACTAGGAACACTTGGAACGTGTCCACGCTTTATTTATTTATACGGAAATTTGATCAAAAATTAAGTGCCTATTTTTTTTACATAATTCGAATGAGAATCATGTACCGAGTATTCTCCTTAAATATTGATAGTACATAATTCACCAGTCACCCTGTATATGTTTTTGCGTTATGTGTATGGCTAGCACTGTATCTTTGACAATTTCGCGGAGAAGGTTTCGGGTGCTGAGATCCAAATAATATGTGTGTTATTGGTTCGACGTCGTATATATCTGTTCCTTAAAAAACCGACAACTTTAAATATAGCCAGCTATAGCCAGGGTCTGCCTTACAGGTTGTGAATAGTTTTTGGCTATTTGTTTTTACGACCGGCCCGCCTGCCTGACATCAACCCTCTTTTGGGAATCAACATTAATCAGTGATGTCTAATACTCTTAGAAAGACATATGATTCGGAAAAATCACATTGGTACTTGCTCCGGCCAGGATCGAACCCGCGCCCTCGGCAACGAGAGGTGGGCCCTTTAACCACTGAGCCACCACTGACTTACATTTGTCCCATTTTGTACTTCTTGAAAACTAACTAGAATGATCGAATCTACTTAATATAATTATAGTGTATTGCAATCACTTTAACTTTAATATTTAAGCGGTTTTCCGCCTACTTAATAACATTTATTAGAGTTAATATTATCGCGGTATCTAAACTATATAATAATATGTTTTTTCTGAATGCAAATACAAAATATATTAATAAATAAAACCAATAATAATCTAAAAAATCTCTAGACACGTAAGGCGGGTTTCAGCCAAGCCTTAATTTTCTCAAACAGTCTTTTATCATACAACTTTATGCTTAGCACAAGTTTGCATCATCTCACTACATACTAATAGTTCGCCGTTTACATTAACAGTCTAACGTGAGAATATTTATGAATAACTAATAAATAATAAAAGAAAACGTTAATCTTTCACTATAACAATAGAAAATATGGAGATATAACGTTAAATGGTTTAATATTTGAATTCAATTAAACCTTAACGTATACCGATTGAATATTTTATTTCAACATTTGACAATAAAACACATAAACAATACCTAAATAAAAATATTCTGAAATTGCGATCAAATAAACAATTAAATTATTTCAAAGGTAAATGCACAACATTTGAAATCATGTATGTTAGTTTGATAATAATGAAATCAAATAAATAATCAAAATTTTATATTAATTGTGGCTTTTTAAGAATATTAGTCGTATAGGTATAAATTACTCATTGCCAATTTTACGCTTATTTTTAAAATTCCACAAATTAGGACACATCATAAAAATGTAATTTTTCAACGTCTTAGAAATTTTAGAGGAGTTAAAAGCTAGGAGACAAAAGTACGAAATTTATATTTATACATACAATGCTATCTCTACATATACGAGAAAAACAGTTATTGGTCTTCTTTATTAAAGTAAAAAAACTCAAAACATATCTAATTTTTTTTTTGGTATATACTTTTGATGATCGACCGAATGCTTTATTCCACTGTCTTATCATTCGTTGCCTAAAAATAAAGGATGTGTTCATTTGTTAAGAATCTATTTCCTTTATATATTTAGCTGAAACTTCAATCATACAGCAATTTGTTTATTTATAAAGCCGATACAGTATTCATTACTGTCTTAAGTACAAGGAGTTGATAAAATTAAGTATCTACGACTTTTTTTAACAATTTTCTTAGTAGGTACTAAGTAGTTAGTTGCAATTCTCTTGACAAAAAATAAATTAAAAAGCCATATCAGATTAAATTATCGAATTTATTCAAGATAAATTGGTCGTAATGTAAATTCCATAAGATCTTCTACACTACAGTTTTTTTATTAATTGTCTTAGATTCGCCCTTCAATTAGTACATGCTTAAACTGATTGAATAATTAAACCCGAAAATAATTGACGTGGAAGTGCAATCAACATGGCTTAATCGATTTTTTTTGTTCTTTTACAAATCTCATACAAGGTAGTAAAGGTTGAACATGAATGGTCACGATAGAGTAATTGGTAAATCAATTGGGATGCGATGTTCCGAAAGTTGTAGATTCGAATCCTGTTAGTATTGACAAAATATTCCATTCTCTATCTCCTATTTGAATTTTAATTCGTGTATAGCTCAGAAATCTTTTAAAGTTAAAATACAAATTCTTAAATTTTTGCGTTTAATAAACAATATGAGATTAGTCGCTGAGACATAGAAATAACATTGATTACGGTTTTTGATAAACAAATGCATGAGTAAATATCTGTATAAATTTTTAATCGGAATTTCTATCTGAAGAGGAGATATTTGAGAACAAAGTGGACAATACCACAAAGCGCCAGTTTTATATGTAAGGACCTAATACAAGGAGTTATGTGTTAAGGATGAGGTTAGTTTAGTAGCTGGTAATGTGTGTGGTTAGCGTTTGGCGATTGTAGTTGATTGCCGAGGCGCCGGTTGAGGTGTCTCAGACGGCGCACGCGCAATTAGGAAATGAGCTTCCGCCGCCCACCGCCGCGGCGCCACTGTCACCGCTGCTAATTACGACCTTCCTATAGTCGGGACACCTACAACAATCTTACATCAAGTGCCAGGCAATTTTTGTTATAACCCGATTAATGTTAATGTTTTCTTATTAACTACTACTCAATTTATATTTTAATATACATATATACGAAAACTAATATCAAAACAAAATAATTTAAGTATGGTTCGGATTAGAGAAAATATACGAGGGGTCTATTTTACTTTTTATAATAATTATATATATATATATATATATATATAGCATATATATATATATATATATATATATATATATATCTATAATACATGTCATCTAATAAAATAAGTAAGCATTTTTTTTAGGTTTTCATTTTAGGATTTTATATTTTTCAGTGTCCTGGACAATGCGTTGACACATATAATAATAATTTGTGTTATTTAGCTGTAATTTGAAATATAAATTATATTTGGAACAATAAAACTTACAGTTGTATTTAACAGTAAAAAAAGAGACCCATCATTTCATTAAATTAAACAGCTTTACAACAATTATATTTAGCTGAAATGTTTTTTGAATTTTAGAAACATTGTACAACGCACATAAGGATTTGAAGAGGCTAACGCATATTTGAATTTAGACCTTATGAATCCAGAAAGATGTTCTGTCATTTACAAATGATTAAGAGAAATAATATCTCAAGAGAACTTCTTCAATATCAAGCTGTCAGCTATTGATCCAATTATTGAATTGTAATTCGGTGAAAACTGTTCATATATTGGAGAACATTGATTAATTTTTGATATTATTTTAACACCATTGTATACTCACATTGTTTGCTATCTCATATTAAATATGTAATTTCAATCACGCAAAATGTTAAACACGGACAACAACTAATATTTAAAAGTGCACGCACGTTTCAATGAATATACATGATTTTGTAAGTGCTGAATTTTATACTATGTAAGTTATTATGTTTGGAATTAACAAAAAATTAACAAAAAGAGGTATATTACAATCCCTACTTCATAGAGAGAACTTTTTTCGTTACCATTAAAAAAGTCATCGTATGCTGCAGGGGCTTTAACTAAGGGATATTAATAGTGTCCCTGAACTAAGTTAATGAAAAATATTTTGATCTATAAAAGTATTTTTATTTATGTCATCAAATAGTTTGCAGCACAGCAAAGGTTTGTAGCACAGCAAGTTTAGGTATATTCTTGATAAATGTGTTATATGTAGTACTTTAAGGCATAAAAAATATATCAATCTAGCATTATATTATTATTTTAGCGAATGTATATGTATATCTCCGGTCAGTTTACGCGTCAAAGCTCTAATTTGAAATCTCTTCCCCGAGTATGTTCATCCGTCTCGACTCCCGACATTAGTCATCATTTAGTTTGATGGTCCTCATTGTGGGTTATACAATTTGTTTATATTTCACGCCACTTCGAGGTGCTCCTAAGAAATATGGCCTTTTAAAACCAAAATATGGACCCCAGCCGATATTTACGAGGGCTTCTGCAAATATGTGTTTTGTCTTTCCCGTACTCCGTTATGTAATTTACAGTTAATATTTTTTTTTTTTTGACTTTTGCGTAATTTAAAAATTTCATTAAGTAAAATTCAAAGTTGTTATTATGAAGTTGATAAATAAACTCATGGGGATAATTATATGAGAGTAAAATAGTAGAAGATATAAATTAATTACTTGTTGTTGTTGATGTGATATTTTTTTGGAGATGGGATTACGCATAAAGTCATAGTTATAATAACTATTGAATATTTCGTAATATCAGTTTTATTGTGACACAATATTTATTATAATTATTATGATGAATGTTATTACAAAAGTATACATATCGTATGAAGATCTGGAGCTCTAAGCTCTAAGTGAAGTTTCATTAATATTATATAGTTTAATTGTTGTCCGACAGAGGCGCTGGGTAGTGTGGGAAGTACGGCTGGTAGTTCCTGGCCGTCTTCAACTCCTGAGCCGTCTCCTTCACCATCCTCTACTCCAACATCAGCGGATGCTGTCGATGCGGACGCAGACCCACCATTCACACTGGGAGCAACCGAACACACTCCATACCAATGCCAGTTTTGCGACAAGGCGTTTCCCAGACTTTCATATCTCAAGAAGCATGAGCAGGTTAGTTGTTTTCCTTTAACTTTACTATCTGTGATTTCGTAAAGTTTGTAAGGTGGCACTTCACTTGGCGTTTATTTGTTGTGTCCGTCCATATAAGACCATGTGTATTTATTCGTTTCCATTTGACATATTTGCACAAATAAGACACTAACACAAATTATTTGTACAAATGCGGCGAATATGCCACGCCAAGTGAAGTGCCACCTTAAGATTAAATATACTATTTAGAAACCTATTTTAATATAAAGCATAACATTCTGCGATAATAAACTTGTTTCAAGCTACAATCCAACATACCGACGTTATTACAAGCCATTATATTTGTCATAACTACACATTCTCATTCTAGTTAAACTGAGTAACACTTGGCTTCGTTAACAAATAGATACCCAAAATAGTTCATTTGAGACAGTGTAATTGTGATATGTATCGCAGTAGCTAGGCAGTAGCAGTACGGAGGCCTGCGAAATTGTGACAAGCAACCCATTAAGCCGGTCGTTCATCTTACCTCCTTGTTTTGCTGCGATCTAGCAGCGTTATGATTGTATTGTACACGCACCGAGACAGATCTATCCTAGATAAAGTAAACAGAAATACAAGGATACCTAGCATCCGAGTTAACTTTAACTTAAATTATTAAAACTCAGATTCTTATCCATAAAAACTAAAACTAGAGAACTCGTCCAATAATTGATTCTTTTATAGGTAATTGGCGTGTGCAATCGTAAAAGGATTTCATTAGATTATCGATATGCAATTGCCGTCAGTGTTGCGCTTTACAGATATAGATCGTTTGCTAGTGTTTCGCCGACAAATGTATCTTAAAGATCGCCTTGCGCTCGCGCAACGACGAGGCGGTGACGGCCGGAAATAGGATCCCGATAACAACTCCCTACCCAGGAATGCCTCTGTCTTATCAAAGATATCTTGAGAAAAGCGATCATTATATGAGAAATGAATCATGAATCAATAAAGATGTTTATCTTAGATTAATGGATTACTTTTTTATTCGGTAATAACATTGTAGTGTTGGGTGTTATAATAATAAAATATGTTTATTTTATAAGTGATTCACCCAAAAGGTATCTAGTACTGACTGACATTATAAGGAACGCTATTCATTTGTTTCTAAGAAAAATGTTAGTGACATCAGCACGGGTGCTTAAGTGGACCAACGATGGCACATCCAAGAAGCCGATCTGACCCCGCTAGCGAGGTGACTGTGAACTGCCAATGACGTAGTACGCCGTTATACCTGGGAAAGTTGCTCAGTAGCCGTATACTGCCCATTTAAAAACTTTATTGGCTATCATACTCGCCTTAATCTACTCACAACTAGTTTGAAATGTCTTTTGGTGCGTTTACACGGAAATTGGGCAGTACTTTTATGTATTTTGATAGAGACTCTCACGGTCCTGTTGTTATAATGAAGATGGTATCATTTGCGTGCCATTTCGCTATAATCATGGGATATCCCGGTGAGGCGCGTGTCGCGAAACTCTTTCTACATGCACCCTGAGGTAGAGCCCCCATTGAGTTTGATGTAGGCATAATAATATTATGGTTATTTCGCACGAAGAACACAACCAGTGAAGCAATTAATAAATTTTATGTGTGTTGAATAATTATTTACGTTATTTGAGTTTGCTTTTACATTAGGTATGGAAATCAGCTTCATGTATTATATTCATTTTATATTCTTGAATACTTTAATATATTCATATATCTTTTTATTTATATCGAAAGAAATAAAAAATAAAAGTATATAATATGTTTAACAAATAACAAGTTTTTTGTAATCTGTAAGCTATTTAAAATCTTACTTCCATTGCTCCAATTGACCTGTAATTATAAACATGCAAGTTTATGCGATGCATGCACGCATGTTCGCAGCTACACGTCACACCTCCATCACAATATAGAATTAAAATATCACTTGCGGTACTTTGACGTGTGACCAATAAAAATAATTTATCTTAAGTAACAGATAACATGCATTAATAATTATCATAATACTATTATTAATTTCAACATTTAGTTTTTTATGAAGCTTATATTTTTTTTTAATATATGCTGCTGAATCCCAGTGTTCGTTTTAAAAATAAATTCTTTTGATTATTATTAACAAATATTTTTGTTGCTTTGGTTTTTAATTTGAACTTTGATGTTATAATAGAAGTGCAAAAAAATTTAATATTTCTTGGTTTTATCTCATCATCTATATATAATTAAAAACAATTAATATTATAATTTTACGAAAATATGATTTTAGATAAATCTTATGAATTTGAAACTATTTCATGACCTCAATAATTTTTTTTATGTGAAATTAGGACTTGTTCTAAGGTTTAGTTGCGAAAACAAAATATAAAACTGTATGAAATATCGCAGGCTTCTCTTGTGCATGAGCTCATTAACATAATATAGTTATAAATATATCTGACAACAGGGGTGTATGTATCATTGAAATATCATAACTTAAATTATTAAACAATTTAATATATTCAACGTAAACAAAACTTTCTTTATATATATAAAAAATTACTATGTTTAAAAGGAAAAAAAAGTTGAATATATGTCTCAATGAAGAATAATGATCTAGTCAATCAAGTATAACGTGTTATTAGCATAATAGTTGTGTATAGTCAGTCAGGTGGTCAATTAGTAAAAGCGTGAAGTGGCTGTCAGTACGGGCGTGCATTATGCCTCTAACTCGTCTGCCACAGTACACGTATGAAGGCCGGCTCCAATTATTTGGCTGCCAACGAAGCAGCATTAGCATTCACATAATAAACTAATGAATAATGCTTAACAGGTGTCGTACGACTAAAATGTTTTTTTAAAAACACCTCATTTCATGTTTTAACTAACGTTTATTAAGCTTTGATTGTCATCAATGTTTTGGTATGAAGTATGAATCGGAGATAGACGTAAAGAATACGAATTAATTTTATTTTATTTGGGTAATTGATATTAATTTTATTATGAATTCTAAAATTTTTATCATTTTATCAACGAATCTGTGATAAGTCTTAAATATTATGTCGATGTCTAATATAATATCTAAAATAGTAAAATATTTTCGTGTCTCCCCTGCGAGAAATATTGATATTTGATAGTAATAAAACAGTGGAAGAGATTTAATGCTTTAAAAAACCTTTTTTATTTATAATAAAGAAAATGTATTTTATGAAATATATAATTAGAAAACCCTCTCTGTGGTTTCATAAATAAGTAGGTATATATTTATAAAGTAATATTGTACTAAAATTGAATTGTAATTCCTTTTTTTTACAATATCTTCTTACTTAGAAAATCTTTATATTGACTTTAAATATATAATCTTTTACCATAAAAAAATGAAACCAAAAAGCTCGAGCATTCTATATTTCTTAAAAGTTAAAAAAACCTCATTTTAAGTTAGGTTTAAAAAATATATACATATGTATAATAATATTAAATGTACATTTATATTTAATCTAGTATATTTACATTTATTTTTGTGTGTTTTAATATTTGTGATTAATTAATTGTAATTTGCAGACTCATTCAGATCAAATGCCGTTTCGTTGCGAATTCTGCGCTCGCCTGTTTAAACACAAACGTTCCCGCGACCGCCACGTCAAACTTCACACAGGCGATAGAAAGTACAGATGTGTCCACTGTGAATCCGCTTTTTCCAGAAGGTAAATGATTCATGATTATTACCTTAATGTATACTCGATTAAGAAATAAATAAAAATATATATTTTTTACTGATTTATAATGATAATAATTTAAAATCTTTATTGATTAAGAGGAAATTGTTATGTTGCACTACGCTTTACTTAAAGTTCGTTTTAAGAAATACTGGAAGATTTTATTTATTTTGTAACAATATTAGTACATGTTGTATTGTCTCCTCTTTTTTCGTTATTACTTCTTACTTTCCTTTGATTAGAATTATTTAAATTTGAAAAAAATAAGTTTTTCTTGGCTATTTAAACGGTTCCTGATGATGGATTTTTCTTACCTAGTAAAAATACCCATATCCATTATTCATAAATTCAATAGAATGGAAATGAAGGCACTTTCAAGATCTTCTATTTTGTTTATACAAAACAGTCTAGTACGATAAGTTCGAAAATTCTGATAAAATACATACTCAAAATCCTTTTCATTATTTACATTTTCGAGAGTACCATATAAGTAAAATACACTATTAAAATCCGAAAAACATATGTAGTTTTATTAAAATACTTCGAAAAGTTGTCTTAAATAAATAGTTATATATAATATAACTGTCACATCATTCTTAATATCAAAGTATCATTCAATCAACCATACGAATATAAAAGTATATTGTCATTAAATTTATGATTCAACTTATTCTATTTTTCAAGGATGCTCTTAAACGATAAAGCTCTTACGTTTAGTTTTATCCATAATTCCTTTGACCATTAAAGTCTGAGTAAGAGATGTCTTAAAAGGTGTCTACATAACAATAGCCGCCCGGTAAGATTGATTACCATAAGCCACGAAACAAAATCATAGACAGCCATAATGCGACTCTTCACCTTTTTCGTCACCTCAGCTTTACTATGTGACTAATTCATGCAATTTGTCCACCGAACGAACCTCCGACAAGTGAAAAGAGATGATGCACTGACAAATGGCGTTGAGGTTCTGACAAAAATAAAATAATGGCCCGTACCTAAACTGGCGCGCGAGTACGACCATTAGTGGAGATGTTTGGGCGAACGCTATTCTGTGGTTCGCGTGAAAAGCCTCTTTGTTGGTTGTGTTTGGTTCTTACATTATGTTGGTACTTATGCCGTCGATGACAAATTACATTCTGTGGTCGCACAAAACGATTCTCCTCATTCACTTTTAAATGCTATAGCAACCGGTTTTTTTTTATAAACTTTTTTAATGTGTATGGAATGACATCTTTCATAGTCATAAGAATATAGTTGATATAAAATGAACAAAATTGTTTATGAATTTTTTTTGCACTTCAGTGACCATCTCAAGATTCATATGAAGACTCATGACAATCAGAAACCGTTCCAATGTACAGTTTGTAACCGGGGATACAATACAGCAGCCGCTCTTACATCACATATGCAGGGTCACAAGAGAGACCGAGAGGGTAGAGATAATGATCGCAGAAGAGCATTACGTTGTCTGCGTTGTGGAGATGCATTTAGAAGAGCTGATATGCTCCAGGTACATACATTTAAATTATTCATATAGAGCCTCACACACAGTTTACACACTTTATTTCAAAATGAAAGTAAATAAAATAGATTGAGAAATTTATTAAGACGGTAACGGTAGTACGATTTGAACATGTCGTAATGTTATAAGGATTTAAATATCATTTATTTGTTTTTCATATGAAATATTAAACGAAATAAAAACATAATTATTGATTTTCTAATTGATTTCATTTTATTTTAGGCTCATATGATAAGTGCTCATGGAGTTGATGCAGAATCTATGACTCCACCGCGTCGAGTTGCTTCTCAGCCACCACCCACTTTATTAGCTTGCATATATTGCACTCGCGATACTTTTACCAGCATGGAGCAGCTACAGTTACATGTACGAACAGCCCATTCTGCGTTATTAAATGGAGAAACACCAATACAGTTCTCAGTAGACCAACCAGGACCGACGGACTTAAGTAGACGAGCTTCAGAAGATGTTTCTCCAGTAAAACGTCCCAGACTTAGCTCAGGTTCTACTACGCCTAAGAATGCTTTATCACCAAGTACTCTACTTTGTAATCAATGTGATGCAGCTCTGCCTGATTTTGAAGCTTTTAGAGCTCACTTGAAGGGTCATCTTGAAGAAGGAGGGGAACTAGGACGAACTAGTCCAAGTCCTTGTATCCATTGTGGCGCAACGTTTGCAGACGTGGCAGCATCCGAGCGCCACCTCGCAGCACATTATCTAGCTGTATCATGTGAATACACATGTCATAGCTGTACGCGCAGTTTTCCCTACTCCCGAAGATTTGCAGAAGCATCTATTCGATTTACATACTCACCATATGTATAGATGTACATTCTGTAAAGAAATATTTGATTCCAAAGTTGCTATACAGGTAATTCAGAAAAATGATCCACCTTACTTGGTTTCACATGAATCGATAAAAATATATATTTATCTAAACGGCAGGCTCATTTCGCGGTGGCACACAGTGGAGAGAACAAAGTGTGGGTTTGTCGTTCATGTGGGGCCGCGGGTGGCCCGATGAGATCAGAGGCGGAGGGAGCGGCTCACGTGCGAGCGAGGCATGCGGCGGCTCGCTGTTCCTGTGGAGCTGTACTGTCTGGTGCGAGAGCCCTACGAGCTCACGCTGCCTCACACCACGCATACCGCTGCCCTGTCTCCACATGCAGCGACTCCTTTGCCGTGCAATATCTCCTAGAGCGACATATGCAAGTGCATCAAGCGATCACGCATCAGGTTGTTATTAAAAGCTTTTACGACTAATATTCTTCAATTATTTTTTATGGAAATATTTATCAGCTAACCTAGTCAGAAAAATAATACAGATTTTTTTATAATGTATTACATTTTTCAGAATGTCAACGGTGAAAGAAACAAGCGAAATGAGAACAACAACGCCGTTGATGGCGACGGGCGTGTTCTCCATGTATCTCCGGTGCTGATAATAACGGCCCTATTCCATCTGTAGGCGAAGAAAGACGCCGTAAAAATGGTGCTGTTGCGCTACAATGTGCTTATTGTGGTGAACGAACACGTAGCCGAGCGGAGTTAGAGGCCCATACTCGAGCACATTCTGGAGCAGGCGCGGCGCGGCATAAATGTTTAATATGTGATGAAGTTCTACCCTCCGCTGCAGTGCTGGCTGAACATAAACTTACGCATTGCAAGGTATATTCCAAATTGTTTATGTTAAGAAAAGAAACATGTAGATTTTGAAAAAAAAAACATATTATTAATTGAGATCTTCAGTCACTGAGCATAAGTTTTTGATCTGGGACTTTCTAGTTTGTTTAATTTAAACTTTTAGTTACAATTACATATTTATATAAGAACATATATAAATATTTTTAATTAAGACTTGACTAATAAAATTAAAATGATTTTATTGGAATCACTATGATTTATAGATATTTATAATACATTCCAGGTGGTAGCTGGAGACACGTGTGCCCGATGTCGTTCACGTCTACCTTCAGAAGAAGCGTTTTTGAGTCATATGGCACGACATCATCCTGCCTTACCAGCGCCGTGTGTTATATGTCGTCAAACATTAGCTTCGGAGGCTGAAGCACGTTTACATGCCCGTTTCCATTTAAGGCCATCTGCAGACGAACAAAGATGTGCGATATGTCTTCGAGCTTTATCCGAGAGTGAGAGTGGTGAAGGTGCAAGAGCATGTTCCACTTGCTATGCCAGACACGCAGCTCCTAGACCACAGACGACTACCGATCATGATTGCAGGCTATGTAGAAGAACATTGGGTTCCCCAACTCGTCTACAAGCTCACTTAATTGAACACACGTTTGCTGGCATAGGTGCATTCACATGTTACCTATGCTCCGCGATGTTTACGAGTGCTGCCGGCCTCCAAAGACATTTACCAGAACATGCTGCTGCTCCAAGACCTTACGATTGTGGCCGGTGTGGTTTAAAGTTCTTCTTTAGAGCGGAACTTGATAACCACGCCTTTGTACATCTTGAGGAAGCTGAAATTGCTCAAAGAGTTTTCTATGAGGCTTATGCGCGAGGAGCAGCGACAGCCTGGGCTGCTTTGCAGCCTACTGATATACAACCACAATCATCAGCTTCAACGCCAGCCCCTACAATAAGTGACGTTAAACAAGAACCAGAAATAAAGGAGGAACGTAACGATGAATATATAGAAGTATCATCACCACCTCCGAAACAATCTGAGCCAGAAACGTCTCCTACTCCAATGATAAAACAAGAGAAAACTGACGAAGACTGATTGGAAGCTACGCTATCGTCCGTCGTGGGATCCGTTCCTACTGCAATACTAGATTACGTCCTACAAACTATGCTCTAGTTAGTTACGTTAAAGTTAAATTCCATAAAGTTAAGCGTTTAGAACGCTAAATAATCAAATAGATAGTATTAATTGTTTATGTTGGTTAGGGACCGTATGTTTTATAATATTTACACAACTATTTGTATAAATTGTTAAATTAATAAATTATTATGTTAGGCTTCACTTAATTATTGTTTTAATCACAATACATACAATTTTAGAGTATACAATCGTCTGTTCAGGCTTCGAATTTCGCTATAAATATTACGACTATGCAGTGGCCACTTGCTGTTGTATCCAAGGTAGTAGGGCAGCAACATTCACGTAAGCCGCTGGTACATTAGCAGAAGCACAGCCTAGACCCCACGAAACTAAACCTACTACAATCCATTGCCCATTAATTGAACAGACTAAACCTGATCCTCCGTCACCCTGGAAATAGAAAATTCACTTTATCCATGTATTGGAATTAATTTTTATTTTCTCAAAAATATATTTAAATAGTGATCAATATTTACCGTGCAAGAATCCTTACTGCTTTCGCCGCCAGCGCAGATGAAAGAAGTAGTATCTAGAAACGTAAGTGGGCCCAAGACGAGCTGCTTGTAACTGACTCTGGCAAGTTGCTGGTGCTATTATAGGTACATCCACTTTCTTTAATATGTTTTGGTACTGTCCTTGTAATCCAAACATATCTTTTCCCCATCCTGATACCCAGCATCTGTAAAAATATTTGTCTTAAGAAGAATATCCTTTCTCAAATAAAATTATTTCATTTGTCCTAAAAATCGTCAACGTTAAATAATTCAACTTATTTTTAATCTCAAAAACTTTTTCCTTTTTAAAAAAAATATAAACAAAGTAAGTTACATATAAGCTAGATACTTTTATTTTTCTTTTCTGTAAGTACTTTTCTTCGACCTTCTTTATAATAGCAACTTACGTAAGTCCTGTGTAAGTTGAAGTCGAGGATGGAGGTAGACACGCTCTGTTGATTGTAGTCGTTGAACCCGTCATTGGCGTCAGAGGCACAGAAGAAGATAACCTTAGAACCATTATATCGTATTGCAAAGTATTGGCGTTGTAAGAGGGATGACTGAAAACTTTCGATACATTATACTCTTGGAAAGGTACTGGTTCATATGTGCCTGCAGCGTCCCATTCTCCCAATCTCACTTTCACATTAGGCGCTGTACCTGAAACACTGAAAATTAATAGAAATACTATTCAAACGTTACCCATAGACGTTATTGCGGTTATGTTATCTTTACGAAACTGTTTGGTCGAATTAAACATTAGAGCTAATAAATTCTTGCAAGATTGACTTTGACCGCGAAATATATTACACTGAAATGTAAAAGAAATATAAATAAAAAAAACTTTTAATAAAACTTTTTCAATATAGAAGTAATTTGAGAATGGAAGTAATCATAAAGTACTTACACATATGGCATCATTCTATGTGTCACTGTCAATACATTCAATTGATCAATAAGCACGCCACCAGCAATATAATCATTCTGTTTTGTAAGAACCAACGCCTGTAAAGAATTTATTAAAGGATGACACTTATCTTTTATTTCGTATGAAAAATAATTCTTTATCTATTTTGTTTCGTTAATACCTGCCAGGGATATTCTCCAAAATTAGCTTGCCCCGCTGTTGGAGTAACACCAGTTGATGGAGCAGCTTGTACCACTCCACAACGTACTGTAACTGCGGTCGTATCTCCACAGCAGTATACTTGACCAGCAGGACACGCATTTACCTTAAAAAGTTTCAATTTTTTTTTTCGATAAGTAACCTAATCTCGTAATTTGCTATTATTATAAATGCGAAAGTTTATGTATTTTAAACATATTTAATCAAAGAGACGAGAGAATACTATCCTTTTGGAGGAATTTGGGATCATTGTGAAAGAGCACATATTCGATTTTTGTGCCATTGTTACTTGAAAATCAAAAATTTATAATTAAAATGGACGTCTGTAAAATCCATTTATTTAAGCAATTAAGTACATATATCAAAAGAAAGAGTAATATATGTTTTTACCAATAAAAAAAATCTTATTATGTAACACGCATATTATTAAATATACTCACAGGAGTTACGATCCTGAAGTCGATCATACCAGCCCCCCCTGATGTACAAGTTCCAGCGGGTACACAACGACAACTTTGCCTCTTACGAATTTGATGCTTAGGAGGATCTATATAGTTTGGCTTTTTAAACGAGTCTTTTTCTGACATTTTTACGTTTACGCTTCTACGTTCTCTTGGAAATCTGACTGCGGAGTCCAAAGATGATATTTGACCACTGTAACCTATTAGGGGTTGAGCCGATTGCAGCGCTGCTGATGGTGTTGTGCCAAGACGTGGATCAATCGGGAACGAGCCTGCAGCGTTTTCATCAGGATTAAAGACACATATCACATCAGGATCATTACAAAGCAAAACGGGCAGTTTTTCTCCACTTGTCGTCGGTGGGTTAGTTGAGGTCGAGGTTGGCATTGGATTAGTTATGATGGTTAGTGATGCTGTTGTAGTGGACGATGAGATTATGTTTTCCGTAACGTTGGAACTATTACCATTTCTTGTTGTAGGTGGCATTGTTGGAGGTGCTGTTGTTGGCGCAGGTGTTGGGGCTGTTGTTGGCGCGGGTGTGGGCGCTGTTGTTGGCGCGGGTGTGGGCGCTGGTGTTGGAGCGGGCGTGGGCGCTGGTGTTGGTGCTGGTGTGGGGGCTGTTGTTGGGGCCATTGTTGGCCGCGCAGTAGTTGTCGTAGCATTCGTAACAGCAGTAGTCGGTGCTGTTGTAGGTTGTATAATAGGTGTTGGTACACCTGGTACAACTATAACTGGGCTAGAAGGCAAAAGCCCAAAACAAGCTGTCAAAAGCCACAGGCACATATGTAATAGATAACTCTACTGTTCTCAAGCTAATCATGAACTGGTTTGAATGAAGCTGAACATTCAGTGATGTTGTTATAAATTTAGGCCGAGATGAGCTGGTATTAAAAATGTCCTTAATATAACAATTGGTGGTATTCCCCTAACAATGGCAGCCTTCATGGTTTTTGCGCATGTTTATACAGCGATAAATTGACGCAATCAACAAATAGTAAATTATTAATCCGCGACAATCCTCTTTATCATATGCAGTTGATTGGCAATTTAGATCACGTCATAAAGTTTTTATAAAATATGATACGTGTAGATACATAATTTAACTTTATATTCAAACATACTGAACCAACAATACGGTCTTAGAAAAATTCAATGAAGCATAACAGCAAAACACAATAAAAACCACAATGAAGGGGAAACGGCAAAGTTTATAAAAATTTCTTTTTGACTCTTTTTATTTATCCAAAAATAATATTACGTAAGAATTGTCGATTTCACACCAAATCATGAAACCATGTCGAGTAGTTTTATTTGAGTCATAAATAATAACTATTCCTATTGTCACAAAATACAACAAAAGTAAATTATTTAAATAAAGTAACGTCCACATATAATGTGGTTGAAGGCAACAATCGATGTAAGCTACAAGAGTAGCGAGTACCGGGGTCCGTATTTTAAAAGAATTTAATTGTTACATCTTCTATATATATAAAAATGGATTGCTGTTCCTTAGTCTCGCTAAAACTCGAGAACAGCTGAACGGATTTATCTTATCTTAGTCTTGAAATGTTCGTGGAGGTTCAGGGAAGGTATAAAAGCTGAAAAAAATTGATTCATTACTGGGAAAACCATAAAAACAGCCCTTTTCTATTTCCCATACAAACGTTTTTTTTGACATTAGATTTGACAACTAACTAATATGTCTATCATTCTGTCGCACTTTTTAAATAGGTAAACTCCAAAAATATAAATAAAAAAACGTAATAGATATTTCTTGATTATAGGGCGATACGAAGTTCGCCAGGTCTTCTAGTATTAAAATAAAAAAAGTATTTATTACTGAAGATTTAAAGCCAAATTCTTTTAGTACAGCTTACAAATGCCTTTATTTTTATCTGTATTATAGATATAAGCATTTCTATAGTAAATTACCTACTATATAATATGACACAGACGTAATCTACTATCAAATGACGTTGATAAGACCCTAGTTATGTAAATTGTTTTCTTCCCTCAAATCTCACACCCTCTTTTATAATTCTGATCTAATCAAAAATAATTTTTAAAACCAAGTAAATGGGTAAAACTTTGATATTTTCAGAGATAAAAATACGAAAACAATTCATGTGTACACAGAAACATATTGATGAAAAAAAAAATTAATTCTAGAACTATTATTCTTCACTTTCTAACGAAATAAATAAAGGGGACAGATATTTTTTTATTTCATCGTATAAATTTAGTAATATTTTATTATACTAGATATTTCATATTTTCATGTACAACTTAAACATTTGTAACCACTTCTGAAAAAAATCTCCTTAGTAAGAGGTACAAACGTTTACAAAGTTTCATATAAACGTAAAAATAAAGACCCAAAATCTAGTCCCCCTTACGCTGATTCATCGTACTTCTATGAGTTATTCAAGCTTGTGTCACACAACAGTTTTGTAAACATTTGCATAGATGGTGCTAGTAGTACAGTTCAAACGTAAGTGGTTAAATATAGTTAAACGTAATATAGCTCAGAGGGCGCTGTTCTCTGATACCGCATTCGCGCATGCTAAGTGAACGTCAATACGAATGAAAAAGACATATATATGTATGTATAGACTGATGACAGTGTTAGCCAGTTGGGCTCGGTTTGCGCACACCGCCTCAGTATCTAGAGGCGAATTGTGGTACGTTTTGACGCATAAAACCGTAGTATTTTCTGCGGGTAATGATCAATTCGAGTAATATATTTTCACACATGTTTAGTTTTAGTATTAGTTAGTGCAGTGCTACTAAAGTGAATAAAAATGAGAGCCAACCAATGAAATTCATATATTCAGGCGTTACGACTGATCTCTCTAACTGAATTTGATGGTTTTATCATATGCTGATAAAATGTGGAAATCTTTTAAAGTTTTATTTATTAAATATTTAGTCATATAGTTTATAAACATTATGTATTCAACGCTGGTCACTGTCGAAATTGAATATAATTTTGTTGTTACATAGAATTTATATTGAATATTTGAAATTTTATAAATATAATTACGATAATGCCTTCGTTTAATCAAGAAATTAACGTTGATCTTAATTCCAATGAAAATTGCTTGTATAAGATTGATTCAAAAGAGGAAAAGAAAGAAGAAGTGAAGTATGTCGCCAACGACGTAGTAAGTAACGGAGTGCCAGAAGGCCTTAACGATGATCAGAAGCTAGCCTTTGCATTAAGAGATTTTTTGGGACCGTCAAATGCTGTCTTGGACGAAGAAGAGCCATCTCCATCCAACATTGAGCAGAAACTGCCTTATATCGATGAGGTCGTTGATAATGAAGAGGCTGCACAATCCGATGACGAGCCGACTCAAAGTTATGAAACAGATGAAGTACTTAATAATGCTGCATGCCGACTTAGACGATGGCGAGCGGCGTCAAGAAAACTTCGTCGTCCGCGAATTATTAATAATTTAAATACAAAAGAGGGTTGCAACGGTGGAGTAAAAACAGTTAATAGCCATACAGATCTGGCTGACCGTTTGCGGAGTTTAGCAGCAGCAAGTAATATGTCAGCATCAGCAGGGGAATTGCTGTCTCTGGCGCCACCACCCCCGGCCGCGACCGCACCGCCATCGCCGGGATGTCTCCTTACACCTTCACTAGCAGACCAGAGTTCATCAGAATATTTCGTAAGTCAACATTATTTGTTCGTTGCTAATTAACTATTTTAATATTTGTATAAAATTACGACTTTAGTTTACAATAATTGATTTTTTTGAAAAATGCAGTATGAAATAATATATTCCTAATCAATAGCCGGTATCGATATCCTATTTTAATGTCATCAACAACGTTCGTCAATCAATCATCTGTCTGCGTGAAAAGCAGCGCTGCGCGTGTAACACTCTGTGATGTTTCTTTTTAGTGTAAAAAAAGCAAATATTACGCGTAGGCCACACACAACTATACTCATAGAAAGTAAAACACATAAGTACTTATATCTGTCAACCTTTGTCTGATAAGATTTCAAGGTATTATCGTGTAAAGATGTCAAATATGCACTATAAAAGATATATTTTTTTGTGAAGTTGTATTATTATAATAAATAATACTTTCATTTATGCCTCGCCTTTCTTATCTGTGATGTAACACATAAATTATTTTTATTTTATACATCGATTTAACATTTGTTATTCATTGATATTGTGTTATGAAATATGAAGCGTACCTATATTTTTAATGACGTAAATACGGTTAACCGCAAATCTTAATGGTTTCTGAACATTATTCCAAATTTAAATAACGTCATAAAATGTTGTTTAAACAAATTAAATAAATTAGCGCGGAAACAAAACACCACGTATTTTCCTTCTATTGTAGGAGGTTATCCAATGCTTTCTATACGTCAGTGATAACTTACCGAGAGATGCAAATATTGTCAACTATTTTACAAATCAGTCGACTACAGTTACAGTTCGGTGTTACAAACTAATTCTAAGATTATATAAAGAAAACATTGTATTGTTGAAATGTTTGCTGGCAAAATCAACTTTAATATGTTTATTATCGACAGTTTTATTCGCAGTTGAAGAGCCTCAGAATATTTATCGAATAAATCAAGTTTCTTGACGTCAGCACAGTGCCGGTTACTGCTTAAAATTTATCATCAGTACTACCGAATACATAAGAGTTAAATTCAATGCTCTGGCTCTCGTAAGTTTAATGATTTCGTAAATGTTTGTTACTTTGAATTGCCTAAACAAAAAAGATTTTTTTTCTTAGTGGCAAAATTTTAAAATAATCTTTGTTACATTCAAACGAGTTAATTTTAAATTTATAAACATTAATCTTGGATGTTGGAAACATCAATAATGGAGAAAGTCACGGTTAAGTCTTTCAATCTGACCATAACATTTTTAAATAGATGAAAGAAAATGTAAGTATTAAAAATAAAACTATCAAAATAATAATTATATAATATGGAAGCAGCTGTTTACATGAATACCTATAAATGGACTGAGTGCACGAAGATTGCAGACATAACAATGTTGGACCCGTTGATTAGTCTGAATGATGCATGCGTTCACATCATGTCACCCACGTGGTCCGTGGAATGTTCATTGATTGGTTCCACACGAACGCTCATAAGCGTTTCCACTTTCACGGCTCAGCTGATTGGATTATATTTTTCCTTACATATTTCTTTATATTGAAACATACATTTTTACTTTTCACTCAATATACATATTGCGTAATTTAATTTCGCATCATTTTCCTTCATCCGCCTTCCATATATCCCGGGATCGTAACATTTGGTTCACAGTAAATGATATATCGAATTATCGAAACCAAATATAAACGAATTTAGAATTCATGTATCACAAATATTAAAGGTGTCATCACTGGTATTGGTCGATTTTAAATTTGTATTAAAACAAAAAAAAATCTGTTATTACATAAACAGTATTCACGGCCTTCGTCTATCATATTTTTTGTTGAACGTATGGACGTACAAACGTAATGCCATCATAATACAGTGTACTGCTTAATATTTGAATACATCCCAACAAAAACATAGTTGTGCTAAACAAAAACGCCCTTCCAGTGAAACGTTGCTGTTGACTTTGATTATTGGTATCGGCCGTTCATCGGATCTGATAAACTTAATATATGGAACATTTTTATCGTCAGATTTGCGTCAGCTAGTTTCTATTTTCTGAAGGACTTGATTTCAGTTTGATAAGCTGTACGGGTCGATGGCAGAGAGGTTCGTACCTCGCGTTCTCATGACCCAAATTTTAGAATCTACGTCATCAGCAGGAAGAGTAGAATGTGGGTCGCAAGTATAGTGACCCGTGGCGTGACCTGCCCTGCCACGCTTTGTACTGTAAATGTACTACTTAAAGAAAAAGGTTTACCCTTTCTTTGTATGCAGCATTTAGGTATTTTTTTGTTTATATATAACTTAGCATTGATAATTATTTATATTAGTGTATGATTTCTTCTTCATAACTGTTATTATTTGCAACAGTTATACTACTACTTTTATGTTTAATTAATGTTAGCCATTTATTTAAATCCAACGAAGAATATATGAAATGCGTTAGGTTTTTTTCTCTATACTGTACTTATATTTATAAATACAGTCGACGATAATCATATTGGACCATAGTTATATTTAACGTAAACAATTGAGAGGTAAAACAATGTGGCGAAGGCAGTGGACCGTTTATAATGAAATCCATAGGAAGACTTCCTATGTGTATTTTTCGTATCACATTTTGTTTTAGTATGAGTAGATTAAAGAACAATAGATATTAATGTATTTATAGGAGATAATCATAGACTTTTATATAAATATATTTTGCAAATAAATAAAATTCATTATCTAATCCAAATCACGTATAAAAGAGTGGAATAAATTATCAGAAATAAGGATCACGCATACTAAAATCCCTACTAATATTATAAATGCGAAAGTAACTCTGTCTGTCTGTCTGTCTGTCTGTCTGTCTGCTACGCTTTCACGCCTAAACCACTGAACTGATTTTAATGAAATTCGGTAAGAGATAGAGTTGATTGAGAAAGAACATAGGATAGTTTTTATCCCAGACTTTTGAAAGGTTCTCTTGGAAACGCGATATAACCGAACTCCACGCGGCGAAGCTGCGGGCGGAAAGCTAGTATATGTATATTTTTACGGAAATTAATATATATACAAACTATTATTATATGAGAGCTTTTATTTAGCTCCAAAGTTTTTAGGATGGCCTCATTTTCACTGAATAAAAACTAGATTTCTAGGACCGCTACGTAATTGTGTGCCCGAGTCGTGCAAACGTCAAAATATTTATGTTAGACGCTTGCTAGCAGTGTCGAATTTTTAACAGTATCATTAAAATGAACATACACATATTTTTTTACAGACTAAATAAGCTGTTGCTAAGTAAATATTTACGTTCTTTGAAAATATTTCACATGTTAGGTTTATGATTAACGAAAACCCAAATATGTCATTCTTGACGATTATCATTAATTGTCTTTAAAGTTTCGAGGAAAACTGTAAAGTAAACGATGAATAGATTTTAATATCGTCACATTTTCCTGTATGATGTCTTGGTCGTTTAACCCCTTTCGGTAAAACCCTTAGAGTTAATTGGACACTATAGTTTTATTATTTATCTAATAAAATATCTGCTTATGAACTTGAAGTACAAGGTCTCAATTGACGTCAGATCAGACATTTTGTTCGCGTGTTGTTGTGTGCAGTAAGCGTTTATGTCAATTTCATTTCGGATAAACACAGCCACACCTAAGTTTCATATAACCACACTGATTAACTAATTACACTGTGTTTTGTTCTGCTCTAGTAAGTGTTTTTTATAAATATTATTGTAGCAACTTTTATAAATATACAATGTTTTTTTTATACACATTTAGTATAGATATTTATATATGATATAATAAGATTCTTTATCTCATCCGCGCTCCTTGAATGCGAAAACTTCCTCTACGTTTCCATTTACGTTTGTATAAGCTAATAATCTTATAGTTCTTTCATGCAATGTCTATGATATTACCGGCTAATCTTTTACTTTATGGTTTTATACTCCTTTCATCTAGAAGACCTAAATATAGATGAAAGTTGCAACTACCAGGAAGGCCGGCTTAATTAAACAATGTCTTTCATGCATACATTGTGAACTTAAATGAAAGGATGAATGAAAATATGGTTGCGGTGGATAAGGATTTAGCTGATTAAAAACTGAATAACTTATTAAGTAAATTTAGGTACAAAGGCTCCTATAATTATATACTTTTCATTTAGTCGTGTTATTTGTTGCCCCGTTATGAAATAAATAAAAATCGATCATTCCAAATTCTAAAGTGCTATTAGATAAGAGGCTGATCTGTGAACTTCGTATGACGGACAAATACCAATCTAAAATTACACACGATGATAATACCTACATAATCGAAGTTATTGTTAATGAAAAAAAATTGGTTTTTCGTCTAAAACTTTTGTTTTAGAAATAACATTTTACGTTTAGGTTTTTCCATGTGTAAATGAACTTCAAAAAATTTATACTTTAGAAAAAATAAACTTTGGAACTAACAGACGTAAATACTTGCTTTGATTAATAATTGTTTAGATGTTTCCAAAAAAAATATCTTATTAATTTTTCTAACAGATGCGTGTTTCAAACCAAAAAATATGATTTCGTTTTTCATTACAGCGTTTTCACATTGAAGAATCTTCAATTACACAAAAAAAGAAAAAAAATCATATACTTTCACACGTTGTATCAAACATTTAATTAAAATGTTCCAGTATCTATCAAAGCCTTATTCTGGTTCAACCTGACATTTAACATCCAGTCGTCTATGCCAAATATATCGCTATAACAGTAACATAAAGCTCCTCACTTTCTAATACAATGTGTCACACCAACGCTATGAGTAATTCTATTTTGTGCCTCAGCCTACGATATGAACGTCCATTAGGTCTGAGTTCCGGTAATTTACAACTTTCAATTCAATTTTACTGCCTCACGATGAAGGAAAATCTACGTCTGGTCTTAATTTTATTATGGAGGTTATAAAAAAGTTATCTGTCATAATTTCTATAAGTACGCTAATGAGGTCATTCCATCGGGAATAGCTGGCTTTTGTTACTTATAATTTTTTCAACGTTTCAACTTCTGCAAGGACTTTCTTATGTCATAGCACAAACTAAGAAACCATATATCCACTCAAAAATATATTTAAATCACTTTGTTTTCGTTGATCTTAATAGAATTCTATAAATAGCTATCAATTTATGAAGTATCGGCAATATTGTTATTTAGTCTGGAACAGCTGGCGCGCCAAGAGATGCTAGAAATTACAATCTTTATGGTGTTTTTGTTGTCTTTAACAATTACTTTATATAAAGAAAAGACATAATAAAATTTGTCCCGTACTTAGAAACATAATATAAATTTATTATACGTAAACTTATATTACAATATCAAACATCTAATATACGAGCCCTAAGTGCAGTCTAAATGAAATTTCTAAAACATAATACCCTCTCTAGGAGAGGCTTGTAACGCAAACACTATGCTATTTCCGCAATCTTATTTTTAGATCTAAAAGAGATTCTTGCATAATTTTTTAATCCATATGTGTTGGAAATGGTTTTATACAGTGTGTGCCCGTGAATACATTAAAATGTTCGGAAGGGATTAAAAAGCAGAGTAATCTGATTTATACCTTTTAGTGAGTGTTTCTCAATGTTTCTGCATACATACATATATATGAGTGTTTGTTTAATCGCAACGAATGCATTTACTGAGTAATTGAATTTTTTGTATTCGATTATCAACCTTTTATATTTCATGTCAGAAAAATCTGCATTCGTTACTGAAAAGTCAGTTTCAGGATCAGCTTGCTTTAAAAACAGTTACAGTGATTTTTATTATCAAATATTATAATTGTTTTATAACTATTAAATATATATAGTTTTAGTGAGTGAAAAAGTTATAATTTGATAACAGAATGTAAACTGATACTGAGGTAGATAATTTTATTTGGATACATTAGGAGATTGACGCAAATAAAATAGTTTTGTGTAAAATAAAAGTATAAGCAACATTGATACGTAAACTGAGATAAAAAACACATTACATATAAATAAAATCGTTGAATTATTATGAAATAATAAAAGTAGTTGGCGATAGACGTGGTAGTATAATCTTATTTCAAATGGAAAGTTCTCGTCTCCAGGGTTCGAGTCCGGAATGCTGTGCTGACAATAGCAGCCAGAAGAGTGGTTCTGTGGGCACCCCTCTCCCACCTCCTGGACCACGCTACAAGCTGGCCACAGAAGGCGCCCTCAGGATCTGCAGTTTCCAACACACAAGGACAGTCGTCGACAAGATCCTTGGAGCAAAATTCTTCAGGAAATGGGAAACACACGTACTGTGTTTGCTAGAATATCACATTGTATCTAAAACTGTAAGTACCAGCGTTATTCGTCTGTCCATTTCGTGCGTAGGTTTTAAATCTTTTAATGCGAGCATGACGCTCCGAACGCTATTCGTACCCGTTTAATAGGTTTACTGTCCTATAGGAAGATTCCACCTAAGAGTAAAGCTTTTAGTGCTTAGATAACATATATATTCAATGAAATTTATTATTTAAATAGCTTGTAGTAATTATAACAGCTGTTTAAATATATACGAACGTCAATCCGATTACTCATCACCGAAATGCGTTTGCGTGCTTATTACATATTACGTTATTTTCCTACAAATAGGTATTATCTTTTAATTTCAAATCTACTTAAATAGCCTAAATTTTGAAAAAAAGAAAAGAAATTACTAGTTTTATTGATTTTTTTTAGTGTTTTTTATTTTAGTAAGTATTAGGTATTTAAAGTGTATCCAGATTTTTATAATAATAAAGTCTTCAAGACATTTTTGTTTTTACATTCAACGAGAGGTATGTATAGTAAAACTTATACTAAATAAAGCTAATATTTTATTGAATATTTAAAAATTATATTATCATTTAGTATAAATTCTGGTTTTTACAAAATAAATTTTGTTCCTTGTACCGTTTACATTACATCATGATCGTATTTCGTCTCATAAATCTGTTTCAAACCTGTGAACTTTAATCCCAAATGACAAAGAGTGATACTTCGTATATAATTTAATACTTTAATTATAATTTTATATACATATGGGTCTACTCTTCTTTATTATATACATATAAAGAAATTCTCCACTCAAAAATAACGACTGTTATTATTGTGAACTTAATTGCTAAATATGGATCTTAATGATATCTGTTTTAAAGACGATATGAATAGAAAATGAAAATTTACCACCCTGTATATATCTTCGACGTTTATAGATAGGAACAGTGGTTTCAATTTCCACCACAATAATCGTTACAGGAAATCGATTTCACTCCGATCGACCGAGTGTCTAATGTCTATCGATTAACTTACGTTGTTTTCATATATTTTAGTTTTAGATACTCTATGTAAAAGGGTTTAAGATACTGTACTTTTAGTGAATTTATATACTATTTTAAGAAAAACGAGATAACAGATGGATCTAAATATCAAGTTCACGCACACGTGAGTCTATTTTCATCCTGTTTTGAATCGAGTTCAATCTGAAGGTGCCTTTTCAATAGCTTGTTATTGTCACGCCTGGAAAAATCCGGAACGGGTGCCATACACACAACTTTTATGAAAAAAATGTTAGCTTAGCATGTCTTTGTTAATTTTAAATTTCTTGCACCTACAGGTTACAGCATAGTTTCTTTCAGTCTTTCAATATTCGTGTTGTTGATGATGTTGCTGTATTATTTACCTTTTTAAGGAACCGTAAGGAATACATAAAGTATCTATCTTTTTATTACTACTCAAGTTCGGTCTTGATCCGTGTTGAATGACAGATTTCATTTTGTCGCGCCAAACCCTATTTAAGACGCAAACCAGCATTTATTTTGCGACTTTCGGTTCCCTTTCATCTCAGGCAAATAGCTTGGATGTTCATCGCTATCTCAAAACCTTTCATTTTTCCTCTTATGAGACATCAAAATCTTCCAAAAGGAGTTTTGCGTCATTGAAGTTTCGGTCGCTTTTTACCATGGCATTAACCGAAGCACGCATTGAGATAACTTGATCGATACCGGCCACGAGAGCAACACGGGGATCCGCCCACTGCTAACAAACACTCAATGTATTTTACCCTATAATTAGACAAATCCCTCGTACTAGTCCTACGTAATTAATGTGACGATTGACAGCGAATATTTATCTTTATGTTTGTTAATACTAGACGTGGCTCTCATCCACGATGGAGTGAAGATTGAAATCGGATTGAAAAGTGACAAAGCCATAAACTCTCTAAACTCTCCATTTTAAACTAGGCCATCATGTTAACAGCGAGTTCCAATGATCTCACAAACTTGAGATGAAAGACCGCTTTTAAAACAAAAAAAAAATAAATGTCAAGTAAGAAGAGCGGTCTTCAATACCATAAACGTACATAAACATTAACATCATATACCCGTACGTTACATTGTTTTGTTTTGTATTTAAATTTGATTTGTATGTAAAGTTGCACGTATTGCGTATTTGATTGGTTTTATAATTGAATTATCGCTTGTAATCAGAATTTTAATGAGGTTACGTGGAGATAACGAAACATTCGTGCGTCATAGGTTCCTAGGGGTAATGTACAGGAGAAATTCGAAATATGTACACATTACTCACAAGCATATTACGGAACACGTTGTATGGTAACATTATTATAGTGCCATGTACTCTTTTCCCCGTTTTTTTTCTCTAAAAACATAGAACGTATTTCGCCTTTGAAGTTTAAAATAAAATCGCTTACAATTTACAAACACTAAACTCCTGTAAAATATTCATGTCTAAACGTACTGTATCATGTTTATCGAATATATTTCTTGACGTCACAACGAGAAAAAATATGCGTGATACATTTTACAATATAGTAAAGTTACTTGTATATAACAACGTAATAAAATAAATATATTTTCTTGAATTATTATATCATTGACGTCACGTTTTAATTACATACACCAAAAAAATATAATAAGCACGAAAAAAAAAATCTTAAATCCAAATAAACCGCGATAAATCAGCAGAACGAAAATGCATATGCATATTTTAAGAGCATCCAACATGAAAGTAGCACAAAAGGTCATGGTATTGTAAATGAGATTCGAAGGCGAACGTCTGTACTGCAAATGTGAGGGATCTCGAGAGGTAGCATGCATGGGATGATGATCTTACGTCACGATTAACCTCGCACCTAAAGCCCGGCCGGCCATTGCACCGCCGCGTCAGACAAGTACCTACAGTCGTACACCGCGCGCCCTTGTCTATACAATTGCCACATTAAATACCCACTCCAACAAGAATGTATCTACTACAGAATAGTTGACGGTGGCTTCGATTCTATTCTTGTTAACATTCAAGACAAAAAGCAATGATGAGTTTTTATTTAATTTGTAAACGTTTTAATCATTAAAAAAAATCTATAAACCCGCTTGTTTAACACCGAAAAAAAGGAAAAAACTATATATTTTTGTTAAGCTGACTTTATTCTAAATACTAGAACCATTAAGATATTGGAGATGATCAAAACGTTTTTTACGTTACAAAATAAGGTAAAAATGAATGTTGAGTCATAGGTTTCTCATATATTGTGATTTGGACGATGACCCTTTTGGTTGTAAACGGGATTTTTTTGAGCATTAACGTAATTAATTTTTTTTATAAATAAATAATCATAAAGATGTTCGTCGATTCCCCTTCGTATCAAATCTTTATTTAATACGATACTATATATTTTTTTACTTTCAATGGAAAAACTTTTTTGCTTTGTCACGATAATGAAAGTATTTTGCATTCGAGGGTCAGGCTCGCTCAGGATGAATTCCTTAACGTCATCTTTATAAAAAGTTGTTGTATGGGATGTCGCTTTAAGCTTTATTTAATTCTATAATTTAGGTTCCGCACTAAAAATATATCTTTGATAATTTCAACTTTATAACGGTTCATGAGATACAAACTGGTGACATAACAGACGAACCTACAACGTATTAGGGAACCATAAAAAAGTTTTAGTATTTTTCTATTTTGATAGAATGTACCTCTATGATGTTTCCACTAGAAATTAGAATCTTCTTAAAAATTTAAAATTTCATTTAAAGTCTAATAAAACATAAAAGGCCAAGTTTATCTAGTATCGTTTTTAAATATTCGAACATATGATATGAATCATAATATATACAAATAGTTATTGGATTGAAGCACGATTGTAAGTATCTAATGCCAAACGTATAAGTGGCAGTGACGTGTAAAAAAAAACAAATATATAGCATATACAGGGTGACTGGTGATATATATATTTAAGAGAAACTCGGTACAATTCTCACTATAAGAGTAATGTATGTAATAAAAAGAATTACTATAAGAGTAATGTATGTAATAAAAATAATTGAATGGATTCTATTGAATTGTTTCAGCCTTCTGGTCTTTTGGAAAGACCGTTGACGTATAGCTGCATGCAGGAGGTTTATTGCATCACAAGATGGGATCAAGCGAGGAAATACTGCCTTCGCATTGTTATGCCACACGGATCGATTCTCTTACAGGTAATATAATAAATGTTAATTAAAAGTAATTTTCATTACGCGTTCAACAAAGTTACCTTAGGTAATATGGTAATTTTATTGCAAATAACATTCATTCATTCCTCGTGAATAATTACCATTTTTTATGAGTCAATGTTTTACATGTAAAGTCAGAATTAATTTATTTAAAGTATGCAATTGTTATTTCTGTTACAATTAAAATATTGAGAGTCACCTTTTGGATGTGGCTTCCAAATGTTTGACCTCCGTAGACTACCAATTATTTTGATTAAGATATTGTCACTGTAATAAAATCTATGGCTTCAAAGTCATTCAATAATTAATTTTTATTGTTATTGTCACTAATAATTTTATGTCTTCTAATCATATAAAATAATATCTTTAGCATTTAATGTAGTCAGAATACCTACATTTGTTATTAAGTACTCTACAATTGCTACATTTAACCCTTTTAGGCAAACGACGCTTACACAAGGGACCAATGGTATTACTCAATAATATGGAGGGTGAGTACTACTTATTTTAAATATATTAATACTGAAAATTGTAATTTAAATTACACTATTACTTCACGATGTTTTCTTGTAGCCGTAGTAAAGTAAAATAAGTTACTGTTTCTATAAAGATCTTATAACTTATAGATCTGAAAGCGATCAAATTCACTTTATAAAATTGTTTGATTCTGAATTATACGGATTGTTTGATTACAATTTAAAAACATTAATTGTTGTTTACAATTTCAGAAAAACATGATAAGGTACAGAAATTTCTTGACCAAATCAGTGAGGAAAGAAGTCGTATTCAAAGAGCTTAAGGTTTGTCGCTGTTTCTATTATAACTTATAAACAATTCTTTACTTAAAGAAAAATCAATTTTGACACAAGGTTTCATAAGTAAGCACGTGTACGAATTAAACGTGTTCGAGCAATCTAAAATAAAATGTACTAAGGCTATACGTTTTGAAGACCTTGTTGATTAAATTGTCTAAATATAAAAATAATTATTTATTTAACTGTGATACTGAAAAAGAAACATTGAAAATGTTTGTTAATAAGCGTGTTATTCTTCTGATTTTACCTTTTATCTTTTAATTTCTTATCATCAGTACACATTTAAATAAATTAAATATAATTAATGTATGTTCCTCTTCCTTATCAACATGAATTAAATACTATAGTAATTATTTGGAAGGTTTTCTATTATTCTTCAAATTAACGCTAAGATTGATCAAGTTAACATATTTATTATATAAACGAAAACCCTTTGTCACTGAAAAGTATTATAATGACCCTTTATTAATTATGTTAAATTATTTAAAACATATGCAGTGCTTACGCAAAGACCTAGTGCGTCGTTGTTATTATTTACCATAAACTGTTGAATGGGGTTTAAATATTATTAATTGATGTGTACAAACAAAAGAATTCTATTAATACTAATAACTCGTACGTAATAATTAAATTTTGATGGATTTAAAATAGATTTAAATAAAAACATGCACTATGGTTTAAATGAATACTCGGAACTATCTGATTGATCCAAATGCATCGAGGTTAAGCCTAGTATACAAACTAAAAATCTAATTTTAAAGCTATCACTTAATATAAAGACTTTATATTTAATTGTTATAATTATTTTTAGAATATGGTGGATTTTGTGATGACAACACCGTTACAAGACGAAAGTGTTACAAGAACTCCTCTTCAAATCCTGACCGATCTACTTCAGAAGTGAGTAACTCGAGTGGAAAGCAATTTCAAAAATTTTAAGATAAATTATAATCGCTTTTTATAAAAATATGTAAATTTTACAAATTAACAAACTAACAAGGTAACATATTTCAAAGAGTATACAAGCACAAAACCATAGACAAGTAACATTGTTTTAAAACCTACTTAGTGGCCCAGTAATATATAATATAATTATGAACTCGTTAACAAAATACGTTAATAATGAAAACGAGCGCTAACCGCTAATTGAGGAATAAAGTAACGTACCTACTGTCATGACGTCAACAACGGTGATAAAATAATGAACAAGGTTATGTTATGTTTAAAAAAATAGTCAATATTTATATAAATAACGCGCTGACCTCAAATACATATTATATTTTTGGAATATATTATTTTCTTATGTAATATTAACGTTATGAACTATGAATATGAAGTATCGTTTTGGTTGAAAATAAAACTATTAATAATATGTGTTTTTATAATTGTTAACAGAACAAAGATAACTCAGATTGGGAGGAGTGGACGGAAACGGCGGCTAGCGTTGCGGCTCCACTGTTAGCGGAGAGGTGTGTGAGCGGGGAGCTCTGTTCGTTGCTGCTCGTCTCTGCAGGCGGAGACCTCGGGCCGCACCCTTACCCGCTCTCGCTCCGCCAGTCAGGCGCGTCCTTACAAGAAACGTAGACTTCGGAAAAGCCCCCAGCGCGAGACAATTTGTCAGAGATTACATTAGGTACGATTGTGACGCCCTTGATCAAACTCGAAACGATATTAATTAATCGTTTGTATTCTAGCACGGTTTTTAATTGGCTATTAATAGCGGTGTCAAGGATAATGATAAACATTACCTAATTGTATGTTACGTCTTACTTCAAGTATGAGTTCTTTAGCAACAGAAATTTTGATTCAAAATAATTAAAGTTTTATGCCGTTTTGTTTTATGTTGAAAAATCTTTTACGTTAGATTTCTATAAATTGCAAAATAATATGCCATAAAACGAGATAAAATTGAATTTTCGCTTCTTGTACACTATTTTAATTATTGCATTTTCTAAAACGTGAAAATTATTATGCCATATAACGAGATAAACCTTCATACAATGCCACTATAATAAGATTTCTCATCAATGCTAAAACGCTATCATTTCCAGCGCCTTAAGCTGTCACAACTCCGGTGATCAGTTGGTCCGTCGTTTCGTGGAGGTGACTCACGGCAGCCGGGCGCTCTGCCCTCACCCACGAGCTGCTCCCAACCTGGCGGCTGTAGCCCTCGCTGCCATAGACGATCACTACCGCGACAAACCAAAACCACACGTGTGTGATGAGAGCGAATATGAAGTACTACTTTGTGTGAAGACTTTTAAATGCGAAAAACCTGAAATGTTACTATCTTTTTGAATCTGACATTACTGTGGACATTAAGAGCTAGATTTTAATTATCACATGTTTATAAATAACTAAACTTTTAAGTGAAATAGCCTTTTCACAAAAAAAAGTTCTGAAATGTTATTTACGTTGTCGACGTAAGTACTTTTCGTCAGTTTTCACCGGCTGATACCTAATTTTCATCTATTTTTTATTTTGGTTGTTCATAACTATTTTAGAATAAGCCTCCTTTATACTGAATTAAATTTTTAATATTTAATCTGTTGTTTTGATTACTTTTGAGGTATCGTTAACACGCTTTAAAAAAAAACCTATGTTAATGCTAAAATAGTTACCTATTATTGTATTTATCACATAAATCTCAGCGTTTAAGTAACTGCGAACACTTTCTTACTACGTATGTTTGACACGTAAAGGTATCTTAAGAGTTCTAGGGCGTTCTAAATATTAAGGCAATGTATTGAACAGGTGTGAATACGACGACTGGCTGGTGGTTGTGGGAGGCGTACTCCAACCTGTGCCGCTGTGTGAGTGCTATGAGCTGTCCCCGCATCTGTGCTCGTCTGTGCACTGTGCTCGAGCGATTGTCACGGGACCCTCGCTGTGCTTGTCACGGCTGTGTGTCACCAGCTCGTGCCGCCCGACCTTCACCGCCTTCCTGGTTGAGAGCCTCCGCACCATCTGATCCCATATTGGCACTACCACAAGAACAACTCTGCAAACTCTGGGGAGATATGGTACTTTGGTTTTGACCTATTTATCCTGATATTTGATATTTACATGATAAATTTATTCGTATTTTTACATTCTAGTTGAAATCACTACTTAACTGTTGCTGCAAGAGGAAAAGCTTCTTACAAGCAATGAGCAAACACGTTCCTGATTTTGTGATAGTTGCTCTCACTGAACACGTAAGTAAAAAACAGCAATCAATATTTTTACTGCTTTTTAGAGTATATTTTCGAAACAATTTATTAAATTTATTATTTAAATTTATTATTTTTAGCCTGCGGCATTAGAAGCTTTATGTCTAATGTTGGAATGGGAGGTTGCAAGCGGCGAGCAAACCCAATTGGAAATAATAGCGGCCTTACAAGGAACAGAATTAGGACAAAAGTATTACAAAGACTTGTGCGAACGACAACAAACCTTGCAGAGGCTGGTGAGGTTCATACACTAGTTAAAGATTAAATAACCTTTGAATAAATTAACAGTTGTTATTTGTAATAAATAGGAATAGATATCTTTTTCTGATGTTAGTCTTAAAAATACCTAATTAGTGGAGGCGAGTGACGTTAGTGTAATTATTTACTCACTCGTAATGTAATAGATTTCTATGAAAACGTGGTGTTTGTAATTCCCAACTACGCACGTATTTGTAATATCAATCAGAATCATTATATGAGTTTTAATTGCTTTTTTTTTGGAAAGTTTTAATTAACTTATAATTAACTTATAACTGGCCACCAACATTTCTCTTTGGGAAAGACAATACATACATATTTCATGTATAGTCATTAAAAACTAAAGAGAAAAGAGATAATAGCTTAAATTAATAAATGTAATGCTTATAAAAAATTATCTATATCCCTATTTATAAGTTATTTTTTTATTTTTTTTTTTCGTTTCGCTTTTTTTTATTCAGTTAGTTACATTATATAAAAAAATACGTGAAAAAAAATCAATGCTCCTGGTACTTCTATTTATCTTCTTATCAACTGTCTGATGAGTTCCATTCTTCCACGCCACACTACTACCCCACACCACAGAAAAAAAGCATTGATTGTTGATAAGATATTGTTACTAATATATTTTGTCTGAATCATTGCACATTACTTAAATCTAACACCAATCCTCTCAAGTGGCATTGTTCAACATTATATCATAGGTAAATACTATGCAGAAGTAAACAACGTCATTTTCGACTAATGATTGACGTACAAAGTATATGAACAAATCCTAAGTGCTAAGTGAATTTTTTTATTTCCAGCAATCTCAGGGCGGTCCTCGTCGCCTAGCGCTGCCTGTTCGTGCGACGGACGCTGATGTCGCAGCGCTGCTAGAAGCTGGTGCTCTTGGAAACCTTGAATGTCTCAGCCTCGCCTTCACAAGCGTCACTAGTGAATGCGCACAGCACTTAATTAAGGTAAGGAATATGGTACAAATTCTTTGCTATCCATGCTATTTCTTGTAGGTAATGAAACGGGGTCGTAGTTGTTTTGATAAGATCTTGACAGCACTACCTTTTAGGCCATAGAATCGATTAAACCCCAGATTTACTTTATAAGAAAATTAAATGTTTCAGAAGCACTATTTTTCGTATTTTTCCCAAGTCTGAATAGCCACTTCTTCTTCTACTTGGCAATTTCCCATCTTTGGCCAGGATCTGCCTAGATGTTGTGAATAGTTTTGGCTAATTGTTTTTATGACCGACCAATGGCCTGACATCAACCCTCTTTTGGGAATGTATTAATCAGTGATGTCTAAATACTCTTAGAAAGTACATATGACTCGGAAAAATGACATTGGTACTTGCAGGATCGAACCCGCCCCCTTATGCACGAGAGGCGGTCTTTTTAATCACTAGGCCATCACTGACTTAATAGCTTGAATAGCCACTACAGCCACAAAATACTGTCTGTAACATATAAATATACGAGTATCTAAGGATAATGGTAATCACTATCAGGACATCCTTGGTCATCTGTTTCTTTTTACCACAAAAAAAATAAGTGCGACGAGCAGATTGGTTAACTAACTGATTCAATGAAAGAGTTAATATTTTACTTCCATTTCAGTTGCCGTCATTGCGTTACCTAAATTTGTGGGCCACAAAATTTGGGGACAGCGGCGTCCAGCTCATAGCTGAACATCTTCCTCGTCTTCAAGTCCTGAATCTATGTGAGACGCCCGTTTCTGATAAAGGAATCGAAGCTTTATCCGGTGATTATTTCTTATTTATTACCAAAAAAAAACTGTTAAATTACTTAAAAAGCTTGACTTTTATTGAACGTTTTTTAAAGTAGGTAATTTTTAGCATACGTTGCAAAAATTTTACTCAAATTAGTAACTATAGTAGAATCCATGAGAAATCAAACTTTCAGCAACTACCTGTTGACCTAGTGACGTCACGTTTCCCTCAAATCCACACATTTTACATAATTAATTTTCTTCTCATAGATAATGAAGAATGTTATTATTATATACCGCAGTAATCTTTTCTTAAATCGCTTGCTAATCATTTTATTTATGATTACAGGTCTTTCCAGTCTACGGAGGTTGAATTTGAACAGCACCAAGTTATCTGCTGAAGCGTTTCAAGTCCTGCGTCAGAGGTTACCACACTTGCAGGAGTACGACATCAGGTATACTGAGGCATGGTGACAACGAGACCCCGCGGCTACCGCGCTCAACCTACTGACTGACTCTTAAGGTCATTTGGGATCTCATTGGGAAATATGCTTTTTTATGGCTCTTACACCAAGTCTCAGACCAAATTAATTCTAATTCAACGGTTCTGAGAGCCCAGTTACATGAGACAAACGTTCTATTTACTTTATATTAATAAGATCGATTAGAATAAATTTAATTGTAAAATTTTGGATCACATTAAGAGCCGATGACTCCGTCAAACTATTTCCAAACTATACGATTTTAAATTTAAATGAAACTGAGCTGCCTGATATTTTAATGTCTTAATTAACCCAACGTGAAGGTGAGGGTCTCGTAAACTAGTATATAGTCCATAAATGTCATGTATATAGATTATAGTTATATTATTTTAGGCATTTAAATTATAGTAATTATTTTGTAAATAAAGTATGCCTTGCTGAGGAGAGTTATGAGGGTGATAAATATCGTTTAACGTGAAGCTTACTATATGCAAGCGTTGTCAAAAAAATATCGTTAATAATACAAATGCTAAAGTATAAATAATACTATTGCTAAACCATTAATATGAATAAGATAATAATTGAAATAGCATTTTTTTATCATTGATTCCTCATTGAATGCAATTTTATGGTATGACTCTTTGTACATTATAAAGATTAGATAAATTCGAATTATTTTTTGTTAAATAATAACTGTAATTATGATGCTATAATGTTTATATGTTTAAAATTTAAATGTGTTGCCATAAGTTACTGTAATTCCTATTTCTGTAAATTATTGCTGTCGATTTTCTTTGTATTTTAAGATCTATTGAAAGCATTTATTGTTGTTTACAATTATAGTTTCAATAATATTAAATTATCATAGCAACTTTTGTTACTTTTGTAATTTTAAAAGTAACCTGTAAAATTTACGATAATTTCGTAAAATTGTGTCAAATTAATTCTTATTTAAGAAATCAAACGTTTTTTTTTTCCTATGTTAGTATTCAGTTTTTGTTGTGATTATCCTTAAATGGTACCTTACTTGTTGGTGTTATTTAATAGTATATGTAATTTCTATATTATCGTAAATATACCATATAAAGAAATATTGATGGGTATATGAATAAGTTACAATTAGCATGAAAATTAAAAAAAATAACTATCGAATCACACTTTTGTACTTTTACATTAATTTAAAATGTTTATATGTGTAGTAATTATTCTTATTATACATCATAAAAGAACGTGTCATGGGGAGCCTGTGGGATTTTAAATGAAATTAGACAGCACCAAATTCATTTTCTGGTCATAAGAAATACGCTTCAATCATAAGTATTGTTAGATTAAGATGTTGAGATCGTCATGGCTGTGAAGAATGAAGCGATTGAACAGTGTACATGTGGTGTTCGACCTAAAATCTTTGATATTATATTATGTTTATCTATTACGAGTAATTTACAATTTAACTATTCCCCTCTACTGCCCTAAATCTCAATAAGAAACTGTATACAAAAATATAAAGCATGGCAATTCAGTTATATGATCTCACTTATTCCTTACTTATATACTGGTAGAAAGTTATATCCGTATGTTACACAATATACACTTGGACGAATCAGGATGTATTAGTGTTGTTGGAAATAATGTGATAGTTTTATTAATAAGGGTAGGTCTTACATGTGTATTCTTAAATCCGTAAAACTTTAGTGTATGAACACCAAATTATTGTTGATCTTTTAAATATTAATTAAGATGTAATAAATAAATTGAAATTTTAATGTCTCGCAACTTGCTTTTGCAATATGTTGACTATCAATAATTATATTGCACTTTAGATTTTAGGAGTGTTATTAAAATTTACATACATAAAGAGGTTAAAAGACTTAAGAGTTTTTTATTTGTAATAAAAAGTTAGAAATAATAATGAACTTGTTTAATTTTTACATCCGTCTGTGTCATTCTCTTACGTCAATGTGTTTCACTGAACGTTTACGTCACTATTGATTAAAATGTCCGTTATCTTTTGGATGACTTTTTGTCTTTTATTTAAACAATTAGGCAATTGATTTTTTTATAAATTTACTATGATTCAAACGCAAATGATCTCTTCTGAGAGAATTATCTAATCTCTTAGTTTGAGTGCTTCAAATTGCACTTTGTAATACAATTTCTCAATCAAGAATATTTTTAATTTCGTGTAGGTATAGAATTAATTTTCTTTGTCAGTGAAAACACGAGTCTTGAGAACAGTCATAAAAATTAATCATGCGAAGTGAATAAAAGTTGCTTTCGTTGAAAAATAACATTAAACGAATTTACTTCCTGATTAGACGATTTTCAACACGGTTATAAACTAGCGTTATTGTACTCTTTTGTTTAATAATTCTTATCAGTACAGTTTAATTTTGTGTTTTCGATTAGTTTATTTAAATAAAATTCCATAATATTGGGTTTTTTCTGTGTTGTTTGTTAAATTTCTTCATTTTGTGTATAAAGTAGGTCTTTTAAGGATCTTCAATATGTAGAAAAAACTTTTTGAGGACTCAAGGTTCATCACATATAAGTAGGATCTCAATATAAAGTGGCTCTTCCAAAGTTAATAAAAGTCAGGTATCATTTATTAAATAGAATTAGGAGAATTAAACATTCCATTTACTAAGGAATATTATATTGAGTAATTTTCAATAGTGTATGATACATATCTTAACATTAACTTTATACATTTATAATCGCCACACTATCGAATTTAATAAATTATAAAACTAGCATTTCAATCAACTGAAATGCTTGATTGAATCGCACTTATAAAAATTAAAAAATAAAAACAAAACAATACGACCTATGGTACATTAACTAAACAACATCATCTCAAATAAACCAGTATTAAAATAAATACAGCTTAATGAATTTAGATATTTTATGGTGATAGTAGATTTCCATATATTTTTTTTATCCTTGCCATCACACTCCATGGAATTTATCAGTGTTTACAACTATTTTAGTATTTACAGTGCAATACAATCTTAAATATTATTTAATATATGTTGAAAAAAACCCAAATTAAATATTTCAATGTGTTAAATCACTCTATGCCCTGTAACTACTAATAACCGATTTAAGCACAAGATATTTTAATACATAGAAATTCATTAAAGTAACCTAATATTATAGATATATGTAAGAAATGGAAATTAATTTACAACTATTTGAACTGTTTAACTAAGCATGGCTCATATAGCTTGACTGGATTTTAAACAAAATTAGATAAGATATTTATAAGTGTTAGAAAAAATATGATTTCACATGTGATCCGGCAAGCCCAATGAACTTACACTATATTTTTACATATCTCTAAACTCTAATACTAACAGTAAATTTAAAAATATTATAATAGAATGATTGAATTTCCTAAGAGTTTAATAACCAATGATCATATTTTTATATATAGTTTTCACATGAGGTGTTAACATGTTCAAGAATTTATCATTTTAAAATGGAAGATTTATACCTATTACAAGATTAGTTAATTATTTGTATATATATTTGTAATTAATGTTTCAAACATCTATTTTAAAACCACCTCATGTTATCTGTGAGTCAAGAAAAGAGATAATTGTATGTTATATACAGGTTATACATAGATATACATTTAGTATCATTTGACAAATGCCTTGAAAAATATATATACCATTTTAAAATTTTAAAATCTAATAATACACCAATAACATGGATTCAATATATTTTTAGAATTACACTACACACTCAATAGGAGACTTATAAGAACATATTGGCGTTAGTTTACAATTTTACATGCATCAAATTATAAACTTGTTTGTGAATTGGCAACACCATACAATATAATCTCTAAGGAATTCCTGAATGATTTTTGTGCCGTTCTAAAAGCAGGGTCATACAAATTTTGTCTTGTCAAATGTATCAATACTGATCACAAAAATAATGATATCGCATACTGTTCATCGCACAATAGATTTGCCACTGGTATTATTGATACCTGTGACTTTAGAGACTATGCTATTTAGTGAAGGCGGCAAACACGGCCCACATGATTTCACAGGATTCAGGTCTCATGGCTTCAGCCTCGAAGTCTAGATCAAGGAGTGCTCGGACTCGTCTTGTGGCCAGTTCGTAGTCTTCATCTGATAGCGGGGCAAAAGCATTTTCTAGAACATCAGCTGAATGAGCTAACATCAATAATGCCAGTGACCTCTTATCAGCATGAGCCACGTCGATTATGGAACGGCGCAGAGCTGCCTCCTGGACCTGGAAATGTTTTTTTATAAAATTAATTTAAAGGCAAAGTTTATGAATGGAATAAATTCTTATAAAATAAGTAGGGTCATGTGTTCATATATAATAGTAACATTCAAATAATTTTTATACACCAATGGTATAGAATCTTTTAGCTGTATTAAAAATATAAAGCAAATCTTGAAATTGTTATTACCTCTTAATATAACAATACCGGTAAGCATGTTAGAGTATTAAGGAACATTTTATATTTTATTATTTAAATAATTATCTTTATAAAGCAAACCATCTACATTCTTGAAGTATGTTTTAAATTTCCATTTAATTACTATTTATTAATCATAATAACTACATTCATACAGTTCCAGTTATAATTTAATCTGTGAAATATTTTTCATGATAAATAGAAAATAAATTTGTCACAACTATTATATGATTAGTGTGAACAAGTTGATAAAGTAATTTAACATGTAAAGTGATAATGACAAAGTTATGTTCAAATATTTTTAATAAAATTGTAACGATAAAAATATGAAAACTTATTTAATTAAATCTACAATTTTCCTTAGATAAATAAAATTATTTTTTAAATATTTTTTTCGAGTCATTATTAGAACGGGTGAATGTTGTTCAATCATTTTGCAGCTCATTCTATTTTTGACAATTCTTATCATGTTAAATGTTGTACATTTTGAAACAGCAAAGGATATAAAGTTTTATTTAGTAAATTAACATAAAGCACTTAATGTTATCATTCCAATGAGCAATTATAAACAACACATACATATGGAATGTATTAAACATCCTTAAAAATATATTTGCCAAAATGTAATGAATGTCTAAATAATATCTTTTCCAAGACATCATTCAAAACAACAAAATTATGTCAATACAATATCTATCTATAGAAAAAATATATAATAGATCTGTTTCGTAAAAAACACAAATCTTTAAAATAATCTTTGAAATTAATAATTGAGACACATTGAACAAAAAAAATTGTGGAACATCTTTATAATAACAAAAATTTGGATAAGGTAACTCAGATATAATTTCTTTTTCTTAAAAGACTTAATGCTTAGTATCACAACCTCTGAATTGCAGTTTAGGATACACATACACACAGAAAGACTAACTAAACATAACTAATATAATTCACACAAAGAGTTATAAGCAAAAATTCATTGTACAAGAGACTAATTTCATTGTAATATTTTATGATATAATTTTAGATTCAATAATTTATAGAAAGTTAAGTGAATGTATGTTTTCTAGATTCTAGAATATGATTAAGTAATAAGATTTAATAATATATATTGAATATTTATGCTGCATAATATACTTAAATTAAATACTTTTATATAAATTACATATTAGTATGAATTGTATCACAAATATTGTACTTATTTTTAATCAAGTAAAAGTAGATTGGGGATTGTACAAACCTTCTTTACTAATCTGCATTTAACCACATTGTCGGTCAATGGATGGGTCGTCATATCAAAGAGTAAGAAGTTCTGTTTCTCTGTGGTAAGGACACCTTTCTCAACAAGATTCTTTGCTAGCCTCTCTCGTACATTCTTTAATTGATATTTCAGCTTCATCGGATTCCACGTTTCACCTATTTTGTGATAAAGAACACAAATTTTCATTACCACACATATAGGTAGGTTATAATGTTTTTAATAGTGAAAGTCAAGGACTATTCCATAATTTTCAATTTAATTATGTACCTAATAAACAAATAGCAACATTTTAAGATTTAATAATAGTAAGATATACTTTGTATTATATTGATATAGCGGGAACATCAGACATAACACTACACTTTTAGTATAAGTATAAATACTAAATAGTAAGTAATGAAAAATAATTAGTAATAAAAGGTAATTTAATATACTAAGGTACTCTACCGCTGAGATATTCTATCCAGCTTTGTACTGTTTCTGGTGGATCAGTGTCTTTCATGTGTTTTAGAGCTTCATCAAGCAACACATCACCAGTCGGAGAGTCTGTAAACATATTTAGTTCGTAAATATGTAAATGTTACAAAAATCTTAAGACATTATTTGCACAAAACTTTGAAATACTAGTTCCATTAGTATGCAGTGTCCAGTGTATACCTGATTTAACTATAACTTTTCTGGATAACAAGCCTTTCCTTCTCATACCAGCTCTTTCTAATTCGACACGACCTCGTAATCCCAGTTCAATCAAGATGCAGCCCCTTAGACCGCTAGATATACAATCATTCCAAAAGGATGTGTAACCCTAGAATAGTATAACAATCTAATGACTGTGAACTTTTATAAAACATGATTAGCATGTGATCGTCTATTTAAAGTTAAAAAGTCTATTCCTACCTCTTTGTCTTTTAATCCTAATAATAAAACTTCTTCCATCAGAGTTAATCGAGTTTCCTTTGAATCGCCGTCATCATAATTTTTATCATTTTTCTTATCGTCAATATCATGATTTTCCCTGTTGCCATCATTTTCTTTCACTACATTCCTTCGTTGTACCAGCCCCTCAGTGCGATTCATTTTAGCATTAAATTGGATCACAACAAAGAACTCAAAACAAGATTGTATTTTCCACTGCAGATGAGATAATTTTTGAGAGTGTTGAGTAAACTAATCGTTGACGTTTGCCACACGACGTATGTAGCAAGAAAAACATGGCCGCGAACAGTAAAATGCGTTCCGTTCCCTTTTGATACAAAGTAAACAAAAAGAATACGTTTTACACATTTGAATTAAATACTTTAAAAAATTACTTTAATATTTACAAAAGACTTAAATATAGATATACTTTATACATAGTTTATTCAGTGTAAATCTTCAAGTATAAGTTACTTTATATGAAGTGGAATAGAATTACTTTTTACAATGTTTCTAAAATAATGTGAATATTTAAATATTTACAAGAATATCTATTTTTATTAAATTGATATATACTTTTTAAGACTTTCGATACATTAAAGTATTTTTAAATTTAGTGCCCAACACCACGCAACAAGACGAGACTACTATATAATATTATTATATTATTTATACTTTAAACTACTAATATTTTTTATATTATTTATGCTTTAAACATGTGTTAGGTGTTAATTATTTGTTTTCATTAAAGATCAAAAATAAAGGAGATTTAAAATTGGTTTTAAATTAGTCAATCTTTATAAAAAAGAAAACTATAATAAATAAATAATTGTAGGTAGGTACTTGAGTTTTGAGGCGTATTTTAATAAACGTTTCAATAAGAATCACATATAGCAAGTTTGAATTTTAATGACAATTAATATAGTAGTTGGGTATATATTTAATACATTTCTTTGACAATGAATTAGACGATTTATAAAGTTGTATTTTTTGAAATATGTGATTTATGCTCACGCCAAAATTTTATAATTTAATGTGAAACGTTAATTACTTTGTGTGTGAGGTATTTACGACCTAGATTTTAGGTCCTAGAAAGTTAGAATATAATTTTCTTATAGTGATATCTATTATCTTCAACTCATACATTGTACACAGTATACTTAATCATAAAATTATATTAAAATATCTTTAATCATCATTTATATACATTAAATATCATTTTAATATAAATTTAGTTAGTACAATTATCTACTCAAAAGAATCTCAGAGTGATATAATATGGCACTTTTCACCATAACGGCAAAAAAAGTTGTTTGAATAACAAATATTTCAAGTAAAAGCAAATGTTTTAGACGTTCTGGTATTAAACAAGTTTGCATCGTCCCAATATACAAGAATACGGCGGGTTAGTAGTTTTTCATTTATAAATCTTCGGATATTATAAATTTATCTAATGAGATAATGAAAACTCTTCGTATGTAGTGCAAAAACGCAAGTTTCGGCTAAGCATACATCTACTTATCTGAAGATTTTTTAGAGTAGCCAAAAACTTGAACAGTTTTTTTTATTACAAATGAGGCAGAACTAAACGAAAGTAATAAAGTAGAGTAATTACAAAATTTTGTTAATATATATTTAAAAAATATTGTTAAAACGTGATTTTAGCAATCTTTATACGATTTAACAATCTTGGTTATTTCATACTTATACAAAAAATCTAAAAATTGTTTTTATAGCATAAAGTAAACATCTTTCCCTTATATTTTATTTAAAATTAAAATTCTTTTCTAGAAATTAAATCATAAACGTTAAAAGATAAATAAAATTCTTAAGCGACGTTACCGTTTTTTTCGTATATATTATTTGGACTCATCTGACCTACTATAATTTTGTCCGTAAAATAAATCTGCGAAGTTAGTATTCCCTCAAGTTTCAAGACGCATTACATTTATTTATAGCGCTTAAAATGCATCGAGTGCATGATACGTTGGAGCAAATAATTTAAAGATGTATTAATAGATCGTAATGGTTTAAAGATACAAAGCCACAATACTACATAATACATATATAACTATTATAATTATACTAGTTCTTGTTTTGTTCTTATTACTGTAAAATACTATTAGACACGCCAAGTGCGTAATTAGCGATTCAGAGACATTTAAAATAACGCTATACTTTTTCAATAATATAAACATTGTTTAAACATTCTTAGTAGGTACATTATTTAATACCTGTATCACTGAAACACAGATCATTCATTTAGTAATTTATGGTCTCAGAATCATATAATAGATACCTAAAACTACATCTCCGGTTTTCAAAGGTAGTGTGTATTTATCCAAATAAGAATATACGTCCCAAATCAGAATCGTCATGATTTTTGTTATAAAATTTTCATAAGGCTAACGTTTGAAGAAGAAGAAATTGAATAACAAACAAAAAAGTTGCTAAAGTTGGGAGTATAAATATATTTTACAATAATTCCGTACATGTTTAATATATTATTAACATTTATAAGGTTTGATAAATCAAACATTAGATAAACCAAAATTAAGCCATCCTGTCAATACCTAACCAAAGTCGATAAATTCAATGTGTCCAAAACACTCAAATGCATACTTATGGTTGTCTAAATAGATTACAAGTACTTGGTTTTGATATTTGAATCATTTTCAATTTTTATTCTTAAAAATATTTGACAGAAAAATTGTATATTCAGGAGGTACAAAAACAAAAATAAGGAATTATATAAAATTAATATATTACTAAGATAAGATTATTGAATATTTATAGGATCGTTTTAATATAATGCCGGCAATTATCATTAACTGATAGCCAAAGCCAGTTAGAAGTTTATCAGTTCTTTAGTAAGACTACAAGTGTGGGCGATCAGACAGCGTCCACTTTATCCTCTGCGCGGTCGTCAAACAAGCTATCCGGAAATCTGGAGAGTGAAAACTAAACAATACGGTAGGTTATAAATGTATAAAATTTACGAATAACTAAAATCGTCAGCGATGATTGAAATTTCAAGGAAAATTATACAGACGCTCAGATGCTCAGTGCTCACGCTCCGCAATTCTGGCAGTTGTGAACTTTACACTGTATAGTGGTGTGACCGTGTGACAGGGCAAGTCGCCAGTTGGCTGGCGCACTTGTGTCATTCCGGTCGTCGAAACTTGCAATTCATATATCTTATTTACATCGAGTCGTGTTCGCGCCGTTCATTTATAACTGAAAATTTATTGAAATTAATAATACTTGTAAAATTCTTATGTATTCGTTGTTAAAAATTTTAATATATGTGTGGAATGAACAGTGTTAGTTAGTGTTCATATTTCCGAAAAAAAAAAATACTTTGCGACTTAATGGTAATGTGTTTTCCATTAACATAATATAATAAATTTTAGTATCTGGAGTTCAAGGAAAACCGCTACAACATTTGTATCTAAAACAAACTGAAGTCCCAGTGAAATAAAATATTTAAATTTATAGTTTATTCATATTTTATTATGGTTTATAGTTTTATGATAAGAAGAAATTAAAGATGCAAATTAAAGTCGAAGTTTATGTGATAACGTCGTTAAAAACAAGTGTGTTGATATTATTTTCACTGTGAATATCAGTTATGTTTTCGTACTATTTTGGTCGAGGAACACGCGTTTACTTACGTCACTTATAGACTATACCTTTGATATGTGGTACCCGTTACGCCCGCCACCCGTTATCTGACCGCTTTTGCCAAATTTTATATAATATATACAATAAGGATTGTATATTTTTATTGATTAGGTTAAAATTACATAAACACAATATTAGAATCTGAATTTAAACCTAGTGATTGATATATGAGTTACATATACTGTTCCAAATAATTACTATTCGTTTCAATATATTTACATTTGGTTTGACATTTCTTTTACCGCGATTTCTGTAACTTTTAAGTACTTTTCAAGCTTGTTGAAACGACGAAGACTTATGTAATGAAAATAACAAAAAATGATTGCAAAATATATCATTAGAGCATATTTTTATATGAAATTATAATCATTGTAACAATGACTTTTATTACAGTTTCGTTATTGCAATTAACAATGTTTAACAAGATATTAAAAAAATAGAAACACGATTATAAAGTTAGCAACGTAATTCTAGTTTTTTTATTGTTATGTAAATAAAAGATATATAATATTTGGCCCACAATTTCCGTTAGTGGTTCTTTTGAAGGAACAAAATAAGTATTTTTTAAACAAATTGGATGTATAATTATGATATCTAATCACGAATATTCCTTATTATTACAATTTTATATATGGTGATATGCAGTTCATAATAAATTTTCGGTTATCGGTTTACTTCGCTAGTTCTTATGTAACACTGATAATGTTTATCACTTGTTATCTTATAAGTTCAGTATGTGAGTATGTTCTATTATAAATTCTAATAAAATATGTAAAAAAAGTTTTAAAAATATATTTTTATTCCAATCGATGCGGAATTTTAGTTTATTGATTTTTTTTTTACCTATGGATTAATGAAAGTCAAAAATTGCTTTATTATTTTTTTGTAGGTGTTATATGGTAAAAAAAACAGCATAAGCATGACGTGGGAAAAAATATGTTTTTGGATTCGTGTTTGGAATAATAATACTATGCTATATAAAATTTAAAGAAACCTTAAATTTACGCTAAAACAAATTAAATTATTTTCCTTGTACTTTATTGTGAAAGAGTTTAATGAGGATTTTATTCCTCCTTTATTTTATTTTGATACTCATAAAAAAAAAAACGTTTTATATAGGTACACGATACGCTACATCAATCGCGAATTTTTGATGAGTTATTACAAGGATTATTGTAAAATTCACGATGTGAATATGTAATAGGTTTTTGTCAGAAAGTATATTCGACAAATTAACATGATGTTATCTCGTCTATGTATTCTTAAGTATATAAATATGTAAGACGTTAAAAACAGAGATCAAAGTTCTAATGCTGTAATATATTTTTTAGTAGTACGAACTGGCAGATGATAGAATTCTTCAAGTAAGGAAAAAACAGTGTCCTCCAAGCGGCCATTAATTCCTTTGTTTTATTAATTATATACAAACTACGATTATATACTCGCAGTTTTATAATTAATTTTAAATAAGTTACAACTTTGTAATTTTTTTAGTGTCGTTAAATATTTTAAATCTCCATTTATGAATACATATTTGAATATACGGAAAAAAAATGGAATTCCTTAGTTTAGGGCGTGTTTATAATATGGTAAAATAAAAGCAATCGATATGTTAAAATACTTTTTGATTTTAAAGAAACATAACAAAAAATTTCATTTTCTACTGAAACTCCTGACATCAAAATATTTTGTTGTCATAATTAACAGCAATGAATAAGTTTTAAAGATAAATACTACGTGATAATAATATTTTTATACTAAATTCTTACCAAAACACACCATACCATACTAAGGCTTATATTTTTGTAGGAAATTTACCGAAACTGTGTGTTAAAGGGTTAAGTCGTTTTAATTTTTTTAATTTTTTTATTAAGTCAAAGTTTTAATTTACATGTACGTACATAATAATTTTTAGTCAAATTCTTGCTTTTCATAACGGACTATAATATTTTTTACATATTTTATAGAGAACAAAAATATACTTATTACGTGGTCGGCAAATCTTTTTTCGTTGTTTTCTCTCTGATATATTAGGAATTGAGTTTATTATTGTTATATAATATGTCTTACGTTTAATTATTATTAAGCATTGACGTCAAAGTTGTAAGTATTGCTCACAATTTTTATAAAGTTAAGGTCATTTGGAATTAAGATTAAAATGATTATGATCATATCATAATGATAAAATATTGGCATTGTGAAATAACAAAAGTCCCCTAAATTATATTTGTATTATGTTGTGTAAACTGATTTCAGTCATTTATTTTATTATTTTAAATTGCAACATCTGAGATACAAATACATATTTGATCGTTTTTTAATTAACATATTAAAATTGCCGGTGTTTACTGTTTAGGCAGAACATCAAAATATAATATACGTTTAGTTAAAGAATCTTCTATAATTATAAAGCCATATATTTGAAATCACTATTTAAATAACTTTAAGGATTTATTTTAGGTATTTTAAATCCTAAATTCTATTTTTATTTTATGATATTAAAATTTGAAAAAAGAACATTGTCAAAAACATTTTTTTATACACCGAGCCTAATTTGTTATTATTTTTCCGCGGTTTCGTTTGATGTGGTTTTATTGCAATATTATATATTTTTTGTCATATAATTATTATTATTTACTAATTAACAACTGCATTAACGTTGCGGGAGGGCTATCGTTATCAGTTAATTATCCATTATGTACTTCGATATCGCGATTATTCTTTATGACAGGTTTCTTAAACTAAGCTTTCCAAAACTTAATATCTTATCGTTTTAGATATGACTATGTTGTTTAAATATCCATATAATAAAATCATTGGAAAACTTGTATATGTATTTTACAGACAGGAAGTTTAACTATACAAGAGTATAATTTTAAATGTAATAAAATATCTATTAAGTCTAAACTTGCAAATTAAATGACCCATTCAGCAAAAAACCCTTAACAATTTTTTAGATTTCAAATCTTGTAAATAAGTTATAGCTTTCGCAGCATACCATGCCTATGTACTTGAAAAAAATTAAAGCTTAGATGGACGGTAAAAAAAGTTAAATAAAATTTCTTCTTTTAATAAGTAAAGCTAGTAATATTGTTTATTAATAATTTGTTTGGTCTTGTGTTAGTAATTGTCCCATACGACCACACGATGTCGGTACAAAGGGTTAGTTCAAGAGATAATATCTTCATTGTTAATTGCATTAGATATTCAATTGTACTGAAATGACGGTCACCCAACTCAGTTGCGTTTGATATCAATTACCAAAGATATTGATTATTATTAATCTACAAGATTAAATTCAGTTGGATGTTGATAATAAATAAATACTCTGATAACGTATTCCAGGCGTTTCTAAAAAAATTATATTCTTAGCTTCACTCTTAAAGTAGTAACATACTCGTATCTCTAATTAAAGTAATATTCTTGTTTTGTTCAGGACGCATAATTCACTTGAAGAATATATTGGAAAACAAACATGCAGGTTCCAAATGGAGTTGAAAATCAGAAATATATGAACGGTATGTACTGTATTTTAGTTATAGTTATATTTACCAGTCATAGTGACTGAAACTATGTTTGATTTAGTGTCGTTGTAATAGCTAAGTGTTGAAGGTTTTAGTTTAAACATTGAGTGACAACATCCTTCGTTCATATATAAACACGTAGATACGCTGTTAAGAACAAGCATTGTGTATATGACTTGCAGAATATTATACAAAGCTATGTATTATACATATAATTAAAGACGCATTTAACTATTCAATATTATTCTATATTGATCAGGTCCTGACCAAGTAATACCAGTGGATCACTACATATGTTGCACTCCGGGTGGACATGTGAAAACTTCGTATGGGATCGAGGGGAGTAGCTGCAGAGCCGCCGATATCCGTACCAGGTCTACTGAGCAGAACTGTGGCTAGATATCCTGATGCAACGGCCTTTGCCACAAAAAAATCTGATGGAAAATGGCATAAAACCACTTACAGGTCATTATAGATTCAGCAAAAATGTTAATTTGATATAATTAATTAGTTAATATACGAAATTGTTTTCTATTTCAGGCAGTACCAAGAACGCGTAAGAACAATCGCAAAGGCCTTTTTGAAAATAGGTCTCGAACGTTATCACTCAGTATGTATATTGGGATTCAATTCAGAAGAATGGTACATCGCTGACCTCGCAGCTATTCACGCGGGGTATGTGTTAAATGTTAATCGTCACTCATTAACTCTGGCAAACAAAATTTCCCATAATTAATAATAGACACGTGTTATAACCTGTATGAATAGCTTTGTTTCAAATTCGCAGACAATATTTCATATAATATTTTGTAAACAATTCGTTCAGAGGTTACGCGGCTGGGATTTACACAACGAATTCTCCTGAAGCATGTTTCCATTGTCTGGAATCCTCACGAGCGAACATCTGCGCTGTGCAGGACAAGAAGCAATTAGACAAAATATTGTCCATACAAGGACGATTGAAGCATCTAAAAGCTATCGTACAATGGGAAGGTCCAGTGGATACGTCTGTACCTGGTGTCTACAGTGTAAGTGTTGTCAAAGTTTTTTTTTTAGTATAAAATATCCTTACCAGCCAGTTTTTTTTTTATTTTTACCTCCAATAAGTATTTAATGTAATGTTTTGTATATCAGTGGGACCAATTAATGGAGATGGGAGCGAAGGAACCTGACACACAGTTGAACAACATCCTCAAGTCTATTGCAGTCAACGAGTGCTGTACTCTTGTATACACAGTGAGTATATTTTTTTTATACACGAAGACGCTAAATATATGGTTCTGGTTTCCAAGCAAATGCTTTCTTGATATCTATTATTTATTTAATTTATCTTTATACTTTAATTTATTAAAGAATAAAGATTCAGAACCTCATAGAAAATGGTCTAAGAAAAGTAAAAAATAAATTCCGTTGTATTTTTTTTTGTTAAAAACCCGATGCTTACAAAATGTCTTACATAGCAATATTTCCAATTCCTACCATACGATAAATTTATTATTAATAAAAATAATTAAATCCAAAAATGCAATCCTTATCAATCTGATGAGTCGCAAAAAGTACTTAGATATAATATAATTTATCTTTTGTAAGATAAAAATGGTTCGATGTTTATATGTAGGCCCTGAATAATATGGATTATTCTGTATACAATTAACAGTAACAATGATCTGATTACTAAATCATTGGATCTCTTTTTAAATTAATTGGAAGATTTATATTGAAATAAATTTTTATGTTTACATTCTTAAGAGAATACCAGCAGTAGGTGCTAAATAACGTATTAAGTACCGAATGCAATCACATTTACAAATTAAACGGTATCTTCTTTGTAATATTAATGAAGAAAACCTAGGTAAACAATAATATTCACTAGGATGAAATACCTAGAATGGTCAATGAACTATTGAGCTAATGAACATTTATATAACGATAAGATAAGATTCTAACTATTGACTAACGTTTCAAAAATTTGAAACTCACAATAATTCTTTAGTTGTGAGATTTTATAAAAACATCACAAGTCACCAGGCGTGATAATACAATTTGAGACTCTGATTTTTGACAACATTTTAAATTAGGTATTTAAAAAATCTGCAACATAAAAATGCAAATGTTGCTTTAAAAACACTTTCTGAAAGACCATTTTTGTAACAAATTAATTGCAATTAGTTTTTAAGCTGCAAGTCAGTAGTCTGTGGACTCTCGAAATAGGCTCAAAGAGAAATAACTAGCGACATCTATCTATCTATCTATCTGCGTTATGTTGTTATCACGCTCACACACTACCCTGATCACGCGGTAACGACGAATTTAGAGATAGATTATAGTATATTGCAAAAAACATCCCCAAAAACCATGCCATCAAGATCAACAAGTATTACGAACTCACTAACGAATTCGCTCAGTATAGGTTCATCATAAATTTGTATACGGTAGAAGAAAAGCGAAAGATATAACAGCCTAATCTCTCTCTACAACTTACGAAAAGACATGATCCTGTTCATAACTAACATCAATTCACTCTTAGAACGGGCTTCGAAAGCAGTGCCAGTAGGTACGTAGGATGTAGGAGAACGTTTAATGCGCGTTAAATAGGAGCCCTTTAAAAACCTGCACCTGGGTCGCAAGTCCCGGGCATTATTGAAGCTCCTCTCCCTGGATGGACTGGCAATCGCTCGGAGAATCTATGGAATACTGAGATTTTTTGGTCGTATTCTGATGTTTATAGTTATTTAAAAATTTCATCAATATCCGTTATGTAGTTTTTGCGTGACATGGCAAAAAAGATCCATCTGTCTTAACAAACTTTCGTAACATATGTATAGTATGTATGTATTTATTTTATTTTTAGGATGGGACCTTTTAAAAAACCACTTATGTCAGTCATGTCGTCCTTATTATATCAAGTTCTCATATCCAAACCGAACTGTGTTAGTGGTACTTAGTAGTAATAGTACATTTCGGGAGAAAGTTGACATTCTATTCAATAACGATAATCCGACGTAAGGTTTGGCAATACTGTAAAGACTATGCATTAAAAGGGACTTTAAAAATTATATGGAAGAATAGCTATTGGACTATTTCCAGAATGATAAATAAAATTTATTTCTTCTGCATTATGCCAACAAAAATGTACAGATAACATATATACAGTTATTATAAAACATATACATAACAGATAATATTGTTAATCAACTTATTTACTTATTATGTGTGGTTATAAAATAATAATCCTATTTAATCCAACAGCAGGTAACTATCTGTGTAACCCTCAGTAATAAATATATTTCATGGATAAATGTAATAAATGGGATTACTCGTTGTGATAACTGTGATATCAACAAAAAATATTTTATTATGTAGAATTGAATAAATTTGACAGTTTTTATAAATAACAACATCAAAATTTACCTTTGGCAGCAAAAAAACTGTTGCACATTTTCTATATTTTCTTTATATATAGTTATATTATTATGTTATGTCTTCATCTTCCTGGCAATTTCCCAGCTTTAGCCAGAGTCTGCCTTACATACTATAGTATATTTGGCAGAGAAGTACATAAATGGGTTTACTTGTCCTATAAAGAGATTTCGTAAAAGAATGAGAAAAAAGATGAATATATTCACGAAAATAAACAACTATACAATACTCTGTCATTTCAATTAATAGTTAATATATAAGGTATCGCCTATTATGAACGAATATATTCGGAACGGTAAAATGATATAAGTTTTAATTCTTTTCAGTCTGGAACCGTGGGTCCACCAAAAGCCGTGATGCTCTCACACGACAATCTCACGTGGGATGCGTTCGCTATCAGTGAAAGATGCGGTGATTTGAAACCTACAGTAGACAAACTCATTTCATTCTTACCGCTGAGTCACGTTGCTGCACAGGTAATTAAAGTTAATTGTCTATAACAACCTCTCATAATTTCATAGTATGTTTAGGACCAAGTCTATTATTAAAAAAATCTACTTCCTAGTACTTTCAGGACAAACTATTTAAACAATATATAATATATTTTAAAAGTGATACTGTTCATTCAAAAAAGATTATTCAAATAAGTATATATTATAATCCACGTCCGAGAGATATTTTTATCTTCAATACCTAATCAACGCTATTAAGTATTTAATACATATTTCCTGTTGTTACAGGCCTTTATATCTTAAGTTGTGACATAATTTATAAACAAATTATATGTACCAAAGTCCATAAATTATTATCGGTAAAATATCAGCTGAAAGCCTTTAATACCCATATATAATTTTAAAATAGATATCAATATTATAATGAAAATAAATAAGTATAGTTTATGTCGTTTCTTACTTATGCTTTATATAGATTACTTAACTTATTTATGTATGTATCATTCGGGTCACAGTGCCTCAATCGATCGTGGGACATCAATCAATATTCGCTACATAATTATCTTATTATGAAACAACCTTTTCATTAAAGGTAGTCGACATTTATGCGACATTAACAAATGCTGTTGAAGTATACTTCGCCAGACCTGATGCCCTCAAGGGGACGTTGGTTGAAACCTTGAGAGAAGTCCGTCCAACTAGGTTTGTGCATATTTACTATCTTTGAAAAATAGGAAAACAATAGCTTGACCTTACCCTAAAAAGGAATCTTATTTACACTTTATGAAAATCAGATTAAAAACGTATTATGTGCTTGATATTTGAATACTTAAAGCAAATGATTACATATATCAAAAGACCCATAAATAGACGTACAATATACATTTTTGTGTAGTTTTTTTTGCAATCATAATTCAAAACTCCTCCAACGCTAATGACGATTTAGCAATAAATAAATATTATTTATTTCAGGTTCCTAGCTGTGCCGCGAGTGTGGGAAAAGATGCACGAAAAAATAATGGCTGTAGGCGCTGCTAACAGCTCTTTCAAGAAAAGTATAGCGATGTGGGCCAAAGACAAAGGAACGAAACACCACTTAGCGAGAATTAACGGGTAGGTTTAAACTAACTTATATTCGCGGCTAACAAAATATTTGATGAATTATTATACTTAGAATTCTTACTAATTTTATGTAAGACCGAAAAAAATATTTCCCTTGATTCCGCGTGAAATGACAAAACCGAACGCATATATTAAATATAGAGAATTGATAAATGGAGTATTTGTCTAAATATTGCATAACAACAAATGGCTAGTTTCCAATGTTCAAGTTTTTCTAAGAAAATTTCAACAATTTCGTTTCATTAGAAAAAAGTACCAACGATATTTTACTACTTTTTCACAATTATTACATAAAAACCATCACCTAAAAAATACTTCTAATCATGTTAATAGCTGCAGAACAGCAAGTTTCTGATAAATCATATGAAAACAAGTAATAATTAGTGTGACATGAAGGTCACGTACATTATGCACCGATTAAAGACTTACATGATAGTGACACTATATTATTATGATATTATGGTATGTTTCTTTCACCTTGGAATACGGTTCAGTATGGAAATACAGTTATTTAAAAAAAATTCTAGCTATAATAAAAATTGTTGTGAAATAAATAAATACTGAGAATATTATGTAATATGATGTAGTGCCCTTTCGTCCAGTCCGAGGATTCTTCCAATAGACTTCAGTCTTTTGGAGTTACTTAAGTATTGGTATGTGAAGTGGTCCTTGGTTTATAGTCCGTTGCTAGTAATGCATGTTCCTATATACCTAGATACATCGTTGACATCAATCTGTTTCCCTTGCATCATTGCAATAATGTAGATAAGTGCTGATAATTTTTTATTGTGTTTTATGTACCTAAACACAGTTAAAAAATTTACTGCACATGACATTGAAATTCACATTAGTTGCATTCAGTTCCCTATTAATCTAATTAGAGTTGAAAAGTAATTGCGATAATTTGTAGATATATGCTTTGTACAAAGAGTTTTGTTTATAAAATTATTTGATATTAGTTTTTTTTTTGTATTAGAAGTATGTATTTTGGTTGTAGTTTTCTTATTTTTTACCTTAAAAAGTTTTATTAAAAAAAAGACTACTTTTGTGATAAGTTTTTGTAGTAAAATAAAGTAATTAAAAGAACATCAATTCTTATTCCACAACAGAATAAATAGATTTCATATATGTATCTACTTAAATTTACCCACATATTTTGTGACAGGCAAACCGGTACATCATGTGGTTATAAACTGGCGAAGTCGCTAATCTTCAGTAAGGTGCGTGATTCTCTCGGGCTCGACCGTTGCCTAACATTCGTAACTGCGGCGGCGCCACTGTCGCCTGAGATCAAAAAGTTTTTCCTTTCCTTGGATATACCTATCATGGATGCCTTCGGGATGAGTGAAGCAGCCGGCGCTCACACACTTAGTATATATCCAAAGTGAGTATTTACAAACTTTAAATTGCATAATATTCATAATCATATATATATAATATAACATAAATATTAATAAACTTCTAAGTAAAGTTAACTCGCATCGTGTGAACACCCTACAGATTAGGTATACACACACACTCTCACACACACGGCGATTCTCGCTGGCACTCATCTGGAGAAATACTTGACGGAAATCTGAAGTATGCTCCTTAAATATTGATAGTAATTCACCAGTCACCCTGTATATAATTTAAATCTAACTCTCTTATAGATTCTCGCTGGACTCATCTGGAGAAATACTTGACGGAACTGAAACACGATTTGGTGATTCCATGAGTGTCAACGGTCCTGGTGAAATTCAAATGCGTGGTCGCCATGTTCTAATGGGCTATCTGAATGACGAAGAAAAGACGAAAGCTACTGTTGACGAAGACGGATGGTTACACTCTGGCGATGTTGGAAGATTGGATAGTCACAACTTGTTGTACATCACAGGGAGAATAAAGGTATAAAATGTATAGAAAATTCTGTTATTATCGACTTAATCATTGGATATATTTGAATTTCTGCAAGATTACAATATTCTTCCGACTTTAAATCTGATTGATTACTTTTATCGTTCCTTTCGAATCATTATCAAAGGAACAACTGTTAATTATAAAATAAAATTTTAAATTGTATATCTGTTAATGATATACGGATTAGTGCAGATATGCTTTTTATCTTTTCTAAGGAATTATTGATAACTGCTGGAGGAGAAAACATAGCTCCTGTTCTCATAGAGCAGGCGGTTCAAGCCGAGCTGATACACGTTGGATATGCCGTGCTTGTGGGAGACAGGAAGAAGTTCCTAGCTATATTACTTACCCTAAAGGTGAGGCTTACATTATAAAGGAAATTTTACTGTCGCAACAAGAAACCCATTTGTATATAAGTACATTTTTTGCAACCCTCATCAACCAAAATTTTGATATGTTCGTAGTATATTCAGGTCACATTCTTTATAAGTAAACTAAGATTTTTTTACCACCTAATAAAAGGTGACTGCAATTATTATTTGTAAAGTATGAAAAAAATAATAAATATATTTTTCGATTTATCATTAGGAAAGTCTTATAATTTTTATTTTAATAGGCCAAAGTGGATTCAAATACCGGCGACGCGTTGGATGAGTTAGACACTGGAACAAGGAAGTGGGTGGCTGATCTTGGCAGCTCTGCCACCACCATTAGCGAAATTGTCAGGACAAAGGATCCAGCGGTATGTACCATGAATCTGATGTCAAGATAACTCTTAATACCATATTTATATATAAATATTGTCCTGTATAAATTCTATATTACAATGTAATTTTTTGCAGGTATATAAAGCTATTGAAGATGGTATCACTCGTGCTAACAAACACGCAATATCGAACGCTCAGAAAGTACAAAAATTCGCTATACTACCCGCAGACTTCTCAATGAACACCGGAGAACTTGGTAAGTTAGAGACATTTTGTTTTTCGTTATAATTCCACATCAAGTTATGGCCTCAATTTGACCCCTCCGTCAATAAAACTTAATTTTGTTCAACAAAATATTAAATGAGCAGTTGTCTTTAACTGTTAAGCATTCGATTTAGTTATACATATACAAGTTGCTTTTTACTTGTATGTAAAGTTTATTGTCAAGCTTCTCCACTTTAGATTTTTTAGTTTCTTGGAGTATGAGATGGGTATATAAACAAAACCTCGCCAAATCCTTCCCGAGTTTATGTCTTATCGACGAACAAAAACACAAGCTAACAAAATTTTATGTCTATTTTAAACTTTATATGTAGGTTCATAGTCAATACCTTTAACATATAAGTTCCCTTACATGGAATCAAGTGAATTTTTTTAAATCTTCCAGCATACAATGAAAAATAAGATTTGTACAAAATTATTTAAACAAATAATCCCTTGTCAATTTAAACTCTATCAGCAAGATTTAAAGTTATCGTCATTTCAACTATAATGTCTTATAAACTCCAATAAATTTATTTTGTTACAGGACCAACATTGAAAATCAAGAGAAATGTAGTATACGAGAAATACAAAGACATCATAGAAGACTTCTACAAAGATTAAATTATGTTAAGTTATAATAAGTTTAGTTAGGCAATGGGAAAATGAGGAAAAAATATTACAAGTGTTGCTCAAATAGAGAAAATTATTGTGATTGGTTCATAATGAATGTAAATATTTTTTATATAAATATATTTCATGTTTTTTTTAAATAAAAGATTATTTATACTTGACTCTATTTATTCACCATTTATAACATGATTAAATTGATTATACTTAAGAACGAGGTTGTATAATTATTTGAAAAATATTAAGTACATAACATATTTATAAAGGAATAAAATATAATAATACTCACAATCTTACATCTATTAAGAAGAAATGAATTTAACTTCTACAAAATAATAATATATGTATATAATTAATCAATTTAAAATTCAAAACACATTCAATAAACTTCTTTTTAACATGAAATTAAAAGGAATGTAAATACCAGTCTCAAAAAATTACTATTAAATATTTGTTTGATAAACAAAATGTACAGAATGTAATATGATAGATAATAAAAAAAACCTTTAATATAGTTAGTATAATTAAAAAGAAGCAATCCTTTTATAAGAAATAAAATTTTACTATTACCTTTAAATACTCATTATGTTGTCAAAATGTAAACATATATTCCTTAAATAAAGTGCGATTAATACAAATCTATGGAAGATTCGAAATTATCGGGCAATGAATTTTAATAAAGATATTCAGTCCAAAAAAATTATTTGAATAAATATTATTTAAATGATACTAATAGTTCGGACTTACTACGCGATTTTTTATTTTTGACTATAAACTACATAGTCCGTATAACCGTGATCCCCTTTGCTGTAAAGTAATCGAAACCTCGGGAGTATGTAATTTATAGTCAAAAATTAAAAATCACGTAGTAAATCCGAAAATATTAGTTTCATTTAAATGAGTACTCGCGAAAATCATAGGTCTCATTAAATATTATACAAATCACAATTATCCCATATTTTTCGGTATATACCTATTATTGTAGGTCATATGACATTTAATTGGGTTATATTATAGTAATGACTTTTCTTTTAAATAAAGTTCTTTTACATTATTGGAATTGACCAAAAAAGATGTTCCATAATAGTATAATAAAAATATTAATAAGAAAGTGTGTCTATGAGTGTATCTAGTGGTGTGGTGGTGGGGAGGTAGCAGGTAGTGGTGGGGGGCCGTCTGTTAGTGGTAGAGGCTTAGCCACGCCAATACGGACCACACCGCGAGGGGCGCCCTTTAAAGCAGCCACGGCTTGTTCTAGACTAGCGTTCTCCAAGTTCTGAAATATTGAATAATATCAAATTAGCTAGTTTTATTAAATTTTTAGTAATAGATTAAATATTTATAGAAAAACTTATATCATACTCGTCAAACATAGTGTTTGTGTTAAGGACTTGAATTACATAAACTTAGAATAACCTTGAGTTATGTAGAAGCTACTTGTTATTTAGAGTTATTAGAAATAAAATATAAGTGTACCTGTTCATTAACGAAGAGAAGCCAATCGCCTGGTATTAGTCTGCCGTCTTGCTGCACCAAGCCGCCCGGTACTAGGGACCGTATCACCACCAGGGTGTGCGAGGGACGCAGGGGGTCCTGGTAGTCAAGGATGGAGAAGCCCAGACCTCGTTCACCCTTCACCAGCTCTGTAATACAAAGGATATTAGATCGAATGTAATACAATATTTAGGCTTGAATTAGTATAATTACTATACGTAAATTGAGAAGCGACGATAGATGCTAAGAATGCGATTTTTAGATGTCATATTATGAGGTACGAGGGGAAAGAAGACGGCATATTTAATGGATAATAATTAAATGAATGGATGTTTGCTCCTGAGTATAGTTACAATCACTTAATTTAAATCTATTGTGTTTGTTGTTTTAACGAGTTTTTGTTATTGATAAGCATAAAGAGTAAGTATTTTTTGTTGCGCTAAGTGTACATGCATAAACTTATCTCTAGTAAGCCAAAACAATGCCAAGTTACGTGCCAGCATCATCACAATACAGTCGAGTCTAGTAACATTTGATGGTTTAAATTTTTCAGTACAATAAAATTAAGAAATTAAAAGGTAATGAAATTTATTGTATTGGATCTTATGGTTTTTTGTATTTCATTTGCAAATGTTAATGAATTTAAACCACTAATCAAAATAAGATGCTCCAAAATTCTTATGTTTCATATGACTTTATATGTATATAAAATATATTAAATAACCATCGTGAACAATGATTTTATATATAAAATAACAATGTAAATTTACAGTGCAATAAAGATTATTATATGTGATTATAACACAGACACATTTAGTCGTCTGCTTTATATCAAGCTCGATATTGGATTATAAAATCATCGAGAGACGTTTTCAATGTATTAAGAGCTACAATACATAGGTTTAATATAAAATACAAAAGAAAAAATATAACATTGCACTGTGTGAAAAAAATAAGTAAAAAGTACCTCAAAACTCTTCACCAATTTTTGGTCTCCATCACTAATAATAATTATTCAAGTAATGTAAATTTTCTCACCAATAATCTGTGGCTCGGACGCCCACATCGCTAGTCCTGTGAGTGGTTCGAGACTTCTAGATCGAACCTTTCCACCTGCGGTCAATGACCCTCCGTCCTCCGCCCCCGCACCCGCTAAACTGCCATCCGACTTCGCCTGGAAACAATCACATACGAAATTTAAAATAAGTCGTTTTATTCATAAACTCATTTGGTATACGTATCTTTACAGTAACGGTATATATAACAATACCTACTCATCATAGACTAAAACTTTAAAAAATATAACTAAGTCCAATTCAAAAGTAACAATATATTTATAATGAGATATCAGGATTTAGTTGTATTGATAAATCTTTGTAACATTATATTATAGTAGTTTTTATTTCTAATGTCTACTTAAAAAGAATACTATATAGTTCATTTCAAAAGAAATTGGCAAACTTGTAAACAAACGTGATCAGCTGATATTGACAAAGACTTGTCTATGCCCTTAGTGATGTGAGTACTCTAAAAGATACTATAATCTTAATTATTAGATTAAAGTATTAATATAAAAGAAATACTTCAATCTGTTCATATTTTGTTTCTTTTTCAATGAAATGCAGAATGCAACGAGAACACAAGAGTTTTTTACATTCCAATAGCACTGAATATCCTTGGTTCCTTTAGAAACCAAGAGCCCCAAAGACCATGCCATTTTTTCGATGCGATTGTGACCATGCGATTTAAAAAAATGTTTAATTTGTACTTTTTAGCGCTATCTATGTTTATTTCCGTCTGCTAAATACCAGAAAAAAATGCAATTTTGATTGATAGACTCGTTTTCATTACAGCCTATTGAAAACACTACAGTGTTTAGTATAATTAAATCTTTTTAATATTTGTGAGTTGGTTAAAGTTCAAATAGTAATGATTATAAATATCTTTATCTAAAATTGAAAGTCGTATCAGTTACACCATTTATAGTTCAAGAACTGCTTTACTGCCTTTAAGGAGAAACAGAGTTCCCCGGTCAGCTATACATTTCTAAGTTTTTAAGAAAAGTAAATGAAGTCGTAGACAAAAAGTCAATCTTCTATATATATAAAAATGGATTGCTGTTCCTTAGTCTCGCTAAAACTCGAGAACGGCTGAACGGATTTATCTTATCTTAGTCTTGAAATGTTCGTGGAGGTTCAGGGAAGGTATAAAAGCTGAAAAAAATTGATTCATTACTGGGAAAACCATAAAAACAGCCCTTTTCTATTTCCCATACAAACGGTTTTTTTGACATTAGATTTGACAACTAACTAACATATCAATCATTCTGTCGCACTTCAAAACACGGAGATTTATGGCTTACAGGTAAACTCCAAAAATATAAATAAAAAACGTAATAGATATTTCTTGATTATAGGGCGATACGAAGTTCGCCAGGTCTTCTAGTCATTATATAATTATTATGTACACCATAAATTTTTTAAAGACAAATAGACTTTATGAGTAAAAAATTACCGTGTTAATTTGACAAATGCAATAAAGTTTCGTGTTCAAAATAATTTTATAAAATAAACATTTATTCACAGTTATATAATGATCAAAATATTGTTAAGAAAGTGGTGGGTACATTGTGATGAAATTATAATCAGGACTCACATTCCATTGTATGTAAGAGCGGAGTAATCGTGGTTACTTGCTTTGTTTACAAGATTTTCAATTTCTATTGAAATGGATTATTATAGATAAAATATTATATCACCGATTACTTTACCATGGGGTTTCGTTTTAGTTTTATAATATATAAAATATAAATAAAATCAAGTTCTAACTGTATTGATTAACATGCAATCAAGTGACGTGATCATCATAGTATTTGAGTGTAAATATTTTTTATTTCTCTTACATTAAAGTATTATTTTACCTTGACGTGTGTAGCGGCGGGCGGCGCGAGTTCTAGCGGCGGCGCTGGTCTGGGTCGCGCACACACCATACACACCTCGCTGGACAGCTCCTTCAGGATCGACACAACCTCCAGGTGGTTCATACCCAGCAGACGGTGACCGTTCACCTCTGAAATAAAAAATATAGTATTATCGCGCCGGCTTAACGAACGAATCGAATATTGTAGACTGTTCCAGAGATTTAGCGGCAGCGCCATCTCTTGAGGAGAAGGCGAACTATTAGTTAAAAGACTCGCCAGGTCGGTTTTGAGTTGTTGAGTTTGAGTCTGTCGTGAAGCGAAATACAAGCGTTACAAACTATATTACCTGCGATTCTAATAAAGTGAATATTTGTGCTTTCTATTAAATAGAGTTTATATTGTTAAACAAACCCTAGCACGTAACATTATGATTATTATTTAGCACATTAAAGATTAGTTTTGTTGTAAATTGTTGGTTCTACTTCATACTTGTCTCTATCAATGAACGTAAGGGACAATCGAGTATAGTTTCGATTTTAGTGTCTCATTTAATTTATAGCAGGTAGGATGAAAATTATTAATAACTAGTAAACCTGGCGAACTCCGTTTCGCCTCCAGAAGGCTTTGTTTTATGTAACCTTTTGTTTGGTGATTAGAAGATGAAGAAATTTTTTTTTTGTTTTATATTTAAAAAGGAACATTTTTATTTTATTTCACAACAGTAATGAATTCATTTCGATTACAAAAATGAAGTGTCTTTAGTTAAACTTCTCTAAGTAAATGAAAGTGAATGCAAAGTAGATACTGAATAACTGAAGCGTTATACGTGTACGCAAATTATCCGTTTCATTGAAGTGGTCCTTTCTAAACCACATTTTTTTGTTTTTTGGTCTAACGTTAACACAAATAAAGCGGATGGTTTCCCAACTCGTGAACACACAAACTATAACTGCCCATGTGAAAAAACAATGATTTTCTAAATTTATTCCGCAAATACTAAATTACATATCTGTCATTATACGTCAATTGCATAGCTATCAATTGTATTTCGTTATTCTAGGTTTTATAGTGACTGACGTTTCATGTCAAGTCCCACGGGAATGCTATCGAACGGGATAAAAAGTATCCTATTGCAATTTCCTGGCTCTAAACTACCTCCCTACCAATTTTTGGCTAAATCGGTTCAGCCGTTCTTGAGTTATAAGTGGAGTCACTAACACGACTTTCTTTTATATATATAGATATAACAATATAAATTTTATTAAAAACCATTACACACAATATGATGTGTTCTAAGGTCACTTTTATAGATATTTAACTGTACTTAATTTTGCTAAATCAATTATTATAATATCATACCGAGTAATTCGTCCCCGGGTCGATGAACCCCGGCCCTCCCGACCGGTCCCTCCGGTAGTACGGACCGTACGTAGTGATGTGGTCTAACCTCCTTTCCTCCTTCTACATCCACAGTACCCTCAAGAGATATCCCCAGACCGCCACCACCACGTACCACCACGCCCACCACGATCTCCACGTCATCACCTGAAAAAGAGAATCTTAATATAATAGCGATAGAGTTCAAAATATCATGTGTGTATAATCCAAGCTCTGTTTTACCTCAGGTTTGTATGTCATACTACTTACGTTCCAGTTTTTCTTACTAACAAAAAAATCAAAGCCTGAAAACGCTCTGTACGTATATCATGTAATGCAAAACTTGACAGGATCATAATATATTTGAGTAAGCTTAAGATTAAAAGCTAAAGTTGTAGGTATAAATATTTTACAAACTATTAAGTATACATCTATTGTGACAAAAAGAACTTTGGGTTTGTGGTGTTTTTTATCCACAAAGTGATATAATATAAAGATCTTATTTAATATAGTTATCGGTATACCTAGTATAGACTGCAACTTCCTCTTTATAGCGTCTTTTTGTTCCTGTGTGCGAGGCATCTCGAATGCGGGGACCGACGGAGTCTCGGGTTCTTCTACCGGCATCTCCACACTGAAGATGATTTAGTAAACATAAAATATGGTTATATAATAATAATGTCATGAAAAAATCTTTAATAATAAACCTACATCACTTGTTCATAGAACTTAAAATATTAGGCTTTTAAATATATGTAATACTTTTTAAAACAAGGAAACCATTGGTGTTATTAATCCGCCCTGTGTAATTGTAGGTAATTTTTATCCATATGTGTGTCTGTCTGTCACTATGTATATGTTTATGTTCGTCTACACGTGTGTGTGTGTGTATACTCACGGCGGCGGGAGGTGCGTGGTCTGTGACGTCATGTCGTCCGAGTGTTCAGGGCGGTGTATGTGTAGGAAGGGGTTGTGGACGGGCGGCGCGGTAGATGACTCGCCGGCAGCGATTGTCTGCTGAAGTTGCTCGAACTTGGGACCGCGGAGATATCTACAAGTTGATATAACTTACATACAGTTCACATAATTATTGTAATTTATATTAAAAGAAACGAATGAAAATCTTTCGGTATCCTTAAATAATATTTTTATTCCTATAAATCATAACACTCTTTCGATACATATGTACTTTCTAAGAGTATTTAGACACAACTGACATACGGTGAAGGAAAACATCGTGAGGAAATATGAACTTATAATTTCACAATTATAAGTTTGAAATTACCAACCCATCTCGAGCAAGCGTGGTGATTAATGCTCAAACCTTCTCCATGTGAGAAAGAGGCCTTGCTCAGCAGTGGGCTCTGATAGGCTGATGGTGATGATGATGACTCTTTCGATATAAGTTTATTATTATAATTATGACTCACCTCTGAAGCTCCAGGGTAACAACATTCCCGCTCTGATTCAGAGCGGTAGACGCTCTAAAAAATGTAAAAAATATTACGAGTAAAATGTAAAAAATATTACGAGTGTTGCTCAAATAGAGAAAATTATTGTGATTGGTTCATAATGAATGTAAATATTTTTTATATAAATATATTTCATGATTTTTAAATAAAAGATTATTTATACTTGTGGCTATTTATTCACTATTTATAACATAGTTAAATTGATAATACTTAAGAACGAGGTCGTATAATGATTTGAAAAATATTAAGTACATAACATGTTTATAAAGGAATAAAATACAATAATACTTACAATCTTATATCTATTAAGAAGAAGTGAATTTAATTTCTACAAAGTAATAATAAATGTATATAAATTATCAATTTAAAATTCCAAACACATTCAATAAACTTCTTTTTAACATGAAATTAAAAGGAATGTACATACCAGTCTCAAAAAATTACTATTATATATTTGTTTTGATAAACAAAATGTACAGGAATGTAATTTGACAATAACAAAACCTTTAATATAGATAGTATAATTTAAAAGAAGCAATCCTTTTATTAGAAATAAAATTTTACTATTGCCTTTAAATACTCATTATATTCTCAAAATGTAAACATATATTCCCTAAATAAAGTGCGATAATACAAATCTATGGACGATTCGAAATTATGAATTTTAATAAAGAAATTCAGTCAAAAAAAATAATTTGAATAAATATTATTTAAATGATACTAATATTTTCGGAAATACTACGCGATTTTTTATTTTTGACTATAAACTACATAGTCCGTATAACCGTGATCCCCTTTGCTGTAAAGTAATCGAAACCTCGGGAGTATGTAATTTATAGTCAAAAATTAAAAATCACGTAGTAAATCCGAAAATATTAGTTTCATTTAAATGAGTACTCGCGAAAATCTTAGATCTCATTAAATATTATATAAATCCCATATTTTTCGGTATATAGGTATTATTGTAGATCATATGACATTTAATTGGGTAATATTATAGTAATGACTTTTCTTTTAAATAAAGTTCTGTTACATTATTGGAATTGACCAAAAGAGATGTTCCATAATAGTATAATAAAAATATTAATAAGAAAGTGTATCTATGAGTGTATCTAGTGGTGTGGTGGTGGGGAGGTAGCAGGTAGTGGTGGGGGGCCGTCTGTTAGTGGTAGAGGCTTAGCCACGCCAATACGGACCACGCCGCGTGGGGCGCCCTTTAAAGCAGCCACGGCTTGTTCTAGACTAGCGTTCTCCAAGTTCTGAAATATTGAATAATATCAAATTAGCTCATTTTATTAAATTTTTAGTAATAGATTAAATATTTTTCTAAAAACATATATCGTACTCGTGAAACATAGTGTTTGTATTACGATTTAAAAAATTGAAATACATAAACTTAGAATAACCGTGAGTTATGTAGAAGCTACTTTTTATTATAAATATGTTCACCCTACAGCAATTACGCCAAGCAAAAGATGTTAAACATAAATATAACGGGACATACATACGAATGCTTGCATAACAATAAAGACAGATGCCTTTGTGAAAATATACAAATAGTAGATCATTACAGATATTTAGGCTTATTAGTAGATTGTCATTTTAGTTGGAAGTTACAAGTCAACGATGTCTGTAGTAAGTTACAATCGGTTTTGGGTAAATTCTTTCACCTTAGTGGTATAATAAATAGGAAAATAATGTACATTGTACATGTTATACTATGCACTCGCCGACTCAATAATTACCTATTGCTTAAGCAGTTATGGCCTTACATTCAAAACTTATGTAGATCGTATAAAAAAATTACAAATAAGATTACTAAAGTATTTAGTTACGAAAAAAAAAACAAAATGAAAATGTAAACCACACTATATTACAAATTATTTAATATTTGTAAAATAATTCCTGTACACATGAAAGTCGAATATCTTATTGCTATAGAGCAATTCCGTATAAATAAATACAAAGACAAAAGAACACACAAATATTCCACTACACTTGCTAAGAAGGGAAAATACGTAATTCCATTCATAACAAACTACTACGGCAAACGGACAAAACAATACTTGACACCGATCATACACACTAAAATGTACTCTTAGAAAATTTTAATTATAACAGATATTTGAAATACATTAGATACATATTATGTTTAAGTTAAAAGAAAAACAAAAACTATGTACCTATGAAAAGGATGTAAAAAGAAAAACGTATTAAAAGTGTATTAAAAATGTATGTAAATATGTGTGTACACCTAAAACTAAGCGGTACATACATAGGTATTATATATGTAATAACATATGTAGACGTTAAGTAAGAGCGTCTCTTTCGCCAACAAACTGTTCTGCAGTTTGGCGATTTTTTTGTAAGTTGGTTAATGTTATTATATGTGAAATATACAGGGTGACTGGTGAATTACTATCGATACTTGAGGACGTGATATTTGACGGTCATATATGACAAAATAAAAATTAATATAACATAAATATTAATAAACTTCTAAGTAAAGTTAACCAAAAGCTATGTAATTAATTACGCATCATGTGAACACCCTACAGATTAGGTATACACTCACACATACGCGAGCGGGGCGTGGTGTTGTATCAGCACGCCGCCGCACGCGTCCACACTTGGAACACTTGGAACGTGTCAACACTTTATTTATTTATACGGAAATTTTGTAAAAAATTAAGTGCCTATTTTTTTTACATAATTCGAATGAGAATCATGTACTGAGTATTCTCCTTAAATATTGATAGTAATTCACCAGTCACCCTGTATATATAAAAAAAATTTAGAGTTATTAGAAATAAAATGTTAGTGTACCTGTTCATTAACGAAGAGAAGTCTGTCGCCTGGTATGAGTCTGCCGTCTTGCTGCGCCACACCGCCCGGTACTAGGGACCGTATCACCACCAGGGTGTGCGAGGGACGCAGGGGGTCCTGGTAGTCAAGGATGGAGAAGCCCAGACCTCGTTCACCCTTCACCAGCTCTGTAACACAAAGGATATTAGATCGAATGTCATACCATATTTAGGCTTGAATTAGAATAATTGCTGGTACGAGAATTGACAAGCGACGATAGATGCTAAGAATGAGATTTTTAGGTGTCATATTATGAGGGACGAGGGGAAAGGAGACGGCATATTTAATGGATAATAATTTAATGATTGGATGTTCGCTCTTGAGTATAGTTGCAAGCACTTAAATTAAATCTATTGTGTTTGTTGCTGTGACGAGTTTTTGTTATTGATAAGAATAAAGAGTAAGTATATTTTGTTGTTCTAACTGTACACCCGCAAACTTATCCCCAGTAAGCCAAAACCTATCCAAGTTACGTGCCAGTAACATCACAATACAGTCGAATCGAGTAACATTTGATCGTTTAAATTTCTTCTGTCCGATAAAATTAAAGAATTAAAAGGCAATGAAATTTATTGTGTTGGATCTTATTTTTTCTTTGGACTTCATTAGCAAGTGCTAACGAATTTAAACCACTAAGCAAAATAAGATTGCTTCAAAATTCATATGTTGCATATGATTATACCACAGACTCAATTAATCGTCCGCTTTATATCAAGATCGATGATTGATTATAAAATCATCGAGAGGCGTTTTCAATGTATTAAGAGCAACAATGGAGCTTAAATACCGAAAAATTACAACAAGTATGTATTTTCTTTCAATATAAAATATATCCTACTAATATTATAATTGCGAAAGTTTGTGAGTGTGTGTGTATGTTTGTTACTTCTTCACGCTGAAACGGCTGAACCGATTTTGATAAAATCTAAGCGCACGGTAGTGCGCCGGCCAAGTTCCACAGGCCGGCGCATGCCGTGCACTATATTTACACGAACCGTTTCGACCCACTTTTGACCCCCCTGTAGCTCAGTGCCTATTGCAAGTACAGAGATAAAATTTTACCTACGTAATCATATACTAGTACTAAAGCAGTATGCCAAATTTCATAGATAAAGCTTCAGTAGATCCTGAAATATGACCCTGTGAAAATAGCTAATTTTGGCACTGACTCACTGACAGGTAATCAAAACCTCTAGGCCACTTCCCATTGTTTTAGCATTATGAAATTTGGTACACAGGTTGTGTGTTATATGTAGATTAACAAAAAATTAAGAAATTTAAGAAATCGGTCAAGCGTGAGTTGCCACAATTCTAAATATCGAATTTTTAATAAATTCGACCCACTTTTGACCCCCCGTAGCTCAATGTCTATTGCAAGTACAGAGATAAAATTGTACCTACGTAATCATATACTAGTCCTAAAGCAGTATGCCAAATTTCATAGATAAAGCTTCAGTAGATCCTGAAATATGACCCTGTGAAAATAGCTAATTTTGGCACTGACTCACTGACAGATAATCAAAACCTTTATATAGGCGCTCAGCTCAGCACAATAAAATACATAATAATGAAATATTAATAATTAATAATATGAGTACATCTATCAATCGGTGATAAATGAAAATAAAAAATAAATATAGTTTAAAAAAAACTAAAAAAACACTCTCCAATGATGAAAGAAACCGCGTGGAAACTAATTTAACCTTTACAACCTTGGAAATCAATTTAATTTAAATTGTTTAAAATAAACAATAAATGGTATTATTGAAAAAAATTATTGATATATGAAGCTCATCACGCTTTTTTTCACAAAAATACCATTTATTGTTTGTTAATTTATTTTTAAATTAATATTATTGTGAAAAAAGTGTGGGGCGCTTCTTAAGAACTGATATATATATATATATATAAGGGATAAAAAATATTGTCATGTATACATAATGCACACTGTATAACTTAATTAAATATTGCTTACCTAAAAAATCAGGTTTCTATTGTTATAAATTACTTTCGATAGATGGCGCTAGCGGTATAATTGAATCGCGCTATTGTTTTGTCTGCAGTATATATGAATGAAAGTCGATAAGGAATCGATGGTCATTTCTTTCTATTTCTTTCTACACTTATGTCTTGATATCTTATATATGGTTATGATTACGATTAAATGGATCACTGATTTGACTTGCTAAAGGATTAATTTTGATATTGCTTATTGATTGATTACTTGTGTGTGTTAAAAGCACAAATTCACTCTATTTCTTTTCTACTATTCATTTACCAACGATGGAAATTGTACATCTTTCGGTGGTTGGCGGAGATATACCACATAGGGTAATTCCTATGCCATCAGATGGTAGCTGTATGTTTCATGCTGTAAGTTATGCATTGTACGGCTGTATAGTACGATTGTATGTACGATTTCTTGAAAAAAAGTATTGAAATCTCACCAAAAACATGCCTGTTAAAAAGGGGGCCAAGTTCCAATCGGCTAATTGTTTGCCTAAAAAAGGGGTGAAATCCAATCTAATGCCAAGTTTAGATGCACTTTGAAATCGATCATAATCATCTTCATCAACAGCATGATCCACTGGTAAACATTTGCCATTCCCAAGACTCGCCACCACACCCAGTCCTCTGCCTTCCACATCCAGCCACTACCCACCACCTTATTCACGTCAACGGTCCATCTGGCCGAAATTCACTTTACCATACACCCAACTTAAAATATGGTATAGTTGTGAAAATACGTAGGTGCTTGGTTAAAAATATCTAAAATTATAATACTTCTAAATTTGAACTTGGCAGGTTAATTTAATTATTTAAATTATATAATATTTAAGTTATATAAATATAAATAATTATATAACTAAATAATAAATTAATGATACAATTAATTAAGTGTTACGTACAGCACAAAAACCTGCCAAGTTCAAATTGAGAAGTATTATAATTTTAGATATTTTTAACCAAGCACCTACGTATTTTCACAACTATACCATATTTTAAGTTGGGTGTATGGTAAAGTGAATTTCGGCCAGATGGACCGTTGACGTGAATAAGGTGGTGGGTAGTGGCTGGATGTGGAAGGCAGAGGACTGGGTGTGGTGGCGAGTCTTGGGAATGGCAAATGTTTACCAGTGGATCATGCTGTTGATGAAGATGATTATGATCGATTTCAAAGTGCATCTAAACTTGGCATTAGATTGGATTTCACCCCTTTTTTAGGCAAACAATTAGCCGATTGGAACTTGGCCCCCTTTTTAACAGGCATGTTTTTGGTGAGATTTTGTATACAGGAAGCTGACGTCTAGGAATAACACATAGACTACTTTACATCCTGGAAATCTCGGAAATACGAGGGTAACACCGCGAGGCGTAGCTAGTGACAATATAAAAGAAAAAATATAACATTGCACTGAGTCAACAAAACTTAGTAAAAAGTACCTTCATTTTTTATTAATGTAAAACTCTTCACCAACTTTTGTTCTTTTTTCAAGTAATGTCAATTATTCAAGTAATGTAAATTTTCTCACCAATAATCTGTGGCTCGGACGCCCACATCGCTAGTCCTGTGAGTGGTTCGAGACTTCTAGATCGAACCTTTCCACCTGCGGTCAATGACCCTCCGTCCTCCGCCCCCGCACCCGCTAAACTGCCATCCGACTTCGCCTGGAAACAATCATATATAAATTTAAAAATAGTTCATTTTATTCATAATATCAAATATAAGTAGCTGTAGCTATAATCTATGATGCATTGGTATTGGTATCTTTATATACAGGGTGAATGGTGAATTACTATCAATATTTAAGGAGAATACTCGGTACATGTTTCTCATTCGAATTATGTAAAAAGAATAGGTACTTAATTTTTGACCAAATTTCCGTATAAATAAATAAAGTGTGGACACGTTGCAAGTGTTCCAAGTGTGGACGCGTGCGGCGGCGTGCTGATACAACACCACGCCGCCGCACGCGTGTGTGTGTGTGTGTGTGTGTGTGTATACCTAATCTTTAGGGTGTTCACACGATGCGTAATTAATTACATAACTTTTGGTTAACTTTACTTAGAAGTTTATTAATATTTATGTTATATTAATTTTTATTTTGTCATATATGATCGTCAAATATCACGTCCTCAAGTATCGATAGTAATTCACCAGTCACCCTGTATATAATTCTACTGTGAGTGTGTATGTCACTGAACTTCTCTCAAACGACTGGACCGATTTTTAAGAAATCTTTGGTGTGTATTCAAGGGGATCTGGGAATGGTTTAGTTTCACAATTTTGTCCACTGGACAATGTTTTTTTTAATTAATTATTAATTTATTAGTATTTGTTGATACAAACGTTTTTTTTTTGACATTAGGTTTGACAACTAACTAATATGTCAATCATTCTGTCGCTCTTCAAAACACGGAGATTTATGGCTTTAATAGGTAAACTCCAAAAATATAAATAAAAAAACGTAACAGATATTTCTTGATTATAGGGCGATACGAAGTTCGCCGGGTCTTCTAGTATAACTATAAACTATTTAAAACTTTGAAAAGAAGATTATGTCAAATTCAAAATTAACAATCTACATATTTACAATGAGACGTCTGGGTAGTTGTATTGATGAATCTGTGAAACATTATATCATAGTAGATTTTATTCCTAATGACTCCTTAAAAAATGGTATATATAAATTATATCACCGATTACTTTACCATGGGGTTCCGTTTTAGTTTTATAATACATATACAGGATGACTGGTGAATTACTTTCGATACTTGAGGACGTGACATTTGACGATCATATATGACAAAATAAAAATTAATATAACATAAATATTAATAAACTTCTAAGTAAAGTTTGTAACCAAAAAGTTTGTTATGTAATTAATAATACGCATCGTGGGTGTGTTTTTGAACACCCTACATCGTGTGAAAAACCACGCGTAAGATCGATCGCTAGGCGCGCGCGCGAGATACAGAAGACGTGACGTACAGACCTTACGGCGGCGCTCGCCCGACTAATTAGCCACGGGGCGGGGGTTGGGGGTAGCGACACACGCGTGCGGCGGCCATTTCAACAAGCAAGAAAAAAACGGCGTGGTGTCACGCGTGTATCAGCACGCCGCCGCACGCGCCGCCGGCAAGGTGTCCACGCTTTATTTATTTATACGGAAATTTGGTCAAAAATTAAGTACCTATTTTTTTTACATAATTCGAATGAGAATCATTTACCGAGTATTCTCCTTAAATATTGATAATAATTCACCGGTCACCCTGTATAAAATGTAATAAACTCAAGTTGTAAATGTATTAATTAACATGCAATCAAGTGATGTGATCATCATAATATTTAAGTGTAAATATTTTTATTTCTCTTACATTAAAGTGTGACAGTACCTTAACGAGTGTAGCGGCGGGCGGCGCGAGTTCTAGCGGCGGCGCTGGTCTGGGTCGCGCACACACCATACACACCTCGCTGGACAGCTCCTTCAGGATCGACACTACCTCCAGGTGGTTCATACCCAGCAGACGGTGACCGTTCACCTCTGAAATAAAAAATATAGTATTATCGCGCCGGCTTAACGAACGAATCGAATATTATAGAATGTTCCAGACGTTTAGCGGCAGCGCCATCTCTTGAGGAGTGGGAAAACTATTAGCTAAAAGACTCGCCAGGTCGGTTCTGAGTTGTTGAGTTTAAGTCTGTCGTGAAGCGACATCCAAGCGTTACAAACTGTTTTACTTGCTATTCTAATGGGAGAATATTTGTGCTTTCTATTAAATGGAGTTTATATTGCTAAACAAACCCTAGCACGTAACATTATGATTATTATTATTTAGCACATTAAAGATTAAATTTGTTTCAAAATTGTTGGTTCTACTTCATACTCGTCTCTATCAATGATAGTAAGAGACTTATTAGTAGTCTTATTTATGAATTTATAGCAGAATCAAAATAATTATAATAATATAAATGTTATTAAAAACCATTACACACTATATGGTGTGTTCTAAGGTAACTTTATAGATATTTAACCATACTTAATTCTACTAAATCAATTATTATACCATCATACCGAGTAATTCGTCCCCGGGACGATGAACCCCGGCCCTCCCGACCGGTCCCTCCGGTAGTACGGACCGTACGTAGTGATGTGGTCTAACCTCTCTCCCTCCCTCCACATCCACAGTACCCTCTAGAGATATTCCCAGACCGCCACCACCACGTACCACCACGCCAACCACGATCTCCACGTCATCACCTGAAAAAGAATCTTAATGATATAGAGATACAGTTCAAAATATCATGTATATATAATCCAAGCTCATCCAAGTCATACTACTTACGTGGCAGTTTTTCTTACTAACAAACAATCAAAGCCTGAAAACGCCTTGTATGTGATATGATGCAAAACTTGACAGGATCATAATATATTTGAGTAAGCTTCAGGTTAAAAGCCAAAGTTGTAGGTATAAATATTTTACAATATATAAAGAACTCGTCTATTGCGGCGTGAAAAACTTTGAGTTTATGGTGTTTTTATCCACAAAGTGATATAATACAAAGATCTCATTTAATATAGTTGTCGGTATACCTAGTATAGACTGCCATTTCCTCTTTATAGCGTCTTTCTGTTCCTGTGTGCGAGGCATCTCGAATGCGGGGACCGACGGAGTCTCGGGTTCTTCAACCGGCATCTCCACACTGAAGATGATTTAATTATATTATTTAATTAGCAACAAAGTAAATTATTTTTTATTATTTAGACGTTTTAAGTAAATATATATATATTTTTTTTTATGTGAAAGGTGGCAAACGAGCGGACGGCCCACTTGATGGAAGGTGGTTACCATCGCCCATGGACATCCGCAACATTTCGTTGTGGATGCTTTGCCAACCTTGTTTTTTGGGGATAGGGAGGGGTGGGAATAAGGAAAAGAAAGGGTAGGAATAGGGAAAGGGCAACCGGCTCTCTCACTCATCAGACGAAACGCAGCCAGTAAAGGCTACTTCACGCCGATCTTCTGTGAGAGGGTGGTACTTCCCCGGTCGAGCCAGCCCATGTTCGAGCTGTAGTAACTCACCACAGCTAGGCTCTACCACCTTAAAAATAGGACATAAAGTTGTTGTAAAATATAGGACATAAAGTTGTTTTTTTTTTGCTTTTTTCCTATAGGGCACAAAATTTACACTATACAGTAAACATTCAATATGGTTATGTAATAATAACGTCATGAAAAAATCTTTAATAATAAAAATAATAAACCTACATCACTTGTTCATAGAATTTTAAATATTATACATTTTAAAACAAGGAAACCATTGGTGTTATTAATCCGCCCTATGTAATTTTAGGTTTTTTTTCCATATATGTCTATGTGTGTGACTGTCTATATGTATATGTTCGTCTACATGTGTGTGTGTGTGTGTGTATACTCACGGCGGCGGGAGGTGCGTGGTCTGTGACGTCATATCGTCCGAGTGTTCAGGGCGGTGCATGTGTAGGAAGGGGTTGTGGACGGGCGGCGCGGTAGATGACTCGCCGGCAGCGATTGCTTGCTGGAGTTGCTCGAACTTGGGACCGCGGAGATATCTACAAGTTGATATAATACATACAGTTCACATAATTATTGTTTTTTATATTAAAAAAAACAAATGAAAATCGTTCGATATCCTTGAATAATATTTTTATTCCTATTTAATCATAACACTCTTTCGATATAAGTTTGATATTGTAATTATGACTCACCTCTCAAGCTCCAGGGTAACAACATTGCCGCTCTGTTTGAGAGCGTCTACCGCTCTCTGGTTGGACTTTCCAGCGAGCGACACTCCATCAACAGCTACTATACGATCGTTGACTCTCACTTTACCGCTGAGTGCGGCAGCGCTGCCAGGGGTCACTGACTTCACGAAAATACCGGACAATTCCTCTTTTTCACAGACATATCCTATTAAATACAAAGTTATTGTAGAATATTAAATTCTATTTAAGATAAAACTTTTATTGGGATAATGCTTATAAAATTTAAATCAAGTTGTAAAATTAAAAAAGTAGTTTATAGTTATAATCAAAAGAGCTAAAAAGTGATAGAAAACTTGGATAATTATACAAATGTATCTTTATACAGACTTTGCTATATCCTGGGAATGCATCCAATATTAAGATTGCTCAAACCCAGTTGGTCACCATATTAAATTTAGATGACTTTATCTTCAACAAAATTTACTTCATATGCAACATATAGTTTGTTAAAAATGACATCTTTAAAGTTTAAACTGAGTTACAATATTTATATGTAATCCAAAAGAAAGTCACCTGCGATTGTAATACCAAGACCGTTTTCATCTTTCTTTAACTGCACCGTGAATCTGTCTACTTCAGGTGATTCTGCATCTACAAAAAATATTACAAATTAGATTATTTTATAGCTTATATATGAATATCTATTTGAATCTCTCCTAACAATACCTGAGTCAGGAGGAGGAGTAATTGAACTATCGAAAACAAATCTTGACACATTAGTGTTCAGAGCTATTGGAGTTGGCTGAGTGTGGAATACTTGTTCAAAACCAGCTTCCATCAAGTAACGATCTAACGCTTCAGGGCTTGAAAGGAGTCTAGAAAAAAGTAAAACAGAATTAACATTAACATAATTCTTATACATACAAAAAGCACACATAAAAGTATAGAAGCAAATAAGCCAAATGTGTATTGAAATGCATACAACGTTATTTGCACCCCTACAAACATATATATAGATACATAGACGTAAACAACATGCTTGCATGACCCATGACAATGAATACATACCTAGCAGGCACTAGTGGAGCAGCTGAAGCATTAATGGCAGCTGGGTCTGCGGGGTCCACAGCACGGGCTACCACCAGTCGCACTCGGGAACCCGAAGCACGAAGGACACCCGCCACTTGCTCTGAACCCATTTCCATTAGACTGACCTGAAATAATAATAATCAGTAGAGATAAAACAACACATAATATAAAGGTTATATATATACCTATATATGACGGCGCTTCGATTATGGATTAGTTTAATAATAAACTTCTTAGGGAATTCATTTGAATTGTTCCATAAAATTATGAGCGGCCAGTGCTGAATAGGGTAGTGATTGTCACTGAATGTGAGGACGGCCAGAATGCTATGGGTAACCGTCAAACAAAGTGCACAAACCTAACCTATTCGCTCATAATCCATTTTCATCTTATTATTTAAATGTCATTTTTAAATACAATTGTAAAAAAATCTAGTTATAATATATTGTAAAATGCAAGTGTGCTTATATTTATGAGTTCCAATCATCACAACACCCATGATGGATATGAAAAGCCAAGACTGCCATGAACCATCCTCCTGATGCTCCAACATATACAGGGTGACTGGTGAATTACTATCGATATTTGAGGACGTGATATTTGACGATCATATATGACAAAATAAAAATTAATATAACATAAATATTAATAAACTTCTAAGTAAAGTTAACCAAAAGTTGTGTAATTAATTACGCATCGTATGAACACCCTACAGATTAGGTGTACACACACACACACACACTCGCGCGCGGCGGCGTGTTGTTGTATCAGTACGCCGCCGCGCGCGTCCACACTTGGAACACTTGGAACGTGTACACACTTTATTTATTTATACGGAAATTTGGTCAAAAATTAAGTACCTATTTTTTTTACATAATTCGAATGACAATCATGTACCGAGTATTCTAGAAAACATGTCAACATACATCACCAATTTGTAAAATATGATCTCCTGATTTCAATCTGCCATCTCGATCTGCAACACCTCCCGCCAGTATTGTCTTCACTATAACACCACTTGTTCTGGCTCCTATAATGCCTGTGTAAATTAAAACAAATTAACCCTTAGAATATTTCATATTTGACTTTTACAGTAAATTAATCTTTGTATGGGTTATTTATTAACATCATTAAAATTAAATTAATTGTTTTTTGTTACAAACATTATTTTGTAATTTCTAAACACATTGGTTAAAAGACTTTAAATATGGAATTAATAAAATAAAAACTTATAAATCAATTTGATTAAAAAGGTTGAAATACCAAATCCAAGTCCAGTTCCGTCGTTCACTAAATTAATTATTTCAACTTGGGCCCAATCACCAGCTACAATGTTAGTAGACGTTGAGACCAACGAGTCATCATTTCTATTCATTTCTAGTAATCCACGGTTCTGTGAAAGTATAACAATATTTTTTAAAGAGAAGTGTTTATTGTTTGCAATTGGGATGCATAAAAATCCCATGAGATGAAATCCAACCTGCTTAGGGGACATATTGGAATCAACGGAAGCATTATCAAGGCCGAGAATTCTTTCTGTGTCAGATCCAGATCCAAACTCAAGACTATGAGGTGGAGACACTTGAGGTACTCTCTGTTCTTCTTCACCTTCATGAGCCCCATATAAGTTCCTTGCTTGCAATGCTAAATCTCCTAAGGAGTATAATTATTACACATTTATGTACATATTTTTTGAATATTTCTAAATATTGCGGTACTCTATGTAACATATTACATAGTGCTTCTAAATATGTTTGTCAAATGTACTTTCTATAATAATGTGCTTTTATGTATTTGTTTTTATACTAAACATTTATAACCATTACCAGCTGGTGTTATATCAAAGTCTTCAGGCAGTATTGAAGGGTGATGTGCAACCTGTGTGGCAAGCATTCCAACAGAATCATGTAAGGTGGCAATGCTTTTTAAAATTGGACTTTCTAAGAGATTAATCAGTAGGTTAAGGTCGTCATTTGTAGCAGCCTGAAAAGATTTTTAAACTTACAGAAGATAGCAATTTGAACATTCAAACTGAAAAATTGTGATTCAAGATTGAAACAGACTGTTCAGTACTGTTATTTACAAAATATAGTACAAGACAATACGAAAAGTTTAATGTATACATTATTGTTTTCAATCAATTAACTACGAACATACCTTGAGTTTAGGATCATCACTTTGATCTACAGCTGTCTTTACACTTTCTAACTGTTGGAGAGCATTTGATATATTTACGCCCAGATGCATTATTGTTGCTGAAAGGAAACTTATTATGATCCAATTTGCTTGTAATTATTTATAATAATTTACCGTGTTAGAAAGAGATATAAGTAGTTTACTAATGTGTACTTTATTCGATTCAATACTGTAGTCGTCTTTAATTTTGCAAATGAAATAATATATATTGGCCTGTACCGATTAAGTATTTTCTATCATTAAGTTAATGGAAAATAATTTGTACATACTAGGAAATAACACTTGAAGAATGGCACTACAATTGATATTTGATATTATAATTTATAATATTGTTATTTAATAGCAAACTTCAGATAATTATTAGTGACAGTGACACCTTTAACTTCAAAACTTCTGAAAATGAAACATAACAATCATTTCTAATATGGTGTATTATCTATGATAACAATCTTATTTACGTTTTCTTCAAAGTACTATATAAAATTGACTCTATTATAATTTTAAATATACAGAGAATATATTTAAATATGTTTTAGTAAAATGAGATAATTTTAAGTATATTTTTGTTCTCACTTAATAAAAACATTCTCTTTTAAAACTATTGCTGCTAACTATATCATCTGTATTTTATAAGTACTTTTAAATTACGAAAACGGCAAAAACAGTATCGTGTGTATATTACCTTTAGTCCTATACTAGGTACATATAATTATTATATTAAACTAGGCGAATGTGTATACAAATTAAAATTGTCCCGGAAGTTGGGATTTGTCACAGACTAGTATTTCGAATTGAAACGTCTTACAAAACGACTGTTAATGAAATTTAAAAACAAAGCAGCAACGTCAATAAATCGTAGCGAAGTTTGAAAGTTTTTAAATATAATTAAAATAAAGTAATTTGAGGTTTGGTTGTAATATCTTGTGGGGTTCTTGACAGGCAATTAACAAAATGAGTTACGATTTCGAAGATGATATTATTGATCTCACGGCCTCTTTGTCATGTGCCCGTCAATGTACGTTGTCTAATGTAGTCATAGATCTTGTTACAACTGATGAATCATTTTATGATTCTTCTATAGAGGCGGATGTAGATGTATCACAAAGTCCAATAAAACTAAAAAGCTCTAAACGCAAAGGTAATTTCCAGGTAAGTTAACTTAAATTGAATGGGGTTTTTATTATATTTTATTGTTATGAATGTCTAAGGAGAAATGATATTGCTTAACAACGCGATATATTTTTTAATATTAAGTATGTATATCTTTTTCAGTGTTCAGATATACCTTCAAAAAAGAAACCTGATGTCATCAACAACAAATCAAATTCTTTTGGTGATTGTCCTATATGTTGGGAGGCTTTGGGTAAAAACCCTTTGGCGTCAACAAAATGTGGGCATGTATATTGTATGAAATGTTTAGAAAGATCTTTACAAAGTGAGAAAAAATGTCCATCATGCCGATGTAGCTTGAAAGGAAAAGCGGCTTACCATCCTTTATACTTGTCTAAAAATTGATACTAGTACAAAAATACATTAGTTGGTAGAAAAATGTATATAAATATTTTTGTATTTTTGTTGAAACAAAGGTGACAACTTTTTGATGATTATCAATCACTAAGGCTAGGATAATTGTTTTTTTTTTAAATGTTTGATGAATTGATTTTTGACTTAATTTTTTTAATACCACTTGAAACTTAAGAGTAAGGGCTGACAAAGCATTCCATTTTATATGTTTTATATGCTGCCTGTTATTAGTACAAACCACAGTTATTAACTTGTGATTTTTTAGTGTCAATTCTTTAGGAACTTAAAAAAACTCAAACTAAAATATTAGCAATTGACAATCTGTAGTAATGGGGGCTGTTTTTTTGTTACAGTGTACTTTTACCCTTTTTATATAACTATTTTGTTTCATGTAAAAAAAAAAATTACCAAAAATTTAATTTAATATGTTAGTGTTTCTCTAGTGCTGCCTAAATTGTTTACCTAGATTCTTAAGATTTTAGCAAAACTTAAACAACTAATATTTATTTTTATTTAACATGTAAATAAATTAAATTGTACAAATTTCATAAAAACTAATGATTTAAGAGGACTTTGAGTTAAAAAAAAACCTCACAAGTTATATTAAATAGCATTTGGTTTTGTAGTGATTTATAAATTAATAATTTGATAAATAAAATGTGATTTATTTAAATAAAATTCAATGACAAAACACAATTTGTTTTTTTTTTTTTTTTGAAAATAGTTAATATTGATTTAATTTAAAATATACAGGGTGACTGGTGAATTACTACCGATACTTGAGGACGTGATATTTGACGATCATATATGACAAAATAAAAATTAATATAACATAAATATTACTAAACTTCTAAGTAAAGTTGACCAAAAGTTATGTAATTAATTACGCATCGTGTGAACACCCTACAGATTAGGTATACACACACACTCTGCTGATACAACATCACGCCGCCGCACGCGTCCACACTTGGAACACATGGAACGTGTCCACACTTTATTTATTTATACGGAAATTTGGTCAAAAATTAAGTACCTATTTTTTTTACATAATTCGAATGAGAATCATGTACCGAGAATGCTCCTTAAATATTGATAGTAATTCATCAGTCACCCTGTATATTCGAAAGTCTACAACACATTGTTTATTTGATAAATAGGAAGAATAAAGACTAGAGATGCATAAATGTTTTATTGTAAATGACACAAAATTAGTTATCTTTAATAATATGCACTTCTTTCAAAATTTCTTTCTTCCAAAAATGTTTCTACACCTATAACAATGAATTTGAATTCAACAAATCTAAAACTATAACAGTACCAACTTATCACAATACGAATTCTTTTCTTAATCCTCCTTACATTAAATAGTATTTTTTTTTAAACATTATTCAGCTCCGTTTCTGTTTTTCATTAAAAATGCCATACCATGTACCCGGAAATGTTTTTCTAAATCATTAGAATTCGAGAATTGTTCTCTACAAATTTTACATTGATTTTCCAGTACAGGTTTCTCTTCCAACTCTGTCGATTTCATTGGATTTTTTTGCAGAGCAAGTTCATTATAACACTGTTTCGTGTCAATATAACTTTGAACATCAAATATTTCATGTTCCAATAACAAATGTGTTGCAAAAGAGCGTTTAACTGCAAAAGATTGCCCACATTCCAAACACTGATATGCCATAAAAGGATTTTTATGGTTCATAATATTGTGGTCTTCTAACTGTAGCTTCGTTTCACATTTATAATTACAGATTCTGCAAAAGTGGTCGTTGATACCCCCATACATTATATTATTTTTTTCAGTAACCGCGATGCTTTTAGCCTTTTTTAATTTCACTAATGAATTAACTTTTCTTTTACAATTTGTTTTACCATTTTTTGTAATATTATTATTGCTTCTTTTGTTTTTGGTTAAACAAGTCAGTCTTTTATCAATCTTATTGAGTTGTATTTTTAAATCTAGACATTTATATGCTTTATGATATGAAGCGAAATGCTTCTTTATAGTATTCCAGTCTTCCTTAATTTTGTTTTTACAGAGAGAACAAATAATAAAATTATCGTGTATGTCACTATCTAGACAAGAAGTCTTACTTTTAGGATTATTTGCAGCTAACGATGAACATTTGTACGGGCAATGAACAGGCAAAGTTTTAATATTTTCATACAGACATCTATATGTAAAAGTTACCAAACATTTCTCGCATCTTTTAACAATACGGTGGTATAAGCCGTTTTTTTTGTTTTTTAATGCTTCTGGTCTTACAATTTTCGAAAGAATTTTTTTTACAGTAACAGCACCATGTTTAACTACTAGGTGATTTAACAAGAAATGCATCTGGTTAAATATTGTCTTACATATATGGCATTGATAGACATCTTTTAAGGGATCTATAAATAAATGAGCATTTAAATGTTTATCAATTTGTGATTTCAAAGATATTTTTTCACTGCATAGAGGGCATTGAAAACAAAAAACTAAAATGAGCATTTGGACACTTATTATGATCTTTTGGATTACTAAAGGTTTCAAAACAAATCTGGCACTTCATTAACATGTTATAATGACTTTTAAGATGTGACTGATATTCACTTGGATGAACAATTGTTTCACAATTTCCAACTGGACATTTTGCCCTGGCAGTAGCCCTCATCATTTTAAACCCATCACAATCATGACCATAGGGATATGATATATTTCTGTTTGGTAAGTTGAAGCCACATTCTGGACAATAATATGGGGGTATTTTTAAATGAATTCTCATATGGGCTAAAAGTCCACAGAAAGTAGGTATAGTAAATAAGCAAATAGGACATGTATGAAATGGATCTTGGGAAAATTGCATATAATGCTCTGCTCTAGCTTTGTGTGACAGTCCACTAAGTGTCCTGATAACTTTTTTACATTCGTAACATGTATCATCAAGTTTATCCTGAACTTGGCTTTCCAATTCTAAACTTATAGAATTAAAATGCTCTTCAGGCAATGGTTCAATTTTCAAGTCACTTACATTAATAGTAGCTGATTTAGATGTATGAGACCTTATGTGTGATAATAGTCTGCACCTGTTATAAAATATTCTAATTTGGTGGCAACGTTGGCACTCATATGTAATGTTTACAGATTTACGGTTCATGTGAGTTTCATAACTTGACTCTAGTAAGAACCTGGAATACAATTTAGTTACAGATATTAATAATTATGCTTTTAATTTAAAACTAAGTGTTTTGACACTTTTCTTAACTTTCTTAGTTGTAAAAAATATATATTTTTTACCTATCCCCACAGTTAGTACATGGATAAGTCTTATGACCCTGTATTGGTACAGGACTTGTCAGGCTGGGCATAGCTTTTGTAAAAAGCAAATTTTTTATGCTCCATTTATCTTGCATTAATTCCAGGGCCATTATAGAATTCTGTAAGAATATTAGCATATTTTAGTGTTAAAAAAAATATCTTATCTTAGCCTTAAACTGAATTTTATTTTTACTTACCCCCAGTTATGTAGACTTATTATGATAGGTTCAATGTAAATCAATATCGAGAAATTTTTGTTGGAAAATTTATGTAGGTCCAATATTTATCAACCAATTTTTATATTTCCACAGATATTTCTCATTTGACACTGCTGAACAAAAGTATCGCCATTCAAAAAAATATTAAAGTGTTGCCAACGTTTTAATAATTTTTTTATGAGTCGGTATTTAGTTACTTGTAATATATTTATTATTTAGTATTTACATTAAAAAAATAATCTTAAAGTTTATTATTAAAAGGGTTGTTAATTGTAATAATTATTATTTTACAAGGTTTTTTGATACATATTGATTATTGCCAGTTATTGTGTCTTACACATTATTTCCATTAATCACATTACAACAATAGCATTTTTTAATATTTACATATATTTTAAGTATTCAACAATTAATTAATTCTCATAATAAGTGATATATAAAAAAGAGAATAAAGAAAATGAACCAGATTGTACAATATATTTTTTATTTAAAAAATTATAAAAGATATTAGTTTTTTAACTCATGATTCAAATTGTTTATGCATAATTATCATTATTCTCACTCTGAAAAAAATTAAGTAACATCTTCTCCTGTTTATCACGTTTAAAATAATATACTACATCAGATCTTTCACTGAAACTTTTTTCATCTACAAGAGAGAGATATATTTTTTTATTTTCTAGCATATCTTCATCGTTGGGAATTAAAAATAAATATGTGGCTACTGCTTGTGAAGCATCTTCAAATCTCTCCATGTGATAGTATGATATTTGTAAATAGTTTAGAATTTCTGCTAGTAATTCAATACCAGTATTGAAAATAGGATTATTTTGACATTTCTGTCTACATGTTAATACAGATGCAATATAATTGGCTATTGTTATGGAAAATTCAGATGTCCAGTCTTGTTCTGATAGATGTTCACATTCAGCACGGCAAGAATTCTCCCAATTGAGATAATGTGTTAAAGCTTCTTCCATATTAGCTATTGTTTCACCCCAATTTTTCAATCTGTATGCTTTGAGTCCAATTCTGTATAGTACTTGGTAATCCTCACTTTCCAAGTCGATCACCTCTTTAGAGTCTACTTCAGGTTGAAGAATATAATAGTCTACATTATTTTTCATCATCTCATTTTCAGTGTTTGCCACATAATATGTGTATGCAGCAGAAGCAGCTTTTGGTAAAGCATTCATTTCAAAGTAACATAAGTGTAAATATTCATAAGGTTTCCTAGATTGAAAATTAGAAAGTATTTTATTAGAGACATTGTTATACATGTAGACATTCTCAAATTCGTTATCCAAACACTTTATTAAACAATTTCTTCTATTCAGGAATAGTTCGTAAATTTTAAGATCTTCAATTTGTTCAAGTATTTGTGATTTATTTTCAGTATTACATTTTAATCTACAGTTTATAATAACGGTTTTGTAAGTCTTATATAAATGTAATGATTCTTCAAAATGGACAATACACTCAGACCATCGTTCTCTGGAATAAGCGTCTACTCCTTTTTGATATATAGTATCTAACGATGAAAATTTTGAACAAACACTGAAAACAATGATTCCCAAAAAACAAACACTTTTCACAAGAAACATGTTGAATTTACCCTGTTCACTAATAACATTAATATTTATAGTTAAATATTTTAACACAGCCGCTCCAGCTTTAAAGCTGATAATTTTAGAAACAACTAAGCGATAAATTTGACGCCACTGTTCAACCAATGAACTCATGACCTATATATCCTATGATATCATATTAATGTTGATACAGAACTGTGAATAATATGAATTTTTATAAAGTTTGGATTACAAATTAAATTCTGCAGCTACGATTTATACATGACTTACAATTAAATAAATTAATAATATGTTTGTTTATTCTAAGAGAAAGATACCATCGCAGTTTTAAATCACTGTTACTTTTCGCGCCTAAAATATCCCTGTGAACTTCGTTACTGCAAGTGATCGATACGTCGAGGTAAATATTTAAGAATATTGTATTCGATATATCTGATTTCTTCCCTAAAATTTTATAGCAATAAAGACAGTTTTATATATATTATGTTATACAGTTTTTGTTTGGGATTTAGAATAGGTGAAGTTAATATCGGGAAAATGGATTTAATAAAAATCGATGATGTAGGTATAAAACAATATTATGCCCCCAATCCCCATTTGTTTATTTCTACTCAGCATATTGGTTTACTGTATAGGCGGGATTATAATGTTTGGTTTTTTATAATAAATAGATATTAATATCACTTCATAATAAATCTTTTTCTTAAATTACTTGTTATTTTTATTAATGTTTATGTTTTATTTAACTGTGGCCACCCCAACGTTCAAACATGTTCGATTTAGCTGTTTATGTTCTTTTTATAGGTTTTTGGAACAAATTAATTTCATGGATTATTCCATCAAAATAGTTACTAAAAAAAATTGTGTTATATTTCAAGAAATTCTTAAATTTATTCATGAAAATTCAAACATATAGCCGATATGAAATAGCATAAGGCGGCCAACTTTCCGAAAACTGAATGCGGGACGTAACCTTTTGTGGATGGCGGGGGGGGGGGGGGGGGGGTGTAGGGATTGGGAATGTCATAAAATCTTCGCAACTGCCCATTAAAATATTAAATTTAACTCTCTTACGCGTCATGAGTTCAGAAGAAAGAAAGAAAACGAGATTAGCGCGGGCGCGATACGCTTGTCCTTATTATAGGTAATCTGTGTTCCTGCACTGTTGACCGTGGGCGCGTATTGGTGTTGTGTAGAAGTCTGGTAGAAAAATAGGGATGCGGGACATGCGGGACGCATACAACGTTTTGCGGGACTATTTTACTAATAATTACAAAGCGGGACTTCGTCTAGAATTGCGGGACGGTCCCGCAGAATGCGGGACGGTTGGCCGCCTTAAAATAGCATATAAATAAGTCCAAATGATATTTTATAAAAAATGGATTATCAAGAAGGTACTTTCTGTTCGGTGCTGGAACTCTAAATAATCGGTGTCTTTACTTGAATAATTTTATTTTATTACCTTCTACATTGTGTTTAGGATCATACAAGTCCATTACGTCGTAAAAACTTCTTCAATTATAAAATTTTGCGATTTTAAGTGCAAATAAGTAATTCCTACAAGCGTAACTACAATTTGTAAGAATCAACGCGATCTACAAGCAATGAAATAATATTAGGATATATCTACCTAAATTTGTTTATTTCGTGTTTTTACGATTTACTCCATTTATCGATTAAGGTTGTATATGCAAAATATTAACGGCTTAAAATATTAACTAAAAGGGAAGCTATGTTGTAACTTGGTTCCATATTTAATATTAATATTAATATATGTATTAAAATGCTCTCTCCAAATGTTCATGAAAAGGAAACAGACCTTTCAAAAACCACAAACAATAAAAATAACCAGTTACAGCTTTTACACAACAGTTTTTTTAAAGATATTATATGCGAAAGAGAAACTGAATACAAATAATCATATACTTAGGAAAAGTATCGTTTGTATGTCTATTTACCGTGAGTAAGGAATTATAGGTACTTTTTTTTAAATTGCTATCGTATCTATAGTAGATAACTGAGGACTCTATAATACATAATATATACAGTAAGTATAAAAAGTTAATAACATACCTAAGTTTAAAGTAACCATACTTTTAATCTGTGCTTTTATTTATTCCATTCTATATATATCTTACGTTCTTTCCTAATAAGTGCTATGCCATCATTCCGGTAAACGCAATGTATCAACTGGTTGTCTATTTTTCTGGTCGGTAAGCCTGCCAAGGCGTTACATCCAAACAAATGAGCGCAATTAATCATGACATCGTGATCTTGTAACCTAATATAATACCAAGCGTTCGTATTTAATATAAAAAAGTCTTATAGAGAAAAGATAAAAGGAAATATCACAAACAGATTAGTGATGTAAGTATCAATTGCTTGAATACATCGAGCCAGTGGTCAGGACAGTATTAACGAGGCATGGACTCTAGAGGAGATTGGGGATACTATCAGGGGAGTAGCCTCTGTGATCTATTGATCAGATGTTACGGTTAATAAATATTAGTCAACCCATATCACTATCAGTCTAGATACATGTGTATCTCGTATATAATATTCAGACATGGCAAAGAGGTCTAACATACGATGAAGATGGAACTAAGTATATTTTATTACTATTAATTACAATAGTATTTATAATGATATTAAAACTTAACCATATTTAAAAGTAGTGATTTATATTGGAGTTGATAATGCTAAATAGATTTTAGACATTTAATTTCAATTAGCTACTACTTATTACAATAGAATACAATAACAATAACTATATCGATTACATTTTATCGAAATCGTTTTCTAAATCTGTATTAAATTAATATTTTCGTTAGTATCAAACCACGTATCTGAGGTTAGCACCTCAATACAGGAAATTATTTTGAACCGATAAAAAATTATACCAAAATTTCGCATTAACATTTGAATCGTGACCAGACATAACACAAATTGTTTTAAAGAAGTATATGAATATTACATATATTTATAAATGTCTGATGTATTAATTTTTAAAAAGAGTGATAAAAAATTTACTCAGTGATTTTTATTATTTACTCAAAAATTTTTTTTTTTAAACAGCAACGTATCTCTTCCTAAGGCATATGTAGTATCTATCGCAATATTTTCTCCCCTCCAGCGTTTCCTCCACATATATTCATAAATATTTAACAAAGTAATCTCAACTTTATTTTTGTACATACATATAAGAAAAAAGTTACACCACACTTACATTCATTTATTATTTTATGTAATGTAATTATACGTCCCCGCTATATTTAGTGAATGTGTTGAATGAATTGAATAAAAACTCAATCGTATTTTTTATGAAAAAATAAAGTAGGAAAAACTCATATACGGATTACTCTATGTACCTACTATATATGTACATATAATAAAAAAATACATAACATACTTCGTAAATAGAAAGATTATAGCTTCTACGATGTTTATGCTATTTTGGCAAACGGTTGGAATTGATCCTCTCTGGGAGAGTCTGAAGAGTTTCTCAAATCAAATCGCTTCGTTTATTGTATTGCTTACAGTATATTGCTTGGCTTTAGTAAGAAGCGTCATCGGGCTTATAGTATTTTTTAAGCTTATAACAGATGCCTGGATGGAATTTAACGTTTTTTTACTTTATTGTCTCCAATTATTTTAGCAGATTATCGTTTATTTGAGAAGTTGTATTGTATGACCACTTTTAAGTATTGTTTATAGATTTGTTATATATAACGAAAATATAAACAAATTTCTTTATCGATAACCGATTAAAAAGACATGCGTTGATTGCTATCTGATCTTGCTATGTTTGACTTAAAAATATTCCATATCATTTATTTAGGTACAATTTTGCTTTAAACGAGTACAACTTTAAAAATACCTAATGTAAAAGTTTATTTTATATAATTCAGTTGTACATCCAATTAAGTGAATTTTAAGTGGACGTAAGTATACGAATCCTCATTATCTCCTAAATACATGAAAAATGGCTAACATAATACATATTTAACAGAACTTACATTTGTATCTTATCGAAAGAGTTTAAAAATTCAGGGATTTTGGCAAATAGAGATTTGATGGATTACGTCTCGATTAAAAAAGGTAATATTGAATATTGTATTCAGTAAAATTTTATATGAAGTCTCATTTTCGACTGACTCTATGTACAGAATAGTGAAAAATTAATACATATAAACAGTATACTTTGTCTAATGAGATCTAAGATTTTCTCGAGTATTCATTTAAATGAAAGTAATATTTTCGGATGTACCTACTACGCAATTTTTATTTTTGATTATAGACTACATACTCCTGGTAAAAACAAATAGCCAAAAAACTATTCACAACATGAAAGGCAGACCCTGGCTATAGCTGGGAAATTGCCAGGTAGAAGAAGAAGAAGACTACATACTCCCGACGACGTTTCTGTTACATTACAGCAACCGTGATCACAGGCAGACGAGATCATCTCATAGTTTATAGTCAAAAATAAAAATCGCGTAGTACATCCAAAAAATATTAGCATACTTAGTCCCCAGAATAGCTTCCAAGCATATCGAGCAAATGAAACGATTTGATCAAATAATTAAGTTTACTAATATTATAATTATACAGGGTGACTGGTGAATTACTATCGATACTTGAGGACGTGATATTTGACGATCATATATGACAAAATAAAAATTAATATAACATAAATATTAATAAACTTCTAAGTAAAGTTAACCAAAAGTTATGTAATTAATTACGCATCGTGTGAACACCCTACAGATTAGGTATACACACACACTCACACACACGCGGCGGGGGCGTGGTTTTGTATCAGCACGCCGCCGCACGCGTCCACACTTGGAACACTTGGAACGTGTCAACACTTTATTTATTTATACGGAAATTTGGTCAAAAATTAAGTACCTATTTTTTTAACATAATTCGAATGAGAATCATGTACCGAGTATGCTCCCTAAATATTGATAGTAATTCACCAGTCACCCTGTATATACATAAATCTGCTACAT